TATAATAAATTTTATTTTTAATTTTATAATAAATTTTATAATAAATTTTATAATAAATTTTATAATAAAATCGATATTAAATTTTAAATTTGCGAAGAAAAAAAAAACGTATTTAAGTTTCGAGTTTTAAAATGCGTTGGGGGGGCTCGGGCTATAATACGGTTAGGGTAATTAGCCCGAAAGTGCTTTTGCGCGCAGAAAGCGGGTCGACTTTTTACGATTGAGCGCGCCAACTCTTTACGATTGCGTTGCGCGGTTTTAATGCGTATAGCGTTTGTATTTTACTCGGGACCGAGTTTAAGTTCTTGAATCGACTCCACACTTAGCCGCGTCAAAAGTGATATCCGTGGTACTTGATGAACATAAATGCCGTGGCCACTTCTTATGCATTTGCAATTGTTGTCGTGCTATATTGTCTATCACTTTTATTCTTATTAACGCAAACTAATCTCTCGTGCCCAATCCTTATTACTGTGGCCCTGAACATCCATCAAATATTTATTGAAGTCCCTCGCCGCATTCACTGCCTGACTCAGATGCACCCACCCTAATGTCTTCTTTTTATACAATGCAAGCTGACGAGCCGTTGTCAGTGCATTTCTTATTTCTCTCCCATTCATATCTAGGTCCGACAGCTCTTCAATGTGTTCCTTCAGCTCATCAAGATCTGCATCTTCTTCGTCTGCTTCCAGCATATCGAAGAAATTCCTCCAGATCTTCTTCCGGAAAGGGGGGTCTGGATCTGGATACCGGAGTGCGAGTTGAATGCGCGATCTGAAAGCTTCGTCAAAAGTGCCAACGCGGTTACTGGTGAGAATTAAGATTCCACTGTAGTATTCCAGAATCCGAAGGAAGACTGTAACTAGTCAATAAATTTATGATAAGTTATCAACTAGGAGGCACTGACTAGACACTAAGCTGTTTCTCTTCAGATCTTGGAGTCCTCGTTCCTCAAGAAACACGTCGGCTTCATCCAATAGCAGAACTTGGATAAGATGTAAGTATTTGAGAAGGACCTTACATTCTGAAGGGTCAAAGACCAGAAACAAGCCACGAACTTACCACAGTTCCAAGTCTTGCCAAAGTACAAAACCCTTCTGAGATAGGACTCAACCGCATCGGGTTCTGTGCCAATGTCGCCACATGTCACACTATATAAAGGCTTTTCTGCCAGTTCAGCAACACTCTCTAAGAACAAGTCAGCGTATTCAGCTCTTGACATTAGTTCACCATCGCTGATACGGACCCGCAGTCAACGTCTTCCCAGTTCCAGGTCCACCATGTAGAAGTACGATGAGGCCAGTGCCTTTTCCGGCAATGAGATCTTGACGCTTCCCACCACATACTCCAACTGGGTCCGAGACTCTCCCCTCATTTGTCAAAAGCAGTGCTTTGATTAATTCTTTGGTTTTGGGAGGAAGCACCAAACGGTCAAAAGCCTCTTTGTTCCAATTCACTGGCTCCACTTTCCGGACATACAAACTTACTAATAGAACATTAGCATGAACCTTCTCAACGGTTTAGCTGACTCTACCCCAATGCTTTTCTTTCAAGAAAAACCCTTGGACAATGTGAGGACACAGCATGTAGTCGAGATCGGGGAGATCAGCGTCAAGCTCAATCTCTAAGGGATACTCATCATACGGCAGAATTGGATCTTTGCTGAATAAAAATGTTGCCGAGTTAGGATGAAGTTTGTTGTAAGTCCTTTGATCAATCATGAATCGAGACTCATACTCGACGAAGGGAATCCGTTAGCAAGGTGATGGATCTATCGACCATCGGAAACGTACATGGATTTGATCTCCAGGAACATCCCAACCCGAATATGCAACTTTATGTTGAGATCTCAGATTCCAATACTTCTTCCCTTGCTGTAAAAGAACGTTCTGTGTTTTCTGGCTCGCAAATTTGAGCGGATATACTTCCATGCTGTCGATTGAAAACTCGTCTTCCTTTGGCCATCTCATGGCTATGGTCTTTCTCTTTCGTTTGAGCCTGGTTCCATTGGAACCCCATGACCAACAGTCTAGTTGTATCTCGGCCCAGTCTTCGAAATCAATTCTCCGTATCATGTATACCGAGATGACGTCTTTCTCTTTGTAGACCACGGCTTCGTTGGCTTCGAAGAGAAAGTCTTGAAGGTCAGGAGATACTTTTCCGATCGAGAATTGTTCCGTAGCTCGACCGTACTTGTCACCCTGACACGACTCACTATACTTCACAAGGTCTAGAAGTAATGGCTTCAGGTCACCGGATTCTTCGTCCAGCTTTTCTGTCAGCCTTAACTGGTGATGAAACACAAAAATGTATGGGAAATGCAGTTCCAGAGGTCCCGAAGGCTGGCCATCTATTTCTCCAATGAGATTACCAGGGTTGTATTTGGCAATTTGTTGGATCTTCCTGATGAGAGGCTCGGAAAAGATCTGCATCCTTTCCACAATATCTTGCCTGACTTTCACATCCACAAATGTTTCAGGATACCGTAGCTCCGGCGGCTTCAGAGGCACTACCCTTCGTACATAATCGCCTTCTCTTGTCCAATCTTCAGGCGGGGGTATTTCAGCGCTAACAACAGGTAACGTAAGGTTTTCCGCTGAGCAGAAATAAGTTCTCAAAATCACAAAGCTAACGCGGCGCTCGTTGAGATATTTTCCCAAACTTTCAATTGGGTGTGTCCCTTCGAGGTGAGGCGCACTGGTTTCTGAACGAGCTCTAAGAAATGGAACGTCTTCAAATAGTAGAGCTCGATGATGGCTATACGGCTGCGGCGCAGAACATTTGATCTCGCATACTATACAGTATACCGTTGGCGTTGATTGTGGTTCTGAATATTTGACCTCAGACCTGACGTGGGTGGTAAAATGGATTTTCTTTGGCCCGAGGCTTGATCGTGTTATTCGACTAACTGGTTGTGGTCTCTCTGGTATCTCGTCTATTCTGGGCCCAATTTTTGAGCTCTCGCTTGGATCTTCTCCAGATTTGTCTACTTGTGCTCTTTGCCCTACTAAAGTCTCTAAAGCGTCAGGTTTCTCTAGTTCTAGGTCTTGAGATGGACTATCTGAGCCTGTAGTGAGGTCAGGAATACTCCACAGAGGGTTGAAGAGTATAAAACGTACGATTCTCCCTCCTGAAATGATCCCCATCTTTTACTCTCTCCAATATTCCGTCAGCTACAAGAGATACAGGGTCCCGCTCTTTTTGAATGGATTGAGAGCTCATACTGAGAGTAGACGCGGAGTGGGAGCTGTCGTGGAAGCTAGAACTGGGTCTCAAGGCTATCTCTTCCTCTTCGCTATGATATTGTGTTACGAAGCCAAGGTTTTGCTCTCCCCACTGATTTTCGACCTCAGGGAGAGGATCTGTCTCTTTTACTGCGGCAAGATATGAACTCCAGTCCGGGTATGCCTCCGTTGGATCTGCGAGATATGGCCTATTTCTAACCAATTGGGCTCTGACAACTCTCGCAGCTTCCTTATGATTCACACTTTCAAATTGTTGGAGCGACTCGATTGCCTCTTCGACGATGGAGTTGCTGAGAAACTAATTAGTCTGGCTTTACACATTGAGGAAGATAAGCTGCAACTTACTCTTCTTCGAGCGCCGGAAGGAGCTCGAAATCGCCAGGTAACAGTCTCTGTTCTAAATTGCATACATTAGAGCATTTGTTCACAGCGCCTCAGTTGTTATAGAGAATTAAAACGCACGGGACAGATCTTTATGGTCGATCGACGCAATCAAGGCTTGCAGAGTGCCGTCTTCCCATACGTTGGCGCCAGCCGTGCGGTCTTGAGATATTGTGTTCTGGACGGAAAGCACCTCTCCGCTCACTTCAACCGAAACGTCTCTTTCCAGGATCTCTGCGCTAGAATACGACGTATGAAGAAAATCCATACAAGAATGTCATGATGTGTGGATCGGGATGTTGGAGTTATGTTTCGTCGGCAGCGCGATTGTCGAAGGGACACGGGACTTGAGCTGAAACGGCCGGCCACTCACAGCATGCCACGCGCTGTGCGACCTTCTCAAAGCCCCACGATAAGTGAATCGTAGACTAGGTACATCGTGCGGCTATGTTAGAGCGTCGACTATCGATTGCGTCAAATGGCAGCCAGAATACAGTGACTGTCGATCTCTTTGGTATTACCATCACAAGCATTTCGGCTACAAAACAGTTGTTTCCTTTTTTCCGTCTTTCCGTTTGGCTTCAATCACACAACTAATGGCCCCAGCCTCGTCCCAACAACCTCGCGATTGGTATGAAGGTAGCCAAGATCAAAGGTTGGTATTTCCATCTATACAGGCCAATTCAAATCTGACAAGTTTCACAGGGAGGGTGTCCAAAATGAGTATGGTATATACGAGGCAGCGAAATCCAAATTGCTCTGCGAGCTAAGTGCGAAGGAGTATGAACGTGTCATATATGAAAGCGCAACCTCGGTTGACACCTTGGCCGCTTTGCTGAAGGAGATGAAGTGCAGATATGAGCGCCAGCCTACGTGCAAAGCTCGCAAGTGGCTCGAAGTATTTTCGGGCAAAGTCGTCTATTATGGAACTGTAATGGATGTCCTTGTGCAGCAATATCCGCAGTATGTATCCCTTGCATGGGGTGCAATGAAGTTCCTTTTCATGGTATGTACGAGCCGAATATGCCGTGATAGATTTCTGATAATTTCTAGTCGGTTATCAATCATGACGAAATGACAAAGGAGATAGCGAAAGCATACTCGATGATAGCAGATCTTCTTCCCCGAACAGACTTTACCCTAATTCATTACCCAACAACGGCAATGAAAGAAGCTATCGCACAGCTTTATGCTCATATTATTTTGTTCACTTCTCGTGCCATACGATGGTACAAGAAAGGAAAGATCTCTCATGCTGTCGGCGCAGTTGCTCGTCCTTGGGCCTTGAATTGGAAGGATAGTGTTGATGCCATCACAGAGCATTCTCGCCGTGTCGAGAGTCTAGCAAAAGTAGCTGCACAGGCAGAACTTAGAGATACGCGCTTGGAAGTGAAAGTCCTCCGCTCTGAAGTACAATCATTGTCGGCTGCATCTACAACGGCACACGCTAGTATGATGCGCCTCCTTGAAGACCTGTCTTTAAATGGTAAGCAGGTTTATGAGCTGACATACAGTAAGTGGCCGAAGAGCGCGATAGTGCAGATGCTCATTAAATTGCTTAGAAACGGAAGGACTTGTTCAAGAGATAAAGCCAATACTTCAAACGCAAAAGAAAGAAATTACGAACATCTGTCTCTCAACCTTAGCAGCTCTTCCCTGGGCAGAAGATATACCCTCTCCGAAATTGACGCTTGCATTTTGTTCGTCGATGAGACGCCGTCGAAGAGCCCCCGCACTCAAGCTGCCAGAACTTGCGACCCTAAACAGTTGGGCCATATCTAAGCAGTCGACACTCCTATTTGTAACCAGTAGATCTATACAAGCCTCGAAGGACCTCAGTATCGATCTTGCAAATGTACTCACTTCCTCTATGGCGCCTACGATCTGGGTCTTTCGTCACTCAAACTACTGGGAGTCACGGCCTACCTTTGCAACAATTCTGCGAAGTCTTACGCTCCAGGCTCTTACATTATTTCCTGACTGCCTTAGCTCCGGGCCATGCCCTTTATCATCCTCGCAGCTCCTGGAGGCCTCAACTGAAGATGATTGGCTTAATATAATCGGCCGAGTATTCTTTGCAGTCGATAGGATTTATATTCTACTGGATACAGACATACTCGCGTTGGCTAGTAATCATGATAAGTATGGCATTACTCGATGGCTCGAAAAACTTATGTCTCGGGTAGGGAAATCGACGAACATGAAGATTTTCGTGTCTGCGACCATGATTAACAAATCATACATCTCAAGAGAATGGGAAACTGGGTCTTGGTCAGAGCTGATGACAGACTATGTGGATAGCTCTATTGAACCTCTCACGTCAAAAAGAAGTCTTCAAATGAAGGCAGCAAAACGTCGGAAAAGATTTTAATTGTTGAGGGAGCGGATCTCGAACACGGTGGTGCTCGATGTTCAGCAGTATTCTTGGAAAGCTCGCACCTGAAATGTTATACTAGGATTGCGAAGGATATCAAGCAAATGGGTGCACAAAGCTGGTTGCTCTCGGTCATTAATTTGTTCTTGAAAGCAGTTCTACAGGAGCATAAGAGTGATCAAAACCTCGAGAACTTGCTGAAAACTTGGGTGATGCATCATTATTGAAGAACTATGGTAAAATACTCGCAATCAGATGGCATTAATCTATGAGATTGAGCAAACGGCATCCGACAAGGATGGCATTTGATGCTCCTGGATGTTGTTGCGAATACGGTGGGAATAGAGAGATAGGGAATGTAACAGAGGCTATACAACACGCTCTATAGATTGCAAGGAATATCAAAACATTACAATGGATGGTCATCACGCGAAAAGGAGAGGAGTTCAGCTGCTCTTTCGTCAATCTGCAGCACGACCGTCGCCAAGATATTGCTGACTCCAAACCACTTCTTCATTCACTATATCTTGCAGCCTCGAGCATGTCCAAATACAAGAGCGCAGCGACAATCATCTTCAAAACTTCGTGCCCGCAATAACCCGGAACATATCTAATCTGTTATGAAAGTGGCTGTAAATAGCGCATTGACTGCCCACGTCTGCGTTTGATCACCCCACCGATAATCGTGGCTCCACTCGAAGAAAAACAAACGCGAAAAATCCTCGCGATAAAATCCCAAACGCGCCCAACCTCAAAGACAATGCCTTCACGATGTCGATGAGAGGTATCAACTGGTGGAAGGAGAGGAGACATACATCACATTCCGGAATTCCGACAGCCTCAAGACCTGCGACCGCCTGGAACGAACAGAAAACGGTTGAGCAGGCTATCTTGGCCGCGTTTGAAAGCGATGCATTCAAGGCTGCCATCGCGTCGCAGCTCGATCCCACAATTGCGAAGCTGAATCAAATCAAAGCGTCAAATTTGAATCTCGAATCGACACTTCAAACCCATATCGAAGATCAAAATGATCACCTGACCCAAATATCAACGGCCCAGCAAAAAGCAGAAGACAACCTCCCTATCGCCTTGGAAACAATCCAAGATCACCTTACCTCCTCTGAACGTCAACTTGAAGCCCTTTTCGCGGCCCAGACAAGAACAGAAGACCACCTCCCTGATCTCCTGAAACACGTTCAAGATCACCTGACCTTCAAACTCGACGCACTCTCCAAGGGACAAACACGAATAGAAGAAGGCCTTACTATCTTGGACCCTATTCAAGATCACATTGACAGCCTATCCACAAGCCAAACAAGACTGGAAAGTCAACTCAATGATCTCTTCTCCGGCCAGACAAGATTACTGAAGTCCATCGAGACTCGATTCGATGGCTTGGAAAGCCGAATCGAGGAACTTGATCGAAAGATCGATAATCTCGATGAATCCATGACCAATGCAGACCTCAGATCAGCCATTCGATTTGGAGAACTTTCAAATGAGCTACAGGATCGAAACACGACTCTAGGAGACAGAATCTGGGAAGTCCAGAGAGACCTTGGAAAGAAGGTTGATGGCCAGCAAAGGAGACTTCTTGGCGCATCTGAAGAGCTTGGGAAAGATGTCCGAAATCTCGGGGACACTCTTGAATCCATGCAGGAAGACAGTAGCAAGGCAATATCAAAGACGGAGTCACTACAGCGAAATATCACCCACATCCAGGAAAAGGTCTCCAAGATCCCATTGCTGTCAGAGAATGTGAGCAAAGGAATGGTCAAGGTCATAGAGGCACTTGAAACCTCCAGATCTCTTGCGTCTCAAGACTCGAAATTGAATGCATCACAACTGGAGAATGTCGTTACGATGGTGGGGAAGGTGCAGAATTTGACAGAATATGGGAATGAGATATCCCAGAGAATCGTAGACTCGCAAGCAACCAAGGAAGATGTGCATACCTGGGTCGACCATCTACATAGATCTCAAGAGGGAAAATTTACATCTGCAATTTCGACCATGACGCGGATGGAAGGAGCATTGACGAGTTTGGACGCGGCAGCATTGAGCAAGCTGGAAGCTCTTGAATCATATCTGGGCAGAATCGAAGAACAGATTTCTCCTCTGTCTGCTCATACTACGAAGTTGGATTCTCTGGAGCTGACTCTGGAACGGATTGGCACGGAATCAAAACCTCGTGAAGCAGATTTGACAGAAATCAAGACAACAATTTCGGAAATGAAGTCAAATATCCATGCGGTCCTTTTATCTCAAGATGATTCCCTAGACTCCATCCATCGTGCAGCTTCCGACACCTCTTCATTCGATCATTTGACAGCCAATCTTTCCGAGATGCAAACCAATATTGAACGGAAGCTCACCTCTTTGGAAAGGATTCAGAACTCCACTTCTGCCACCGTACGTGATTTGAGCCTCACAGCCACGAACCATTGCCAAGCCACCGAGAACCTAAGATCGACCACTTCAACAAAAGAAGACGTGGTTAATTTGCGAAACACGTTGCTAGATACGCTCCAAAAAAGCGAGTCTGCTTTGGAGTCGATCGCCAAGCCAGTCTCTGAACTTTCAACGAAGATCGATGAACAAGCTACCTCATCATTATCCTCCATCCGCAAGATAATCCAAGCTGCATCAGCGTCTACAGGAGATGAAATTCACGAGCACTTTAGAGGTCTAGATGGAAACCTCGATGATAGATTTGCCTCAATGACAGAAGCTGTTCACGAACGATTGAGAACGCTTCCCATCACCGACCTTCTCACTGAAGTTCGAAGCACCAAAGAATCTTCCAAGACAGCGCTTGAGTCACTTCATAAATCACTTGAGGCAAGTAAAGCCGGAAACACTCAGGAAATGACCTCCATCATGAGCACGCTCCACAACATCCAGGATGTGTGCAAAGATGATGAGGTTCTGCTTCGGATTGAAACCTGGGGCCAAAGAGGAATTGCCAAGCAAGAAGGAGCTGTCGAGTTGCTCCAAAAGTCTCAGGAGCGGGACGAGACGTTACATCGGGCGGTAACTCAACTGGGAGAGAGAAATTCACACATTTCTAATACTCTTCGGTCACTGGACGTTCAATTTATAACCAATCTCCAAGAGCTGAAGTCTATCTTGGCCGAGAGCAAGACAGAACAAGCCCTGCAAGCAGTCCAGTCTGACGTCGAGAAGATCAGAGACGACCCGACTCTCAGCACAATCAAGCAACTACTTCTCCAGAATGCATCTTCAATGGCCACCGCATATGAAGGCATCCTTTCAATTGACACCAAGATCAAGACTAGTGAAGAGTCCATCTCTTCTGCTGTTCAAGATATGCAAACCGCACTGGGCAGGGACATTCTTGACGCATCATCGAGCATCACCACTTCAGTAAATGACAACCTTGCAGACGTCAAGATTGATCTCGTGTCAAGAGTCTCGACATCAACAAATGTTCTCAGAGCAGAAATGAAGCGCATCGATCTTGCCGCGACTGTCACTGCTGTTGAATCCCTGAAGGACGACATTCAGTCCACTTCCAAGCTCGCAAACGAGGACATGGCGCGGATGTGTGAGGGTGTCAGGTCACACATCACAACTTCAGTCGATTTGGCGATGAAGATGTTTGCAGACACTGCGGATCGGCAAGATGAGAAAATGGAGGAACACGCTTCTTGTCTCTCCCATCTTAAGCAGGTCTCCATGCAAAATTCAACCTCACTTTCAGACGACATTTCTAAAATTCATCATTCTTTGGAACCAATTTCCGAGACGAAGGAAGATGTAAGAATGATTGTGGCTGCCGTACAAGGAGTCGACCACACTCTGAAAGCGAACACAAGCAGACTGGCAGCATTACAGGAATCGGTCCAGGAGTCAAATAATCAAATCGACACGAAATCAGGCGAACTGAGATCGGCCGTCGATAACACAGGACGGGACTTGCTCGAGGCTATAAAAGACAACCACTCCATCATTTCCAACATTGAGAAGACCAACGGTGGCCAGCTTTCAATGGTCCGACAGGAGATCAAAGAGCTGAACTCAGAAGTAACGAAAGCTTCCGAAGCCGTTAAAAAGTCAATTAGCTCATCGTCGGCTGCCGCATCAGCAGATTTACTGTTTGTGAAGTCAGACATCGGCGGGATCATCACTTCATTGCTCCAAGCAGACCACGATCGAAGTGAGGCTGAGAAGGCTCAGACTTCTATTCTTTCTTCTGTCAAACGCACCTCTTCTGAGTTGCACCAGATCGAGAGTGCATTGAAGAACTCGAATGAAGAGAGGCAGAAGGCACAAGACCTGATGAGGCTGGACATTTCCAAGATGATACATGACGAGAATGCTACAATTGCCCGTGAGATGGGCGCTCTCAGCACATCTGTCGAGGGCAGTACGAATGGGCTCGCCTCCCAGATCAGAAAGGCAGCAGAGGAAGCAGCTCGTGGTCAGGAGCTCACGATCACCAAGCTGAAAACAGAAACAAAGACTACATGTGATGCGATCACTGCTGCTACAAAAAACACAAATGCCGTTGTCGATGCCGTAGAGAAGTCTATACTTTCCGAGATCAGGAGCGCAAAGAAGTCCTCAGAGGTCGAACTCAACACCGCTCAATCACTAATTCAAGAAACCCATAAATCCCAAGAGATCATCTCCGCGGACATCCATGCACGATTTGATAAAGCTGCTGTTGAAGCAGCCAAGTCCTGTGAAGCTACTCTTGCAGCGATCAAGTCAGAAGGCGATTCTCTGTCAACTATCGTGTCTCGCGATTCTCGAAGTATAACTGGAGAGATCAGTGCCTCCAATGACTCAATTCTCTCTAATATTCAGAGTATGGAGACCTCCATGAACGCCAGCATTACAAAGGTTGAGAAGGCACTCCAAGACAATATAGGAGACATGTCAAAGAACATCACCACAGGATTTAATGATGCCAAAATCGAAAGAATGGATTCGAGAAAGACCTCCGATGCGAACTTTGCCACCGTGACCAAGTCCATTCGTCATGGGGTCGAAGCCAGCCAGGTTGCGCTCGAATCTGCCAACAGTCGTATGCTATCAGAGATAGAATCGACAAACATGACTGTTAGATCTAGCCTTGAAGGGGTCAAATCGGATCTTGGGAGTGTTTCCAAATACATCCAAACAGCCAATGCTGGGATTTTAGGCGAGATTGAGTCTCTCAACGACAAGACAACAGATGGTTTCGGCGGCCTTGCTTCATCGATCGGGCAGACCAATAACGCATTGTCAAGGTCGATTGAAAATGTGGAAACTTCGTTGCAGTCCAGCCTCCAGAATATCTCAGGAAATATGAAGGCTGTTGATGCTGCAGTCCGAGTCAACAGTGCAGCCATTGCTCGTGTTGATAAAGCAGTCCTGGAAACTGGGTCGCAGGTAAAGGGGGTAGTGCTGGATGGAAATCGAGATGTGTTATTTCAATTGGACGAGGAGTTGCATGAAAACGGTACAAGAATCAGGGGCATTTCGGAGTTTGACATTCCTCGACTTGAGGCCATCGGAAAAAGGAACAAGGATGCATTAGAGGTTATTGGGGCACGGGTATTAGGGACGGCAAAGAAGTTCGACGAAATGGTTACATATCATTCACAGAAGTCGTCGGATCATAGTGAGCTTCTGAATGGGAGACTGCGAGGTGGGAGCAGTGCGAGCAGCTCAGTTGTTCTTAACCAGAAGGCTTGAGAGTGGCGTTCGAAGAGTTGGTGTGCATCTAGCTCCTATAAATGGTACATACATAGCCTGGATATTCACTACTTGGACATCTCAATTTCGGTGTCATTAGACCTCAAACTCATTCATAATTTCGAGAGCTTTCTTCATACCTCTGCTGTCTTGAATCTTTCCTAGCTCATGCGAGAATCTGTATGTCTATACTTCCTCGCGACAGCTGTCATATCAACCCTCCATCTTCTCCACTTCAAAGCAGAAGTGCCTCGAGTTGAGGTGGAAGATTGTGAGACATCGAACAATCCGTCAAATGAATGAAGATGGCTTGGACCACTGACGGACAACTTGATCTTGATTTCACCAGCCAGGCCATAGTATCATTCTTCCCCACGTTCTCAGCATCGATTGGCAACTATCGCCGCAGAATGACAGTGGTATTTCAACTGTACCAACCGTACTATACTTGCAGTGGAGTAACGGCATCGAGCACGCGTGTGAAGCAAGAAATGCCGAGGATGAATTTCCCCTTCCCAATCCTTGGCGTGCATACATGCTAGGCGCAACTAAAGCAAGAAGCACCGAGAAGAGATCGTAATAACAAGCTGGTAGCAATGGCGGAAGTTGAAGAAGCTGAGTCTGTCCTAAAAGCGTCCCATGATGTTGGTATAATCCTGTACTTGATCAGGAATCTCTCTCTCGTGTCAAAGCTAACTCAGTGGCGATGAGAGTAATACATTCATTGGATAGTATTCGAAGTGCGTTCTCTGTTCTATTGCCGTACTTTAAGAGGCGAGACTGGGTTGGGCAGTGGGAGAAAATGATACAGTCATGTGACCAATTTCCTTTGGCCTCGCTCGAGCACTTCCTTGAATACAGAACGTCTCTGAGAGAAGACGAAAGATACGTAATGCGGTATCTCTGGACCAAAAAGAAATCACACATGTTTTTGGTAAGGAGCATTGCCCCCAAAAAAATGGCCTCTATCCTAATCTTCATTCAACACAGCGACAAAAAAGAATATTTCTAGCACGACCTGGTCTCGATCCAGGGACCTTTGGGATATGAGCCCAATACTCTTCCAACTGAGCCATCATGCTTGATGAATGAGAATACTGTTAAAAAGGTATATACCGTGTGCTGTGGGGGCAAAGTGACTCACCTGAGGCCAGCCGCGGCTTCCCTGAGTCATATCACCACTAGATAGAGCTAAACATTACACGCAATAGATACAGGAGAACGACGAGCAAAGAGTATATGATACATTGGTGCTCTGAAACTGTGTCATGACTAAATGTCCAAAATAAAAACCTATGTTGGGCAAAAACCAATGGTTTCACACCCATGATGTCTACTTCCACACACCCTTTTAGCCACACGATTCTTGTACAGTATTAACAACTCGCCGACAATCATCACTCATCCAAAATGCAGGTATCCAAAACTTTGCTCTTCTTGGTCTCCAATGTTTTGTACCTAATGGTTCGCAGCCCATTCCCGATACCATTCCAAACACTCCTTGTTGGCAACACTAGCACCAACTTTAATGTTCATCCCACACAGAATCTGCTTCACTGCAATCTCGACTCTAACGAAATGTCAGTCTGTGTCTCTTTATGAATGTGTAAACTTACTTCTTTCCATTCCCCGTCACCGGAATGTCAAAACACTCATTAATAACACCAGGCACATGCCTCGCTGAAAGCTCTTTCCTGATCACGGCTTTGATACCATTCTTCAAACCATCACCACAGATCTTCCCTGGAGCCATCTTCAGGAAAAGGACCACAGTCTCGTCAGCATCGGTGTCCCTCCTCCTTCCAGCACAGATCGCATCTTCAACTTCGTCCGGATAGTGCTTGAGCAAGATATTGTATATCTCTGCACTTCCAAATCTCACCCCACTAGGTTTCAAGATCCCATCACTTCTCCCCAGCATCATCAGCCCTCCTGTACCTTTTTCAAATCTTATGAAATCGCCATGATGCCACACCCCAGTGAACATCTCGAAGTATGCCTCTTTATATTTCGTTTGCCCCTTCTCACTTGACTCTGAGCTCCAAAATGTGATAGGTTGGCAAGGGAAAGGCTTCACGCAGACGAGATCACCTTCTTGACCTTCACCGACGGCAATACCATCCGGACTCCATGCCTCGATTGCCATGCCAAGGCCTTTGCATTGTATCTCTCCCGGATACACTGGCAGTAAAGGGCAAGGAGCTCCAAAAAGAGAAATGATATCCGTACCACCAGTAATCGAACCGAGATTGATTGAGGATGGAAACGCTTCATAAACGTAGCTGAATGTTGAAGGCGCAAGTGGAGACCCTGTAGAGTAGATTGCTGTCAAAGAGCTGAGGTCAACCTTCTCGGGTCCTTTCATGGGTCGAACTCCTTTCTGTTCCAGGATAGAAAGATACTTGGCGCTGGTACCAAAATGTGTAATTCGCAGATCTTGAATCAAGAGTGGCATCGAAAGTTCGCCGTGGGGATGGAACGGGGAACCATCATAGAGTATTATGGTGGCACCTGAAGCAAGTGCAGATACAAGCCAGTGCCACATCATCCATGTTGTAGTTGTGAAGTAGAGCATTCTGTCGCCAGGTCGTATGTCGCAGTGCAGAATATGCTCCTTTTTGTGTTGAAGCAGTGTACCAGCAGCGGAATGAACGATGCACTTTGGAGCACCGGTGGTACCGCTCGAGTACAGGATATAGAGCGGGTGAGATGGTGGTAAGTGATTGAAGTCGAGATGTGCAGCAGGATTGTCAACACTGTCTGGTCAGCATTCGAAGTCAATATGTTGCGTGGCTTACCTCTGAATAAATTCGGCGTATGTCCATGCTTTTCCATTATCTGGATCCAGCCCTGCCGTCTTCATTTCGAATCCTTTCACGGTCTCAAAGATAACGCAAGCCGCCAGCCCTCTCAATCCTCCAACAATGTCTTTCACCTTCTGATAACTCCCGTGAACTTTGCCATTGTATCTCACAGCATTGTCTACGAGCAGCACCTTTGGCCCAATCTGAACTAGTCGCTCCAAAACAGCTGTGACGCCAGTATCAGGACTGACTCCAGTCCAGATGGCTCCAATGGATGCAGCTGCCAGCATTGCCACAACGGTATTGGCATGGTTGCCGAGAAATCCGGCGATGCGATCGGACTCCTTCACTCCATGAAGCCTAAATGCAATAGCACAGAGTCGAACTCGTTCACGAAGTTCATTCCAACTGATGGTAGAGTTTCCAATCTCAGTGGCTTCGATGATAGCGGCAGAACTGGGGTCAATGCTGACGTTGGCGGGGTACAATAGATTTTCAGCAAAATTCAAAAGAGCCCCCGCAAAAAAGTCTGGTCTAGGAAATAACGGAGCATCTTTCGGTAAGACCTTCAAACAATTAGTTCAAACCCCGTCATAGCAAGACACGAATCTCAATGCATTCATGTGACATGAGCCCCCAGAATTCACTCACCTCAAGAGGCTTCTTTTCAGCAACAATGCCAGAGAAATCCCAAACTTCAGTCCAGAAATCTCCAATTTGATCAATTGACCACCCAAACAGTTCTTCATAGGTCTGCAAGTCCAGGTCATACTTCTGATTTACCCGGCGCATGAACTCCGCCATGCGGGTCGAGTCAGGGTCCGGATGTTTCCATAGGATTGGTTTCGATGACTTGGCCAACCCATTTATTGTAGGACGAATACTACTCATTGTGCTGACAGATGCTGTGTTCATTGAAGTGGTAATGAGGTTATGGGCGAATTGATGCTTCCTTGTCAGGAATTCGGATTTTAAGAAGGGGTCGAAATTTTGGAGTGTCAAACATACAGAAAAAGCACATCAAAATCCCAACAATTCTCAAGCTTGGTAGCTTAGTCAGAACCCAAACTCCTTGGGAACAGTTTTAACCATTCAGAGAAATGTTCTTTGGTCGGAGGTCCGTACGGCAGTACTGAAGATGATTGAGAAAGGCTCGAAATATTTCAATTGGTGAAAAGGGAACTGTATGGCGACTTGCCGCGGCCCAGAAACCCTGACCGCAGCCGGAATAACCTAAGATTACGCCGAAGGAGGTCATGTGATAGTATATCCTCCCACGGATGCCCTTATGACGATATATAATCCAGCGTTGTTTAAGCTTTTAAGTTTATTCATGCGACCCCTTGATATGTTCCCCATCTTCTCATAGTAACAACTTGGAAGGCACCTGCATGCCAAGAAGGGTTCCAGTCACATGATTTAACAAAGCGCTTCTTTTGCTCATCCGTTCTACCACAACCAATGCCGTGGAGATTTCAAGCACTCACACTCCCTCTTCGAACCACTTCAGCCACTCCATCTTGCTGCTCACCTAGCAATGCACTCTCCTCATCTGCTTCCTTCGCCTTCGATATCTGCCCAGCATTCGGTTGAGTCTTCTGCAAAGCCGACCAAAGTGTACTTGCAATCACAATGGCCCCGCCAATGAGACTCCAACCACCTGGAAGAACTCCCCAGATAGCCCAATCAAAGGATAACGCAAACAGGACCTGAGTGTACATCATGCTCGTCGCCTTACTGCTTCTGTCAAGTTGCAATCCAGCGGTCAACAAAAATTGAAGGCCAAATCCAAAGATACCGAGGAGAGAGAGTAGAACCCATTCTCTTGCTCCATGAGGCATTTTGAAACCAATTCCAGGAATGACGAGCAATGCCACCGTGGAACCGACAGTACCAAGCATTGCGAAATAGCTGACAGATACCAAGGCGTGAGCGCGGTTCCCGATGACTCTGATTGTTGTGTATGCGCCTGCCGCACCAAAGACACCAAGAACCGAAGTGAAAATGGCAAAGATACGTTGAGCGGGTGCCACTTTCTCGATGTCGGTGGTCTTGATATCATCGGTAGAGCCGAAGATGCTGCTTGGGTGTGCGATCATGACTACACCAACCAAGGCGATGAGGCCTGCGATGAGTTCTTTCCGTGTGAATGTCTGGCCAAGGAAAACGGAACATGCCCAAGCCGTGACTATTGGGACCAAGAATCTAAATACAGTTGCTTCAGCAAGCGGGAGGTAGTGCACTGAATCTAGGACTTGTGAGTTTCGAGGTGGATTTGATAATTCTTAGGGTCTTACAATATAAGCAGAACAACCCAGAGAAGCCGAAAACAGCTCGAAGGGCAAGCCAATGTCTGACGCTTGGATGCCCAAATGGATCTGGGACCTTTGTCCACCACATGTAGAGGCCACTCAGCAGAAGCGTCGTGATCATTCGTGCGAAAATCACCTTTGAATGTCAGCCAGATCCCTCACGGAGTGGACGTGGACGTGGACGTACCTGAAAAGGATGCATGCCATGACCGCCTTGTTGAAGAAATCTCACTATGGCATCAGAAGATGAACCAAACGCCTCTGAGATAAGGATGAGTGCCGCTCCTTTGTTGCTTTCCCATGCCGTTCTCCAAGCATTTTGAGCTGGAATTGAGTCGTAACGCTCATCGTCTCGGCCGACTTCTGCAGGAGACATCTTGATCTCTATAAGATGGTAATATATATTGGAGATGCAATACAGCGCAGAGTAAATAGTCAAAGCAGCGAAGTTGAAGTGAAAATTCTTTACCCCACCTTAGAAGACCCTGCTGACCACAACTCGGAGGAAACATCGGCGCGAAGCTGAGTCATTCTAAGTTTATTTCCATGCAGGGCACTGCATGAGCGTGAGTCTCAATTCAATTGTCGAGCAACATGAAGTCATGAGGTCTGATCTTGACTCCGAGTCTGAAGGCCGAAATGTGTAATGGTTGGATTGAGTTGCTGTGGCAGTAAATTAGCGACCGATCGGGTGTTGAATCTCTTGTCAGGGGGCCGTCGCAGCATGTAAATCACTAATCTCCGGTGGAAGTGCGGGGTGATTTCAGGCATTACGACAGCGGCCATATTCTGAACGAGTAACTTCAAGCGAAGACTTCCAGGGAAGACAACGACCTTTTTTTCTGAGAATACAAGCAATATAATTGTCAAATAATGAAATGTTTCACCGCCATGACTAGCTTTGGGCCTCAGTATTCCCTCCCTTCCACCGATGCCTTTCTCTGACAAAACGGGCTAAAGCATAGCGTTTGCCATCCCTGCGATCTTCAACGGTACTCCCAGAAGATCGCAATAAATATCCTGGAGTTCATCTAGGATGGCAGGCGATCCGCGAAGGTGTGAGCGATCTTTGCCAATGCCAATCACTTTGTCTAACATCAACAATCTCTGTTTGCACAGGGGTGAATGGAACATCCCATCACTTCCACATAGACTCACAGAAAATAATCCAATGGCTTGGAAGATAACTACCACGACGGGAATTACCAAAATCACGACGAACGAAGGAGCATAGAGGCAAGAGTTTGTTCACAATCATTAATTACTATCCTCTACCCCACTACATCATCATTTTAAACAACCTCCTTTGTAGCTTCAATCTCGACGTGGTGAACCTCAGCCGGCTTGTCGGTCATGCCCATCTCGGCAGCATAGGTGCTGTGTGGCACCCACTTAGCACTAGTCATAGGAGTTGTCTCCTCCAACATTCTGTCGACTTGCTCGAGAGTCAAACCCTTGGTTTCTGGAATCAAGAAGTAGGCGTAGATGAAGCAGAGCGTGCAAAGAGATCCCCAAAGGAAGAAAATCTTGGGTCCGAGATCAACACCGCCACCTGCAGTCGAGGTGATGTATGGAGTGATGATAGTGATAATCTAGATATGTTAGTAAGATCCAACGGAGAAGATACAATCAGACTTACGCAGTTCCACAACCAGTTGGAAGCAGTAGAGAGAGCAACACCACGGGATCTGATTGGCAGAGGGAAAACTTCACCAATCACAACCCAAGCACCTGGTCCCCAAGTTGTAGCGAAGAAGAAGATGTAGATGCAGATGAAAGCAATCATGGCAGAGACGGCTGGCTTGGAGGAGTCGGTGACACCAATGATGGCGACAATAAACTCGCAAACGAGCATACCAAGAGCACCCCAGATCATGATGGATCGGCGACCAAATCTTTCAATAATCCAGAAAGAGATGGGTGTAGAGCACACATTAACCAAGGTAGTGATCAAGCTGATCAAGAAAGGGTTGTTGATGGTGTGGAGTTGGGTGAAGAAAGTGGTTCCGAAGTAAAAGATGAAGTTGATTCCAGTCCACTGTTGCATCATTTGCAAGCTCGTTCCCAAGATGGTTCGGCGGAGGTTGCTGGCTGGATTCATGAGTCCTCCCTTGAAGCAGTTGGCCCAGCTGGAGAAGTAGCCTTCTTGAGGAATAACAGACATCTCATACTCGTGGTTTGCAATGATCTCAGTGAGCTCAGCTTGTACGAGCTCAGATCCGGCAGGCTGGTCACGAAGTCTCTCGAGAACTCGAGCAGCTTGTTCGAGCTTTCCCTTCTTGACAAAGTATCGGGGGGATTCGGGGAGCCAGAGCAATCCACCAGCTAAGATCAGAGCCCATGCGAGTTGCAGAGCCATGGGAATGCGGTAAGACCCACTGTCGGTTCTGTTCTCAGTAGCGTAATCAACGCATGAAGCGAGGAGGAGACCAATGGTGATAGCAAATTGGTAGCCTGTAGATAATTAGACATGATCGGGGATCTAGAAAGAACTGACATACCTGAGACGATGGCACCACGAACGCCCTTGGGAGCAATCTCTGACATGTACAGAATGATGATAGCTGAGACGAAACCCACACCAAAACCAGCAATCAGACGACCAGCAACCAACAGTCCAAGTCCGGTTGATGCAGTCTGGAGAATACATCCAATACCGTAGACAACGCAGCCCAGAATGACCGTGGTCCTTCGTCCGAACCAATCGGCAAGATCACCGGCAAGGATGGCTCCAAAGAATGTACCAGCAGACAGGATTGAGACGATCAGTGACTTGTGTGGGGTTGGAATGACAAAAGCATTCGTCTCAGCTGTTGTGGCATTGGGTCCAGGAATCGGGAGGCCGGTGAAGAGGTGAATAAAGTAATCCATAGCGAGGACACCACTGATGTATCCTGAATCAAAACCGAAGAAGATACCGCCAAAGGCAGCAAAGGCGCACATCATGTAAGACTTCCATGTCGTGGGTGCTTCCACACGGGCTGTATCAGCCGTGCCAACGAAACCGCCAGCCATTGTGATTTATGTGGGGTTGGATGAGGATGGAAAGAGAAAATGAGGAGGAAGACGAGATGAGCTTGACTGGAAGAGAGACAAACAAGGTGGGAGATGGGCCTGAATATAACTTCTTCCCTGGACCCATGGAAGGAGGGAGGACGAGGACAAAATCTTGGAATCGGCCCTTTCACGATATTTTGTTAGCGCTCAAACGCTACTAAACGGGCCTCCCACAACCCCTCGACTCCATGCACACTTGCAAGAATGGAGACGAGGAGGATGGCCTGACGGGGTATCCACGGGGAATTGGGAGCGAAGTGGGAGGGAAACGGGCCAGATGCAGGCAAATTCGAGCGCTGCTGTCGCGAGAGTGCAGTGTGCAGATCCGCCAGCTCGGTCGGATTTTTCCTAGTGCGGCCGAGATTTGAGCCATTGGGAATTGATTGAGCAAAGAAAATGGGGAAGGAGACATCCCACTGCTCAGGGCGGCTCAAGACTCGTCCATGCGATTTGTTTAGCGGGGGCTGGACTTCGAGAACTCGGGAGTAATGCGGGCCTGGAGACTGGATGGAGTCAAGATGGAGTCGCTGGAGTGTGTGGAAGGGGTGGAAACTGGAGGCTCGAGGCTCGAGGCAGGTCACAGCATGTCCGCCGCGTGCTGAATTGAATGTCTCGGGCGTCGTACCGTTGAGGAATAACGGCATGGGTCCTGTGTTCCTTGGTGCCTCGGGGTGCGCGCAGACCTGTGTGGTGTACTTAGCATTGCGTGTTGTGTCCCCGAACTCATTCATGATGCGACGACTAGCAACCGCTGACACAGATTTCGAGGCGGGTTCTGTTCTGGACTCGCAGACTCTGGAGATAGACCCCTTTCCACTGGCGGCGGTGGCGAGTCATGGAGCCAGATTCGCCGAATGAGGACGTACTGTACTGGAAATCTTGGTGAAGTGGGATTGTGGACTGTGGATTGTGGACTGTGGATTGTGGACTGTGGACTGTGGAGACTGGGAAGTTGGAACGCGGAGGTGAGGAGGAATTTGGAGAAGGTCGAGATGGCTGTGGGCACCGTGTGGGGATCTGGATCTGGATCTGGTAGGGCACCGTCGCTTCCAGGGACATCCTGTATGGGCTCGGCCACACTGCGGCTCTACCGGCCAAGCCTCGCTTCAGCAAGTCTTGCAAAGCCAAGCCAAGCAGAGCTTAATGTTGACCGGCTCTATCTAACGGTATTGTACTGTATTTTTTCACGACGTTTCAATTCTTTTTTGCTCCCGAGAATGGAAAAATTGCGGCTCTCATGGTTGGTTCGTGTTCGTGTCCAGCCTCGATCCCAGTTGAGTTTACATTTGTCATCAGCTGAAAAAGAGTCCATACCTGTACTCAACAGCTGATCCATTGAGTCTTCCAGCCACCCACCAAGCCACACTTCGCTTTCTGGCGGCTATCAGCGCCACTCGGTACTCGCCTTCGGTCCCTTGCAGATGTCGACGCCGCTGACGACCCGGATCCTCGGCTTCCTGAATCTCGAGTCACATGGCAGCTGACATTCGAGGAACATATTGCACGGTATCGAGATCAACAGCTGATCATCAAGGAAGACGGGAGTGCCCAAGGGCAAAAGTTTGCCCTATTCAAGATCATTGCTATGTCGCAGGTGGCATTTCTGCCGGACTCATCCAACACTTAACGAGCCGTGTCTGATGATTTTCGCTGCATAGCCTCGTTTCAGAGAAAGATAGCTACATCATAAGTAAACTGTCTGTTCCTTCATCCAAATTCTTCTTTCCCATTTTGACACCTGCGCGGCATGCATGTATCCCGCGTTGTGGTTTGCTCTCTACCTACCTGTAAGATCTCGTTGGTGCTTGTTCAAGGAACTTAGTCGAATGTCTCTCCCTCGAAACCCTGAAATCCGAACCCTTCACGTACATTCGATAATCTCATAATCCTCTACATCATTTAGTGAGAAGCCAGTTCGAAGCCTCAAACGTGAAAAGCTATTACGTCTAGGCTAACTTTACATCAACTGATTCAATGCATCTGTTGAAGGCAAGCAAAGAATACAGAGTGAGTGTGCAAGCGTCGATGAGCTTGTGGTTCTCAGAAACTCAAGCTTTGGCAAGCAAGAAACTTTCCCAACCTACTAGCCATCGAAATAGAAAATCTTCGTCGTAATAAATTCTACTACTACTCGATTTCTAGTATTTTAATATCGACTCAAGCTTTTCAAAAACTATAAAATTCGAGCTAATAAAAGTCCCGTTTCTAAGGACCCAACTCACTCGAACAAACAAAATAAATGTTTATCACTTTCTAACTCCCCAGTATAGTCTCACTCGAAAACCGACTTTAATTCTTGCTATTATATCATTTTAATTCCAACTAACAAGGAAACCGTGCTAAAAAAAGGCTGCTAGAACACGAACCCATCAACATCCCATTAAATCCACTTTATCGAGTAGATTATTAGGTCTTTCGCTTCAGTAAATTGATTGCTGTTGGGATGGTTCCCAAGTCGCGGTGCAGCCCTTGAAACACATCACATCGAGAGAGCAGTCGTTGCGTAAGAAGCATGCATTGACATCGTCTTAGCCGCGGACAGTAACAAGCAAAGATGCACGTAACATTTGGCGGACGTATCGTCAGGTAGGGAAAGAACAGCTATTACTATAGATGAATTGTATATAGAGACTAAAAAGTCTAAGCCAGGATCGGGTCTTCCCCCAATGAGTGTAGTGTAGGCCTGAGCCGCGTCCAGAGAACCTGCAAGAGACAGAATCATCGCACTGATACCACCAGGCGTTCTAGGTATGTTGGAAAGAGACATCAGATATACGACTAATATAGCCAACTTTGGCATTGAACAAAAAACAATGACTGCACCCAAAATAGAGCCAGCCACAAGTACAACATTTGTTCTAGTCCATATGTGAACACCTGCCGTTTATAAACTAACCCCCCCCTGCCGTTCATAAATAGCAGAGAGTTTATATATAGCGCCCTTAGTTTGTGAATAGACTAGCCATACATAAACACTCGGCTTTAGTACAAGAATTCATAAATAGTGAGGTGCCAGTCGAGAACAACACTCCAAACACTACAACACACTCCAAGCACTTCAAGCACTTCAGGCACTTCAAGCACTTCAGCACATTAGCACTTCAACACATTAGCACTTCAACACCTCAGCACCTCCAGCACCTTAGCACCTCAGTCCTTCATCACCTCTATCACACTACCTAAAATCTTATGCTCTAGCTTTAAAGTGTATTAAAGCAATAGGTATTAGTACTATGCCCTATTACTGTGCTAGAAGTGCTAGAGGTGCTAGGGGTGCTAGGGGTGCTAGGGGTGCTAGAGGTGCTAGGGCTAAAGTCAGAGCCTTATTCCCGGCCTGTTTATCAGTGGCACTGTTCCCGAATAGCGAGCCCTACCATTCATGAATAGCAAGTGTAGTTTATAAACTAAGGGTGCCATACATAAACACCCCGCCATTCATGAGTGGCGGGAGTAAAGTTTATAAACAAGTGTTCACCTATAGACTAGAACACATTGATGGCAAACACAACGACTTCCCTCACGCCATGATCTGTCAGAGCCTGGAAGAGCAACTGTCAATGGCAAGGCAAGAACAATCCTGACTTGGATTCTCTCTCTGGCGCATTCGGACACCACATCATCAGACGTAATTATCTTTCAAGAGCCTCTTGACACTTTCATGGCATTTCTCTCGGCTGTCTGGTTGTCCTCGAATCAATCAAAGTCAGCTTCTGAAGAGCCGTGTCAACTTGACTGCACTTGCAACCAGATATTGGCTCGAAGAGGATTCCAACATAACGCCCTGTAAGTACTTGTGTAGATGTCCACCCTCCGGCAGCTACTGGCCCCACGGTGTTGCAACTCCAATCAGGTGCACAGTTGGCTCGAGATGCCTATCTGACCCTCAACAAGTTATTACCTTCCTCCCCATGAGTATCATGCTTCTCATCCTCATCACGGCCACAGTTATAGAGAAATTTTGAAGCAGATACTCGGTCTCCCACGTTGGTAATGGAAACTCCACCGTACCATCCGATTCTTGTCTGTCAGAGTTCGGTGCTCATGAAGTCGCAAATCCTGTACGGTAGATGTCGCGGAGCCTTAGAGCCGGCAGGTCCCTTTCTGCCATTTCTTTCCCAGCTTCCAATCATGCAGGAAGTATCTTGCAGATCAAGGGAGATATGGCCAGAAATGGCACCAATTCGTGGGACTGGCTCCAAAAGCCAGTTCCATGCTCGGCGTCTTTGTATGCTCTCTCACCAGCACTTTTATACGAACTCCACTCTTGTGTGACGAAAATTGGTATGAATTGTCCCTCCCGTCCACCACGTTCAACAGGAGTCACAGGGCTGAGGTTGCGGTGCGTTCGTAGGGGAGATAGATACGCGCTTTTGTCGGAGACTGATGGCGAAAGTTCGAGGAGGGCGTCCGGGTGGTGTAGAAAGCGTCGCTGTCTGGAACTCCCCTTTCCCTCCATCGCAGACAAACTCCTAGTGTCCTGCTACCAGGTATTGGCTGCTTCCACACATCGACTTCCAGCTGCGCAGTCATTCTCGTCCGAAGCATTCCCGTAGTGCATCTCGCTCGAAGCCCAGGCAGGCAGACGTTTGGAGTCTGGAATCATGGCCGCGGATTCCTTCAAGTTGCCATGACGTCCTTCCCAACATGTACACTGCTCTGAGGGAATAGTCGTGACTGTGCTGTATTCGCAAGTAAGCTTGATTGATGGCGTCAAGATTCGATCGCAGTCCAGTTGCCTCCAATATTGTGTTGGGTGCCATGTTGTTCAATTGGCGCGAGCACACCTTGATCAGTCCAATGCAGTCAACGAGATCTCCATCTGTATTCGGATAGCAGCGGCAGCGCGGCCGTAGTCGGAATTGATTGCAGATTGGTAGGTTGAGTCGATTTGGTACCTACGAAAGTTGAGCTTCAATTTCAGAAGCTCTGACCACCGCCGAGCCTCGGCATCCAGGCCACTCTGGCACCGATCTGCTGAGATTCCTCGCAGAATGCGAAGTACCTACCAGCATAGCATCAACCATTTACCAATGCTCTATCAGCAGCATCGTCAGACATCTTTCTCTCAAAAGAAACACTTTGGTTCAGTTGAGTACAGGAAGCTTACTATCGATCTAGGACCTGCCACAGTGTTTTCCCCCTTCGTTCCGGCCACCTTGTCCAGCTGTTCGATTTCACGCTCTCCTCTCTCCTCTATTCTCTATCCACGACTTGAAAGATAGCACAGCAGTTCTCCCAATCATGTAAGAGAAGGAATCGACTTTTAAGTCAGTGTACAGAATCCCGAAGTTTCGGGAAATCTTGCTCTTAGCCAGTATGTGCTTGCGCTCTCCATATCACTACTCACATTGGTATCTTTTAATTCGTCTCAACCCGATCTCTGGCACATCACCAGCCGTGGGTATAACTTCTACAGTATATCGAACACCAAAAGGCGTGGCATAGGTCAGCGTGCTTCCGGCTAGAAGAGATGCTCCAGATCCAGAACGGTCTGGATCCCAAAGCTTGACGCTCATGGTCCGGCGGAACTCGAATCTTTATGCTGGAATCAAGGCCAAGCATAAAGTGCATAACTCGGTTGACTGTACTTAGCCTTTGGCGGATGCCCTGTGAATCCGACTCCGAGACGCTTGGTTGTTGGGGAATTTCGAGAGATTTTATGCAGCCAAACGTCATGGCTTGCGGGAGTGGCACACCTTCAGCCCAACAACCCTTGAGGATAAGGAAGATCCTCGCAGGAACCACCCGGAAGCCCGGCCGGGAGTTCTGAAGAGTACCGACGTTCTGGTTATGCTCCCAGTTCGAACTTTTGGAATCTGAAGTTTTCATCCTTGGATTCAGATTTGGTCCGCCGGCGTCGGACGAAGTCCCTTTTTTTCTCTCTACTGTACAGTAAGTGAATCACTCCTCAACAGTTTGCCTCATCAGCTTCTGCTTATGCAACCAACACTGGTTCCGCGGTGCCGCAGTACGTCGACACGCCAAAGACCCTTGCACACCATAGGAAAGCTTGGAATCAATCTGACCAACGTTATGATGTCGGACTGGAACTTTGCTCAACCTCCATGCTCGCCCACGCCGCCTCACCACTTTCGTTTGCCCTAGTACGAAATACGAATGGGCGGCCACTGCAGACGCATCTCGCTGATTCATACAGCATCAGCCAAGGACAAGCCAGTGACAGTCTTCGGCTCGCAATCTCCATGCCTAGTCGTAGTAGCAAGTGCTAGTCGGCGATATCAAAGGGTGCGAGCCGACTGTTTTTGTGCTATGTCAGGCGCGGCTGATGAGGTCAACGGCTCGCGGTTGGCGTGAACTCAAATACTTAGGTTCGTACGAGTACACGAAGACGCTGTTTAAAAACAACAACATCCTTCCACTTCTCTTGTTGGTCCATGTTTCAATTCTTTGTCTCAAATAGTCCTCTGCTCTGCTGCATCTCTTAAAATCAAGGGGGAAACACCTAGGTGTTGATTCCTGAATAATTTCCTCCAATTCCTCGGGCCCCATTCTCCAATCTGAGTTTCGTCACTATGGCGTCAGCCGATTCGACACAGCATTTTGCTCCGATCAGGACACAGAATATACTCAATAATCAGGAACAGGATCTCGGTGAATACTCATACAAGGAAGAAGAAATTGAACGCCCATTGCCCATGCCTTCCTCCAGTTCGACAGATGTTGAAGATGGCCAATTATCCAGGGTACAAACAAGCAAATCTGCTCGAGAACGAAGGGAATTCGAACCAATCAATTCAGGAGATCGGCAAGAATTGTACAGGCTTGCATCGTCGTTTGGAGGCTCCGTTGCACTTGCGAGAACACACACCAGTGTGTCTTCGGCTCTGGAAAGGCAGGATACTCTGGCCGGCGTAAACATTGGAGATCCGGTGCTTGACCCCAAATCTCCGGAGTTTGATATTTACAAATGGTTGAGGATGTAAGTCATACGAGAGAATGGTAAACAATCTCGCTGGTGCTGATAAACCTTAGGATGATGAGGATGATGGACGAGAAGGACGTCATTCAGAGAAGAGCTGGTATCGTATGGAAGAATCTAAAAGTTTGCGGTTCTGGTTCCGCAATCAACCTCCAAAAGAATGTTGGCTCTTTAATGCTTGCGCCTTTACGCGCAAAGGAATACTTCGGCAAAGGTCCAGAGAAGACTATTTTGAACGAATTCGATGGCGTACTCAAGAGTGGAGAAATGCTGGTAGTTCTCGGGCGGCCTGGAAGTGGATGCTCAACATTACTCAAAACTTTAACGGGGGAACTTCACGGACTTGACATGAAATCACAATCAGAGATCCACTACAATGGTACGCCTCGAGTCCTCGCTCCATCTGCCAAATCTTACTTGCATGTTAACAACTTCCAGGCATCACACAAAAGCAGATGCTCAAGCAGTTCAAGGGTGAGGTTGTCTATAATCAAGAAGTCGACAAGCACTTCCCACACCTTACTGTAGGAGAGACTTTGGAGTTTGCTGCAAAGGTCCGAACTCCCCAGCAACGGCTTGTAGAAGGGATCAGTCGTGAGTCTTGGGCGAAGCACATGTCTCAGGTAGTCATGACTATCTTTGGCCTTTCGCACACATACAACACTAAGGTCGGAAATGGTACGCAGCTCACCTAATGGTCCTTCTCTTCACGACTAACATGAATAATAGACTTTGTCCGTGGTGTATCCGGAGGAGAGCGAAAACGTGTCAGTATCGCCGAGATGGCCTTGGCCGGATCTCCCATTGCTGCTTGGGACAATTCAACCCGAGGTAAGCTTGTCCCCACGTCGACCTTCTCGGTTTTTCACCTGGGCCCAAAAAGATAGAAGCTGGCTTGAGAGCTGGATCAAGGGCAGATCAGATTCCAGCTCTGAAACTGATCTCCGCTTCATTAGCATCTTCCTCGCAACGATAATCTTTTCGGATTGCTAACACGGTGGTTCAGGTCTCGATGCCGCCACAGCTCTAGAGTTTACCAAGTCCCTTCGCCTATCTTCCAATCTCGGAGGTACCGTTCATCTGGTTGCCATCTACCAGGCTTCTCAGGCCATCTACGACGAGTTCGACAAGGCGGTAGTCTTGTATGAGGGTAGGCAAATCTACTTTGGACCTTGTGAAGACGCAAAACAATACTTTGTGGATATGGGCTGGGAGTGCCCCACTCGGCAGACAACTGGAGACTTTCTCACTTCAGTAACCAATCCATCAGAGCGCCGTGTCCGCAAAGGATATGAGAAAAGAGTCCCCAGGACTGCAGCCGAATTCGAGACGTATTGGAGAGAGTCGATTCAATACAAAGCATTGAAGCAAGAAATCAAGGAGCACGAGGAGGAATTTCCGATGGGCGGCAAGACTCTCGAGCAATTTACGGCGAGCAGAAAAGGAATGCAGGCAAACCACGTCCGCCCAGAATCGCCGTACACTGTCAGCATCCCTATGCAAATCAAATACTGCACTCAACGAGCATATCAACGCCTATGGAACGATCGAACCAGCACTGTCACTACAATCGTTGGTCAAATTGGTATGGCTTTGATTATTGGATCCATCTTCTACGGTACTCGGCACGACACAGCCAGTTTCTTCCAAAAAGGCGGTGTCCTGTTCTTCGCCGTCCTCTTGAACGCTCTCATCTCTATTGGCGAAATCAATACCCTGTACAACCAACGTCCAATTGTCGAGAAACAAGCGTCCTATGCATTCTACCATCCATTTGCCGAAGCTGCTGCGAGTATTGTGGCCGACATACCTGTCAAATTCATGATAGCGACCTGTTTCAACATCATCCTTTACTTCTTGGCTGGACTACGAAGAGAACCATCACAATTCTTCATCTTCTTCCTCTTCAACTTCGTCGCTATCTTGACAATGTCTCAGATCTATCGGGGTATTGCAGCATCGACCAAGACTGTCTCTCAAGCTCTCGCCATTGCTGGTGTGGTAACTCTGGCCATCGTCATTTACACAGGATTTGTGATTCCCAGACCGGACATGCACCCTTGGTTCAAGTGGATTTCTTGGATTAACCCTGTTGCTTACGCGTTTGAGGGGCTGTTCGTTAATGAGCTCCACGGACAACGATTTGACTGTTCGCAACTTGTCCCGTCTGGAGGTAATTATGCGCTGACTGGGAACCAATTCATCTGCGCCGTCGCTGGTGCTGTTGCTGGTCAAACAACTGTCTCTGGCGATGACTATCTGGAAAGCCAATTTCAATACTCATATGCTCACATCTGGCGCAATCTCGGATTCATGTTCGCATTCATGATCTTTTTCCTCTTCGTCTATCTCGGCGCTACTGAATTCAATTCAGCAACATCCAGCTCGGCTGAGGTACTTGTTTTTCGCCGTGGCCATGTCCCAAAGCAATTGGTGGTCGCCGAGAAGGCTGCCAAGAACGACGAAGAGTCTCCAATCGCATCTGGCACTAATGCAGGTAAGGATGATGCAGAGCAAGAGAAGGAGCAAGACGAGCAAGTTCAGGCTTTGGCTCCACAGACCGATGTTTTCACATGGAAGGATGTTTGTTACGATATCAAGATCAAAGGCGAGCCTAGACGACTTCTCGACAATGTTTCAGGCTGGGTCAAACCTGGTACTTTGACAGCTCTCATGGGTGTTTCTGGTGCGGGTAAAACAACTCTTCTCGATGTCCTCGCTCAACGTGTCTCGATGGGCATTGTCACAGGAGATATGCTGGTGTCCGGCAAGCCACTCGATGAGTCTTTCCAGCGCAAGACTGGCTACGTTCAACAGCAAGATTTACATCTCGAGACGACCACCGTCCGTGAAGCGCTTCGATTCTCAGCCATGCTTCGTCAACCCAAGAGCGTGTCCAAAGAAGAGAAATTTGAGTTTGTGGAAGATGTTATCAAAATGCTCAATATGCAAGACTTTGCGGAAGCCGTTGTTGTAAGTTCGCTTTTCATCGGTCACTATTCTTTTCGCAGGCATTCTCCAACATGCTACAACTCCCACGATATCTCTTGCTTGAAAGATCGAAATCAAGACACTGACTGTTTACATTAGGGTGTGCCTGGCGAAGGTCTGAATGTCGAGCAACGAAAACTGCTCACTATTGGTGTGGAACTCGCCGCAAAGCCGGCCCTCTTACTCTTCCTGGATGAACCCACTTCTGGTCTGGATTCTCAATCATCTTGGGCTATCGTTGCTTTCTTGCGAAAACTTGCCGACAATGGACAGGCTGTCTTGGCGACCATCCATCAACCAAGTGCTATCCTCTTTCAAGAATTCGACCGATTACTTTTCTTGGCCAAAGGTGGCAAAACAGTATACTTTGGTGACATTGGACATAATTCAGAGACACTTTTGAACTACTTCGAGTCTAATGGCGCGGACAAGTGCGGAGAGAATGACAATCCAGCAGAATACAGTAGGTTCTCACCCTTCGTTACCTGTGTTCTCCTAACTAATCATCTATAGTGTTGACTATGGTTGGAGCTGGTGCTACTGGGAAGTCTACAAAGGACTGGCACGATGTCTGGAAAAACAGCAACGAGGCCAAAGAGGTTCAGAACGAACTGGGTAGAATCAAGCAAGAGATGGGCAACAAGTCATCCGGAGATGACGCAACAAGTCACAGTGAATTTGCCATGCCATTATCGAACCAACTCTACGAGGTTACTCTCCGAGTCTTTCAACAGTACTGGCGAACTCCTGGTTATGTCTATTCCAAGATCGTCCTCGGCGTCGCGTCCGCACTTTTCATCGGATTCTCATTCTTCCATATTGATTCTTCCTCACAAGGACTCCAAGATGCCATATTCTCTATCTTCATGATTACGACGATCTTCACGACTCTTGTGCAGCAGATTATGCCCCGCTTTATTCTTCAACGAGACTTGTACGAAGTTCGTGAGCGACCATCTAAGGCTTACAGCTGGAAGGCTTTCCTCATGGCGAACATCATTGTCGAGATTCCATATCAAATTTTGCTTGGCATCATGGTTTTCGCCTCATATTATTACCCAATCTATACCAGTGGCGGAATTCCTTCTTCCGAAAGACAAGGGCTCATCCTTCTCCTGATCATTCAGTTCTTCGTCTTCACTAGCACCTTCGCTCACATGTTGATTGCTGCACTACCGGACGCCGAGACAGCTGGCAACATCGGAACGCTCATGTTCTCCTTGATCTTGACCTTCAACGGTGTCTTTCAAACCCCACAGGCGTTGCCAGGGTTCTGGATTTTCATGTATCGGGTATCACCTTTGACTTGTAAGTCTAAATTGTGCCATATCAACTCAATTACTAACGAATCGTAGATCTCGTCTCTGCAATTGCCTCAACTGGTCTGTCTGGTCGCGAAATCACCTGTGCCTCGAACGAGCTAGCAATCATGCAACCACCAGCTGGTGATACTTGCGGTGACTACCTCCAAGCATATGCATCTCTGGCAGGCGGCCGAATATACAACCCTGATGCGCTCAGCAATTGTCAATATTGTCCAGAGAGCAACGCTGACCAATTCCTGACCTCTGTTGATATCAGCTATAGCACCAGGTGGAGAAATTACGGCATCGGATTCGCGTACATTTTCTTCAACATCTTCATGGCCGTAATGCTATATTATCTGTTCCGCGTCAGAAATGGGTCTGGGAAAGGCTTGGCTCAGAGATTTTCGTGGGTGCTAGCATTCTTCAAGAAGGATCCGAAGAAGGAGAATAAGGGGCCTGAGAAGGCGAAGACTCCTCAGGATCAGGGTGAGAAGATTCTCCCCTAGATGATCCGCACTCGAATCCATTTGAATTTCCAACAGCGAGGCGTTGGTATTGGGTACAACTTGTATTTTGTCCTTGGTTGGAGAAGTTGGACGGATGTCCAAAGTAATTTAAAAGATGATCTACTTTCAAAGACCTAGAAGTCCAGTGTTATGTATTTGTGCTAAATTTCTTTCACTTGTTGGGTAAGAGTCAGTGGCCATTGGCTCTTGACTACAAGATATTTGCATAGGCAGTCAAGTGATTTTTGTCGAACTTTGACTCTTTCATGTCGTTTCATCCCTCTTGGAATTAGAAATTAGCGGGGATGCAGGGGTACGAACTGATTTATGCTTTTATTGAGTGAGCTCTTGGACTGTTGGACATATGCTGGGCGAATCCATCAACAAGATGTCGATGAGGTCCTAGAAGAATATCTTCACAGCTGTGTACTTGCGCATGAGCCACACTTACCTCAGCGATTCTGCTCCGATCTGCCTGTGGCTTTACATGAAATTCTATTTCTGTTTTAGGGTTCTCAAGGCTTCGAAAATGTTGATTGGACAATTCTTAAGCGACGTACCGCTTTCCAATCACAAGCCTCGTAGCTCAAAGACTAGTATTGTGTGCACTGCCGCGGGGCTGCGGCACAGTGATGTTGATCTCCCAGGATCTTATTCTTATTCTTATTATTCTCCTTAAATCCTGTGTACTCTTTTCCTTGCAAGATCCGTGCATATAATTCCAATAAACAGCCCAACTCTGCCGAAAGTAAATCTCGGGTTCTCTCATCTGCATTTTAATGGAGTCTTTTTTAGCAATATGGAATTCTTGGACCTTTCGAAACGAAGAACGCGAAACTCCTCCATTCCTTTGGCCCAATATCCCGAGAACACGGAAAGCGAGTCGTCGAGAGAAGTGGACGCTTTCTTAGGACAGCGAGTCGCACAGATAGCTTCAGATGCGAGAGAGACAAAGCCAGGCCGCGGTGACAAAGTGCTTGACGAACATGGCCAACCAGCAGCCCCATTATTCCGGTCTTGGTTTGTGTTGATTTTGGTTCTTTCCTATGCGATCCCGGCGGTTCTGGCATGGGTGATCACCTGCATTCTCTCTTTTCGGCCTATCTCGGGACCTAAGCAATACGGAGTAATATACGACCCGGATTCTAGTTATTATGGAGGCTACGCCGAGGTGGGGAACTCATATGTCCGAAGCGAGGAGTGGTTTCGAGCAGCCCGAGTCATCCAGTCCATCGTCAGTGTCTTGACGATTCCACTCACTTCGGCGGTCTGCTCTAGCGCCGCTGTCATCTTTGTACAGCATCATCGAAGCACACCTCGACTTACTATTCGACAACTGATCACCTTAGCGGATCGTGGTTGGGTTGGTCCTGGTACATTTGGAAGACTGGCAATAAGCTGGAGACGTTATGGAAGTTCATTCCTGCTTCTGGCTATCTTTCTCACCATCCTGGGTGGAATACTTTCGCCACTGCAACAATTGTTTCTCTCGTCCAAGACTATCAAGACCCCAACGTTTTTTCAATCTGTCAACAGTCTTTTCGACATCGCGGACCCATTCCTCAGTTACTATCAAGATCGCGAAGACCTTGTGACAACAGTCACCCGCAATGCCCTCATGTCCGCAACCAATGGTGAGCCCCAGTCACAACTGTGGCAAGGAAGTGGGACATCCTGCAATATGACTGAGATTGCAGCCTTGGTCAGAGCCGATTCCTTCACCTTACCTGCTAACTGTGGGAATGGAAATACTCTGGGAAACATATCGTCTCTGGCTGATCCTTTCCTGGCCCAGCTGCCGAATGGATACAGTACGGGACTCATTCGTCAATACATTCCGCGGTTCAATTCGACTGCTAGATACGAAAACATATCCGCTACAGAGTATCCGTCTGGGTGCAGTCAAATTCCAGGAGCGTTTTATGTGCAATATACCTATGTAACTCAACCAAACACTACCGACGTTGCAGGTTGGAACGTTGAGGCTTGCATGCCTACAGATATGAGCAAGTCGCCATGTAAGTTTCAACTTCGCGGAGGATAACTTCATATTCCTTGCCGCCTCCGGAGTCATACTCCAGAGTTAGTGCTTAAAACCCACTCTAAGGACATATATTTACTCTCGAAATATTTGAAGGAAGTTCACTAACTCCAAAATTCTGATTACAGGGATGGAGACCAGGGATAGACAAGACTTTACCGAGACCCTCTACTTGAATATAAGTATCTACGGTGGACTTACCCAATCAGGAACTCCGGTTGGTGGTTCAATGTTCCGGATCACTCTCGATACAACCGGAGGATACTTTGAGCTTCCGAATTATATGAACGGCCAAGTACCAGGATCACTATTGACGACTATCCCAAACAACATGTGCGGAGCAGGGACTGATTGTCTGACCGAAGGCTCTACCACGGCGCCTAATGGTACGATCTATGAAATCTTGTGAGCTGCTCCATTTCCTTTCTGTAGCTAGTCAAAATCTGACATGGTTCAGTGGCCCTTATGATCCCAATGATCCAACAACCGGGAATACGAAACGAGACTCGTCAACCATATACAATACCAAGGAGTCCAATAGCTCAGCTTCGGCAGAAATGGTGGTCAACAAAGGCCCGCTCCTGACGACAGCGTTGGCCCTGTTTGGCTCAGGATCTTTTCTCGCTGATCGAATTGCTCACCCCGAAGCGTACATAGGGATCAATTATACCCGTGCTTCAGACACAGGAATCTATGACCCTGCGAATGTCGGAGCTTGCATTGACCTGTTTCCCATGGGTTTACTATTCGCAGAACTGGACACCAGCAATGGAGGGGCTTCAAGCTGCATTTCCAATACCGACTATGGATCGAATGGGGACGACAGACTCGGCACTGTCATGGCCAGCTGGATTAACAACTTTCTAGGGGATACTGGACGATTGAGTAGCATTTTTACTGCTGCGGGATTTCTAGCAAACCAGGCCTGGATGAGTAGCAACGGAATATCGTCGGGTTCTTTGATAATCCACTTTGATTTCGGCGCTGATACCCAAGTGCCAACGATATCCCACGCTGGGATCATCATCATCTCAACTTTACTAGCCTTGTATCTTGTATCCCTATTCATCATAGCACTTTACACTTCACTGTCGCCCAGGTGGACAAATCAGCTGGACGCTTTCGCAATGATGCAGATCGGAGCTGCAATGTCAGATAAAATCTCGTTGATGGTTATGACAAGGCAGAGTCACACAAATATATTAGATGAGGCGCCTGGTTGGATCGGCGATGTGGCAGATGAGCATGAAAAAGTTGGACGGCTTGGGCTGGGAGCTCGAAGAAGATTGGACCCTAAAAGACTATATGGATGTGATACGTGGGTGGATTGAAGGAATGTTGTCGCATCTTCTCAGACAGTCCAAGTTCTCCATCAGATACTCCCTGCTGGGGTCATTGAAGCGGATAATACAGACCTCATTTACTGCCTGTCAATATATAATCCGGGCTTTGAGATGACTGCCCAAGCAAAAGTTCCAACTTGCTCTATTCTAGAGCCTCTTTATGTTACATCCGACAAGACTCGTGAGTTAAGCCGTCTTGTTACCTGCCGGATTGGAAGGAGAAAGCCATGCGGTACTGCATTGGGGTTCTTGCTGTGCCAGGTGTTGGAGCGGAAAAGCGCAAGAAAATACCACGTGCTTTCTTCTGAGGACTTCTAAAAGATCCCAAAATCGGATTCAAGACAGATTTACGATTCGAATAATGTTCTACTAGCCGCTTAGCATCTTTCCACCCCATGCCTTCACCAACCTAACAATAAAATAGTCGTTGTTCCTCATGTGATCGATTGTCTTTCATTGGTCAATTGGACGAAAAGTACATACAGAATCTCTGACTCACTTGATCTCTCTCTTTTCCAGATCCACAGTTCCTTGATCGATGTATAAAGTGGTCATAAAGTGCACTTGACAAAGTTCAAAGCATTGAATGTACGAGTCGCAGTGAGAACCCAGAATCAGGTCAAAAATCGAGTCGCGACCCCGCATTCCACAACCAAATGTCTACCCCACCTTCCCACGCCCGCCCCTCCCACACAATCCTCACACCCCGCCTCATCCTCCGCTCCGCCTCCCCCAACGATGCCCGCCCATTCTCTCTAATTCGCTCTAACCCACTCAACAATCCCTTTGGCGGCGTTGTGAACGCTACACTCCCCGAATCCGAGCAACGACGTCGGCTCGCAGCTCAAGCGGAAACCACTGCTGCAGGGAAGAATGCATGGATGAACATCATCTTGAGACCGTCAGAGGAGCGTCCGCCAGAGGCAGAAGTGTTGAGAGTTGAAGATGGTATTCTGACTGGAATGAGTGGATTCAACTCGTTTCTACTGGATGAAGACGGGGATTTGGTAGGAGATACTGGGGCGCTGATTGATTATCGATTTGCGAGGAAAGGACTGGCTGTTGAGGCGCTGGAGGCTATCTTTGAGTATGGGTTCAATGAGTTAGGCTGTGGGAAGATGTCTTTGGAGACGAACGCGACGAATGAGCCGTTCCGAGCTCTTATGGGCGGAATGACGTTAGGTGACATTGAGAGACCGGGGACAGGTGGAGAAGATGGAGAAGATAGTGTTTTGTATATCTTCGGGCGAGAAAAGTGGGAAGAGACGAGAAAGAACTTGAAAGAAAAGGGCAAGTGGTATCTTTAATGGAAGCAACACGCAGTTGCGTGGGTATCATTCTATCTAGATCTATCCGAGTACTATTCTGAAGACAGCTCTTCCTCTGCTTGATTCGCATTTACTGCAAGGCAAATTCAAACTGGCCATCACGACACTTCTGGTGTCACCAACCGGCAGGATAACGCTCAGGTCTTTCCAAATAGGAACGAACTTGTTTTCGGTATCTTTACTGAGATCAACAAGGACTTGTTCCGCATTGGAGCTGTACCTAAGCGTGAAGTGGGAGATCTGCGGCTTCGCAGATATTCCATCATCTTCGTACCAAGTATACGAGTACGTTTTGGCAGACGTCCCCTTGGGCGGGAAGATCTCGACAGCACGATAATCATCCTCAACAGCGTTGGGCGAAGGAAATCTGTGATCACCAGGCGACCGAGTTTGGATGTCTTTGCCAACCACCACAGCACCTCCTATTCGTGCAAGGATAGGAATGCCAGCCTTCCACTCTGACTGTATGTCAACCCACTGACCAGACTTCAGATGCTGATGAGGTCCATTGAGGTTAAGGTAGCCCTCATCATCGGCACCTTTGGTTGGCAGGTACATTTTGCCTGTAGATTTCCCTTCCTCGTACACTCCTCCAACGAGCAATGTGTCTCCGAGCCAATATTGTTCTTCGCCAGCCATGACTTGAGATGTCCAGACTTCTGGGTCAGAATGGTAGCCCCAGCCAGTCCATCTTTGAGGTGGACTTGCCATCATGTGGCTCTCAAGCATCAGCGAGTAGAGGTAAGGAATGAGCTCGTAACGACGTTTGATGGTATCTCGAATGAGTGGGGTGATCTCCGGGTACATCCACGGCTCGATGACACCTCCGATAGTATTGTCATTCTCGTCAGTCTTGAAGCAGTTGATGGCGAAGCGAGGTGAGTGGACTCCAAGCTGAACCCAACGCAGAAGTAGTTCCGGGCTTGGCTGGGGTCCTTCGAACCCGCCAATGTCATGGCCATAACACTGAAGGATTAGAAAGATACCTTTGAACTGAAATGGAAACCTACCTGAAGCAAACTGACTCCTGCATTGAGGGACAGCGAGTTTGCACCTTTCATGTTGTCCCAGCTAGTGACGTTGTCACCTCCCCACGAGCTTGCAGCATATCGCATCGTGCCCGCAGTAGCAGAACGAGTCAAGACGAAAGGTCTGATCTCGGGTTCGAGGTCAACCAATGCATCATATGAAGACTTACCCATCAACTCGGTGTGAAGACTTCTGCCCCATAATCCAATATGATTCTCGGTCACCGAACTAGACTCATCGTACTCCAAGGCGCATTGCCAAGCATCGTTCGGGATTGTGTACTCGTTGTTGTCGTTCCAGATACCTTCAATGCCACATTCTCTGAGAGCCTTCACACCATTGTACCACCATTCAAAGCCAGACTTCGAAGTGAAGTCAATGTGACCACCTTCACCACTCTCACCGCCACCAGCACTCCATAATCGAGCGATTCCAGACTTCTGAGTCCTTGGGTCTGTAAAGAAAGCACCAGACTTTACCAGCTTCTGGTACTCAGGATGATTGGCAAGCACGTACGGTTTAACGTTAGCAATGATGCGAATGCCTTCCTCGTGGTACTTGGCTACGAATCCTTCTGGATCGGGGAATCGGTGGTGGTTCCACGTGAAGACGTTCCTGGTTTTCGGCTCTGTCTCGGCCACTGTGTAACCTGACGACATCTGGAAAGCCGAACAAGGAATGTCATATTTCTTGAGCTTTCCTGCAAAGTCCATCAAAGCATCACAGGCTCGAGGTTCATCAAGCATCGAGTACTTCATGCCGCCCGCAATGTAGCCAAAAGCCCACCGAGGTACCAAGAGAGGATAGCCAACCAGATCAGCATAGATCCTGACCACATCCTCGATTGTCTTTCCAACCATCAAGTATTCTTCTAGTCCACCATAGTCCTGCCGGTACACTTTGAAATGTCCCCATAGCCCATCAATCTCTGATCCCACAGCATATGTGCCACGACTATGAGATGTTGAGAAGATGCCAACACAGCCATTTGGTGTAGCATTGATGAGCAATGGGATATGCTTGTAAAGTGGGTCGGTGCGGTAGGCGTCGTAGCCAAAGGAATCTGTGGCAGACAGGATGAAGTTCCGATTCGACAGATTCATTGGAGCCGCCTTCTCCCCGAGGCCGACGTGCAGCGTATCCCTCTTGTACCTGGTGTAATGTGCAATGCCAGCAGCATCAACCACATACGACCGGAATTCCAGGTCTGTATGGATAGGAGTCTCTTGTCCTGCAAGCTGAAGCGAGACAAGTGGAGGGCCATCCCACTCTACCGTTGCCGTAACATCCCCCACGCTAATTGTCTTCTTTGTTTGGCATGACTCGGAGAGAGGCTTCACTCCAGAGAAGTCCGCTCGAGGTTGATGGGTACTGGGGTGGGGAGGAAGAGGATGAGTTTTGGAAGAAAAGGTAGTTCGAAAGAGTCCAGGACGCAGAGCTTGGAAACTAAATTGGAATCTGGTTTCCGCATCTGTTGATTCGAGACTGACATCTGTCGACTGCGAGCCTTCAATGTGTCCATTCTCCTGCAGAAGGACGTATTTAGTAGGAATATACTCGTGTTGGGGCATTGTGAACAAGAGATATCAATTGGGTTCAAGGACACAAGTGAAAGGAGAGAAGAGAAGAGAGCATCACTTACTTACTTTATAGTCCCTCTACTCTAGTCCTCCACCTCGACTGCCAAAGCCCGAGACCGGCAGGAGCTACTTAGAAGTTGTCTTCCTGCACGTGTGGGGTTGACGCCAATAGGGGGAACTCTCCCGCGTAGTTGCCGTTGGCGTTGCCTGCATTGCATTGTTGATACAGAGAAATGGAATGGAACGCTGCCATCAGATGTTGGAGAAGCTGGGGATGCAAACGCCGATGATCCACCCCACCAACCAGTCGTCGGACATCGGATGCAAGCCCGAGACTAGTCCTTATATGGTATAGCTCAATATCTCTCCTCCCCCTCGTCCCCCTCGTCCCCCTCCACATCTCGTCCACACACCTCGGCTGGTGTTCACCCAAGGACCACGAGTCATGAGATATGCTGCATGCGGGGAATTCCCTGTTCTCCATTCAGCTGTTGAATCTGCACTGAACAAACCTCTCTTGCTAACATGCCGTTATGCGAGTTGGGTTCGCATTTCTCTCCCGAAATCCGAGCTCCCCAGACCCCAATCTCCCCGGATCAACCCCAGATGCAGCTAATGAACTCCGTCAGTCCCCTTCATCCGCTGTGTCGGGTTTCTACGTAAAGAGGACAAGGTCCATTTCATCTCTTCTTGCTTGTTGTTCTGATCGTATCCTCTACTATCCTCTACTCTGCTCTTTCCAAAGCAGCTATCTGTTGTAGTTCTTCATCCTGGCTTTGTAGCCTCTTCTTGGTCACGAAACCATCTTCTATCGACTACGGAAGCCCCTCGGATCTCAAAATGGATCCTTCCTCTTCCGATCAAAAGAACAATGTCGAAACCGTCGAGGATACTCCCAAGTATCAGGCCTTTGAGACTGAGAATCTTGCCAATAAGGATCGAGCTGCTGAACTCCTCCAGAATAGCCATGAGCGAATCTTCGTTTCCGAGGCGGACAACAAGCGAATCCTTCGAAAGATCGATTTAATGGTCCTCCCTATTATGCTTGGCGTTTATTTCCTACAACAACTCGACAAATCAACCCTCTCTTATGCAAGTGTGTTTGGTCTAGTCGCCGATGCCCAATTAAAAGGCCAAGACTACTCAGTAAGTCAAGTTTTATCCTTATCTTGTATCCATTTGAGGAACCGAGGACTTTGGGATCATGTCCGGGAGCTACTTGATCTATGAAGATCTGTTCCAAGTCTTCGGACAAGCTCTTCGTCTCCTGAATCTCTGTCAAAAGTGCTTACTGACTTATCTGAAGTGGCTTGGATCTATCGTCTACGTTGCTCAGTTAGTGATGCAACCTATCATTGCATACTTCTTGGTCAAACTTCCCACTGGCAAGTTTGCCGGTGTCATGGTCTTCTGCTGGGGTGTTGTCTTAAGCTGCATGTGTATTGCAAAAGACTTCAAAGGCCTTCTTGCTGCTCGGTTCTTCTTGGGCTGCTTCGAAGCTTCTGTTGGTAAGTGGGACATTGATAAATGATAAATGTTTGTCTTATGACTAATGACTTTTCCAGCCCCAACATTTGTTGCCATCACTCAGATGTGGTGGCGTCGAGGAGAGCAAACAAACAGAAACGCTTCTTGGTATGCTATGAACGGCGTTACGAACATGGTCAGTATTCTGGATGTCTGTCTTGGTTCTGTTCAATACTGACCCCTCAAAGGTCGGTAGTCTACTAGCATGGGCTTTGGGTCACATTCACTCTTCGGCTCTCCACTCTTATCAGGTACGCAAGCCTCACTTTTGGCTCCACTGTTGACGCTGACAATGCGTAGATTATCTTCCTAGCTTGTGGCCTTCTTACTGTGCTCTTCTCAGTCATCGTCTTGTAAGTTATGACAGCAATGACAGCCAAAATCATAACTAAGATAGACTACAGTTTTTTCCTTCCCGATTCTCCAGTCGATGCCAAGTTTCTCAATGATCACGATAAATTCCTTGCTGTCGAGCGTCTGCGAGCGAATCAGATGGGTGTCGTCTCAACTGTCTGGAAGTGGGAACACGTAACAGAAAGCTTGTTGGACGTGAAGACTTGGTGTTGGTTCGCTTTGATCTTCTCCATCTCGTGGGTGGCTCTATCTTCTATGTTGTACTTAACTAATAGTATATCAGTATTCCAAGTGGTGGTGTCACTACGTTTGGACCTCTCATTGTCAACTCCTTCGGATTTGACAGCTTCCATACTATCCTCCTCAACATCCCCTTCGGTGCCGTCCAGATCATCGCGACGATGGGTGGAGCTGCATTTGCAACGTGGACGAAGAAGAAAGGTCCTGCTTTGCTCCTTCTTTGCATTCCTCCGATTGTGGGAATTGTGATGCTCTTGTGCCTCCCTCATGACAAGGCAAACCGAGGACCGCTGCTTGTTGGTTACTACCTGGTATGCATTGAGATCACCACAACACAGCAGACATATCGCTGACTACCATCACAGATTTCATTCTACCCTGGAATCTGTAAGTTTCGAAGTGTAAATCATCTGGAGACCTTGAACTGACTAATAATAGCACCACTCATCTACTCCTGGTCATCTCAAAACACCGCTGGAGAGACGAAGAAGAAGACAACAACTGCCATGCTCTTCATTGGTCAGAGTGCTGGAAATGTACAAAGCCCTTTGTACTTTAGAAAATTTGACTAACCATTATAGATTATCGGTCCACATCTCTACACCACAGCCGAAGCTCCATTGTACAGACGAGGCTTGATTTCTAACTTGTGCCTGTTCATCATCTTGATCATCCTCATCATGTATATCACCTCACAACCTTTTGACAAGCATCTGCTAATCCTGATTTCACAGTTTCACCACACTCTGGCTAATGTTTCTCAACAAGAAGCATGCCAACAAGCGACAACAACTCGGAAAATCGGCAGTAGTGGTCGATCGCTCTATGATGAACGCTCAAGAACGCGCCGTCAGCGATGAAGTCGATGAAGGGACAGGTAGGGAAGGAGGAGAGAAAGCATTCGACGACGAGACGGATTTAAAGAACGAGGATTTCATATTCGTCTACTAGGTGGCCCTGGTCCAAATTCCATACAAAAAGTCATATTCTATCCATACACAGCAAAACACTGCACCTCGTCAAAAACATCAAAGGACTAGTCCACCAAACCAAGTCCTCCCAGCCCCCTTCTCCCCAAAAGTCCGCCCACTCCCAGACCTACTCCCATACCTAATCCCAAAGGTCTCTCATATACCAAACCATCTACCTGACCCTCCTTGTGCAGCAAGTACAATTCCGTTACGCTACAGCTCTTCAGGGGTATCCTTGTGCCATCTCTCATCTCAATGTAGACCTCAAAATCCCTTCCCATCCCAGCCCTCTGCTCAATGAAATCATATATATCCACCACTTGCCAGCCGAAAGGGATGATGATATCGGATGAAGTGTCACTGCGGAACAAATCACGGCGGTCTGGCGCCACCTTTACGCGGAAGGTTTCTAAACTGCAAGAGCATCTATCCGACAAGGGACAAGAGCAACTTCGACGCTCCCTTGAGTGACATCTGGAGTGGGCATGGCGATCTCTCGAACAAGAACGCTCTCGGGAGCGACAACGATGGCAGGAGCAAGAACGTTCTCTTGAGCAGGAATCTCGGTCGCGGCCGCGGGATCGACATCGATGTTTTGAGTTGAATGGTGAGGTCATGTGATGATTGTGGGAGTGTATGTCTCTTGGATAGCAACTAGTGGGGCAGTGGCCGTGACCATGTGTGGTGCATTGAGCCAGAGGCCAAGTCCGCGGCAGAAGTGCCTGGCGTGCGAGGGCGTTGCGATAGAAGGGGTCTGCGAGGGCTGGCAATGGGATGAGAGGATTCATGGTGTTCGTTGGTGATCGATTTGATGAATCAAGATGAGGACAAGAGGAGCGAGACTGTTTATATCGTTGCAATCCGAGGCTGCAATTTTGAACCGTAGAAAAAGGTTTTCATAGTTGAGCTAACACTCGGCGGATCTCGTATGATTGCAGGGTGAAAATTGCATGCGAGGAAGTTTCCATGACACAAAATATGCAGGTGGCCGCATTGTTCAATGTAACCAGCTCAAACGAATACGCCTGGTTGGATATCGGAGGATCATTTAAGGCTGACATTGTCTTATGTTTACGACGAGCAAAGCGACTCGATGAAAAAGTTTGCTCAGTCAGTCTGAAAGTTAACACGAGATTCTAAAATCACCTCGGTGAGCTGGAAATGGTAGTTGCCAACCCGAGTCTGACGCTTGGGCATACCGCAGCTAGGCGTTGATCCGAAGAACAACGTGGGCTGGCAGATTAGATATCTCTCTCTGTGCACTTTGAACACAGCTGTGCCACAGACTTCCAAAGCTTCGGATCTTGATCAAACATGGCCAGAGTTAAAGATACGACGATTGCCCAAGCTGTACGTGAACGAGGGAGTCTGGACTCATTGCTTGTTAATCACCCAGAGTCCGGCCCTCTTCTCCCTCTACCTGGGCACCAAACTCAACGCCAATAATGCAATGCAATATCTCAGATCTATCATCGGCCGCGTTGGTGTACAACACGGCGACAGCCTCACTTCCCGAACTCGGCTTCTTCAGAACCCATGATCGACAGTTGCAAGCGTTTCGAGGGCCCACGAGACACTGAATGGCTGCAGGCCCCGAACACAAGTTGCGAATACGCAGCTGGGCACTCGCCGAGATGCAAGGGGCTTCATATTGAAGTGAGCTGGACAGCGGTGTGCAGGACAACCATTCAGCATTGGCTGAAGAGGTAATGTACCTATCGATAGAGGAGGTTTTCAAGCAAGAAGATAATAATAGTACTGCCAGCACGCCAAAGGTGACAATGTATGTCTTTTGAGAGTAATTGCTGTGTTGGCTGTCCTAGGGAACACTGTTCGTTCCCCACTCTAGGAATCGCCAATAGCTCGGTGGAAGAGGTTGCATAGAAGCTGTGACTGTTGAGCATGGTGGTTGGCGTATGGAGATAATCTGCGCTTCGAGCTGCTCTTAACCAGTCAGCATAGTTCGAGGCTGAGAGTCCAAGCATTGCTCTTGCAGAAAGGAAGGGAATTGGCTCCTCATAGTTGCATTCGAGGAGATTTAGTGATCAACGAAGTGTACATGTACAGAGGACGAGTCTCAATAAGAATGCCCGATTTGTTCATGTGCATTTGATATAGAAAATAAGTCTCAAGACAGTCGCAAGGAAACGACATATAGCTTCTACTCACAGAGAAACATCAACTTCGTTGTTTGCATCTGCTATGCACAGTGTGAGGTACTTACCACAGACTAGGTGCTGGGAGCATGGCTCAAAGACAAATGAACATAACGGAAGAAAAGCTCGACCTGCTGGGACGTGCTAATTATGCATATGTAAAGTCTTTGAGCCATCAGGAGTTATATCCTCAGGTGTCCGTATTTCCAAGGGGTCGATTGTGGATTTTGACCGCGGTCCATTTTCTTCAATCTGTCCTCAGCCTCCGCCACCAAAAGTTTACTGGGATTGGCTAGCGCCGCAGCTAAAAAATCTCGCGCGGCGGGCACCATTTGCTCTTGCGCTTTCCGTCGTCTTCCTTTTCTGCCTGCGACGACGACGCAATCACGAACAACCCGAGCATTGATTGCTACATACAAGAATTCCCAACCTCCTCGTCTCTTCCGGTCGCATTCAATTACGACCCCTTCTCCCAGCTCAACCCATACGATAGCACGCCATCCCTCTTCTATTCACAATGGCAGCAATCAGCCCTCAAGTGTACGAGAAATCGCATTCCCCCATTTTCAGAGCTTGGCTGACTTTGATCGCACAGTACCAACTTGGTAATCATCCTCGTGATGATGCAAGTCTCCAAGAAGATTCCCATGGAGGACCCCAATGTCCTGATGGCCATCCGCGGATTATACGTTGTGTCTAATCTCATCATCATCTCCCTCTATGCCTATGTCCACTTGAAGATCAACAAGAAGAAGGGTATTCATACTGGCTTTCTCAAAATCTATTACCCAACAACTGACTCTATTCTGCAGACATGACCACCCTCAAGTATGTTGAGCAACCCCAGATCGGATCCACCGAAGAGCCGAAGCTCGTTACCACCACTGTCCACGCCTACGATGTCGCACAAATGAAGACTCTCTACAAGGCGCAATTGATGGGCGTTGGCATGATGTGTGTCATGCACCTCTACTTCAAGTACACCAACCCTTTGATCATTCAATCCATCATTCCTCTCAAGAGCGCACTCGAGGGGAACATGCTCAAGATCCACCTCTTCGGTCAACCCGCCTCTGGAGACCTCAAGCGTCCTTTCAAGGTCGCCCCGGGCTTGATGAGCAGTCTTCAAGGAGGTGCTGCTGCTCAATCTCAAGACAAGAAGTCGATCGCAGCGGCCGAGAAGGCAGGCCGTGGAGGCGTCAAGGACGAGTAGATCATTATTCACTAGGGTTCTTCTTGGAACATAGTTATAGGGATATGTATGTGTAGGGATAGGCGGTGGCATACTACGAACATAATGCAATGGGCGTTGTGAACCTTTAATGGCCTTTGTATATTGTCGCGTGACAAATTACCTCTTTGAATGCAACAAAACTTTCAAAGACAAGGAACCTGTGTGTTTTGTATGTTGGCGCGACTTATTGTGAATCCATGTGCCCAATCCAATACCAACATTCTGTTCTGCAGAACTTGTACCGCGTACCGTACCGCTAGCAATCGTGACTTCGCGTTTAAGTAAGCGCGTCATCAAGGCTGCTATTTGTGCTCAACCCCTCGCCACCATTTCAGCCTCGTCGCACCAACTTCCGTTCTCCATCAATAACATCCTTCGCCATGGACGGACCTGCTACGCCTCCTGCGAGGGCTGTTGTACCCCAGCAGGACTTCTCCCCTCCAACTCCAGAAGTCAAGCGCAGAATAGTAAGTCGCAAAGTCCCATACATTCACACCTACTGACACTCTATAGGAAGAGAATCGACTGAAAGCCAAAGCTCTACGAGTACGCTCGATCGCCGCACAAGAAGCAGCAGCGCGAACACCTTCCGGATTTCTTGCAGAAGATGTCTCTTCTTCAGGGCGGACACGAAGCCAAGCTGCCGTCTTAAGTACCAATGTTCCAGAATCGAGTCGCGATGCGCGAAATACATCTACGAAAGACGACGGCATCCAACCTGCGAGAAATTTCAAGAAATATGTTGATCATGATTTCAGCAAGATGACGGATACTAAAGGTGGATTCTTGAGCGTCGATGATGATCCTTTCAATAAGGCATTACATGCGCCGAAGGAGGGAGAGAAGCCTGCGCATATGACCCTGAAAGAGTGGGAGACACATCAAACTCTTAAGAGTCTGCGACAACGCAAAGAAGGTCTCTTCGAACCTGGTCTTGGCCTAGGAGCAAAGGAGAGGGGCAAGAAGTGTAGAGAGTGTGGGGGCTTGGAGATAGATTGGCTGTGGGAGGATACTTTCAAATGCGAGATCTGTCACAGATGCAAGGAGAAGTTCCCCGAGAAATACAGTCTCTTGACCAAGACGGAGGCAAAGGTCGACTACTTGTTGACTGATCGTAAGTGTTGCCTATCCCAGGGACAGACAATCACTAACCTGGTATTAGCCGAATTGAAAGACGTTGACCTCCTACCCCATCTCTCGAAAGCCAATCCTCACAAGTCCCACTGGCATGACATGATGTTGTTCTTACGCTATCAAGTCGAAGAATATGCATTCAAGACAAAGTGGGGCTCTGCTGAAGCCTTGGATGCTGAATTTGAGAAGAGGGAAGGAGACAAGAAGCGGAGAAAGGAGGCCTTGTTCAGGAACAAACTTCGTGAGCTGAAGAAGAAGACCAGGACAGATGCCTACAGGAGAAATGCTCGAGGTGGTGGTAAGGTTGGACAGTTTGGTGATCGGATAGGTAGCGGAAAGCACGAGCATGAGTGGGGTCAAACGGTAGAAAACGCAGATGGTATGACTGTTAAGACATGTGTCGGGTGCGGCATGGAGGTGGAGGAGTTAGAGTTGTGATTGTGATTGTCTATTGTGCATTGTTTGCCAATCTGGCTTGCGCATTTATGATCCAGACTGTGATCAGATGCAGCGATGATTTGGTTCAGGGGCTCGATGACCTGATATCGACCATGGACGAGACAAGTAGATAGTCTATCTCGCATGATCTCAAATAAACTCGGTCCCGAACAAAATATCTCCCTACTAAAATACTCAAACGAATTCTTTGTGAAAATATCCTTCTTGTGAAATGGCAGGAGATGTCTCTTCACGCCACAAAAGCAGCGTCGCAAAATGTCTTAAAGCGGCGGCCAATAACTAATGCCTGATGCCTGTGGCCAACAATTGTTCCCTCGCGTCCATCTTGTAAAGCTTCTGAACAACCTCCCGAGCAAACTCAAGCTCTGCCAACGCGATCCAGCAAGAGAAAACTGCTGCAAAGCACCGAAAACGATTGCTGAAGCTGCATCGCTCATCCACGATCCTTTTCATACCTCACGATCATCCGCGACATCATGAGCAATTGAGCGCGCCTGCCAACACGCTTAGGTGGTCCTAGACGCCGATTTGCGCCAGCAACGATAGATGCTCGCGTTCATCAAGAGCAGAGGTGCGAATAGAGAGTGTGTAGAGGTGGCAGCGCGCCAGGACATCTCCTTGCTCCGATTGTAAGGTCACGATGGCCTGGCCATCACAGTCTGGTATGGGCCTGGGCTCGAATGGGGGAGGAAATGGAGGTGGAGCAGAGGGCTCGCAGCAGCAAGTGAACCAACCGCAAGGCACCGAGTATACTCTGCAAGGTATGTATTCTCTCTTTGGCTGGTTTGTCTTTTCGAAAGGTACTAACGCCCTTGTAACAGGTGTTATGCGCTTTCTCCAGACCGAATGGCATAGACATGAACGGGACCGCAATGGCTGGGAGATTGAACGGCAGGAGATGAAAGGACGAATAGCGAGGCTAGAGGGCAGTACGAGAAAATCTGATACCAGCAACAAGAGCTTGAAGAAGTACATTACTATGCTGGAGGATGCTTTGAAGAAACGAGACGAGCAGGTCAAGGCTTTGAAAGCTGGGAACGACGTTCAATTGAAGGAGTCGATCAAAGAAGGCAAGGCAAAAGAGAGCTTGGCTGTGAAGAGAGATCGACGTAAATTACCTTCCAAATTGATTGTGTCTCCTGCTAATCAGAGTCTAGCTGTACAAGAGAAGCCTCACAATTCCTTTCTGGACACCGAAGACGGCGAGGGCGAGGAGAAACCAGAAGATGACCCAGATCGCTCGAGTCTGAAAGGATTTATGGACAAGACACAAGGTGAATTGACATATCTCATGGTCTCACCCTCGAATCCATTACCGCCCCGAGATGCTCCCGACGAGATCTTGCTGCAGCCTCCGTCCTTCGGCAACCCTACCCAACAAAGCCTGGAAGATATGTATCAGCAGCAAGCTCGGCAAAAGAACATGCGAGAATCGAGTCTCTCACGACCATCTCCATCACCAAATCATCATCCACCTCCAGTTCCTTCAGCCATAACCATTGTTGAGAGACTAAGCAGAGGCTCAGAACCCCCAGTCTCCCGGTCTCTCGCTGATCAGCAACCATTACCTACAGCTTCGGCACAGGAATGGTCTTCCACTTTCCAAGCTGCAGACCAGGTTCCAGAAGAACAAGTTACGAAGATCAATCATAGCTACGACGCATATGGACGAGAAATCAATGCTGAGGAGTCCGAACCAAAGCCCAAGACGGAAGCAGATGGATGGGACTTCAATGATGCAGCAGAATTTCCAGAGCCTGAAGTGAAGCCAACGCCGCAGAGACCAGACACCGACCTATTCCCCATCGCTCAAGAACCTCCAAAGTCTCCAAACCGTGGCCCAGGGTCTCATCGTAGAAAAGGTTCCATGTCGCGAAGAAAAAGTGCAGACCACGAGCTGTCTTTGAATCCAACACAAAAGATTGACGGTGGTAACTTTAAGGTCAGGTTTGGTTTGAGAGGCCACTTAGATGCTGTACGATCTGTGATTTTCACAGGGGGTGGAAGTCCTGGAGAACCTGAGTTATGCACAGCTGGAGATGATGGAACTATCAAACGATGGATTCTACCTGCTCGATACGAGAACACAGGAGGCATGCACACCAGCTCCAACGATCTTGATGTCCAGAGCTATTTCACGCACCGAGGACATGCTGGTGCAGTCATGTCACTTACATCATGGTCTCCATCACAAAACTTCTCAAGTGGTGGACGTGCTCAAGGCGACGGGTGGATCTTCTCAGGAGGACAGGATGCTACCGTCCGTGTTTGGGAACGTGGTAGGGTTGATCCAAAAGCAACACTTGATGGGCATACCGATGCCGTTTGGACTGTCTGTGTCCTTCCAGGAACTACCGGCACGGTCTTCGGGCAGAGCAACGCTTATGGAGGACCCGACCGAATCTTACTTGCATCTGGAGCTGCAGACGGGACCGTTAAAGTCTGGTCTGTCAGTGCGCCGCCGCAGTTGATGTCTCCACAAGGTGGTAGTGCACGGAGAGGAGGACGTGTCCGCGGCAATTCAATGTCATCCGGATCAGCCTTCCCCTCCTCACCACAACCAAGTGTCGCATCCAACTCTCCCTTCAGCCATACCCTCATTCACACCATCTCAAGAGCCAACAGCACTGCTTCACCTACTTGTATCACTCCTCTCTCAGCTTCTGGTGATGCATTTGTTGTTGCTTACTCAGATGCTGCTGTTCTTGTATACGATACTAGAACAGGCGAGGAAGTAGCTGCTATGGCAAGTTTGGAAACCTACAACAACACGGTTGGGACTGGTGTGAATGCCATTGTTGCTACAACTAATGGCCTTGATGGGTCATTGAGCTTCGATTCCGGCCGCGGTTTGGCAGAGGATGACAGTGTTGTCGGTGGTGCGACAGGAACCAGTGGTGGCGTTGAAGGCATCATAATTTCTGGTCACGAAGACCGCTACATTCGCTTTTATGATGCTAATAGTGGTAAGTGCTCATGGGAGGGTGCCGATAATTGTTACTCACTATCAATAGGTCAATGCACGTACAACATGCTCGCACACCCAGCCGCCATCTCTGCCCTTTCCTTGTCGCCAGATGGAAGAGAACTTGTCAGCGCAGGCCACGATGCCAGCTTGAGGTTTTGGAGTTTGGAGAAAAGAAGTTGCATTCAAGAGATCACCAGCCATAGGCTGATGAGAGGTGAAGGGGTGTGCTCTGTTACCTGGAGCAGAGATGGAAGATGGGTCGTCAGTGCAGGGGGAGATGGTGTTGTGAAAGTTTTCGCCCGATGAATAATCTTGTCTGGCGCCCGGGAGGAATTGCTGTGGAGGATATCTGTTGCGATAAGATCGGATACGAATCGAATACCCACCCGTCTCTGTTGTATTTCGGAAAACATATCGGCATGGCATGGGGAGTTGCATCGAGTTGCTGAGCTCCGAACCAGAATTGCAATATGGACACGAAGCTGAGATGAGACGAGATGAGACACCTTGTAGTTTAGATCATACCATAGCGCACCTTTTCATTGATGGGAAGGAAGATAATTGTACAAAATGGATACCATGCCAGCCAGTACTCAAGCCAAAGTCAAAGTACTCATGCCAGTCTATCAAGAACGAGAACAGAACAGTGGACGAGAAGATGCTTTCCACGTGATGATCGTCCACTCAACTTCCCCACATCTCCACGTCCCGCACCCCGCTTCTAGGTGGATTTTTTTAGCTTGTCAGAAGATCCGAACAGCTGGGAAATGGCCTCATGTTCCTTCCTGTCGGTTGTACTTGAATGTTGTACATCTCTGACGGATGTCCTTGAGATGTATCAACCATGGAGACCTTTCCTTCAACAGATCCGAGTCCTGCCCAAAAGAAACGACGGATCCCGGTCCGTCTTCACCCGTACCTAACAAGACAAAGGAAGATCATCAGCTGACTCATTAAACCGATAGAAAGCCTGTGCAGCGTGTCGAAACTCGAAGGTCTGTTTCAATGCCGAACTTTGATAGGCGTCCTCATACTGATAAGCAGTACCGCAGTTGAGGTGTGACGGCGGGAAACCATGCACCAGATGCAGGAACGCGAAGGTGTGGTGCGATTACATTCAGCCAACCCCAGACCCTGTTCAAGAGTACGTCGGATTGTTGTACTGGCGCCGAGGAATACATATTTCTTATTGACTTTTCTCGAATAGGAAATTGGCTCAGATCGAAGCACAAATGGAGGCGTTGCGGAGCCGGGTGCCGGATATGCCCACTGCCATGGCACTTTTAGATCTACAGCGTCGACAAGAGCAGGTTCGAGATGCTGCACAGTCGTCACCAGCATATGGACAACCATTCCAGGCGGTGGCCAGTCCAGTTTCTATGAGCGAAAGTCATACTTCGAATCCAAGGCAGCTGCAGTACATGGATCAGGGGATTCCAAGTCCACGATTGTATGAATCTTCGACGTTGAAGAGGAAACGTGGAGACTTTGAATTGAATGCTGGAATGGAACCTGATATTATCAGTAAAGGTTTGATCAGCTATGATGATGCTGTTCTGTATTTCACTACTTTTTTCCAGGGTTGTGTAAGTGTTCGAAGTGGAGTGATGAATTGGAACCTCGAAAGCCAAAGTTCGCTGACAAGGTGCAGGACAAATATGTACCGATCTTTGACCCTCGATACGATACTTTCAACAGCGTAAGAGAGAGGAGCTCATTGCTATTTGATGTCATATGTGCCGTTGGATGTCGAGCTGAACAAGGTAGGCAAAGAGGATATTTTCCTCAAACAACAAGTCTAAGTTTTCTGCAGGACCTGGATCGGAGCAATACCAATTGCTCAGCAACGCAACAAAAGGCCCTCTTTGTGACGTGATTCTTGGTGCAGTTCCAAAGTCGATCGAAACAGTTCAAGCTCTGGTCGTCCATGCTTCATATTCGGAAAAAGGTTGGCTGCTGACAAGTATGGCTGTGCGCATGGCTCTGGATCTCGATCTGCCTACTTCTTACACCAAGCTGTCTGACTTGGTACTTCAAGGGGAGGATCATGACAGAGAAGACGAGTCCAGATTGATGAGGGAGACGAGAGTGTGGTTTGGAACCTTCGTATTAGAACATATGTCAGTAAAATGCACACATATGCAGCTGAATTCTCATGAGACGCAGACTTAGCATCGACTGTGGCAAACGGCCTGGCATCAAAGCCATCGATGGGATGAGGAGATGCAGAGTCCTGTTCAATCACCCCAGTAGAACGGCACTCGATCTCAGACTATTGGCACAAGTGGAGGTAAGAATGATGTAAGTGCACAGTGATACATAACTGACTCGAGACAAGTTGAATTCCATCAGAGGTATGGCGCCCTCCAAATTTATTAAATGTCTGTTAACAATGGCATTTAGCACTTGCACATGAGCGGTTGTCGCCCACGATGAGTGACGAGGAGATGAATGAAATAGTTCAAGAAACAAGGATTGATCTCAGTGTTTGGATTAGGTGGGTGCATTGAATTCCTACTCTTAAGATAGAGCTAACTTCCTAGTGACTGGTCGAACTTGATCGGTATGCTTTCACAGTTTCCCTGCCCTTTTGATTTGAATTGACAGGTGCTTCAACAGTATCCAACGTGCCAACCGAGGAAGAACGAGCCAGTCTGGTCGTCAACTTGAAAATCCAGAGAGAATGGTCTGAGATGACTATGCTATGCAAAGGACTTCAGGGAATGGGTATCAATAACGTGGCGTAAGAAACAACAGCTTGATGAGTAATTATCAAAACGGCTAAAATTTCCACAGAATTATGTCAGATTCTCAGCGAAACCTCATTCAACTAGCAAAGTCTAGTGCCCAACGGCATTTGTCGACGATAATTTCGAACCCAAAATTATACTTAGGAACGTTTCGGTATGGAATGGACTTTGTATGGGGTAAGTCGACTTTGGGGCTGTGATTGTGGTCAAGAGCTAATAGGGAGTACAACAGCCAAATGTGCATTTTCTGTGCTTCTTCTCCTCAAATTGGCCCGCCTTCTTCCAAATTCCACGAATATGTCCTCCCTGGTATCAGACGCCAAGATTCTCTTGTCACACCTCTCAAAGGTTCGTGGATCCAGCAACATATATTATCGAATATTGTGTCTCTCCGTCGAAAAATGTGAGAAGGCTCTTGGTGGAAATGGAGCATCGCAGAGTCCTGAAGGGGAGAATGCTATGGATGCCGAACTCGACTTTCAAACGTATGTTCCACGGGAGTTCATCTTGGAGTGGAATTTCCCTGGGCTATCCTTCTGCTGGATACCTTTCGACTTCCAGGACCTCTTCTTGGATCTCGGTAATGGCTTCGAATCGTAGTCTTGCTTTGGTGAAATAGTGGTATATAGTCCGTGTCTCTCTGGGTCGTAATCCTCTATACAAAGATCTCGCGCAAAAGATTCGCGGATCTGCGGATCTAAATCGACCATGCAGCATAACTGCTTTCGATTGTAACACTTTCAAAACCCCTCTTCTCGATCTTCAGGCTCCCTGAGATCTCCATATAGAACCTCGCAGACTCCTCCTAGAGGGACATCCATCACCGCATCTGTTCCTTGGCTCCAAATTGCCTTCCAGTCTTTGATGGTCTTCTCCGCTCTATCGCCCCTATCCCATCGATCACTTCGGTCTCTCTTCTCCTTTGTCTTCTCCTTGATTCCAACATGACTGCCGCCCAATCTTCCTTTCCCATCGATCGTAACTACATTTGCTGCGTCGTCGATTATGGTCTCGATACTGCTCAACGGCAGCGTCAAATATCCTGTATTGTAACTAGCCAACGCAACGTAGATATAAACCAGCAGCATTACCAAGAACGAGGGAAGTGCCAGCGACCACCAGCGATTCGGATAGTAGTATATGCCAAGTGCGTGTAGGAATGGTGAAGGTAGATATGACCAGAGCAGGTACATCAAGAATGTGAGCGAGGAGAAGAGGTATAACACAAAGCCATAGTATTCGTAGGTGGGGACTTTCGGTGAAGCTCGAGGAACAGGTTCGAGCTCATCGGCAGAGCTATCTGGTGTTGTCGGTCTCGAGGGGCGGAGAAGAGAAGTCAGGGAAGGTGATGGAGGGAGCGGAGTAGGAGGTCGACCATAGAATGGAGGTGCGAAGAAGTTGTGCTGCAGAGGTGGTGGTGATGGAGATGAGCTCGAAGAAGACTCTCCACGGAAATGGGATTGGAAGACAGCATCGTCGTCGTCTGATGAGGATCCCATCGTGCCAATTTGATTTGAAGATCTCGTTGTTCTTGTCAGTGCAAATCTCAATGGAGGGGGGAAGTCGTCCTTACCTTGGTAATTGCAAAGGTTGACGCGCTCATGGAAGTACACGGCAGAATAGTTGCAACAATAGAAGGCGGTGAGCTTACTGTAGCGGTCCCAAATGACCTTCAGCCTCAAGCCTGGAATTCTTTTGTTCTCATCAACCTCCTCATGTTTTCCTGCAATCTGAACAAAAGCAAGCGCTAACCATATTGTCTTCACGCTTCAATGATATTCAGTTTTGGGAACTTGTGCAATTTTCTGACTGCAGCGAATGATGCTTCGATCGACTGACCCAGCGCGCATGCCCTTCGTTCGTCGTGCTCCACGTTCTGTTGCCATTTCTACTTTGTTGATGGAATTCACTACTTATATTGCGAACTCGCTATGCTCTATATCGTTTGCTGATTATTCTATGCCTGTGTTTCTTTTCTGTTCTTGCAGACGGTTCTATCCCTCGTAAATACTTCGTCGAAAACAAGACCCAGCCTATTCAAAGCTTCCTCACTGATATTGTAGTGGAGGACGAGACGTTTCCCGCTGAGCTTGACTCCATGCTTCTGTCCAATATGATTGAATTCTGCGCTACCGATCCCAACATGTTTCAGATCAATCCATACAATGTTAGTTTCTGTTCTCGTACTCAACCTACCACCTCTCCGAACCCACATACGAGCAACCTCTTTAGTCAATGAGTGAACCTCTCTGAGCCTTTCTCCTGATCTCTTTCCATTGATTACCGATCCAAATGTCTCGTCAACAGCCGAACTTGCAGCCGCGCTCAACACTCCTGCTTGTCTCATCCCACCACCCAATGACTTTCGAACCCTCCTGGCTCTTGCAATAAATTCGGCATTGCCAAGGATCATCGCACCCATGGGAGCCCCCAAACCTTTGCTGAAGTCAATCGAAATGCTGTCAAAACAAGTGGAAAACTCCTTCAAGCTTCCTGCACCCGCAGCCACAGCCTCCCAAAGCCTGGCGCCATCCAGGTGAAGCTTCAATCTATTGTTTCGAGACCAGTTGGAGATTCTTCTCAGCTCTGATAACGGATGAACGAGTCCTGCGATGGTATTTTCAAGACTTACAACTGCAGTCGGGCAAAGGTGTACATCGTCACTGATGACGGCGTGCTTTTGAATATCTTCCAACGTCAAAAATTCTCCATTGCTTGGGCTGAGTGCTTGAGTCATGGCACCACAGATACTTGCAATGCCACCAGCTTCCCAAGTTACGATATGCGAACGAAAATCGCACAGCACTGCATGGGGAGGTTGCGTCAGATGCGTCCTCAAGGCTAAAATGTTCGCCATGGTCCCTGATAGTACGAATGCCCCTGCTCCGTGGCCAGTCAGGTGTGCCATACGTTGTTCAAACGAAGATGTCGTCTTATCCTCACGGTATACATCGTCTTGTAGAGTGGTCTCCAAAATTGCTCGAAGCATAGGAAGTGTCGGTCGAGTCACGACATCGCCTATTGGAAGAGATCAGCCAGCACTCTCACTTTGAACGCCAATTTCACTCGAGCATTCTGATTAGTCCTGATAGATTTTTGGAGTGACACTTTCTGGCTGGAGCTACGTACTCCTGAAGTCGAACTGCGCAGTCCCTGGCTCACTCCATTCTGTGCCTGCAGCAGCTATGAAAGCGTCAGCACTCTCGGCTAGATCGTCCTTGTCTTCGATTTTGCTGTATGGTGCTATGGCAGCGACAGCACTCTGCCACCTGCGGCATTGGCAATGGTGAATTTGACGGTTGATCCCGAGTAGAGGTGGCCGTGAATAACCTCGATATCGGTGCGCTATCCTTCGTTGGAAAAAGGATTGGATTGACATCTTGCTATCCTGCACTTGATTTCGAGCCGCCAAGAGTGTGACGGAGTTTCTCTTATGGAGATGCACCAGCTTCTTTGGTCGCCTTGGTCCCGGTTGAACCGAGACTTCGGATCTCTACACGGGTATGCTCAGTCGAAAAAGTCGGAGTTCGAAAGATGTTTCATGGAGGCATGCATTGAATTGACATTCGCGGATTCGACTCGCTGGGGCCGATTGAGACCAGAAGTAAGCAACACTCAGGTACAGAAGTTTTTTTTTCGATTCAAATTGCTCCATAGGAACCAATCTCGAGAACTATTACTCCATTTGAGCGCGGCATGGCGCGGTCAATACGTTTAAACCAATTGGAATCCTATCGGATTCAACTTTCCAGTTACAGCCATGTCCGCAACTTCATTCACAGCATTCAGTGACTGCAGATGTTGGAAATCACAGGGGGGACGTTGGCGTCGTTACATGGTACTCCATAGCTCGCCTGGGCGCTTACCTGCACAGAAGGTGAATTGAACTACCGCTGCGCCGGTGAGCCGCATGATTGGTACCGTGGATGCGAACTGCATCAACAACGACCCTTCCTCGGTCCAGACTTGTGCATCTGACCACCCTCTTACCACAGCGTTTCTGTTGGACGGGCTTTACGGCATATTCTGCCCTTTTCGCAATTTTCAGATTATCTTCCTCTCAAGTGAATAGGCTAGGATCTTAACGCCCCTAATTGATTTATTCCTAGTTTGCTGCCATCACAAATTCCGAGGGAGGCATTCTTGTCTGTCCCCTGGCCGTTATGTACAGTTACCTGGCTGCAGTGATTCATCAGCTTCTCTCGCCTCTTTTGTTGTACTAGTTCCAAAGCTCCGTGGAGCTCGGCCCCCGTCAGATATATGATGAATTTGTTACTAGGTATGTTCCTTGCATGGATGATGAGGCATGTCATGTTTGCCTGGCGACTTATGGTTGCAAGGTCTTGCCATTTTCCGAGCCACTGAGGACCTTTCCCCCTCTCTTAGCTCCTCATACTCAACCGTTCTCAGCGAATTGCCTCGCTCAAAAGACCTTACGTGAAGTTTCATAGTGGCACAGTGCGCTGGAGAGCATGGCACGTAGCTTCCACACTTGGCAGTTCAACACTGAGAAAAGCCATTTGCTGAACCATCATCGTATCGCAGCAGACAAGTGGGGTCACAAAACCACGTGAAGTGGGAGCATGGGCATCGGACGATATCTCAGTCAGTGATAGATTCGTAAGGCGGTCCTTCTGGATCAATAGTGGATTTCGATCGGCACGCTTGGTGTCGAGCGATATGTGATGAAATTCATCTGCTCCAATTATCTTGTATTCATGCTCATAACTCAAATATCATTCTTCTTATAGGCTTGTTGTGACGATATGAAGTGAGGCTGAAAAGCATGACCAGCCTTGCCCTACTTTTAGCGCCGCTTCCTTAAAAACTCTGCCCTCCTTGTAGACAATTTACATATCAACTCTCAAGTGTCCTAGTCGTTGAGATCCTACCTTGACACCTGTCAGGGAGATAAACTCGCTGCTATGAACGACAAAGCTTCTACTTTCCTAATTGTAGAATTGGAGCAGGGTCATGATCTAAGTCACTCGTCTCTCTCCTCCGTCCGTCTGACAGATTCTTCAATTCAAAATACAAGTCGCATTATCTTAGAAAGATTAGGACTACGAGTCGTCGAAGATGGATATGTCAAGTGGCGAGAGGATGCGTCTCTTCACCCAAGAAATTGGAGCACGTCTCGAAAAGCATTCGACATACTTTTGGTGTTAATGCTGGATCTCTTTACGTTGGTGTCCGTTTTCCTCCTTTGGTACATTGCTGACCACATATGCAGTACTGCAGTTAGCTCTTCGGGGGTAAGTATTGTTTTGGGAGTTCTGTCTCTTGGCTAATGATTATCTGCAGCCTTCAGTTGCTGAAGTAGCCAGGTTGGAATTTGGTCTCAGTCGAACAGTCTGTCTTCTTGGATTTGGCAGCATGTGTGTTCCCTTCTAGTGATAGGTACAAGAGTCAAATCAGCTGACCTTCACAGGTATCAATTTGGCCAAGCCTTTGGTGGGGTAGTCTTTCCTCCTTACTCGGAAGCTTTTGGAAGAAAATCAGTCTATCTCTCAGCGTCGGTCGTCTATTGCTTGTCATGCATAATTGTCGCCTGCGTTCCCTCCATCTCTGGTCCATTTGTAGGACGTTTTATCTCTGGCTTCGTGTCGGCTGTACCTTCTATCATCGTATCTGGAAGTATTGAAGACATGTTTAATATGCAACAACGCATCTCGATGATGTACATCTGGGCATGTGCTACCACGGGTGGTTTGTTTCTTGGACCTATCTATGGAACATACATTTCTCACAGCCTTGGATGGTGTGTGCTCCCTGCTCTTTTTTCCCACAAAAGCTTACCACTTCTACAGGCGTTGGGTATTTTACCTTGCAAGCATTATTATGGGAGGTTTCACACTCCTCCTGTTCTTCATACGGGAGAGTCGACCAAGTCAATTACTTTCCAGACAGCTTGCTTTACTCCACGATCAGACTGGCTCTACCCACTTTCGCATCTTCAACCCTGACCACACTCCTGATCTAAGGACGTTTGCTAAAGTTGCATTGACAAGACCGATCCGTCTATTCTGTACCGAACCGATCGTGTTTGTCGTCGCAATCATGAGCTCTGTTGGCTGGGCTCTCATCTACTTCTTCACGGAAGCTCTACCAATCATCTACTCCAACTTCAACCTCTCTCCCGACCAGTCCTCGCTCATGTTCCTTGCCATGGGTGTCGGAATTTCCATCGGGATCCTGCCTCGTATCCATGATTGGAGAAAATTGAAGCAGAGAATTGTTGATCAAAAGCCTCTCCATCCTGAAGACAAGCTCATTGGGTTCAGCTTCGCAGCACCAAGTCTGGCATTCGGGCTGTGGTGGCTATCACTGACTGTCCCACCGAGATCACACTTCCATTGGTCTGTTACCGTCGTCGGCCTCATACCAATTGGCTTCGCTACCAATGAATTCGCGTGTACTCTGTCCGGTTATCTTGGTGACACTTACACGATTTACGCATCGTCTGCTTTTGCTGCTATGTCATTTCTCCGAGCAATACTTGGTGGGGTATTTCCCCTGTTTGGACGACCGATGTACGTCTCCTTGGGCTCCAATACCGCGACCATGATTATTGCATCATTGGCCACTGTGTTTTGTGCTACACCGATTCTGTTCACGAGATATGGGAGAGCTATTAGGAAAAGAAGCAAGTTTGCCAGCTACAGTTTGGAGGTCAACAATGAAACGCAGATCCACGCCGACAACATTGAATAAATAGGTTGTGTAAATATTTGTGGAGTCATTATTTGGTTTTGATTCGTATGCATATGTTTTGGTGTTCGAGGGTGGAGTTTTGAGGATTCGAAAAATACCTTTATGCTGCATGCGGAGGAGTTTTCTGATTGATGTTGATATTATCATGAGAATCTCACTTCTGATATCGATCGACCTTCTAATATGAATTGCTACTGTGATCATGCATATAACTTTGTCATGTCGAAACACATATGATGAATTTTGGGATCCATGAATAATTTACGCACCTGCTTGTGACTGACATGGCTTACCTGTGATGGTATATGGATACTAGTATCCCCAAGAAGAGAGCGATCTGCACCAACCTACAATTCAATTCAGCAGGGAAAAGATGGACCTCAGACAGAATGACGAGCACATCATATTTAAAGTGTGTATCAGCTGTAATTTCGACACGCTACAATTCCCAAATCGACCCCGTCACAGAGGTCCCAGTTGCAACTGTCCAGAATGCGAACTCTACACTTTTGTGATTGCATGCTCTAAATGCTTATTTGAGAGCTCTGACGATTGCCCACTCACGAAGCTGCTAGATCATAAACACACAGTCCATAGTGATGAAGAAGAAGTGCAACCGAGAGGTCGACCTAGGAAGGCTAGCTGGGAGCGAAAGAGCAGAGAGAAGATCCAAACGACATTGAAAGAGCGGCTGACTACGGAAACACGGTCAGCCAGTCAGAGCAGAACGAAGTCCGAGGTGGCCACAGAAGTTGACGAAGCGAAGAACAAGACCAAAATCCGGACCAAGATCTGGATCTTCTCTGCATTCACTGCCGCCAGAGACAATGTCAAGACTGCGTTCCAGGCCATGCAAGTTTGATTGTGGATATGAAAGAATTCTCCAAGACTTTGGCGGAGGAGCTGAGACTCTGTACAATGTGCGAACATTGTTTGTGTCCTGGAAGCGGGCTCGTTGTCCTACTGAAATGTATGGCTTGTGGCCACGATGTTTGCGAGAAGTGTGCTTGTACAGGTGATGTGAGCGGCGAAAAGTGGTCTATGTGCTGTGTGTGTTCGGGTACATCTGATTTCGAGAATGAAAAGCAGAAGTGGCACTGTTGAGAGAGAGGCAATAGAAAGATTTGATGACTTTACATGGCTGTGAGTCATGTCCTGTTATGGGACATTTGTTCAACGTGGGATAGATACGGAAAACTACCATCGTTTGGGACAATCAATGAGACTGCGTGATGCAAATATCAAGCAAATCGAGTAACATTGTTCTGTTGCTGAACTCTGAATCGAGCAGAGTGATCAAAGATGGAGCTAGGAAAAACAGTGTTACCGAGCCGACCACACGTGATCGCGCCCAAGGCCACAAGGCATCGACTCAATCTTTTGAATGCAGAGCTCCAACGTCTATCTTCGAGACACAACAGCAACATCAATACGTAACAACTCTTTCTCGTTTCCGTCTTCACGGGGAAATGTTCGACGTGTATCACAGGTAAGTCATCAGTCAACAAAATGGGGTTGGCGTGAAAGCTGCTCGTACCACGGCAGCATCCAGCTTCCTGTCGCTCTACTTCCCCCTCATATATTGTTTTCCTTCTCCATCACTATTGCTTCCCATCTCCTACTTGTTAGACGGGTACACTGCACGCAACTTGAGCTTTCGATCAAGCCAGTTTGCCGCCATTCCGAAGTGTTGGATGTTCTCATTTTCCCATCTCCCTTCCCTCTCTTTGCCATATCCAGCACCTTCGGGAGGCTCGCTTGTGCTGCCTCTTCAATCGGCGCTAAGCAAAGCGATGCATATCTTCCGCAACGCGCCTCTATTAACCAAACATCAACACCACAACTCACTCATCTACCACCAAACATCGACTTTTCGTCCCAAATATCGAAACATTCCACCATTACTCTCTCAACATCGTTCAGCAATGGCCGGAGGCAAGGGAAAGTCATCGGGAGGCAAGTCCTCTGGAGGAAAGGTTGGCGCCGATAGTGGAAAGAAGCAACAGAGCCACTCAAGCAAGGCTGGTCTTCAGGTAAGCAATGCGCAAAGCTGTTTTTCGTCGGAATCGACCTTTTCGCATCCATTTTCGACGTTTTCGAGGGTTGCATCGATGCTGGGCTTTCCTACCAGCCACCCCGCCATGTCGCGTCATCAGAGATAAACAGAGGGAACTGCTCCGAACGACTGGATACACATGCGCAATCGAAGCCCCAAAGTCATATCTTATCTACGGACTTTTCGGATTCGTCATATCATAATATTTAGAGTTGAACACCATCCACGCGACTTGGTATCAACAAATTCAATCTGCGGTCAGACTGGCGAGGAACCCGCAGATTCGAACCTCGAAATCTCTAGATTTTCTTCACTCTGCAGTTGGCGCGTCACCAACATCAGATTCCATGCTAACAATTTCGTTGCAGTTTCCCTGCGGACGTGTCAAGCGTTTCTTGAAGAACAATACCCAAAACAAGATGCGAGTTGGAGCCAAGGCTGCTGTCTACGTTACTGCTGTCCTCGAATATCTGACTGCTGAAGTTCTCGAGCTTGCAGGAGTGAGTCATTCATCCGTCTGCCTGATTTATTGTGTTACTGACTTCTGCAGAACGCCGCCAAAGATCTCAAGGTCAAGCGTATCACTCCCCGCCACCTGCAACTTGCCATTCGCGGCGACGAAGAACTCGATACCCTTATCCGTGCGACCATTGCCTTTGGTGGCGTCCTTCCACATATCAACAGAGCTCTTCTCTTGAAGGTCGAGCAGAAGAAGAAGACCAAGATTGAGGTTTAGATTCTGGGTCGTATGATCTGGGTTTAGGCATCAACACCTCGGTTTCCTTCTTTCTGTACTGCGGGCTAGGAGGGTCAGGACTGAATATCAAGGTGTATGGGGATATTTTTGTGCTTTTTTTTTTACTACGTTTGCTTCAAAACAATTGTTATGGGGTTATGAATGGAGATGAGATAGGACATTACGTGTCTTGCGAGACTTGCTGAATCGAGCTCAAACACTGAGGAAAAGGGGGGCATGGCGGGTGTATTACTACAGATCAATGAAAGCTTTACTTCTAGTCAGTTTTCTTGCGTCTCATTGTCCACAACTTTGGTCTTAAGTGAGACGAAACGCATCGAAAGCAAATGCGAGAACGAAGAGAACGCAGAGACTGTTGAGGATAAGGCCTTAGTGACACTTTCTTTGTTCTCGAACCAAGCCCGACCCAATTTCAAACCCTTCATTGCCCAATGCGTGATGAGGCTGAAAGAACTTGTCTCACAACAAAGAAAAACGATTGTCTATCACTCAGGATCTAAGTACCAAGGCCCTTCATCTCAGACACTTGTCCCGATTTATATAGCAGAGGACGATCTCGATAAACGCTTCAATATGCATCGACGACTAAGCACCTGCTCCCAAATCTGATATACCATTACAATTGGCCAGTTGGCAAAGACGTCAACAAATCCCACTGCTTTCTTTGTCTGGCGGATCGAGAACTTCCTTCGTTGATCGACACCTCAATTAGACATAAATCATAAATCCGCACTCCCAAAATGCCTACTCGACCGTGGCGTATCCCTCTTCCTCCAACACGTCTGCAGAACTCCTCGGAATCCCCAACATCACCAGCGTCTCCACTCTCACCACCCTCATCCACCTCACCTCGTTCACCCAAAGGCCCACTAACAGCACCACCCCGCCTTCATCTCAGAACCATTATCCCCTCTCCACCACTCCCAGTAGAATATCTCAAAACGGCCCCATCAGCACCCTACCCTTGGATTTGGCGCTGCCATCTCTGCGGCTCAATCTATCGTCTCGGCGCGACGCGCCGCTGTCTAGAAGACGGCCATTACTTCTGCTCTCTCCCTTCACCACCGCCTTCCCCTGCTGTCCCTACAAGTGAGGATTTCTTCTCCGTCCTTCACAGCTCGGAACCCTCTTCCAAGACCGGAAAAGAGATTATAGCAGACCTGGCCGCGAACAAGAAGCGCAGCAAGAGTCGTCGACGGAAAGGAACTCGAGGTTGTCGCTCCGAGTTTGATTATGCGGGTTGGTCCAAATACAATATCTGGCGCCGCGAAGTCGCGGTCTTGAAACGTGAGCAGAAGAAGAAGTTCCTTACCAGGAGCCTGGCGGAGGGGCTGAGAGAGGGAATAGCTACCAGAGAGAAAGCGGAGAGGAGTTGGAAGGGGAGAGATTGTTGGAAAGATTGTGATTTTCCATCAGAATGCCATAATGAGAGGAAGGCGGAGAGAGAATGGGAGAGGCAGATGAAAGAAATTAGAGAGTCGGAAGAGAGGTGGGCGAGGGAGAATGAGTGGAACGAAGAAGGGGATGCTGGTAGACCGGACTCGGCCATGGGGTTGGGGGGTGAAGACCTGCTGCTGGAGAGTATTGAGTTGGATGGGTTGGAAGATAAGAAAGCTCCAGGTGATATTAGTGAGGAGGTTGTGGATGGCACGGAGAATTTGGGTCCACTCGGAACTGATTGCGATGGCTTGGGTGAACAAGTTGTTCAAGCGGAGTATACGACGAAGCGAAGAAAGAGTATGGATGCCGCGATGGCATCTGACAGTCCACCAAGTAGTCCTTTGAAGGAATGTAGTTTTGGTTTCGAGAACCCAGCGACTAGATGTCAGGTTTGGAGTAGTGCCGGATTGTGTTCTTGTGCCAAGAACGGAGAAGAGGAAGAGTATTCGAAGGACGAGGATGGCGATGTGCAGATAAAGGAGGTCTCCATGGCAAAGAGTTTACTTTTGAGAAAGGCGGAGAAGGATGTTGCGGATGAGACCTTTGGCGATGAGGATGTGGAGGTTCTATAAAGGTGGAATAGCTGTGTTTCTTGTCTTGTGTTTAATAATTAGATTTTATCGCCATTCTTTGCATATCATATGGCTTGCCAATGGTACGCCCGTTTCTCTCAGCTGAATAGCTGACATATGTGAGATGGTAGCACTTTACATAGCTATAGTTCACCGCTGATCACATTGCCGCACTCTACTAAAATGAGAGAAATATAAAATCTCACCCAGTACCAATCAAGATGAATAAAAAGTTTTCCTTCAGCGCTTTTCGCTCCAGAATGTGTGAGGCTGCTTTGGTACATTGAGCAGAAATCAATCCCAAAGTTTGAGATTTGCCGTAGATAAGCAGAAGGTAGAACTCAAAATGGCTGCAGTATCCTATCTCAATGATGGAGAAAATTGCCAATACAGCTGTAACGGCATTGGAAGAATCTTCTAAAATCCATAATCAAAAATCGTAACGTTATTTGCATTGATTTTGGAACTGAAACTTCACGTAGTTAACAAACTTCATGCAATATAAATAAATGATTCTCAATGATTTCTCATAGCATCCAGAATTATCTAAACTTTTCTCAATCCTTTCCGTTCTTCAAATCATCATGGCCCAATCCCTCATCCTCAAACTCATCTAATTCATCATCCACAATGAAAGCATCCTGTTCCACGCTCTCATACCTCACTACATCCTTGGCTACTGGTTTATTCCTAACCGCATCCAAGATCGTCTTTCCGCGAGCGTAAAAGTACCACATCGGAATCAGAACCGAAAGCTGAATGGCCAATCCAGCGTACCATGTAAACCATTTGAATGATTCCGCACCTGCCAAGTTCAGGCCACTGGATCATGTCAGCTAGGATCAGCGAGGATAGATGTGGGGAACTTACAATCCAACGTTCAAATTTCCAATAATTAACGCAGCTCTACCGAGCCAGATATGATAGTATGACACTGCGGTTCGTCTACCATACTTCAAATAGTTGACGTGATGCAAATAGCCCAGCAGTCCTTGAATGATCACGCTTGGTATCATGGACAGACCGATCCACTGGTGGAAGGTCCCAAAATGTCCACCATGCTGCAAACATATCAGAAAATTGCTCTCGAACCTTGAAGCATAGACTTACCTTGTATGACAAGTAAATTCCCATCAAGCAACCAACGACGATCGCTGATCCACCTCCAGTCTGAATAGTCCAATGAATTTTGTACGATTTGGATGATCCACTCCTAATTCCAAGCACACCAAAGGTCAGGGCAAAGAATCCAAATGAAAGCAAGAACCCATGAAGAGACACCAGACCGAAGGCGGAGTGCTTGTGGTGCTCTTTCGCGGGATGATGGTCATCAGACTCATCCTGCATGGTAGGAGGTGCTGGTCCTGCATCATCGGTATTTGGCTCTTGCGTGATTCTTTGGGTGGAGACTTGAGCAATAATATCTCCTGATTCAGAGTAACTTGATGCCATATTCAGCATAGTGAAGCCTAGATCTATTAGTCTCTTTCTAGTTCAGATGAACGTAGAACATACCTTTGGCATTATGCGGCCGCAATTTCAGGTGCACATCATCAGAGTGAGTTGGCTGATCCCAGTTCGTGGCCCAGATCCATGGCTGGGAGGGAGACATCACATCCAGAGTAGTACCACTCCAGCTCTCGCAATTGTAGCACATAATCTGAGCGTTGTACAGCCCCGTATCATCAATCCAGGTCTTGGTCACGTGCGTTTCTGGTGCATCTTCTGATACAACCTTGGGAATGGCATGGTATCTTGTAGTTCTGGTGCTGACAGTGATTCCTGGACTAATGTCAGCTTCAAATCAACTTAGATAACAAAAAGAAAGGGACTTACTACCTTGTTCACCTCCTGGGTACATGATAAACATGAGCGCATTGTCCATTTTGGGCCCAATAGCAACAGAGGCCCATCCTGTCGCATCAACCACGAATTTTGTCGAGATATGAAGAGATAGATCATTGGCTTGCGTGGTGCTGTTCTTGAAAGAAGCCACCGCAAAGCAAAGATCTGTCTTCTCCTCCGCATCCACACTGCAATATTGCAACGGCGTTGAAGCCGTAACTATCGTACCAAGTAGCCATACTGGCAAGATAGTCAACCATGACGTCTTCATCTTTGCAACACTTCAAGATCGCAATTCTTGATGGCAAGGTGTCGTCGGGATGAAGTTTAGAAAATATGTCTCCCGAAGGATTTCGTGATACCCAACGCACAAGCGTAAGACAAAAAAAGCAGTTCCTTCCGTATTGAGAAGGGGCGCGGGCAAGAATGCCGCCGCTGGACTGCAGAGCTGACCTCAGCCACGCACGAATGACGTCGCACAACAGGTAAACGAATGCAAGAAAGCACAACTCGGCCTCAATTTGCAGATGAGATACAGATATGAAAGAGAACAAGCTCTCCCTGCGGAGATTCGTGTAGAAGTTATTATTGATTCTATATCGGGATTAGCGAGCCCCTTACTGGACGTGGCTGGCCGCCGGGCGCTCGCTAAGGCATGACTAACCTCGATGCAGAGTTGGTGGCATATAGCGGAAAGATTGGGGGTTATGCGCGCGGAGTTCCGAATTGTATTGCGCAAGAATTACCTACGGGAGTATCCGAATGTGTAACGTTATGTGAGGCCGGAGAGAAGACGTTGTGTTCTCGGAAGCGGAGTGGCATTTTCGGAGAATCTTCTGAAACAGTCTAAGCACATTCGAGTCTCACACATGACTTGGACAATGGTTTCGTTGGGATCTTTGTCGAGGTTGATAAGGAATCTTGTAGTAGAGATACAAATGTGACAGTGAGGTCTCGAAACGGGAGCTGTTGGCGGAGGCTCAACATTGTTGACGGAATCACATGGTTGAAATTCTGTTCATTCGACATCTTAGTGACGTGTGGTGGCATTTTCTTCTGTAAATAACTTTCATTCTTCCGACCATTAACACTCCTACCGTGAGATGAACTTTTCTTAGCTAACCTTGATGCTCAACATCCTCGACATAACTGCCCCAATGTCCAAGACAATCTCAGAATTCGGACCTCGACAAAATGATCAACTCCATCAGGAAGTTTCTAGCATCACGTACGCCATCTTCCCCAGGAGCTTCCTCACCCTGCGAACACTCATACTGCAGGGGCTTCTCCCACTGCCTCAAGGATGAAGGCGAAAACATACTCTCCTCATCCCCAGCATATTCCTTAAACACTCTGTATGAAGACTACTTCTCCACCCCCAACTGCGAGCAGACTGACTTCGCCTGGGATTCGGAAGATGGATGGCATCAGATCTGCAATTTGTGCTTGCATGAACGATGTCCAGATTGCGAAGGAGTGATCTTTACTTCCGTCACGGACTTCCAAGACGTGTTGACCTTCGAGAATAGGGAGATCTGGATCTGTGCTGATTGTAAACATGGCTTTTGTCTAGGTAGAAGACTGAAGCTTGTGAGCTTGTGCAGGAGTTGTGGACATGAAGCTTGTGCGGAATGCTTAGGAAGGATCGATGAGATTCACCATAGACCAGCGTGTTGCAAGTGTCTGAAGGGAGCGGAAGTAGAAGTAGACAAAGGTGTATAGAATGAAGACGAAACAAGTCAGAAGTCCAGACAGGAAAGTCATTGTAGGGTTACATATTGTTTTTGGTTGTGGATAAGCCAATGAAGCCGGGAGAAGGTCTCTTACAGAAGCGCGCCAATGCTTGAGCAGCTTGATGGCTTGACAACACTCGACATATACATTGATAAAAGACTCACTGATTTCCAAGGAAGGTGAAATATCGGGTCAGGCCAAGAGACGCTTGTAGGATCACGTTTGAGCAAGCTCAGAGCAGCCTTGTCTCTTATCCCCATCTTGATCTCGTATCTGCCAATGTCTGGGCCGAGTTCAAGGCATTCAAGCAAGAAATGTCTCTTGACGAAGTCGCACTTCGGGAGTCAAGGAGTATTCGAAGCTGATCAACTCTAGTTCTGACTGCTATGCATTCCTCAGCCTCCATCATCTCGGGGCTTCATATAGTGTTGCGTGGGTTGCTTATTGTTCGATGGACGGTCTCGGATCCTGAGAAGGCTGCAAGACCGAAGTCAACCATCGAGGGAGGATATCAGCAAGAAAGAGCGTTCTCTATCTCTTGCCCACTCGATCAAGAATTGTTTCTTGCAGTTATCCTGGCATGTCGACACGTTGGGCGGGGCGTGGTTGCTCGAAGCAGAGTTTTCGACATAATTAAGTGTATCGCCTTGCGGCCTCTCTCCTCCATTGCTCCCTCCGAGCGTGTGTTGCTATGATCATAAATGATCTTTTGCCCATTTTCTCTACCAATGCGCATAAATGGGAGAGCTCGTTTCGGAGGTAAATCCCTCGCAACTTTCTGCAGACCATTTCAATTGGCAGACAAGATGCTTCAAGTATGCGGCCTCGGGTTAGGGTGGCAGACCATGTAGCTTGTGAAGGGTCGAGCGGATATTGGTCGTCGCGATCTATCCTGCTTGTGGGAGGTATTGGATCAAGCATCCTCGAGCTTGCAGATCGTGTAAGCGGTCAAAGGATTGCCATGTCTTTGCCTTACACTTTGTAATTGCTGTCTTGCTGATGTGTGCAAGAAATGTGTTTATCTTCATCATTGGAACATTGTACGAAAACTTTATCCTAAAGTTCCAGCTTACTTCCATAGGGTTAGCGTGTCCCTCGTTCAGCCGGACTTTCAACAGTGCCTTTACCCGAGTACCAACATTGAGCTTATATCAAGCAGAATACAAGTATAAATAATGTAACAATCGTCTGTAAATAGGCAACTAAGATTCAAATCGGCACTCGATCAACCAAATACAGATCATGGCTTCCACGGAACCCTATACACTCTATTACAATAAATGGTCTATTTGTTCTCAAATGGTACAGTTGACGTTCGCATTCAGAGGCGAGCCCAAGGATGCGGGGTCGCAAATGACCATAGAGAAGAAATCAATTGATATTATGAACGGCGAACAACTGGAAGAGGCATATTTAACTGAGATAAATCCGAAGGGACAGGTTCGTATGCTCAATATTTTGCGACTCGCATTCTAATAAGAGATAGGTTCCAGTATTAACACACCCTTCTAGACTGCCGAAGCCCATCGCAGACAGTCTTGATATCACATACTACATCACAACACAATATCCTGGTCTGGTTCCTGAGAGCAACAAGGACCAATTGATTGAACTTCTCAAAGAGCTGCATCGAATAAATTTCTTTTCTCTATCCTTTGGCAGCAGAGTTGGAGCGGTCAACGCCCAAAAGACTGCTGTTGAAGCAAAGCTCGCGCAGACCGATATTTCCGCCAAATACCGGAAAGCGCTGGAATATAAGAAAACAATGTGAGATAACGTCAATTTGTCATTGCATGATAGCTAAATGGTTATTAGTATTCGGGATGAAAAAGTCAATGGGGTTACTCCCGAGGAAATAGAAACTCAGAAGAGCAACACAACAACCTTCCTTGACAAAATCGCCAAACTCTACAACCCTGGCAGTGGTCCATGGCTTTGGGGCCGGATATCCCCGACTGTGCTTGATGTTCAATTAGCTATATTTCTAGCACGATTGCATGATGTTGGGCACGCGATATTGATTCCAAAGCATCTATTACCATTCTACAGTACAATGACAGAGACGAATGAATGGAAAGATGTCTACCAGGGCCGAAAGACTATGTTCGGGGTGTAATTGAAAGAAGAACTGGAGCGTTCTGTTTGAAGTTGGTTTTTGTCTACTCCTCATCGTCGATCTCAAAATCCAGATATTGCTTAGTAGTCGAGAAAAATTCACTGTTCCTCTTTTCATCTCCCAAATTTGCTACCTCTCTCCTCACAAGCATCTTCCAATACTGCCGTGCGTGGTATTCAGTATCTCCAAAGCTATGCCATGCCGTAATTTTCAACTCCCGACCACCTGCGCCGGTGTATTGGACATGCCATTTCGTTGGACAACCTCGACAAGTCCACAAAGCCTTGGTGCCAGGAACAGCGGAATCCATCTGTCTCTTTTCACTGGACGTGGCGTCCCTGAACAAGTGGGGGGACGGCAAACCTGCCCGAAGCGAAGACGGGATTTCTCTTGAAATGGAATGGGTCAAAAGGCCACTTGGAAGGCGACCATTCGTGTAGCGATTTGGTTCTGGTTTGTCGGTGCTGGTGGTTTGATGTGGGCACAGGCGAACTGGGAGAGCCATAATATTTTTCATTTGAAGAGGGGATTGAGCCTTAATACCACGGAAGATGTGTTGATGTTTGAGGATCAAGTTCTCCCCGATTTGGCGTCCAGAGGAGGTCAAGGTGTAGTTGAGCCGTTCGTGTTGCACGGTATAATTCCCACTCAAAAGCTCCATGGGAAAACCAATCTCGTCCGTAGATTCAAGGACCAAGTTCTCGCGAGCCTCCTCGATATGCTCCCAAAGGAGGCTGTACCCTTTCAGGTAGTCAATGGTACTCCATTGCCCGAAGCAGTGTTTTGTCAACTTTGTTTTTCTGTGTTCGCGCGGCGGCTTGAGTGGAGGATGTAAAGTGTTGCACCAAGCACAGAAGATCATATGTGGTGCGTCGCGATGGAGGAGAGGGATCAATCTTCGTCGGAAATTGGAGGTCCGGTCGTAATAAACCTGGCGTTTGGTGTGACATTCGGTCCACGGTTTTCTTCCCACAACGTTCAGAATCGGTTTGCAGGTGAGACTCAGGCAGGTCAATGCATCGGGCTCTAGTAGGGACGTGATTTCGTCGAAGATCTCTCGTGGAAGGTTTCCAAGTCGATTTGGAGCATTTTCGGCCTCGTCGGAGCTTGGGAGGAATGAAAGGGAAGCCTTTTTTGCTCTTTTCCTGGCTTGGACCTTTGCGGCAGTCTTGGTCTTCTCTGCTGCTTCTTGCGTTGCCTTTCTCTTACTCTGCCTTGTTGATGCGACTCCATCGATCTCTGCGTTGACTGTCCCAGCATTCGTTGAGCTGACTCGAACATCGCCTCGAGTTGTCCTCCTAGTGTTGACCATGATTGTCAGAGGGCTAATCTTTCTCGCGAAACTCTGCTTTTCGGAAGTGGTCGACGTTTGAAATTGAGAATTTCCTGAATTTATGTTTCGAAAGTCGCGTCCTTTTGAAGAAAATAGTTGGTGCCGTTAGCGTGGCGCGAAAGCACGTGAAACAGGCAGCAACACAACTTGTCGGTCTGCTAATAGTATCATTCCTGTAGGAATCCGCACGCTACTTCATTTTGGGTCTGGGCCTTTTCTTTCTGTCGCTCTGCGGCCTGGGATTCATGTTTGAACCATGGTATTTGAATTACCTAGGTATCTATAGTGTACCTCTGATCATATGTTAGTTTCTTGCCATTTAATTACTTTACCTTAATTTAAAGAGGAGAGGACTTATGCCGCTTGAAAATAGTGAATCACTAACGGACTTTGAATCTTTATATAAATTCTGTCCGTGCGCTCTCTTCAAGTTGAAGCAACATGTCTCCATATTTCTAGCAAGCTAATATATGATGAAGGGAGTACACTGTACGCTCCTAGTGAAGAAGTGAATACTCTCTGACCTCTATTCTGTCTCTAGTCTTTATTCAATGCCATGTCCCATTTGGTGGTCCAAACATTCCACTTTCGGGAAGCTGGAGCCAAGGTAGTCCTTGCCCATCAGCCGTATTCAAATAAACATTATTTCCTACACAATTGTCAATTTGAGTCTGGCGTCGCTGGGTACTGATGACTTACCCCACCAATCAGGAAAAACTGCTCCTGGGTACGTGATGCAGAAGAAAATGACAATGGCGGACAGAGCAAGCCCGGTGTCTAAAGCAGCAGCCAGGACGTAATTATATTTGGCTATTACTTGTCAGTATCGAGACATCATCATGGGAACCAGAGAATGCGGAAAGACTCACTCCACCAAGCAAAGAATTTCCTCTTGATCCAGTAATTGAAAATGATGTTCACCAATGCCCAACTGCTGTAGTTGATACCAGTAGCAGGTGGAACATTGTAGGTTCCGACGAAAATGAGAGGCCAATTGACGAGACTGATCCATTCTCTGCTTGTTCCATCGGCTCTCTTCCAATACTTCCAGATCAACCACGTGACTACTGGCATGAGAGCGCCGATCCAGAAGAAGTGAAGAAGGCCGGAGTAGATCTTGCCGATGGAGTAGACTCGTGCTGGTCCAATAGCTCCCCAAATGACCGATGAAGAGAAGGCTGTTCGACCATTGGGGCAGCTGAAGCCGTTTGATTGGTCTGCATCGCAGATGCCTTTGACATTCCCAAGCATCCATAACGTAACACCAGTTTGTGTGAGGGCGCCTAAGATCTTGTTCTATCAGCATCTGCCATATCGAACTTAGTCAGATAACTTACCGTTGCGCTTCCTTGGGCAAAGAATAGTGTCCTAGGTGGAATTTTGAGATAGTGTCCAAGCTTCATATCTTGAGCGAAGTATAGTCCCTGACCCACCACATCCGTCGAAAGGACTTTGAAGATCATGTCTTCCAAGTGTAAGCATGGATCTGACGGCTAAGACAATGAATGCACATACTCGCAAGAGGTTTTCCATTGAACATGTATCCACCAATGAACTCTGCCAGGACGTTGAGTTGATTAGCATCCACATTCGTGATACCCTGTATGATGCCACAAGGAATCATGTAAAGCGCTGGGATGATGGTAGCCAAGATGATCGCCCAGACAGGTAGCCCAGTGCTGTAGACATGAACCCTGGGTAGCCGGGAAATCAGCATTTTCCATCTTTGTTGTTTCAGGAGGGGGCAGTGTCTCGGGAAAAAGGGAAAATGGGGCTTCCCAATACCTACATAACCATTGAAATAACGACCATGATCGCAGTGACTATACCATACCACCACCAGGGAGTGCGCTTGTAAAGCCTCATCAATCGTGCGTGGATGTCCAATTTGGTTCTGCCTGCAAACGCCTCTCTTATTTGGGTTCCGTGCCAGACGTAAATGTGGACTGGAACGGCAGTGAGGGCAGCAAAGGAGATTCCGTAGACGAAAGCGAATGTGGCTGGAAGAAATGGTGGAGAGTAGGCTTCATATGCTGGGATGTTGAACGTTCCGTCGCTATTCATGACTCGACTGACATTGTACACTTGGGCAGTATTGTCATACAGATCAGCTGTACAGATAGGGAGGTATGCCAGAAACCAGACGTTAGCATAATATAATCCTGGAGTGACGATCCAGAAGAAGACCGCGAACCCGACAAACACATTGATGGCTTTGAAAATTAGCATGCAATTCTATTTCCAGCGAAAGCGTGACTTACCAGCCCAACTGGGTGATAAAAGAGGATTCGTATTATACGCAACCTGAGACCAATCAAAAGTGATTGGAGAAAGACCTAAGCCAGTCACCATTCCAAAGAGATGATTGACAACCAAGTTGTTGGGAGCGATCCAGCAAACCCAAGTGAAATACGACAAAGCCGTGAACATTAGGCCGGGGAAGAAGTACCAAACACCTGCCCCTACCATCACGTACATGAAGAATCGCAGCCTGCTGATCTTCCAACCATTCGCAATGGCATTTGCTCGTGAATGCAAAGTCGAGAGTAGAGCGCAGTTTGACAAGACACCTGGCCAAATGATCGTAGCAGGCTCCACCAGCCATGGTGAAGAAAGCCCTGCCACTCCAAAACCTAGCAATTGACAGCATAGCACGATCAGGACCGAAAACCCAGGCTTCAAATCGAAATTGTAGAACGCTTTTGCAGCTTGGATGGTGTTTGTCGAGTCTGCAGATCCAAAACCAAAACTGACATTGCTCATAATCGTAATGACGGTGTGTTCTTTGATATTGAAATGTCGATCTGGGTTGATGCACCATTTTCCCAGTGGACCCAAGTTGATCGTATAGATGGGCAGTACTTTGGCAAGGAAGACTCCAAACGGATATGCGAGCAATTCGGCCACAAGAGCAACAATATGGACAGACGGATACCGGAGACTGAAGAACTGGTTGATTCCAGATCCAATCATGGTGAACGCAAAGCCCAATATCCACATTCGCAAGGTGTTTACTGGGATCGCTTGATCATCCACAGCAGGGACAACAGCACGAACTTGGCAAATTAGCATTCATTGAAGATCACAGAAGTCAGCTGACACTCGGGGAGGGCAATAAGTACCTTCTGGGTACGGAGATTCATCACCGTCTATATCTTCAATTCCTTCTTCACGAAGAATTCTCGAGACATCGACTTCCAACTCCTTCAAGTGGCCATGCTCCATGTCTCCATGGTCCAGATCCTCCTCGTTTGGCGTGATGTTATCCATTTTCACGTCCTTCTCATCGACCCTTTCGGGTCCATCGTCAGATGATATCGCATCAGACATGCTTCCTCAATGTCCAGAAGATGAGACAAAATCGATCAGACTGGGAGAAGTCCTCGAGACATGGGGATTGAGATGCTCAAGTATCATTTCCGAGGCCATGACATTGCGTGGCCATGCGGGCAAGTAATCCCCACACCGTGGCACGTTGAATTGACGTTACAATCCCGCACAGTGGCGCGTAGCCCGGCATTGGGCAATCCAAGTATTCTCGGTCAGCACCGACGATAAGAATGGCGATCTTAGGTATTGGAATTCGCATCTGGATGAATTTGACTTTTTACGTTCGATGTACAGTCTTACATCCTTGACGTTGATAAGGCAAGGGGACTGATCGGGAACCTGTATCGACCTTCCCCTTTAGTCCATAGCTCAAAAGTCACGAGACGATTTGGAACTTCATCTGATCACAATGACTGTCGTCTTTGGCATTTTTGGTATATGGATGGTACTACTACAAACAAAATCAACATGCGTCGACTCCTTATGCGCCTCAAACACTCGTTTGGACATATTCTGTACCACTGTCCTTCATTGCCCCATTGTTCCTCGCGGAAATGCAACATTTCAAGCACGCAAACTCTGTACTCGTCACAATTCTTACAATGCAAATGCGAAAACGAAAGCAGAAAGCAAAGCCAATGACCAACTAACAATCTTCCCTGAAGCTCCGCTTGTTGGTGCAGTTGTCGAGGATGTGCTTGATCCTTTCGAGGAGGAAGTCTTGGAAGCTGTTCCGTTCGAAGCGGCAGATGACACAGAGCTGGTCAACGTAGTCGATGCTCCAGTTGAAGAGGATGTGCTTGAGAAAGTTGCGCTGGGCGTCGATTGGACAACAGTAATGGTTGATGAGCCTGATGTGGTCGTTGACACAGTTCCGCTTCCAGTCGCAGATGTCGACGCAGAGCTCGATGGAGAAGCTACTGAGCTAGTAACAGAGCTGCTGGTTGTGCTTGAAGAAGTATCTCCGCCGCCTGTAATGTGGAATGGAAACGATTCTTGGAATTCTGTAATCGGATTGCCGTCGAGGGTAAGGTTCAAGCCATAAGTCGCAAATGAGCCGACGGTCGATGGGATGGTCCAATTATATCCGCCAGCCTGGGAACTGATCGCTGCTGCGAAGATTTAGTATACCGCTCGGTTCTACATTTCGTGTATGGAACACTTACTTCCTACTGTCATCAGATGTTGGAGGGTGGATGGGGAAGCTCCGCCGTTCATAACAATAGACACGGTTCCACTAGAGGTCCCTGCTGTCCAAACAATGGGGAGAATGCCCCCAGCAACGAAATTCGAGTCTTTTGGAGGACTGGTAAGGACATCGAAACCTTCGGTAGGAACTTGCGCGCGAACGGATGCAATATGCGAAAGAACGAAAAGAGCGATTGTTGAAAGATACATGTTGAAGAAGGGTCTTGAATTATAGCGAATGAAAGGGATATAAGGCGCAAAGTATAGACTGGACCAAAAACGAGAGTGGTAAGATAGGATAGAGAGAAAAGAAGGAACTGGACAAAGGAAAAAGTCCCTTATTTGAACGTTTCATTTCCCTACATTTTTTACCCGGCGGTGGCCTACTTGAGATTAAATTTGCGGCGCAGGTCCGCGGCAAAGAGACGATTTGGGATCTCAGCCTTACCGCATGTGTGGTACGGTCTGATTTTGTGCCGCTTAAGTACTATCAGGTGATTTGCTGACCGAATATTTGGGGTGTTGAATCTCACGCAGACAAGGGCTTGTTTGCACTTCATTTGTTGGTTTATGGAGGCATCCACTGTTGCCTCGGCGAAATCAATAAACTGCATGCACAAAATGGGATAAATCTGGCGCATGCAGGCACAGCCACGCATAAGCCAGAGTATTGTGAAGTACAAATATGCTTATTTTTAAGCAGCGGTGTCGCCGTTAGCGTTCCAATTGGACTGTTTGAGGTTTGTCGTGAGTCTGGGGATCAGGGGTCCTCGCTTGGATCTCACCGAATACGGGATATCGATACATTAGACGAGATGGCCATTCAGAGGCATGCTTCCTGCATCAGCAATAAAATGCTGCTTCGAGAAGAACAAGAGCGACCAATCACACCCCCATACCCGTGTCATCTTGACCTCCACTTGACATGATAAAAATCTTCCCCATTCTAGGACCGAGAGAAATAAATCAGTCATGAGCCTGAATTGCAGTCTTGGTAATCTCAAAGAGGCCTTTTTAGGTGCAAACAAGAATAGATCGCGATCCAATCCGAGACGCTCTTTTACATTGTTTCTCAACCGGGTGAATGTTCTTGCTCTGCGGGATACTTTCCCGTGCTCAATGTCAAGTGAGAATTAGTTTTTAGAGCATCTCTCAAGTCCCGAAACAAGTACTACGTTCTTACCACACTATGGCGCAATCCAAAGTTCGGCCGTCCGTACTAACAGGTTTCTTTCCATAAGTTCGGCTCTCAGAAGCTTCACAACCTCCTTTGAACAAAGACTACGCCTTTACCACACAATGGTACGATGAAAAGTTCGTGCGTCTGGACCGACAAGCTCCTCTTCATAAGTACGGTTCTCGGAAGGTTCGCGATCTAGTACCAAAAAGATACTTTCCACCACGAAAACCCAATGTATAGACAAGACCATTTTATGTCAAGTTCCTAAGTGAATTTAAATATCAAGGAAACTCTGCACCAAATCACCCGGCTGATCAAAGAAGTCAAACATGACAATTCCCACCCTCTTTCCCTCCTGCTCCTTGAAAAAAGGAATCAACCTCTGGTTCACACCTCCTAGCGGGGTATCCGTTCCATTTCCCAGTGCCATAATTTCCGGCGTCTCAATCGGATTATCGGAATCATTCTCACTGGATGCAAAGGTCCAGAATAGACTATCCGGATACTGCGTCGTGGCTTTGATAATGTGCGTTGTCGTCGCGTTGTATTTTCTTTCAATGTTGTAGGCGGCCCCTTGCCCGTACGGTTGTCCTGGTTCGTAGAAATCTTCGATGTAAGCGGTGAGATTTTGGGCAGCGTTGTATATGAGGGTTATGTCAGGATCATTGTCGATCCATTGATCGGCGGAGAAATAGATGCCTTGGATCGAGTCTGAGTATGAGGATGGGAGGGCTGAGAGATCGAAGCGGCGAAGTAGGGTAATTTTCCCACGGGCTTCTCCCAAGGTACCGAATACATTTTGGGCCTGGAGGAAGTACTTCTTTGCGACGGGGGTAGTGAGGGTGTTGTAGATGGCAAGCTGGACAGCGGCATCGTCTTGAGCGTAGGCAGTGGTTGATCCTTCGTAGTTAAAAGACAGCAAGAGTGCTTCGCTTGGGTGATCGTCAAGCCATTTGTAGAAACCGAATAGGACATCGCCCATAGTTGCAGTTTCAGACTGAAGGGCTTGAGAATGCCAGAAGACAAGTGTAGAATTTGTTGGATCGAAAGCAACACGGAGATCGAAGACACGAATACCAGCGTTCAACATACTGATAATGGGCTGTTCTTGGCATCTGTAGATCTCGGGAGGATAAACCTAGCCCGAACACCAGAGTCAGTACATTTCCTCCATATATCTGAGAGACGATCATGTCCTACAAACTGCGTCGACTTACAGTAACTCCATCCAAGTTAGTCACATGATCAAGAGCTTCTTGAGTGGCTAAAGAATAGTTCCAGGTCTGAACATCATGGACCCCAGGGAGATTCATATGAACGATCTTGGTGCTGTCTGGGTAACTTTTCATCCATGTTGAGGTAGAAGTCTTGTTCTGGACATAGTATCCGAAGATTGGAGATGCATCATCGAGCACCTTTTGCAGAGCGAGGTCTGCAAGTGACAAGCTTTTGTTGGCACTTCGAACTTGGACAGTTGTTGAAGCCAGAACGGATAATGCCAGTGAGGCAAGCACCGCGAACGAAGATCCCAGCATCTTGATATTGTTGGGTGGAAAGCGTATCTCAATCGTGATGGAAGTTGAGGGCCTTTCGTGATGCCCGGTTGACGAGCTGTAGAATTGTTAGCGAGCGGTCCGCTAAAATTAGGGAAAGGGCGAACGCAAATCAGGCCGCTTCAATTCAGTCTTGAGTGCCTAGAGCGTATTGACGGATCATCCCATTCCAGAGTTGAGACTCTCTTTAAGATATACATCGCTCCCTCTCGCACGTGCTGTAATCAAATTCCTCATGCCTGCTCGTGCTATAAATTGCTCCGCAGGTCGCTGTTCAGGTACAAATGGGCATGTGCTGCCATTGGGGCAATATTACTCGCTAAGCGCTGAAATTTAGGCCAAACGACGCTGATCTCGGTAGAGCGGCCGACGCTGGTAGGGCCCGTTTTACCCCACCTTTGCCCGCTGGAGAGAACATGTGGCAGCGTCTGGGACTGGAACATACTTGAACTGGACTTCCATTGGTATGGATTATTTCATGACGGGGACACTTTTTTCTTTTAGGTTTTTTCTTCAAGATCGAGCTCTTTCAATTCAACTCATCTCTTTCAAGTAGTTCTTGCTATCTAATAACATTTGTGCCTTTCAGCAGCTCAGCATATGGATCTGCAAAATAACTTTGTTTTTGGCTGTCAATTACTTGGATTCGTACTGCAGAACCGTGAGGGTTCTAGTGGCCCAGTAAAAGTGGAAGCTTATGTTCCTGTCCAATGGACCAAAGTAGTCAACTTCTACTACTCTTTCAATGAGAAATCCTCCCCCAAGGGCTATCTCGCGGGTCCTCTCGCAAACCCACATTCTGCCACTTGTCTCCCACTAATCTCATACAAAAGGTCCCCCCTCACCTTATGAATCTCGACTCAGCTGTCCTGACCAACGGCCTCTGACTTGGTCCTAACCCCTTCTCTCTTCTGACATATCTGTGCGCATGCCACCTGATAAACCACCTGATAAACCACAGAACCGCAGCATACTCCATCAATATGTAACTGATCCAAACCAACGCTAAGAGGTTACCCCCGCTATATGCTTCGATCCCCAACCCATCACCGAGGTCATTGACAAGACTTGAGACTGCGACTTGGATTGCTGTCGCAGCAAAGGCAATCACTGCAAAGCAGGCAGTTGCCAGGGCAGCAAGACAACCAATGACCAAATGGACGAGCCATCGTCGGAAGAAGGAGAATAGGATTTCAAGTGGCGCAAGGATGATAAGAATCCCCGCTGAGACGATGCCGATGATCTGGAGAGCGAGAACAGTTTTCAATACTGCCTTGATTTGGCCTCCGCTTGCAGACAGTTTCGCGGGGATGTTCAAGGCCGAGAAGTCCAGCGTTGTTGTTCCAAGCTGGACTGTCGAGTTGGTAGAGTTGATGTGGAGATCAGCTGTGGATCCTGTTAGTGCGTCAAATGATGGTGTTTAAGGTACACCTACTGTATTGTGTACATGAACTCGTGTTCATGCCATCTGAAGATGTGTACTCTCCATCGCAGAAACCAGTCATGTAAAGGCCGTACCAGTCCTTGACCCCGAGAGCCTTCGTAACATCTGCGACGATGGAGTTGACGACCTGAACAACCTCATCGCCTATTGCCCCAGTCGCTGATCCGACGAGTGCGTTGAAGAACGATTCCAAGTCTCCTAGGAGACCATTAGAATCTGTGCCGCTGGACGTTGAAGCTGTTCCAGTGGACTGTGGTGGAGAAACTGCGGAGGAGAGACCTGATCCAATAGAGGCGAAGAAGGAGGAGACTTGAGAAGGACTTGGTAGGCTCAGCGGGTCCCTGCCGTGGAGGACTGGTGCTGCAGTTGGTGCTGGGATATAGGGGACGTTGGCCGCCCTCGCAGCCACCGAAGCACTTGAAGTTCCTGAAGCACCGGCAGTCTCGACCTTGATTGCATTTTGAAAGATCGTGGACGTATTCAACTGGAGTTTTTTGGTCAGTACAAGGTCTCGACAGATACGAATACTATGAATAATGACTTACCATTACCAAGTCATATTGAATAAGACCTCCTTGTTTAGAAGTTGACAGGAGAGCCAATAGCGATAGAACAAAAGCAACAATAGACGCAAAAGCAGTAATTATCGGTGCGGTCCTGTCATGAAGAAGCATAGTTGTGAAGCGTTGGAAAGCCATGGTCAAAGCGGATTGCGATCTCGGACCAGTTTGGACTCTATCAGGGGAGAATCGTGACATGAAAACCCACTTCACACATAAGTGTATCTCTTTATTCTGGAGTGTGAAGAGTCGTTAATGAAACCAGTTTGAGCTTGCTTCTCAGACAATATGTACTGAGGAGACTTGGAGAAGAAACAATGAGGTCAGTCAAGAAAGGCGACTCAACTCCTCAATCAATGCGTTGGCCATCATCACGCATAATGACCATATTATGGAACAAGACAACTCCATCGAAGCATATACATTGGATGAAGTCGTTTGTTGCGAGGGTAAGTTCGACTGGGGATCCTTCTCCAAAGATGCGTGACGCGACTGCCGCACTGCCGTTCTTGGAAATTCATGCGATGAAACATCAAAAACTTGAAGCGATGCGAGACTCTCTACACCGAGGAATTTTCGAAATACGTAACAGAACGCCTAAAAAGAAGCAGAAAGTATAAACACAAGGTGTTCAGCCTCGATGATGAAATTCAGCTGTCAACAATTCGAGTGAGTTTGTAGATCGCGCTTTGGCGTTGACCTGGCATTGCGGTTGGCGGAAATGTCTATCATTGGTGTTTCTGTCCGAGGCCCAAGCTCCGTCTCGTTCTTTGATGATTTGCGATATCTGAGTCCTCGTGTTCGGGTATGAGGCTACTGGTTGTTTTGATCGGAATGGTCACTGTCCTCGCAAAGGAATGTTGCTATTGCGTCCCTTACCCTTCACGATATGTAGCGAAAACCGGCAGTCTGATGAGCGGGTTCGTATTCGTGAAGTAATCTTACTTTTGGGTTTTTCTATTGATGGGGCATTCGACTTAATCTCAATAGTCCACCAAATGGGCTGGCACAGAGAAGCGATGATGTCGTCAGCACCCGTTGTCCGGCTGATCAGTTTAATCATGGAGGCTGCTGTTTCTTACTGCTCATAGAAGAAGCAAGAAAGGATGCATTCGAGTGGGCATGCATTTGAGGACGTTGCAATTATGGACATCGAGGCATTTCCACATTGTGGACTTGACCGGCTTGTCTTCTCTCGCATACGTTGGAGCTCGAAAGCCAACAGGAATGATACTCTTCAAGCAACACGAACGCTCGCCTATCGACCCCGCTCAAGGTTATCGATAAGCGAGGACGAAAGGGGGGCATGGTGAGCAACTGCCTAATGGATACTAAAGACAACAATCTGCAAGATTGGCAGAGAGAGCACTTCACTGGGAGTGTTCCACCCGCATGTAGTTTGTACTCGTTCTTACCAGCGATATCTTCACAGCAGCGAATGAAGCAGTGTCTCTTATCGCAACCCCACCATGTTCAACACTGGATTGAAAGCCACATTTTCAGCCCTGTCACATCGAAATCCGAATATAACCAATGGAAATTCCAAACAACATACACTTACCTACGCCTATCATTCAGATTCCGATTCCCTCGATCTTAGTTTTGCAGTGTCATGCGGGGTCGGCAACCTTAATAAAGCTTGATTTCCGGGGAGTCCGGGCGGCATACCTTGATATTCCTTGGCAACATGTCTGCCTTCTTTCTATCTTAACCTCACAGTCTTACCAAGATGCATTTCGCAACAGTAGCCAAAGGCCTCGTTCTCACTAAATCCCACTCCCACACGCACTCCGACTCTACTCCCGCCGATTCCACTCCACCTTCTGCACCCGAACCCGTCCCGCACAAAATCAACAAAATAACCACGCTGCCCGAATTCGAGCAAATCCTTACCGACCATCACCACCGACGCGTTATCATATTCTGCGTGACCACAACGTACCGAGATCCCGACGTCGATGAGGAAGGGTGGTATCATCACTATGAGAAATTGAACGACGTGCATTTTGTGCGGGTGGATTTGGATGAGAGCGAGGAGTTGGAGGAGAGGTTGAAGCCGAGGGTGAGGCCTTGTTGGTTTAGTTTCCATAAGGGGCAGGAGACTGGGTGGAGTAGTGGGGGGATGAAGAGGTTTTTGCAGATGCATTCTGAGAGGAAGGGGTCGCATTAGGTTTTTGACGATGGATATTGTGGATTTAGGAGTGAAGAATGTGTGTTGATGAAACGACCTAAGTCCGTGGGATCGCACTACGATCCTCGACGTGATTGCAAAGACTGAAAACAAGGAAAGTTGGGGATGGAGATCCAACGCGGGGAGTATGGGGACTTCTCCTCCTTATGTATGTTGAGTTTGATGATTGCACGTGTTCCTACTGCTTCTGCCGGCAAGTTCCAAGTTAATGAATACATTTTTACGCCCCAATTCCTCCAAACACCTCAATCTATAAGAATTGTAACCAAATATTCGCTCCACACAAGCTCTTCCCCGGCGAGACAGTCGCTTACACCATCAAACTTCCTACACCGACAGCCACGGCTCCTGTGAAGCCGAGCAACATCCATCGAATAGCACCCTTCGTCTCAACACCAGCACTTTTCGATGTTGATGTCGAGGTACTGCTGGTGCTTGTGCTTGTTCCAGTCGTCGAGCTGGTACCTGTAGAGCTTCCTGCAAGAGCGGCAGCAATGACACCACCTTGAACATTGGATGGTGCGACAGTGCTGTTGACGTTTGCAGCAGCGGCGATGTAGGCATCAAGAGTCTTTGTCCCAGTGGTACTGAAGAAGACATTAGTCACGGCGTGCTGAGTAGTGAGGTGATGTACTTACGCTTGGTTGATCACACCAGCCATTCCTTGCTCGCAATGTCCGGGGTAAGCACAGTAGAACCAGATTGGGGCGGTGTTGTTGATGGTAAGTTGGAACGTGTTTACGTTAACTCCAGAGGTGGTGCTCATACTACCACTGAAGAAGCTCGTTCCATTGGTGAGAGGGACGCATGGGTCGGCGAATGTGGATTGGGCGACGGAGTGCTTGGCTGGGTAGAAGTGGAATTCGACAATATCGTTGACCGCAGCGGTAATGTTGTTTGGCGAGAAAGCAAGGGCACCATCGCCTACTTTGATGACGTGCACGGTTGCTCCGGATGATGTGGTCGATACTGAGGCTGGTGAGCTCGAAGTTGTTGAGGCTGGATCGTTGCCATATTGTGCAAAGGCAAGGGGGAGGGCGGAGAGAACAATGGCGAGTGCTGAGTAAAACATTTTGGAACTTGGAATATAAAGCAAGACCAGCTTGGAGATGTCTAATTGGTTGAAATGACGAAGAGGTGGATAAATTATATTGAGAAAGTATGAGATGATTCTTCCAAAGTGAGGACGACTTCTACCTATTTATTCACCATGGCCCCTCTTCTTCCCATCGTAAGATCAAGTCCCAATCAAGAAACCATAGCCAGAAGCGCAGGGACCCATTCAGACAGGCGTCTATCCGTCGGAAGTTCAAGTGTGGGGACCTATCTGATCTTCTGATCGAGGCCGGGGTGCTGATATCCCCATGCAGTTGGGGAGGTCTGATACACGAGTGTAACTTGTGTCCCTGTTGAATTGTTTCTGAATATGTTCGTCCCAAGGAGCAGACACGGGATGTTCAACCGGGGTACCTCCAATCATAACTGGGCTAGGCGCGGAATGGCGGCTACTCAGCCCCTTTTCACGACCACGACAAAAATTATTGTGGAAGCAGAGAAACATTCAACAGGCTTAAGTGATCGTCTGGCAGGATATTCGACCACTCGGGTCCAGCAGAAAGCGGTTGCGAATGCGCAAAATCTGGCTTTGGTGTTAAGACTGACGACATGATGCCTTCACCACTGTTGCAGTTCTCGACAGTCGTCGCGCAGATTGCGTTACTGAAAAGGAACAAGATTAAGCGTTCTGACAAGTTGACATGCGGCGCTATGGTCAACGAGGCGTCGTCTGAGGAGAATTGAAGTGACATCGGGCAAGGTCGAGGATTGGACCTGGACGCCCTCGCGTTTCGAAGAGTGTGATTCAACCTCGATGGAGAAAGTTGACAAGGGAAAGGCGGTGCTCAGGGCATGTTGTTGGTTTGTCAGACGCTTAACGGCGGCCACTTGGGGACTGTTGCTGGCGGTTCTGCTCATTATCTGGGGATGAAGAAGGAGAAGGGGGATTGTTTCAATATCGATGTTTCTGATCGTCTGAAGTTTGATTTGAGTTTTCAGCCTGAATTTGCACAGCGCTTGGACCAGAGCGAGGCACGTGTTTCTTGGCATTGAATCTTCCCCTGATTTTGCCACATCTAATCTCTGATGGCAGAAGGAGTCTGTTTTGAGAAGAGGAAACATGAAATCCCGAGATTGTAGATTCACGTGTGGTATTATTATCAGCAGCTTCAATCTCGGACAGTCACCGAGATACCTCCGCGACTGGGAGGACATTTGTCTGTCTTCAACAGTCCCTTATGTAGAGTGATAGCTTTACGAAAAATCTCAAGCATACGTTACAGGGCAATCGCAGTCACGAGACTTCACCAAAGAATTTTGCCTTCACTGTCCCTACATTTTGTTCCATTTGTTTTATGTTTACAGTGTACCCCTCTAATCATATGTTAGCTTCTCGGAAATATGGAGACATGCTGTTTCAATTTAAGGAGAGTGAATAGAAAGACTTGAAGTCTGTAAGCAATTGAGTACCTTGAAATGGCATAATTTCATCTCATCTCCAAGTCAAAGTTAAGTAATGGAGAGGCAGGAAACTGGTATATGATCTGGGGAACACTCTGTGTTTGCTTGACATCCTGTCTTGATATCTTTAAGAGATCGTGAAATTCGTCAAGTCAGAAGGTTCTCTCATGAAACAATGAAGAAGAGCATCCACCGAAGAGTCGCCTTGAACGCTGCATCAAACCTTTTTCAAGAAATCGAGTCCTGAAAGCATATCCAGTGGCTGAGATTCCGAGATATTGCTAATGCTAGACAAAGCAGTTGCATCCACTGAACAATCTAGCCATTCAGTGCAGAAGCCCACGACCACCAAACTTGACCTACGTCTACGTCTCGATACTCTCCAAATTACTAACTCGAATGACTTCTGATTTGCAAATCAGATCATGCTGTTCATGTTGAGTGGCGAAAAGTAGCATAAGACCTTCCCGCGAACATTCATGGACGAGATATTGCACGAATTCGAAGATGGAGAACACCGCCACTGTGTTGCGAGTCGTCGGCCTCGTTTCTTGATTGAGAGGCGCATTGCGTTTGAGTGTCTTCTTGAAGATAAGATACCGTGATTTGACCAGAATGATATGAGACGCTGTTGATGTTTTGCGCGATCTTGTACTTGATGCCTATCTGAGGTCTACAGTGGGTCCTCGCTTGAAAAAGGGGGGCGGGGTAAGTAAAAAAAAAAAAAGCATTCACAGACCACTTCTTATTCCATTGTTGTCAGAGCATTGTGACTATCTTGGCTTTACTGCCGTGCTAACCGTCTTCACTGGAAAGCAGATACAGATACCAGTTCTAGAAGCGCCTACGATTTTGATATCTTTTATTCTCCTTCCTCTTGTGTCAATTGCAACCAAAAGTGGGAGCCCTGTTCGCCGTCGGCCCGCATCATCATACCCGCCAGTGAGGTTCGGTTCCCTGTAAGCTGCAAGCTTCTTGCCGGAAAGCAGAAATGTTGGAGTTGCTCCAAGTATTTGTATGGTCGCATGACGGCGGGGGTTTTGCAAGGAGTTTGATACCGTCGATAAGGTAAGGTTACAGTAGCGAGCGGGAGAAGACAACCGGCAGGCCTAGCGTATGGTTTTTCATCCATATCTTTATCGCGGATATATTCTCCCGCATAAATTCTACATGCGGAGATAGAGATAACCTTCAAGATCATAAGATGTGTATATAAGCTTCGATGCTGCACGGTGAATTGGGCTTGCGCCACTTTCTTAGCTTTTGCAATTGTCTGCCTTTGCTTGCCCAACATGACACAGGTTCCACCGTCCCCCATGATCGCTTTTGACGATGAAAAAGTGCCCACGGTCCATGGGGCTGGAAAAGATGAGGTTGAAGCGGGTATGACTGCGATTGTCGACGAGGATGTCAGCTCTTCGGATGGCGACGATGCTCTCAAACTGGCTGGCACACATGCGCACCACTTTGACGAAAAATACTATGCGCGCCTTCGACGAAAGATTGTAGGTCACCTCCACTAAAATAACATAGCCAATGCTTACTTTACTTGACAGGATCTACATGTCATGCCTCTTCTTGTTTTTGTCTACTTCACCCAATTCTTAGACAAAAACATCTTATCCTACGCATCTGTCATGGGTTTTCCTGTCACGGGCATCTGGTACAACGACATCGCTCAAGCATTTTACATGGGGTTTCTCGTCTGGATGTTTCCCACCCAGTACATTGGACAAAAGTTCCCGATCGCCAAGTACCTCGGTGTGCATATTATTATATGGGGAATCTTGGTCATGCTCCACGCCGTTTGCCACAACTTCTCTGGCTTCTACGCACTCCGTTTCTTCCTGGGTATGCTCGAAGCTTGCGTCTCGCCCAGTCTGATCCTTATCGTCAGTATGTGGTACAAACAGAATGAACGCGCGTCTCGAATTGGGTGGTTCTACGCCGGTAACCTCAGCACGTCGATCGTAGGCGGAGCGGTCGCTTACGGCGTGACCTTTTACAAGGGCGCCATCGCACCTTGGAAGCTCCTCTACCTCATCCTCGGCGTCCTGGCTGTCACGAATGGTATTCTTGTCGTGCTCTTCCTCCCAGACTCTCCTGTCACAGCTGGCTTCCTAACCGAAGAGGAACGGATCGCTGCGCTCGAGCGAGTTCGTCTTGACCAAGCCGGTACCCACAACAAGCACATCAAGAAATATCAGATCGTTGAGACTTTCAAAGATATCCGAACTTGGATCATGTTCATCATTATCATGTGCATCGGCGTTCCAAATGGTGGAAACTCTGCCTTTAGCAACATCATCACGAAGAGCTTCGGCTGGACGTCTCGTCAAACGCTGTTGCTTGATATGCCTCGAGCTGCCATCGGTGGCTTCGCTGTCGTAGCTGTCGGCTGGCTCTCGGATCGTATCAATGATCGTATGACATTGGTCCTCATCTTTACACTTCCGACCCTTATTGGCATGATTATCATGACCACCATGCAATACTCGGGCAAGAAGGGCGTGCTCGAATTCGCGCAACTGTTCCAGAATCTCTCCGCGCCTGCGTTTCCGCTCTGCTATGCTTGGAACGCCAGTAATACTGGTGGTCACACAAAGAAGGTCACCGTGAACTCATTCACCCTCTTTACGTTTGGCGTTGGTTCTGTCGTCGGTACTTACATCTTCCTACCCCAAAATGCGCCGGGCTATATTCCTGGGAAAGCAGCAGTTGTGGTCTTGACTGCAGTGATGATGGTGTGTGCCGCTGTGATGGCATATGTTAATGTTCGCTTGAACAGACAGAAGAAAGTGGTCTTGGAGAAACTTATTGCAGACAATGGATGGTCGGAGGAGGATGTTGAGCGGGAGCGGGAGAAGACGGCATTCCTTGATCTCACGGACAAGGAGAATGTTTTCTTCATGTACACTCGTTGAGGTATGAAGCGAGGGATCGAAGGTAGCAATCTCAAGTCTCGAAGTCTACTTTTTGTCCCTTTTCCACGATCGTGACGCCAAGCCAACATGAAGAGTAGTATGAAAGCCCTTTGTCAAGTTCGCTAAGATTAGGGGTTCGCTTAGGGGGACTTTGGGCTTGACCGCAGCGCAATGGTGATGCGGAGCTAACGAGGTAAGCTGTGCGCTATCAAGAGCAACAAATTTTGGAACGAGGGACACGTCAAAGTGGATATCCACTCCAGGAAGAACCGAAAATGCACCTAATTTTTAAAATCGGCTAAAGCTCGAAGGTGGACATCACATCCACCGCAAGAAGCACCCGAGGGTTCACAACATGCAAATGCGCTATCGAGTTGGGCACATTTGTGTGGGAGCACCACATGCAGTGCGTCGTTGCACCGAATGCTGTGCGACCTCGCAGCTGACCCGGTTTGTTGGTCCTGGGCCGAATGAAACCAGAAATGGTGCTGTCGGAACAATCTTTATCCTGCAAGAGAAATACTAAAATACTGCGAAATTAAAGTCGAAGGTTAAAAAGGAAGTTGGGGAAAGAACTGTAGGCTCATCCTTGATTACCCCGCCGTCTTCGCGGCGCGGAATGCGGGGCAACCAGGGCCTTTCGGCAGCCGTCTCTGCTCGGGACATCCAGCGGCAACTCAAAGCGGCTCTCGCCATGAGTTCATTTGGTTGCACAGATGTGAACGACGCCCACAGAAAAGAAGAAAAGAGGGAAAGGACAACCAACATACGTTAGTCATGCCAGGCTTTCAGAGACGCCATACTCGGAGATTGACGTCCGGTCGTCAGTCACAGCCGTGAAGATCGATCGCCGAGCAGAGTCGAATATTTAGTTTTCACCTGCTCCGTGGAATGAGAGAGGTCATTCACCCCTTACTACTTCTACCTCTACTTTGCAGTTCTCCAAACTTCAGCATGGTCCCGCGTCTGACATCGTGGCTTCTGCCAGCAGTGCTACCTTGTGCTACCTTGACGCAAGCTTGGAGCACAAACTATAACCTTACTGAGAAATGCTCGTCGCTTGCCGCATCGATTTCCATCCCAGATGTGACGGTCAACTTCGCACAGTTCGTACCTGAGGGAACAAACTTGACGTTCTCACAAGGCAAGTATCGGACATGCTTCAGATTCTAACGTCCCCATCTGACAACACATTCAGCCTACAATCTCTCAACATGTCCCTATCCGTACCAGGTCGTGTTCAATGATCTGTGCAGAGTCGCAATGCGAGTTGCAACCTCCAGAAGATCAGAAATCACACTCGAAGCATGGCTACCCACCAATTGGAACGGCAGGTTCTTAAGTACCGGAAATGGCGGTATCAGCGGATGCATTCAATATATCGACCTGGCCTACACTGCCTCTTTCGGATTCGCATCCGTAGGAGCCAATAACGGCCATAACGGGACATCTGGAATATCGTTCTACGAGAATCCGGACGTGGTTGCTGATTTTGCGTATCGATCGATGCATACAGGCGTCGTGGTGGGGAAGAAAGTCTCGGAAGCATTCTACGGGAAGGCTCATAATACTAGCTACTACCTCGGATGCAGTACAGGGGGCCGCCAAGGCCTAAAGTCGGTGCAAGACTTTCCGGAAGACTTCGATGGAGTAATTGCTGGAGCTCCTGCTGCTGCTTTCAATAATTTGACTTCCTGGAGTGGGCATTTCCTCACAATCCTCGGCAATGCGACGAGTCCGACATTTGTTCCATTGAGCATGTGGCCAGTGATCCATCAAGAAATTCTTGATCAATGCGATGGTATGTGCCTCCAGATGCGTCGAGATTTAATACTGACCAACCTCAGGTATCGATGGCGTTGTTGACGGTATCATTGAAGATCCCACTCTGTGTCAGTTTCGTCCAGAAGCACTTCAATGCCCTCCTGGCAGCGGCAACAGTACCAATTGTCTCACGAGTCTACAAGTCCTCAGTGTTCGACAAATCTTCTCCGACTATTATGGTGTTGATGGCGCTTTGATCTACCCAAGAATGCAACCTGGATCAGAATTGATTGCTCAATTTTTGTACTATACTGGCACTCCTTTTCCATACACGACAGACTGGTTCAGATATGCAATTTACAGTAAGTGTCTCAAGGAAGCATCTAGGATTTCTTTCGAATGAAGCGCTCATACAGTCAGATAATCCGTCTTGGGATCCCAATCATTTGACAGTCCAAGATGCCGCGCACGCAGCCCACAAGAATCCCTTTGATATCGAGACGTGGAACGGAGATCTATCCGCATTTAAGTCTAGAGGAGGAAAACTATGTAAGCTTCCTGGTCCACAAACATCTGATCATTATCTGACGCTCGACTGAAAAGTGCAATATCACGGACAACAAGATGTAAGCTTGCTCTCCCTCCTGAACATCATATCCCGAGAACTCACAACCTGTAGCCTGTCATTTCTTCAGACAATAGTCCACGATACTATGACCACGTTTCTACAACCATGGGTCTTCCATATTCATACCTGGACGACTTTTATCGCTTCTTCCGAATTTCTGGCATGGGCCACTGTACAGGAGGACCCGGTGCTTGTATGCCGCCCTCAGTGAAGCTGCACGCTAAAGAAGCTTTTCTCATCGTTGTGAAAACAGCTGACAAGACTCGCAGGGCAAATCGGACAAACATATGGCGGAGCAGCTGGTAATCCACTACTACCGCAAGACAACATGTATGAGTTCCCTCATATCCTTCGGCATGCACCTTCTAACATTATTCCCAGTCTTTTGGCAATGATGGCCTGGGTTGAACAAGGCATCGCCCCCGAAACGGTCACAGGAACAAAATACATCAATGTAAGTACTACTCACAAAGTGCCAGAACCCAACAGGATCTCACACCGACAGGACACTCCGAGCCTAGGACTCAATTTCACTCGGAATCATTGCAGATACCCTTTTCGCAATACCCTCATAGATCCTGCACGATATCAAGAGGCTGATGCTTGGGAATGTAAATAAATGTCGGGCAAAGGGAGGTGTAAGGTGGTTCTCGCTTAGAAAAAGGGACAAGTTTGTGTGGACTCATACAAACTCTCGCTTCTGATAGGTGTGAGATACCGTAATAATCGAAATATAAGATAAGTTTCTTTTCAGGGCTTATAGGACAATATAAGTGGAAAGAGTAGATCTTTCGAGATTCGAGAGTGCTTTCGTGGCGGTTGCACGCGTCCCGTCTACACTGCCCCACACCACGTGCTGCGGCGCAGCAAGGCAGCTCTTGATCCTTTGGCATTGACAATCTGTCATCAATCCTACAGCAGTGCGAGTATATCTCGAAATACGGTTCCATGCCCTTTGCGTTGTCTCATTTCCAGTATTCGAAATAGTGAGAAGTCTCCCATCCAGTTTGGATCAATTGCATCAGACTTCCACTTCGACGGCCACCACACGCGACCGACACTCATCAACATGGCTACAGCATCAGAATCTACACCTCTCCTCAGCGAGCCTGCTCAAGCTGTCGAGGCTACAGATTCCGCCGTTGATAGCGCTCCGCAAACAGAAGATGAAGCTACTCTTCCCTCATCCGCTCATTTTCAACGCCCTAGAAAGCTCCTCACAATTCTTGCTCTCATCTGTTCCATAATCACTGGCTCTCTACTTATCGCTATACATGTCATGCTCACCATGCATGTTTTCAGTTTCAATTTCTGGGATCAAATGGAAGCTATTAACAATATGGGGTTTTTGGTTCGTTCTTTTTCTATCCCTCTCTTTCTCCACGGCTCCAGTCCCAACACTAACGCCGGACGCAGATCTTTCTCTCCTTGCTCTTCGCACCCATAAACCTCATTTGGAATTTTCCGGTAGTCTTCAACATTCTCTTGGATCCCTACCTTGCCGTGTCCATAATCACCTGGGCCAGCAATATGATCAGTGCCTGGCCGGGGGATATTTGGTGCGTGGAGCGGGATTATTATGGGAAGAAGCCGGATCTTGACAAGGGGCCCGTTTGTCACTCTATGTTGCTTGCTGTGCGGATTGTGATAGGCATTGCAGCCGGATTTGCGATGATTGTTGCGTGAGTGGAGCTTTATTTTCACTTCTCTCGTCATCCTTGCCTTCTTTTGACGTCCTCTGCTCTTGAAGTTTAGAGACCGATACTGATGCAATGTAGAGTATGCCACACGGTGTTGTTCCTTCTGAGAATTGTAGCATTATGGAAGACCAAGTTTTGGAAGAGACCGATGCCTTTCCCGACAGGATCGATCACACTTGAGGTCTCGATCAAGGTTCAGAGGCAGGAAAGAGGAGAAGTGCAACCAGTAGTGGCAAGCTAGCAAGCTTCAATGTTTTCTCCCCGAGTGGACGGTGCAGAGGATTTTGTCGTCTGTTTGCAGCGAGGTAATGAGTACGGCATCGCACGCAAGGCTGATATTGAGACCGAATCTAAATCTTTGCCTTGAGATTGATTGCTCATGTTCAATTGAAATTCAGGCCTTGCGAATTTAACTGTGAAGTCACGACAGCTAGAGCTTGACCCTCGAATCCAGTGGGATTTTGTTCATACTTGTACATGTACGGTGTGCGGTTTGCGGAAATGGGAATGTGAGAATCCGATATGCGAAAATCCGATATGCGAGATGCGCGCGAATTGTCATTCCGTTAGAGTACCTTTGATGAACCCCCCGAGATCAGCATAACAAGATTATATAAATCATTCTGTATCCTCTGCGACTCGCCATCGAATTCTTCCACCCATTCAATTCACACTTGCAATTCCTCGGTAGCAGCAGTCGACTCACCATGAAGTCTGGTATCATTATCGCAACGGTTCTCACTGGAGCCCTCGCCCACCCAGTAGTAGACCACTTTCACACTTGGAGCCCGCCAGGACCAGGAGATGGTATAGTTTATGTCCCTTCATTACAATAATAGCATAACATGCTAATTTGCCAACAGTTCGTGGTCCCTGTCCCGGGCTAAACTCCTTAGCAAACCATGGTTTCCTCCCACACGACGGAAAAAATATCGACTTGAACACTACGATCGCCGCGTTTGCGAATGCTATAAACGGCGCCAGCGACTTTGCCACATCTCTGTTCATGGGTGCTCTCATGACCAACCTCAGGGTGCCTAACCCTACCACGTTCGATTTGACCGACTTGGACAATCATGATATAATAGAGCATGATGCTAGCCTAAGGTCAGTTATATCCATACACATATGGAACCATCTTTGTGTTTCTTCACAACTTCAAACCGACTCCACACTGCAAAACTCGTCCCTTATTCTACTCTACCAAATATATTGCAAGTAAGCTAACATGCGCGAATTCTCAGTCGCGGGGACGCCTACTTCGGAAATGACCACACCTTCAACAAGACTATCTACGACCAGACCACTTCATACTGGACCGGCGAGACGATCGACATCCAAATGGCAGCCAATGCTCGCGCCGCCCGCATAGCAACGTCCAAAGCCACGAACCCGACCTTCAACCAGACCTATATGGATAATAAAGGATTCGGCGAGCCGACCGCATACTTCATGGCGCTTGGGCACCAGGTTCCGGTCGGAAACGAAACGACTTTCGGATACACTTATGAGGTCAAACGCAGCTTTGTTAAGTACCTTTTCGGTAAGCATCAAGCGCTTAAACACCTGGTTTGCGGATTCGATTTGCTGACTGCTGCTAGAACATGAGCGTCTCCCGGTTAAGCTCGGCTGGAGACCATCTTCGACCCTTTTGACCCTGACCGAGTTTGGAAATACAATGCACTTAATCGCCGCTGCCAGCCCACCCGGCACGGTTGGATTGAAGGGGCGGGGTTTGAGCATCCATGGTTCCAATCAATTACTCAGTCTTTAGAGACATCGTTGTGATCTGGTACACATTGAAGCATGTTGCAGCTTTGGTGGGAGGGGAGTTTTTTTCTTGACGGGCCATGTTGGTTTGAAAGCGTTGTTTAACAAGTGCCGAAAAATAGTATCTATGTAGAATAATTCTTTTTTCATGTCCTAGTCTTCAACAAATTTGAGACAGTGTGTTAGACATTGCATAGTTTCAGATTTTGGTATTTTCGATCCTTAGGTATGGTTGGAGGATCACTCCCTTTGTTACACCAGTGACATCTGATCCATAGTTAGATCGTTCGTTGATGTTTTGAAGGCATGTAGGTGATGGGTTCTGATTACAGACATCGATGTGGCAAAGAGCTGACAGACACCCGCGATAAGCTGCCAGCTATTTCATCTCTTACAGCGCATTACCATGCGATCCTCGAAGGTAGCTAATACCTGGCTGGTAAATTTACAGCAGAATCGCATCATCAATTTTGTTGGTACGGCAAGCCCGGAAAGCGTCTCAGTAGGCCTCAAGCATGGTGAGCTCCGTCGTGGTCTCCTATGTCTGTTGATGGACCGATAGAGGAATAGCAATGTTGGAATGATACATCGCAGGTTAAACCGTTCCTGGTTGACAATCACGGTGAGTACCATGCGGACTTCGAGTTACTGGATTTCGGCGTGAAAGTCTTGACAGCAAAAGCGCCATATGGAAGAGTGATTTCGGGATTCATCCAGGTGAAAGGTAGACTCATGCCAATCAGTCGAACTGTGTTGCGTGGCTTGGATACCCTTAGAAACATACTCGATGGCCTGGGGGTCTCAATGATAAGTGAAATCAAGAAACCTGGTCGCGTGGGTAGAATGTATTTCGACACGGTTAACTCGTTTGGAAGCCGAATTGCTTCCATAGACTGCATTCAGAGCAACTATGGCCCGCTGAACAAAAGCACTGGATGGGTCTGTCTACCATCTGTAAAAAGAAGGTGGTCAAAGCTACCCATACTGATTACGGCATGGAGTACACGATTCAACACTGGGATGCTGGTCTTGTCCTTACTAAGTTGGGGAATGGTGATTATCACCGAGTTGGCCACTTCCTCTGCAACAAGACGAATGTGTTCCCGGGAGAGTACAAGCTGGAGGTGCTGCGGATTGTTTGGTGTCTGGTGCAGCTGTGCACCGTTTGTATGTAGTTTTTTTTGGGTCGATCATGAGATGAAGATACGTACTAGATAGATATCAGCAGTACTGGAGAAGATCGTTGGCTAAAGTTCGTCTCCGTATGAGTCTGCCACAGCCCCGGCCATGAGTTTTTTTTCCCATTATAAAGAAATCCAGAGTCGGACGAGAACTTGGGACATTTCAATCGCCTATCCTGTATTTCCGAAAATGAAGACATCCTCGAAGCAATTTGTGCATTGCCAAAATCATGTCGATGCCAGCAACTCGGGCTGGACGATATGACGCATTGGCGCGTTTTCATCAAAGTCCTTTGTGTATGGTCTGTAGGTAGCATTGTCATAGATGCAGATTTAAGGACCCATTGATATTGAAATAGATCTTCGTAAGATGAGGATAAGCGTGGAAACGCGAAATGTAAAAAATCATTTCATCCTGTTGATATAAGCTGAGATGGGAAGCAAAATGATCTCGGCTCGGGTCGGTCTTGCTGAGTCACCGCAGATCTCGGGTTTTCTACTCCGTCAAGTTGGGTTGGCCTGCCTTTCAGCTCTCTATTCAACCTCATTGGCTTCTGAACAAGAACCCTGTGTGGGGGACGATCGCTTCAGGTGCGTTCTAAACCTGAAATACAAGTACACGACTTAGTGGACGCTCGTTGTCATGCGTTTCAACCCTGCCATTCAAACCGCGTGACCCGCGCGTTTTCTTGAAGAAACAATCGTCATTATACATGCGTTGCAACGTTATGATTTCCGTCCCCTTGGCTAGATGCCGAGAGCTTTGTACAAAGTCTATTTAGAACCCCCTCCGTCTCCTTCTATCTGTTAGTAGAAGCCTCTTTCAATTCATCAAGCTAGGAGAATCGACATCCCCTCTCATTTCGGCACACGCCATTTGATGCCGGTCTATACCAGGTCTTGTAAACGTGTCGGATCCAATAATCTATTGTGTTTGTACCAAGAAACCTTCTTTCATTTACCCCTCTCCGCGATTAATATGCGGCTAAAAGCACGAGATCTGAACACGCCGGCGGCTCGACGGGATCTCGAAACAAAACCTGGGGGCCATCCTGGTCCTCCACGACCTCTCGCCCCGCCGCAACGGTACTTCCATATTGGAATTATATCTGCGGACGGAAGTCTGCCGAAGACGAGAACGCGATAGTTTATTTGAGATTTTGACGGAGGGTAATAGATTGAGTGCAGAGGCATGGCAAGATCATGAGATGGATCAAAGCATCCAAGCCTAGTCATTGGAGGAGAAAGTCTCAATTCCATGACATAAATGACTTTTCATTACGTGGTATCGACACCAATACTTCAATGTTTCCATCAACCAGAAGTCGGCAGCATTTCCGAGCCTTGGCACTTTAAGTATAAATTGTTTCCCTTCTGCTGGAATCTGGCTGTTTTGTTCAGCCGTGCGATCTTCATTCATTCAAAGACACTTCCTGCATTTCGCCGCCTACTTTGAAACGCCTCAGCCATGTTCTCTACCCTCGCATTTGTGGGCTTGATATCCGCAGTTTCGGCTCACGGGACTGTGTCTGCTATTGTGGCGGATGGTATTTTGTAAGTTACGCATCTCCAACTTCTCTTTGGAAAGATCCTGACGCCTGCCAGCTATGAAGGATATAATCCATCCTACCAATACATTACTCCAGCCCCAGTTACTGTCGGATGGAAGATCCCCACAGATCTTGGAAACACTTTCATCCCACCTGACAGCTACACCTCATCAGACATCATCTGCCATTTGGCAGCGACCAACGCCCAGGCAGCGGCACCGGTGAAGGCAGGTGGGAAAGTCGAGCTTCAATGGACACCATGGCCAACCTCACACAAAGGCCCAGTTATCGACTACCTAGCCAACTGCAATGGACCTTGCGAGACGGTCGACAAGACAACCCTGGAGTGGTTCAAGATTGATGGCGTCGGGCTTCTCAACCCGACCTCCATGACAGACGGATACTGGGCCACCGATGTCCTGATCGCAAACAACAACAGCTGGACCGTTGAAATTCCTCCAAGCATTGCCCCTGGCAACTATGTCCTCCGCCACGAGATCATCGCTCTTCATTCCGCTGGATCTGCGGATGGCGCTCAGAACTATCCTCAATGCGTCAATTTGGCTATCTCCGGTACAGGGACTGCAAACCCTGCCGGCGTTCTTGCTACCACGTTTTATACTCCTACCGAGCCGAGTATCTTGTTCAATCTTTACGGCACGCTTTCAAACTATACTGTGCCGGGTCCAGCGTTGTACAGTGCTGCTGTCAGCATCACCCAGACTCTGCCTGCGGCCCCTACTGCGTCGGCTTCGGGAGTTTATACGCAGTCCTAAGATGAAGAGAAGAGGGATGGAGATGCGCGATGCTCATTTTGCGTCTTGATGTGCCTTTGACCTGCAGGGCAGAAAGAGAGGAGGCTCTCGAACATTCTTGTACATACTTACACACCTCATATGAACATATGAACATATTGACCAGAGACCAATTGGAATCCATATTGTACCTTTACTGAAGTAGTGCGCACTTACTTTGTTGGAAATAATGCATGAAAGCTCATTCTGAAATTGATGAAATCCATATGTGTTATCGCCGCGCCGCATGCTTCCATCGAGCCTTCTTGATGATGAAGTTTTTGATCTTGGCGAAACCAGTGCTTTTCTTTTCGCAATGGCCCTGAACTTCGAGTTTGCACCGAGATCCCCACTCGTCAAGTATGGTCGGTGCTGCAACAGCGCCAAAACTTGCTGACAAAGTTATACATAGCATAATTTGCGCATATAATTCCCCGTCCTGCTTGTGCTTTCTGGCATGCTTTTGTCCAAGCTCAAGTATGCCTACATCGTCCTGCGTGCGAGCATGGATATTGGCCCCAGCCGCTAGGAGAACTTCTGTTGCTGCTCGGCATCCTAGCTTGACGGACAAATGCAGTGCAGTTTCTCCTTGGCGATTTCTCCGAGAATGATCACTTCCAGCTTTAAGTAAGGTCTGCAAGGCGTGTGCCAACTGTTCGCCCGACTGTGCTTGCGAAGAGTGGATGATGAACGCCATCAATGGTGTATTGCCTCTTTTGTCGTAGTTATTTGAATCAACTCCAGCTATTAAAAGAGCATTTACGATTGAAGTTCGGTCGCACTGTGCTAGTCCCTTGGAGTTGAGCTTAGCCATCAGGCGCTCTGGTAGTGGTTTTTGAGCTGACACCAGGACTGCCTCTGCTATACAATGGAGGCCATTTCTTCCATTCAAGTCTTCAAACCATGGTGACTCCAGCCCGGAGATTATTGTTCTCCAGCAATCAACATGTTCTTCATAATGGACGAGGTCATCTATCGTATCGATTAATGGATGATTTTCGTAGTTTCGGGCTGATGGCTCGTTCTGGTCGTTTTAGCGAAAGATGTCATGACTAGGAGCACTCCTATTCCATAGTTCAGAATCGCTTGAACGAAGATAACTCGTATCCATAATCGGTACGCTAGTCTCACACAATAGAGACAGGATTGCCTGATCTACTTCGCCCCATGATTCACTAGACTCTTGAAGGTTGAGCTCTCCAACGATGGTGTAGCCGAGGCAGTCTCGAGCGGTCGACAGCTGGCTATGTATACGAAGAGTATCCAGAGTCATAATCACCTGTCGAAGTATGCTTGCAGCAATCCAGGGTCGCATCAACAGATGAAGAGGACTTTGGCCAAGATGATCAAGCTGAGAGAAATTGAAGCTCTTCTGGGTGAGAACTTCAAGTAGAGAGCAAAAATCGGCTTTCTGCATCATTTCTTCAGGTTTAAACGGGTGCAAGAAGGTTTGCCCAGCGTTGTTCAAAGCATTGACATTGGCCCCCAGGTTTATAAGCGAGATCAAGTACTTCGAAGAAGCCATAGTTGTTGTAGCTACATGGAGGATCGAATTGCCAAAGGCATCTATTTCATCAACGTCTGTCGATTTTACTTGTTGTTGGCTAATCCTTGCAAGAACGTCCACACTAAAGGATCGATAAACCGATTTGCCTTCTGATATTCGCTTCTTCTTACATTGTTTCGAATCAAGGCTGCCGGCGCATTGGCGGAGCGTGTCTCGGCAAATATGCTGCCAGCAGTATCTTGGAAATGCTCCTGGTAACAATTTTGGGCACTCCAAACGACCAGGGAGGGGTTCGGAGCTATTAGAAGATGTGTCACTTGATGGTGGAGTCAAAGACACCTTGCTTAATAGGGTACTGATGCTGGATGTTGAAGGAAAGGGATCAGACATTTGTGGTCCGAGTTCGTTTGAGGTATGGCTGTCATTGTCCGAGGGACTAATGCCGCACAAAACAATGTTGGAGCCTTTGAGCGTGTCTACAGATACCAAATCGCTTGTGTTTGCTTGGCTGTTGAAGTCACTCATCGCTTCAAATCCATAACAGGAGTCAGTCATAGACAGAAAGCTGCTCGCATCGTCAGGAATATCTGCTGTGTATGTTGAATTGATCGCTAGGCGTTCGCTTGGCGGTGACAGTCTTGGACTTGGTGAGGAGACAGTCCCACGAGTTCGACTATTGTTCAAGTGCTGGAATGCGGAGGCATTTTCGGCATCATGCATCATGGGGCTTGAGTATTCAGATATCGACGAAAGGTGATTTGAGTTGGATGAGGGAAGAAGGGGAGCCAAGCCGAAATTAGAGTCGAAACCGATCTCAGGTATTAATGTTTGCGGGTGGTTCCAGAAGTTCATCGGCTTCTCAGTGCCCGGTTGGCTCGATTCGCTCTCAAATCGTTCAGAGTTTGATATGAAGTCTTCAGATTGTTGATAGCCCTGAGGAGCAAGCAGATTCGACGTTGTGGTCGGCAAGTTGGTGTTGGGAGTCCAGGCAAAATCGACATCAGTGGGGCTACGGTTGGTATGCGTGGCGTGCCACCTTTCCCACGAAAGCTCCCTTGGATCCACAGTGCCAACAAAGTCAAGATTCTTTATTGTTGTAAAGTTACTCCCAGGACGATGAATGCATCTTCTGCGGCCAAGTTGTTGTCTTCGTTCTCGCTTTCGTAACCGTCAGGCTTGTTGTTAGCGGCCACACGCCAATAGTAGCGAATGTAGTACATTGGCATCGCTTTTAGGTCGGATGGTTCTAGGTTGAGCCTGTAATAGAACTTTGAGCTTTTCTTGCACATTTCGTTTGCTGTAAATTCCTTATATCAGCTACTTAGCCTGAAAACGAGGGCTGGGACCAACCATGGCTGAAAGTCTTCAGTTCGCAGAGAATCAATAATACCATCAATCTCAAGTTCTGTCAAGAGATATAGCTTCACCAACTTTCGTAGACGTGTGGTCGTCCACCTGTTTGGAGGGCGGCCAATCAGTTTGTTGGGCTTCTGCTGCTGTTCATCGTGGATGAATCCATTGCTCAGCTCATGGTAAAGCTTGTCTGGGGTCTCTGTCGACCATTGGGTAATACTTGACAAGTAAGATTCGCCATAACTGAAGATCGAAGAGTCGTGGTTGGACTGGGTCCAGATGGATGCACTCATGGCTGGAGCGGTGTTGTTGATACTAATGACAGTCAAGAATCTCGAGTTAAGCCTGGATTTCGCTCAATGTAGCCGGTACCATCTTCTCTCCATTGTATGGAGCATTGATGCTAAATACAACGGGGGCGAAGAGGAAGATAGCAAAATGGCAAGGCTGATGCTGACGGGCCAAGATCCTGGAAGTGCAAAAAGTCCGAGGATCAATTGTGGATTGAGCTGCATGACTAATGGGGAGCCCTACATAAGCCACAACAAGCCTCGTCCTATCAATTTGAAATGAGGAGATTGAAGATTCAAGACTGTCAGCCTGATATATCGCATCGTAGCCACGGGTGAAGAAATTGCGCTCAACTCCGCTTGGGACAATCAAGGATCTTATCTTTTACTTCTGAAAGAGCTCAAGAACCTTTTCCGTATTCTCAACACTTGCATAGCTCGCCAACATTGCCATGGCCATTTCATGCGCCGTCTCCGCATCAACCGGTTCCCCTTTCAAGTTTTCCATCCCATAAGTGGCACACGCATCCCATACGACAATGATCTCGTACCCCAAATCGGCACCATGCCTGGTTGAATTATTGACACACTCCCTTCCGTCCATTCCCATCACTACAATCGGTCTCTTCCCCAACTTCTCGAGCGCAGCGGGTAGGCCCGGCCCAACGAACGCACTTCCAACATTCTTGATAAAGACTGGCTCGTTGGCTATCGGGGCAGCCGATGCGTGAATCTTGAAAGTCTGGGGATAGCTCGCTGAGATGTCATTACTTTCATCGTATATATCATCATGTTGGACGTGTAAGATTGGCCAGGCTTTCGAACGCCAGTGTTTGAGCAATTTCTCAACGTTGGGGATGAGGTTGGGTGTTGAGCGAGGGTTCTCTGGTGGAGCTTCGACGAGCCCTTGTTGGAGGTCGATTACAAGGAGCACCGGTGGTGATGTTGCTGTAGACATTTTCCACGGGTTTGGCAAAGGGGGAAGTTCGTGGTCGCGAAGAGAAGAGAAACGTGAGTGAAAGTGGGGTACATACCTACCTAGCTACCTAGGTAAAGGGCGCGGTATCACGTGTATCGCGGGGTAAGAGGGGGCCAAGGGCAGCTTCTTGGTAAATTCATTGTACTTTCTCTTAGATCAAGATTCAAGAAACTCACAAGATCTTCAGACTCATCTCTAGAACCTGAACATTGGAATTGGATTCAATGTTTCGGAAAAGTTGTTCTCCGTCGATAACGCCACATAGCAGCACGAGATCAATTGGCAGACAACCCTTGGAACTGCCCCTTCCCTCCATACATGCACGCAAGCGGCCCGGACGCCTATTCTTAGAACCAACTGATTGCAAATTCAAGATGGGTTGCAGAGCTCATTGTAACACCGCAGATCTGAGCCAATTTATCCATTCTTGTGACCTCGAGACAGTCTTCCAGTATGACAACTCCTCCAAAACCTGCATCTGCAGGCAGTGGGCCAGAGATCGACGACGATATCGAAGCGACGCCGCCAAAGACAGCAGCCTCTTCGGTTATGGCCGAACGCGACAGACTTGCAGTATGTCTCAGGCTCTTGATATTGAACATACGATCATTTCTGACGTGTTTCTAGGTTGATCATGGTGAGGATGATGGCGGAGATGTGGCTATGCAAGTTACCTTCCCTTTTGCAATGCAGTGTCCGATAGAGTGCTGATGGCGATCGGCTGCAGGTCAGATACGGCTTCCATTTCGTCGAGTTTGTTTCAGCATGTCCAAGAGAATGGACGTACTTATCATAAGTACAAAGAAGGGAGTATGAATCAAGTCTACAAACACTCTTTGCCCGATCACTAACTGCTCCTGTAGAATATCTGCTACCGAACGATGAGGTGAGTTCTTGACGCACGTGACACCGATGTGACTTTGACATATGTGGATCAAGAAAGAACAGAATAGGCTAGGTAATACACCTCAGGCTGTGTACATGTATAAGTCACTGATATTTCTCTAGATTTACAACATCAGCTTTGCAAGCTATCTCTTCATGGTAGACTCCATCTCGCCCCCTTGAAAGATGCGAATCTCAAGCATGCACTTGATTTTGGCACGGGCACAGGAATTTGGGCAATTGACTTTGGTATGTTATGTTTCCTCCATCTGTTTCCAGTCAGGACTTGTAGTAACTCGTTACAGCTGAACAATACCCGAATTGCAAGGTTCTTGGCAGCGATCTCTCTCCAATCCAGCCAGAATTGTACTGCTCTTTTCCCTCGCTTATGTGCCTCAAGACTGACCCTTCCTCAGCGTACCAGAGAACTGCACATTCGAAGTAGACGACCTAGAAGATGAATGGATCTACCCGCAACCCTTCAACTATATCCATTCCCGACTCATGGTATTCTGTCTCCGGTCGCCTATATCCACCATCCAGAAAGCCTACGCCTCACTCGCCCCCGGCGGCTGGCTTGAAATGCAAGATACATGCGCCCCCCTATACTCAATCGACAACTCAATTGCCGGAACTTCCCTCGAAAAATGCTATGATATGGTTGTGGAAGCTGCCAAGAAAGTAGGGATTGATAGTACTGCCGCGAGCAGATACAAGGACATGATGGAAGAAGCCGGCTTTGTGGACGTTCAAGAGGTGAAGGTCGAGTGGCCGATTGGGGGATGGGCGAAGAGCACCTATCACAAGACTTTGGGGAAGTGGTTTCGGGCCGATTTAGAGACGGGTGTGGAGGCTGTGGCGTTGGGGTTGTTCACCAGGGTACTGGGAATGAAGAAAGAGGAGGTCGAAAGCTTCTTGGTGGACATTAAGAAGGATATGGATTCGAAGCATGTTCATGCTTATCAACCTTTGTGAGTCTTCTCCCTTTCTGGTCTGGTATTCAATGCTGATTTCTGGTAGCTATATTGTGTTTGGAAGGAAGCCGGAGTAAGGTAGGACAGTAAGAGTCAACCCTGCATCCGAGATTTCGCCGTTCTTATGTAGTAACATGCATCACTTCATGAATTAGACACTGGAAAAAATCCCTGCGTCTAGAAAGACTTCATCCAACTACACCAGAAAGCGTGGTACATGGCGCGCATCAGTCAACCCTTGTGACTCGAAGTTTGTCTCAAAGTCCCGAGAATTCAGACCCATTTTTCTGCTTAGAATGGATATACTAAGTCATCCATCATGTTTGCATTTAGTGCCTCGGATAGCATTTTCTTTTCCTCCGACTTGGTAATTCTCGTGATCACCGTTGTCTAATCTGGCAACCCCTTTGTGCATTTGCTTGAAGCTTCTCGATGCGGCATTTAGCATAGCCTGGACAAAGGAAGACCAAGAAAGGTTCGGGAGAAGTAGCTAATTTCGTGACAAAGCTAGTTACTAGTCGCTGTATCACCTTGAAAAAGAATTTCGCACTCGTTCTCGACCTCCGTTAATAAATATACTCCAAATCTCGGAGAATCGACGTTAGTGCTAGCATTATTTTTCAGCTATTGAATCAAACATGGGCTACATAGATGCAGGTATCCAGCCTCGATGCTCCGCGAGAAACAAGACAGTAGGTTGCAAGTACAGGGAAGCATTAAATGTGACCGGACACGTACATTGCATCGTTCACAACACAACATGTATTTTCCATCCCAACTTCTCCTACTTGGCCAATAAAACATGCGAAATCTGCGATGAATTCCAAAGGAGGTATGTAAAACACTCCTTCCTTCTCGAGTATCACGTTTGACTGTATCCAGCATGGAAGAGGAAGCTACCAAAGGAGGGAAAGCTATGAATGAGAGGATGAAGATTGCCAAGGCTGCGACCAAGGAGACTGGGAAAGCAGTCACAAGGACTGGTGGAAAGAAAGCTACGGGGACACAATGAAAAAAGGGTGCGAGATCAACGGAAGAGGTCACCATCGATTGTATAATTAGGTGTCCAGCGTGGCACACTGAAAGTGAGTTGTTAGTGAGAGATCCGAAATACGCTCGACGAGTCAAGTTTGCAGATTCGTTCCATCTGACGCTTGAGTCGACGGAGCGAAGCAACAGGATAAAGCAGCGTATCAAAACTCCCATCCGAACACACTTTTGAGTTCATGGGATGGAACGTACAGCAGGCAGTGGAGGGTATTGTTCGGTGGGTGTTTTACCACGCTAGAAAGAAGATACATCTGAACTTTGAGTATCTGTAATTCCTTCAGTGACTAAGGCTTTGCAAGACTATAATTATGATTATAATTGCTATGGGTGACAATCTGATCACCAGACGAAAGTTCCATACTATTTCGCGCCATTCGCGCCATTCGCGCGTGTTGCGCGTGGCTTCATGATTCGCAAGAGTCGAAAAGAACAAGGATGCTTGAGTCGAGAAACGGATGCTGATGAGATGATGGATAGTATTTATATTACAAGAGATTGCAGAAAGAGATTTAGAAAAACAAGAACAAAGAAATGCACCTCATATGTCCCTTGCATCTACGATTTTCAAGTTCCTTTCGTGGATCTTGATCAGAAGAGGGCATGGATGGAGTCGATGTGAATGAGTGGCTAATGAGCCTGGACTTCACTTTACTCGATGCTGATGGCTGCATGCAGCTGCTGACGAGAACTCTCTCAAATTGAAAAAGAGGACGGCTCGACAAGCCCAGAGATGATGAAGCTGGTGAATGACAATTAGCAGCATGGCATTTGGAAAGTGATGCTTCACGGACAGAGATTTAATAGTCTCCGTTTCTGATAGGATTTGAGAACAGCAACTCAAAACCAGTGTCCGAGTTCAATTCAAGAATGTTCAACGCCCAAAGTGTGGAAATCGATGTTTCAATCTGACTCAAATTGACTTCAATGGAAAGATTTCATCCCAAGGGGAGAAATATTACGAGTGGAAGGGAAGGATGCAAACAGTGGGAGCGGGTTTAGTTGAGATGCGCAAAAATGAATTTGAAGGAATGCAAATACAGTTGTGATAATTTCAGAGATAGGCTAGGAGTTGAGTCTCATTCTATCTCTTGATCAATTATCTTTTCAGTCTCAGAGGTGAATGTCACTTAACAAGCCAAACCTCAAGTTCAATCCCATCATGGTAGTGACAGAAATGTGTCAAAGGGGTTTACAAAAAGATCGCAATAAATGCACAATACACAAATGCTCCTCTCTCAAGAGATGCATTCAACCTGGCCGTGAAGAACGATATGTACACGAGGAGACATGAAAATAAATTTCAAATCTGAATGAGCAATGGTGCCTATTACTCTCATGAACACAGAGCTGACTTCATACTATCATCGAAAGAATCGGATCAATAATGTCAACTGTGCGTAGGAACACTTCGTCTAAGAAGTGCGGTAATATACACATGTGTGCCTTAGGCATCAACAACTCATACCCCTCCATGGCCCCGTCAACATCGCATCACAATGATCTCACGACCTCCCACTCAAACACCACACCAACCTCAAAATGCCGGTCCGTCCTTCAAATCCTCTCCTCTCAATCGCCTCATCTCCACACACCTTCCCTCCCTCTACCAAACAAATGCTAACCCCGCCAGGCCTACAACTCCATCTTCAACGCCGACTCCTCACCCCCCTCCTGCACCAACATAGGCAACTTCCCGCTGCTCCCCCTCCGCACCAAAGTCCGCGGCCCAGCGTACACACTCCCACCGTCCTCCCTCGCCGCGCACCTGTCTCCCGAACCCGACAGCGAGAGCTACGATGCCTTGGACGAGGTGCTGGGCCTGTTCCGCGCCAACACGTTCTTCCGGAACTTCGAGATCCAGGGCCCGGCGGATCGGCTGTTGATTTATGGCATCTTGTGGGTTAGCGAGTGTTTGGGGAAGATTAGGAGTGGGATGGGTGCTAGGTGAGTCTGATGCCTGTTCAAGTGGTGCGAGTGTGTGAGGTTGGAGATGTGCTGACGGACGGGGTATGATGTAGGGAAGCGCAGAAGGAAGTCCAGAATATTGCTTTAGATACCAATTTCGCTATCCCGGGTGATCCAGGATTCCCTCTTAACCAGGTATGTTTCCCTCTATTTCCCAGAGAGTCTCACAATGCTGATGCAGAGACAAATAGATGTTCAACCCACCGCGCGACCGTCAAGAAGCCGAAACTCTTAAACAATACCTGGGACAGTTGCGACAGGAGCTAGCTAGCAGATTACTGGCGCGGATATATGAGGATGGGAGTGAGAAGCCGAGTAAATGGTGGTTGAGCTTTGCGAAGAGGAAGTTTATGGGGAAGAGTCTCTGAATTGGTCGTGGAAGGAAAGGAATTGGGTTTGAGGATGGTGATGGGAATGTGATGGAATGGAGAGTGAGTGAGATGGAGATAGGCCGTGGTAGGCGTTGCCTTGTGTGGAGAGTAACTAGCTGCGGTTATCTGGCAGCGTGAACAAAAATAGAAGTCTATGAAGCATTACATGGGAGCATGAGATTAAGTTGCTGTGATTTAATGGTCATCTCATGGTCGAGGGCTATGTAACGAAACCTCCATATGCTCAAGCCCAATGCAAGTCATTTCCTCCCTATTGTCATGAGATGTCTGTCTTTGATTCTTCTGTGGCATGCTCAAGGTTTGCAACGGCACCATTCGTACCATTCAAGGAAGCCCCATCTTCCAGCTTGATCCGCTTAGAAGTAGACTCTCCTTCAACCCGAGCAGCGTTTTCATTCTTCACCTCTACTCCATCCTCACTTTGTATCTCACTCTTAACCTCCACACCCCTCTTCCTTGCAAATTTCCCTCTAGCCTCTACTCTCCCTTCGGCAGGAATGACCCTCGTAGCCGTAAAGAGATATCCCTCTGCACCACCCTTTGCCGTCATGATTGGATGCGTTCTGCCTGGTAAGACTTGCCATTCTTTCACTCTTGCGCTCTGAACATTCGTGTTCAACAATAGTGTTGGGTTCAATGGGAAGTCCTCGTCTCCTTGCCATTTTACTCTTTCATTCTCAGTTTCTAGCTCTGTGAAACTTGAAGGAGGAGCTTGAACGAATGCTGTCCGACGAGACGTGCTATATACGTCTGATAGATGTACGAGAGGTTCAATTGTGGGGCTGTAGATTGCTATCTGGGCTCCACCGCGGAGGAGAGGAATAGTGTGCTTGAGAATTCCTACAGGATCCATGTGTGAGGCTATTGCAAGACCAGAAAAAGAGCCTGAGAGCGTGGTATCGACTATTGTTCTGATACGGTTGTGACGGCGCAATTTGCGGTAGTATGTTGCTCGTTTGCCGGATCTGTAGGATGCGAGTGTTTCAGGGGAGACGGGCTCGATAGGGGTACTGTATACAGAGTCGTTTGAGGGAGATAGGAGCTGGAGCCAGGAGAGGGAATGGAGATGTGTTGATAGCGGGTGATTTGGCGATGTTGAGGAGTCGGTAGGATTGTATGAGAAATATTTTAGGAGGGCAAGATTTGGTTGTGCGTTGTTGTGTATGAGGGTGATTGTATTCGACGTGGCTAATGGTGGTTCCACTCGGCGATATGTCTCTTCTTCATTGTCTGGAACTGCTTCGTCCTCTTGATCTGGATATAGGATGCCCATCCGCTCTGCCAGAGAAGCAACGAGAAGACCACCAGTCTCATCCACTACCAACCATCTTCCGCATCCAGTGCCCACGTCAATTGGCATCTCACTGAAATGGACATTACTCCAACTTCCAAGAAGAGCCACCATCTCCTGTCTCATCTCCAAGATCTTGCTAGCGTCTTTCTCTTCCATCATCCAATTGCCCAACATTGGGACATCTACTGGCAATATCGTGAAGCGTCTCAAGTACTTCTTCGTTTTTAGAAGCTTGTATTTGGCCAAACTGAATGCTGTCTTCTGATCAAGTCCAAGATGACTTGCCATCAGTTTCGCAATCAAGTCTTTCCCGGCTCCAGTTCCTTCTCTCTTCAACTCTTCAATCTCTTCCATAGTCAAAGTTTGTCGCGCAGAGTCATCGATGGTCTCTCGATTGGAGCGCATGATGACCTCTCCATTTTCACCTACCAGCTGGAACTCCACCCCATCTCCACCAATTGTGATCTTGTCGTCAGAGCCATTAGGATTCTTGGCAGCTTCCTCTTCTGCGATTGTATCTTCATGGAGTTCTGCTGCGGAGACAATTCGTAGTTCTGAGTCTTTGTGACCAGGTTTTCGGTCGAGGAGCTCGTAGGTTAGGTTGTAGGGACGTTCGATTATGAGATTGGAGGAGAATGTGCCATATTTTCCTAAGGAGACAATACTAAGATCCTGTTACCAGATGTTCGAAACAGCAGAAGAGAGAATCAAGTCGCTCACTCAGGTTGGCAAACACTCACGTATTAGGGACTACTTGGATGATCTTGAGAGTATCGGAAGGTAATCGCAAACAGACCCAAGCATTTGGGTGTACGAGGGAATGCATTATGTACAGTGAAATCGAGACACAAACTGAATTGAAGGTTCGCGATTGTTGCTGGGAGTGTTCAAGGTAGCTCCAATGTATGGAGGGGACAAAGCTATCGGGTCATGACCATGGTTGAAGTGATTTTCTACAGCCTTGTGATGCGAGAAACAATTTTTTGAATCGAGGTTCAGCCTTTTCGCTTGTGGCGCTGCGGGTCCCCGTAAGGTTAATCGGCTTACAGTGCTTGGCAGAGCAGTACGGCCTCTGAATACGGCGAAGTGCTGTCGGTGGCAGAAGAACCAGGAAGACTTGTGTCATACACAAGAAAATTCGAGGTAGTAGCGACTTCGAAATCTGTCGGGTCAGGATAGCTTTGTGGAGCTTCCATGGTGAATGATGCTGTCCTAACCAGCACACAGAGAGGGAGACTGGACGACAGATGAGGAGAATCGGATCGAGAACAGAAGGGCAAGAATATGGGAAAGAACCCAAGAACTCCATCGTGCAAGAACGTTCCTGGTGCCTTTCCATCTCAATGTGTGGTTGAAGTGAAGGAGCAAGCCCGTGAGCTGAACCCCCCCCTTTCGAACGACGAAGAGAGAAGGAAGCCCGCACAAGGCAAACCATAGAAAAGCTTCGAAGAGTCTCTGCGGGGGAGCTGGGGATCTTGATCTTGCCGTCGGAAGTGGAATCTAGTGGCACGGAAGGCGTTCCACAGAGTTCGGCCACAAGAATTACTTTAGTACACACAACAGGCTATGTTCAACATGGGCTTTCTAAAGATCTTGATCCGTTGGACGGCGTGCTCTGTACAGTCAGTGTCCATATCATCTGCTATTGTTGGAAATTGAAAATTGAAAATTGAAAATACTAGAAGAGTACCAAGGAGATGGGAGCACCCCATGGGTGGTTGGGAGATCTTGATCCCAATTAAGAAGCTGCGATCAAGTCGAAGTGCTGTGAAGGCATTCTGAACACAGTGAAGAGGCCGCGGCCAGGATGAGAGTACCCAGCCGAACGCCTCCAACCATAGACAAACAACATTCACTTTCCAATGCCTTAGAAATGTTTATAATCGTTTATAGATGGATCATACTGTAGGTGGAATTCAGTTTGAACATTTTCTTCTATATCAATTCAGGACGCACATAAGTTCGCTCCAGCTCAAACCCCCCTCAATGCCATCATTCTCTCTTTGCCAAGGGCATGTGCAGGCAGACATATTCTGACAGTCGAGAAGCGGCATGGCTGGAGGCAAACGCTCAAGAGACGCGTAAGTCGCGACGTAAGGCCCGTCCCTTGCCCGTATCACTCCAAAGTAAGAAGAAACATGCACAAAGCTTAACCATTGAAGAATTGTGGAATAGAGGTCAAGCTTTAATTAATTATCTTCCGACATGGCTGATTGGCATTCTTCGTATGGTCCATATTGAACTTGCGCCACAGTTCCAGGTATCGAGGTTAATCTACCTAATTTAGCTGTGGCTGAGGAGCGATAGGTAGGTAGTGTGTTGATACGGACTCCGAGAAAGCGAGAAGCTACCCTGCTTTGCCCTGCCCTGGACAAACATCTACGTGCAGGAGGCGGGCAACTCTTGCTTTCTTCCATGAGGAGGATCACATCTCCCCATTCATCCCATAATCTTTTGCTCCTCGACAATCCATTGCTCTTCTTCCATCCACCTACGACTTCCTCGTCCATGCCAATCGCTTGAGAAATGACCTCATATCCAGGCAATCATTCACCTACATTGTCCAACCACAACCGCCCTCGGCGCATTTGAGTCAGGACCACATAGAGTTTGTTCTGGACGCTTCAGAGACGAACCTTCAACTCTGTCCTCCCAGACGCAACGTGCCAGAACTAAGTAATTCGAAATGGTTACTCGAAAGCCAGTTCCACCACAAGACAATGGTCTTGCCCCTGCGCCATCATCTCCTCCGTATCCAGTAACCCCCGTCGGTGCAAATCCGTCTGGCGCTTTTCGAATGCAAGATGCAGTGGGACAGCTTCGGTCGCCCGATTCAGACACGAACAGCATGAATGCATGGAGCGGGGAAGGACTCGAGAACAACCAGAATACACAACATGCAAACAACAGTCTGCCAGACTTGTTGAGGGCAGGTCCACCCCATGGATATACACCAAGTAGCTCGCAGGAAGCATTGAGGCCCCAAGCAACTGGCACGAACCCGTTTCTGAACAAGCAAAGGACTGGAAGCTCAAATGCTGGATCAGCTACTGGGCACGAAAGCAGTGCCGATGCTTGGGGAGAGTACGATACGCCCGCTCCTCCTACAACTGCTCCACCACCGCCCCCAGTGCCTCATGGTATTTTGCACATTTCCAAGATCTAGCATCAATACTAATATCTGTACAGATTCCATCCCTCCCTCCGAACAATTCGAACACCTCCCAGTCTCCGAACCCAGCACAAATCCTTGGCAGCCGGCCCTAGATAAACAAGCAACAGGCCAAGCACCACCACCAATCCCGCCAATGCAGAGGCAGGATTCTGGAAACGATGTTTGGTCTGGCCCTCCTGCTAGAGAGGCACCGCAGCTACCTCCAGTCGATTCATCACAACCCGTTCTCATCAATCTCGAAGAGCCTGAATCTCCAGCTTGGGATGAGGATGATGACGAGCCAGCTGTACATGAAATGCCAGCGGACAATGTGGCAGAAAATCAGCAAATGCATGAGGATCAGCATGCGTGGGACGACCAGACTGCGGGACATCCTTTACAACAACATCCAGTGACAACTATACAGCACATTCCACCAACACTAGTTGACGATGACCCTATACAACAAGGCGACGGCTGGAACATGGTTGACCATGACCCTTTATCAATTGGCTCTCAGCAGAATGGGGTGATTACAGGCTCTGGAGAGGATATTGCTACATATGCCGGCGGAGAACAGGAGTATGCGCCACCACTTCCACCCAGGACTTCTCAAGAACACCCACCAGCTCAGCCTCCACGGCCAGTCGTTGATACCGCACATAACCGAAGTACTTCATCAATTACCAGTCCGACAGCAGCTGCTCGTAAGCAGAAGAAAGAAACGTACGAGATTAAGAGGATTACTTGGCACGATGTTAGTGCTGCTGAAAATCCCCGAGTCTCACCGATATTAGTGCAGAATGCCAACGGTCCTTGTCCCCTCTTGGCCTTGGTCAACGCATTGACACTTTCCACACCTGCACATGTTGAGACAGCTTTGGTAGAGACATTGAGATCTCGTGAGCAAGTCAGTTTGGGGCTGCTCCTAGATGCTGTATTTGATGAGCTTATGTCTGGTCGACGAGGAGATGCTGCACAGGATTTACCCGATGTTAGCGATCTGTACTCATTCCTCATCACACTTCATACCGGCATGAATGTCAATCCGCGCTTCTTCCCTCCTCCTGCCACAAGGACGTCTGGTGATATTCGAAGGTCGATGACACATGTTCATCCCAGCGAAAGGGAAGCATTACTTCCTGGCACTTTTGAAGAAACAAGAGAGATGAAGCTGTACAGCACCTTCTCTATCCCGCTCATTCACGGTTGGTTGCCAGAACGGGATTCCTCAGCTTTTACTGCTCTTGATCGATCTGCAAAATCATATGAGGATGCTCAGAATCTCATGTTCCATGAAGAAGAATTGGAGGACAAACTTATGCGAGAGGGACTTAGCTTCGAGGAGCAAGCTACTTTGGAAGACATTGCCACTATCAAAGCCTTTTTCGCTAGCAATGCAACTCAACTGACTCCTTACGGACTGGACAGAATTACCACTTCAGTAGGACCTGGTTCTGTAGCAATTCTGTTCCGAAATGATCACTTTTCAACTTTATATCGTCATCCAGATACGTTGCAACTGCTCCAACTCGTCACAGATATGGGTTACGCAGGTCATGAAGAGGTGGTTTGGGAATCCTTGATCGATGTAAATGGAGAAAATGCAGAGTTCTTCTCGGGCGATTTTAGACTTGTTGGTGGTGCTTCCTCAACATCTCCTCCCGCTCCTACCCAGTCGAATGATGGCTGGACAACGGTGACCGGACGTCGAAATCAAAATCAACCATCTCACGAACCTAACCTAAGCACTGCTGGCTTTGATGATAACATTCCTACAACGCCTCGATCTCCCAATACGGAACAGGAAGATCATGATCTTGCTTTAGCTCTTCAACTCCAAGAAGAGGAAGAAGAGCGTCATCGAAGTGAAATTGCGCGTCGGAGGAGAGAGACTGAGCTCAGTCAGCAATACATCGAACAGCAAGGCCAAGGGCAAAATATCCCCGTCTCTCAACGTGGAGGTTCTGCTCCACGTGGTCAAGGACGAGGACGAGGTCGCGGCAATCCACCACCCCAGACCCCGCAAGAAGCTCGGCCAGCCATCCCACCACGACGAAATAATCCAGGTGGCCAAGTCCTCAATGCAGCTGGCCAGCCCGTCGACCCAGAAGCCGGCGTCGATGCTCCTCCACCTAGCTACGAGCAAGCTGCGAATCAAGCTGCATACAATCCACCTGTAGATCACCCTGCTCATCCGAGCGCAAGTCCGAATGGAACCGCAAATGGGAGAAGGATGAGTGCCTATACAGCCAACTCGCAGGGCGTGGCGAGCGGATCGAGGAATAACAGGAGGCAGACTGGGTCTGGGCCGACGCTCATTGAGCAGATTCCCGGGAGGAGAGCGACGAGCGGGAGTATGGAGGCTGGGACGACGTCGAGGGACAAGGACTGTGTTGTTATGTGATATGATAAATGGGAGAGCGAGGTTGGTGTTTGGGCGTTGGGTTTGCATGGTATATATCATGCGGAGTGCATTACGCATATGATGCTTTGATGGTACTGAATACTACTTCTATGTGACTCACGCCCTATCGTCTAATATCCAGACAATGTTTTCCTTGGGTGAGATGTCTGTAGTTGAGGAGCCATGAATATTCTGGCTCTGGAACTTGAAACCTGGTTATGGGAACACGTGGATTATTGTTTGGAATTTCAATTCAAACCGCGTGGGAGGAGGGTGCTGGCATAAGAAATTGACAATAGACGACCCAGAAGTTCAAACAGAAGGCCAAATATTTCTCAATCCTCGAAAGACTGGTAAGGTTCGAATGTCCAAGCTATCACCAATAGCTTTCCCTACGTAAATGTCTCGGAACATTACAATTAATCATGAGAACAAAGTCTAAAATTCAAGCTCCTCCTCCAACTCCAATTCTCCGGTAAATCCGAATCACGTGGGGCGGCTTTACCTCTCTTACAACAGCTGAAGGATGAACCAAATGCGCTCAATTGTAATACTCCGACATTTTTGATCGTATTGATAATCTCCCGCCCCATTTCTGTTAGAGCGGAGGAGAGAGAGGGATGAGTTGTGAAGTCACGCTCGGACTTGTGGCTCGGAGCGGATTGGTTGTCGGATCCGAGGTTCAGAGAAGGATGTGAGGATTTGGGATAGAAATATGAGGTTGAGATGTGAGTAGAGACAGACATTCTTTCAGGTATAAGAAGGAATTTGTATCCTGATCATTACTTCGCATAATTCAAACTTCAACCTGACACTTTCTCAAAGGGAAAAAACAAGCCAAACAATCCACTTCACTTTCCCAAGCCTCAAAACCACTTCAACACCAACAAACCACAAAATGCATTTCCTCATCCTCGGCGGCTCAGGCCGCACCGGCCGCCTCGTAATCACCTACGCCCTCTCCCACAACCACAGCGTCACAGCCTTGATCCGCACCCCCTCCTCCCTCGCCGACCTCGCCTCGCGCTTCCCGAACCTAACCCTCGTCCCCGGCTCCCCCACCTCCAGCGCCGACATAACGACCGCCATAAACGCGACCTCTTCCCCGCCCACCGCAGTCATCATCACGCTCGCGTCGCTGCGGAAGAGCAATTCGCCGTTCAGCGCGTCGATCTCGAGTCCGACGTTCATGACGGACGCGAATGTAGCTGTCCTGCAGGCTATGCGGGAGGCGAGGCCGGGGATCGGAAGAGTTGTTACGCTTTCTGCGTTTGGGGTCGGGGATAGTAGGGGGGGTTTGTGGGCGCCGTTTCGGTGGGTGGTGTATAGTGGGGGGATGAGGGTTGGGATGGAGGATCATGCCGGGGTGGAGAGGGTGCTTAGGAGAGCTGAGGGCGTGCAGTGGACGCTTGTTAGGGCTGCGATGTTGGGTGATGATGAGGGGTTTGAGGGCGGGGTGAGGGTTCTTGGGGAGAAGGGCGAGGGGGCTGGGTTGATGGAGAAGGTTGGACGGGGGAGGGTTGCTGCATTTATTGTTGAAAAGTGTTTGGAGGGTGGGGAGTGGGTTGGTAGGACTCCCGTTATTGCTGATTGAGCGAGTAAGTTCGGTTGCGTTGGGAGAAAATATGTTCGTTGCTAGTTGTGTATATTAGGATTATGCATAGTGCTGTTTATATTGTATGAAAAGTTTAGAGATAATATTGGTTCATGTCCCAGTCCGTGAAGCCGAAACCGAGATCGAAATCTGCAAAGTTGAGATCGCTAGGTATCTGAATTGTGTCAGTACTTTAATAAATGAAAGTCTTGGGGAATGGAACAGACAACGTTGAAATCACCCCATGTCTGATTGCCTCCGTAACCACCGTATGGTTGGCCTGGCTGAGCCATGCTAGTATCGAAGCCCGAGTTATTCCTAAACGAGGCTGGTAAAAGGGTCGCTGCTGCCTGTTGCTAACAATATCATCAGTATCTTCTCGGATTGAACATCCACAAGTAACTCACTGCAGAATCATTTCCTCTCGCAACACTATTCAACAACGCTGCGTGCTCGATACTTGGCATGACAGTCCTGCATGCCTTAAGTACTCTTTCAGTACCCTTAATCATGCTTTCCCTGATCTCTTCTTGTGACCCATCAGAACGCACAGATTGAAGAACCACAGCAAGAGGCAAGATATCTTTCAAATCACTTCCAAACTCGCCGAGTCGCTGGAGTATACTATTCAATGTATTCTCGACTACCCTCGTGAGACTGTGTTTCGTTTGTGGAAATGAGTCGTCTGAGGTTGGACCTGCTTCGTTGATCTCTGTGGAGGAATCAGGTGAGGAATTGAAAGATCTAATTTCATAGCAGACGATGATTGCCGAATGCATAATGTCGGCTCTACATAGTAAATGGAAGAGATTGAGGTAATCTCTCGACTTGACTGTGCTGAGGTCTGCTACAGCAGGATCTAATGCGTCGAGATGAGACAAGATAGCAAGCGAGCAACGTAATGCTCCCCTTCGTGCTTCGGGATATCGACTCGACTGTGGACTTGTTGAAATCGTCCTGTAAAGAGCGACCAACGGTCGTCGAATAGCCATATCGAGCATGATGCTTGTGAAAAGTCGATACATTCTTTTATTGTTGCTATTCCCAGCTCGGGTCGAGCCTCGAAATTGGTCTGGTAGAGATCGCAGTGCTTGTTCCAGGGTCTTAGCTTGAGAGAGAAGTGCCGGGGCATCTCGTTCCAGATCAAGACATCCACCAAGCAGATTTGTAGCGTTAAGTCTGTCTCGAAGTGAAGCCAAAAGTGCTATCTGTGCCATTGCATTTGTCCAGACGTCATCTCCCTTGCTAACAGGATAGTTCGGCATATCATCTTGAAGCTCTTGGTCATCGACATTGATCAGATGCCGAACATTGAAAGTCGAAGTAGTGATCGAAGCAGGCATTCCAGCCGCTAGGGAGAATCGCATGTCGAGCTCTACAATTGTGAACCATAACTTTCGTCGCATCTCTTTTTGGGCTTTCGACATTTCAGTACATTCTTCTGGATCTTTGTGAAGACCCATCGTCATTGCAAATCGAACAAGATCTCCTGATCTTCGACATAACTCTGAAGTATGCGAGAGATTCGAATGTCTTGCAAGCAATAAGAGAGCTCTAGTCTGTAATATTGGGAAATTGAGTGTGATCTTCCCGTGCAGTTCATCGAGCCAACGTTGAACCATGAGACAGTTCTTCGTAATCGCCTCATCTGGTAGCTCTTCACCACTCACGCTTCTTTCGCTTGGATCTTTCAGGCGTGATCCAATCGCAAGGACGGCCAATATTTGAGGTACAACCCAGACGGGAATATGATCCGGCAACACGGTCAGTGCTTCGGCTTGTCGAGCTGCTTGTAGTTCATCGCACTCTCGCATGAAAGTCGGTATGTGTAGGATTCGAAATACAGTCTCCCAATTTGACACATATTTGGCTTGCAAAGTGCCAAATAGAAAGGCTGAAGGTAGAGCCTTCAACATCTCAGCCATCAATTCCTCACTGCCATAAGGTAGCATGATGTCGGGCTTGCATTTATGTCTTGGTGTATAATGTCGCTGAAAGGTTGAAAGCTCTTGCATCATAGGTGATATCTCTGGATCCTGGAAAGATTTGACGATGAAACATTTGGAATGTTCGAACTAGAAAGTACATTAGTAGATGAAAGAAAGGGGAGAATAGCTACACACGTGATCTAAAACGGCCATCTTGTCCCCAATGCCAATGTACCTCGACCGTAGTCCTTTCACATCTATCCGCCCAAGAGGAGTTGTTGTGCTCGAAGCGTTTTGGTTCGGTATTGGCACTGGGTCCTGTCGACTTCCCCAAGCAGGCGTTCCAACAATACTCTCCCCGTGAGTTGACCAACCTGGACGTGGAAACGTCTGTTCGGCCACGACGCTTGGGGCAGGCCCGCCATTTCCTTGAGAAGTCGGATAATGAAATGAGCCATTGGTTGCGATTTGGACACCATTCTTCTCAACGACAGTCCGGGGTCGTTTAGCCTTAGGTGTTCCCTCTTCTTCGTTCGACCCAAATCTGTACTCGCAATCCTTGCCATCTCTTCCCCCTTTCTTGCAATTACTACATGGTAGCTCCCTATCACATTTCAACTTCTTTGCTCTGCATCGTTCACATGATTTGGTTGGTCTTTGCCGAGATCGTTTTACAGCCGGACTGGGCTGAGCTGGGGATGCAGAAGGCTGATTCGGAGAAGGTTCTGAAGTGGAGACAGTGGTCGGAGTGCTCAGGTGATTGAGAGGACTGGGTTGTGTTGATTCCGTGTTGGAAGCTCGAAATTGAGATGCAGGATAGCTTCCAGAGGAGCTCGGAGATCTTGCATTAGGCCCATGAAATTGGGTTAGGATTTTGCCTACTTCCGGGTCTGCCATACTCGGTCTTCGGATTTGGCCCTCAACAGAGGACTCACCTCGACAGGGTCTGGTCGAGACTCAATCTCGGACAAGAGCTTCAGATGAGTTATGAGTTCGGATACGAGACTGCGGTTGTGAGTTGAGATGAAAGATGAGGACCCGGACTTGGTGTGATTGTGATTGTGCTGTGCTTTGCTTACGTCCGGGAGTGAGATCCGAGGAAGTTCGGAGGTTTTCGAGTTGAAGTGGGGTCATCATGTGACGTGAATACGAAATACGGGGAACACGACGCGATATTTGCGCAATCCGCGCAACTTGCGCGATTGGCGGCATTTGCGATACAACCTTGCAAAGGGAGCCTCTTTCAAATTCTATTGTTTCTACAATTTCAAAGTTTCTTGCATTTCTAGCGTGTTATCCGCGACTGGATGTCATACGTTCATATTTTATACGCATGCGGCAAAGCCTGCAATGTCACTGAAAGCCATTCGAACTCAAGAACTATGTACAGCGAAAGAGTGTTACCCGGCCTTCCACAGCCGGTCAGTATGATTTTCTTTTACATCCCTCAATATAGATCCCTCAACAGACGCCGAGTCCGTCTAGCAAGAAGCTGGCGAAGGCACGTTCTTGCAGCTCGAGCTCTTCTTGCCTCCAGTGACGGAAACACCACTCCATTTCCAGTCAGAGCATGATCCACTTCCACACAAGATGTAAATGTTAGTGCCTGATGATGAGACGGTGCCTGTAACACCATCTAGTGTGAGGACTGTGATCGGAACCCCGGTAGTGGGTGTGCCTGTTGGACTCCCGTTTTCATAGTCTTGTTCAATGACCTGTTATGTGTCAGTCAATTGTCCACTGTTTGCAACAATTTCAACGTACAATACCATATTGGGTAATGCCAGAGAGAGTGATGTCTTCGTAAGTAACGCCTTTTACGGAGCCAGCTATTGAAAATCAGTATAGATTTTCTTGTTGGTTTCAAGCTCCCAATGAATCGATGGACTCGGGACTGGTGGTTTAAACATACTGGCACCAGATACGGTCTTGATACGGACACCGTTCATGGAATTTTTGATGGTGGAAGAAGAGATGGTAACGTCTGAAACAGTGTTATCGCTTCGGCCGCCTACGCTGCCAATTGATAGACCATGACCTCCAGAGCAGGTTCCACCTGTAAAAGTGATACTCTGGATTTATGTTAGTCGAGTCTAAGGGTTTGGGTAATTATGACTAACAGTTCCAGAGTTGACAGCCAAGCAGTCATCTTGGTTCTGCACAATGGCGTTGGCAATAGTAACGTCGGTACTGTCACCTACGTCGAATGCATCTGTATTGTGGCCACCCCCTGTGTCCCCGGCCGAGTTGTCGATAGTAATGTGAGAGAGGGTGAGGCCGTTAGCACCATCAATAGAGAATGCTTGCACTGGGGTGTTCAAGACACTGAGGTTCTCAATGATTGAACTACCCGTGAGGCTGTGGGCGTAGAAGAACTTGGGCTTGGTCTTGCCTCCGTTTGACCCCTCTCCATCCCACCAGCGAGCACCGCCTCCATCGATCTTGCTTCCTGAAGCGCCGTTGACAGTGATGCCTGAGCCTGACACTGAGATAAGAGGACCAGACCATTCTTCATAGCCGAACGTAGTTGTGCCGGAGAAAATGACCTGTCCCACATAAGCATCTGTTTCAATATGAGCTGAAAAAGCAAGACGCGGTTGTTGAGATGATGGTGCTTATAAATGTGCTAGAGTTTTTAACGATCACGAAGCAAAATAAACGTACTTCGGTGCCAGATGCAAGCCCTGTCAAGTCAAGTGTGGTTCCTGCGGGAACAGCAATGTTGCTCAAAGTGATTTGGGAACAAGATTTCTTGGAAGCAATTGCCGCTGCGGCAGCCGTGAAAGTGCAAGTAGCACGCTTGACTTTGGTAGGAGCATCGTTAAGTTCCGAAGCAGGTTGTGGTAGGGGACTGGCTACTGTAAGCACAGAGGCCGTGGTGAGGACAAGTCCCAGCGTTTGCAAGAAGTGAACCATTTTTGAGATAGAGTAGAGGAACGGAAGAAAGGAGAGGAAAGACAGTTGATGAGATGAAGAGATATAGAACTGCTTGATTGCTTTTAAGCTCAAAGATGGAATGGGGGAAAAGAAGACATATCTCCTATCCTCTCAATAGCGTTGTTACATATCCAGGGTTTGTATTGCTGGGTCCACAAATACAGATAGCTGCCAGAAGCGGAGTTCATGATTCTTCCGCAACGGACTTGTCTGGTAAAGCTTGTAGGGAATATTCGATCATTTGACATCTGTCATACCTTGGCTGGCGGGGTTAATGATGAGTTGGGAAAATTCCATTGGTGCAAGATTGTTCATGTTCAGAGTGAAAGGACAATAGGCACAACGAGGATGGATTCTTGGTGGGCTACTTGCGGGTAATGTAACATGCTGCGAATACATGCCTTGGTCGCTGATTGCGCCGTTGAGGTTGACCTTGATGTTGGCACTATCCGAATCCGAAGGGCCTCGGAGATCATTGAGGGAAGAAAAACGGACACATCAACACAGGACCACAACACCGGCCCCCTTAGCATGTCGGTACCGGAGGTATTCAGCAGGTCAAAGTGCACGTGGCTTAATTAAGGTTGAGGCTGGAATTGAAAGAGCGGGGCCCTCGGAAGGCTTTCCGCATTTGTAGTCGCGTTGGTCCCAGCGGAAGATTTCCCGCCTACCAGACATCTACCGAATACCAGGTCTATTCCTGCTAGCAAACAACCTCATTATTCAAATCATGCGAAGGACCGGACATTGGCAGCTACCTCTGGTGGTTTGACTCTACACTCATATATGTCCTTTTCTTTCTTTGTTCACACCGACCCGACGACAGATAAGCTTAAAGTGCTTTTGCGTCGATCGCTGCTTGTCAAGATGTTTCAAACTCTCGGAGCGGGCCTGTTGGCGTTCCTTGGCAGACCAAGAACGGAAGCTGTTCTTGCGTAGTCTGCTCTTGACATTCTGGAGATGTTTTCAAGGGTTCTTGTGATCCTACCATTGGAGGAAAATATAGTATCCAGAAATTTTTAGGTTTGATAGACTGTGGCCAGTCCCCGCATGGCGGGAACACCTTGGGTCCTTGACTACCGACATAATTCTTCTTCCAGGTCGGAACATAATAACATTTCTCCATAGTTTCATACAAATGAGTGTTTTCAGCCCACGAGGTTTTAATTAACGATCTAATTTATGAGGACCGAAGAAGCTCGGGCACAGAGTCTATTGTCGCGCCGTATACGACAGTCTGACAAAAGACCCTGATTACCAGATCCTCAGGCCGGCGCCGAATAGTTCCATTACTGAATTACGGGAAATCAAAGGTCAGATGAATTGAGGGGCAACTTCGGTCGCGGCTAAACTCCATCCCATAGATTGAGTTGACATTTCCAAGTGGACCCCTCATTTGTCCCGTGTTGCACGGCTGCCAAACTTGAAAAGTACTTCAAGGAGCATAGAGTCAGATTTACATTGAAGATTCCCGTTCTGTTGGAGCTGTTTGATATCGTATTTACTCTCTTCAATTTTCGCTCTCATACGTTGTCATCTGCCAAACACCTTTTCAGCAATGCGTTCTCTCGTCATTTTTTCGACACTCTTCACAGCAGTTCTGGCTGGAAGCCGGACCTCAGCACCATCTGGTTGTATCACAGTTGGCTCCGGTGGCAAGTATTCCAAAGTAAATCAGCATACCCTTGCCTGTATATGACTGTTTGTTGACGAGCTTAGATTCAAGACGCCATCAACTCCTTAAGCACCTCGTCTTCAACTGCTCAATGTCTCTTCATTGAATCAGGCACCTACAATGAGCAAGTTAGCATTGCAGCCAGAAATGCACCACTTACTATCTATGGTAAGGCTTAACTTGCAAGCCGGACGTTGTCTCGGAATGTCCTCAACCAGCCTTCAGTGACTTAGTCTTGAGACATTCTCGCAAAATCTGGCATACAATCAACAACGACCTTTTCATGCTAATCAACTCGTAGGTTACACCACGGACACAAGTTCCTATACAAGCAACGTCGTGAACATCCAGCACAGCTCGAGTCAAGCGAGTGGCGCAGCCAACGACTACGACACCGCGACCATACAGAACAACGCTGCCAACAGTAAATTCTATAACGTCAACATCAAAAACACCTACGGGGCCGGCTCGCAAGCTCTCGCTCTGGCAGCCTATGCCACCGAGCAAGGCTATTATGGGGTGGGGTTCTACGGTTATCAGGATACCATCCTCGCTCAGACCGGCAACCAGGTCTATGCCAAGTGCTATATCCAAGGCGCAGTCGACTTCTTCTGGGGCCAGCATGCCCGAGCCTGGGTTGACGGCTCTGATATCCGTGTCAACGGTGTTGGAGCCATCACCGCCAACGGCCGAGCATCCTCATCTGATACCTCTTATTATGTGATTAACAAATCCTCCGTCGCCGCAGCAAGCGGTGCTTCAATCAGTGCTGGCACAGTATACCTTGGACGCCCGTATAGCGAGTATGCCAGAGTGTGTTTCCAGAAGACGGTACTGAGCAATATCATCAACAGTGCGGGGTGGGAGGTTTGGCAACCGAGCGACCAGAGGACGGGCGACGTGACTTTCCAGGAATATGGAAATACAGGTGCTGGAGCTGCAGGGACAAGAGCGAGTTTCTCGACGAAGCTGAGCGCGGCGATTGAGATCGCCACGATCTTGGGAAGCGGATATACTGGATGGGTTGACACGAGCTACTTGTCTTCGTAAGAGGATATTGGCGGAGGGGGGCTGGTCGAGCAGGAAGTACACGGACACCGAGTCTGTTATCCTTTTTAGAGGGACTTAAACAGTTAGGAATATCTTCTTCTCATTGTACATAACTTCAGTAATTGTCTATAAAATTGAGAGGAAAAGAGAGGACGTTTGCGTCTGGCCCTTTGGTCGAGACATGGGCAACCATAAGAATTGGAATAAACGGCTGTGCTTCAGAGTTGTGGGACAATGCAAATGGGCTAAGTTTAAATGGTGAATTGACATTTGAGAGATAAAGTGGTATCCCCTAAGCTGCGTGTCAAAATACACTTTTTGGGCTGCGGTGCGCTCTTAAGCGAAATTATTCTAGGCTTCAATTGGCTTAGTCGGGCGTCGGGTGCTGAGGGTTCAGCGCTGACAGGTGCCTCTGGCGAAAGTGTGCTTACCAGAACTTAGGGGACAGCGCCCAGCGCAATCAGCGCAATCAACGCGCTTAGCGCATCACTTGAGCTGCGAGGCCCTGTGCTCCAGCGTAGCGTATTTACGGCAGCTTACATAGGTAAGTACATAGGAATATGAAAACTCATAAAGCTACCAACATGTTAAGAGAATGCACAACGAATGTGCATTAGAAAGAAACCAAGAAACCTTGGAAGGCATAATTTGAAAGCACGTGGACAGCCACTCACGTGCTATTCACTGCCATGATATCATGCCGTCCACGAATCTCCCACGGGCAAGAAACATGCATCAAACACATCCAAAAATCCATTTCTCTTTCAAACATTATCTAGATAATAACTCAGCGCTCAAGTCGAAGTTACGAATAGTATGAACATAGACAGCACGTGTGGTGTTATCCTCAAGGCAAGTTCGACCGGGGTGGTCTATCTGTCTCAAACGTTTGAAGAGCTATTGACTACCGCTACCTATAGACATACTTCATCTCACGACAAGCACGGCCACCTGAGCTGAATAGTTCTATATACAGTCTGCATAGCTACTCATAGGGTGCACGGTTTCATGAAAAATCCTATCTCAGACATCGAAATACTTATCCATGGGCCATGGCCTCGACAGCCTAGATGCTACAGCTCAATCCGATCACATCCCACATGTGGGCACGGGTACAGCATACCTCGGGTAGCCAGAATTCTTTGGCCCCCATGGCTTTGCCATGGGGCAGGTTGAGATATTCTGAGACTGATGTCTAGACAGTGAAGTTCTAGATGCAGAAATGGAAGTCCATTTATGGAGCTTTTGTCCCTGCACAAACCCTGCTCGGATAAGATTACGAGCTCAAATGCTTACAGGTTTCGTCTGAGATCTCACTCATTGGGTGAGGATGAGCCGTACAGAAAAGCAATTCGAAGACCACCTGCATCTCTTCCAGTCACGTGAAGTTTCACATCAATTTCGAGCCGCATTCCTCATACTTTCAGAGGCAAGAGCCCAGCCAACAGAAAGCCTCATACGTACTTCTTTTTATCGTGCCAATCTCCATAGTAACCTGCGATCTTGAGCCCCGCCTTTGTCGTTCTTTGCTGTTCGGATTGGACATTCCATCGTGGTGCGCAGCAAAACTCAAACTCAAAGTCAATGTCTGTGATGAGATTTCAAAATGGACACTTTCCCGGAAGTGGCGTCCATCAAGCCTCGAACAGGAATTTACATGTCATCGCCCCAAGACATTGCTCGCCATGGCAAAAACATGTAATTGCGGTGTTTTCACCCTGCGATGCGTATATATCCCAGCTGAGCTCCTCTCGGCCCAGACTAAGGACTTTCCATCCCAATTGTCATCATGTCGAAATTTGTGTTGGCTGTACTCTCACTGGTTTCTTTCACGTCCGCTGCTGTTGTACCTGGAAGCACTGCAAATGCTCCCTATGTTGCCCCACCTCCTGCAGCAAAACAAGCTGGATTACCAGGATTTGTCCACCTTGCTCTCACCAAAAAGCCTGCGAAGGCTTTGCGAAAGAGACAATCTCCTGATCCTCTCCAAAATGATATAAGTGGATATTCAGTCGAAAGTAATCTCGCCCTTTTCCCATCACTATCTGAATCTAATTAGCTATAGTCACACTCGGCACGCCTCCACAGATCCAATGGGTAGATCTTGATACTGGATCCAACGAGTTATGGGTAAATCCATTATGCTCCACGTCGTACTATCCAGCTGGATGTACTGCGAATGGTGTCTACAACCCAGGTAGTTCTTCGACTAGCCATGATTTGGGCACACCGTTCTCAATTTCTTATGGAATCGGTTCCGTCTCCGGGACCTACTATACCGACAATATGACTATGGGAGGTTCGTATCATTACTCCATGTGTGTTGACTACACTCATACATCACAGATGCCTCAATTCGTCAACAGCAATTTGGGGATGCTGCCACCAGTCAACAAATGATGCAGGGAATACTTGGCATTGCTTGGGGCAATGGCGTCGACACTAATTACAACAATGTCATTGACAATCTGAAAGCACAAGGCATCACTCAAAGCAGAGCTTTTGGTCTTAATCTTGCCAGTATTGACAGCCCTACAGGTCAATCATTCTCATAGCTGTGCGCGATACGGTTGCTAATTTGGGCAGGTGCTATTATTTTCGGCGGCATTGACATCATGAAGTACAGTGGTCCTCTCCAAAAGCAGCCTATCATTCCCAGAAATCTTGCACCTGATGGATATGCTCGGTAAGCATTATTTTCCCACTAGCCTTCCCGTCTAACAATAATAGTTATTGGTTCTACATGAATCAAGTAAGCATCACGCCTCCAGGGGCTACTGCACCAATTGCTCTGACCTCACCTACCTACAATCAAGCGATGTTCCCAGATAGTGGATCCACTTTCTGTCAACTGCCGTCAGCACTTTTCACTGCGCTCCTTGCATACTTCCCTGTTGGACAAGTCAACCAAGGAAGCAGTACGTACACCGTCAGCTGTAATTACAGAACACAGGCTGGGTACATCAACTTTGCCTTTGGCAGCGTTACCGTATCAGTTTCTTACCATGAGTTCATCTGGTTCGACGGAGTTCAGTGTTGGTTTGCTGCTCAACCGAGCACTCAATTTTATCTTTTGGGTGACTCGTTCATGCGATCAGCCTACAGTGAGTGTTTTCTTGCCACAACTAGGCCTGCTTCTAACGCAAATTAGTCGTCTACGATCAGGATAACTCTAACGTCTTCATTGCTCCAGCAGCAAACTGTGGAACAAGTATTATACCCATCTCAACTGGTGTTAACGCTGTTCCCTCAATCAACGGTCTCTGTGCTCCCACCTACACGCCTCCTATTGTTACCACCTCTACACCTTCGCCAACTCCTACATCCACCCCACATCCCTCGACGTCCTCGTCATCGACAATAAAGTCGTCGAGCAGCTTCGTCACCTCCAGCAGCAAGCTGACCACTTCGTCTCCTGTCCCAACCAGTACGGGTTTCACGACATCGTCTTCTTCAACGAGTAGCAAGCCGAGCTCTTCTTCCACATTATCGTCATCGAGCTCAAAAATCAGCTCCCTCTCCAGCTCTAGTTTGATCCCAAGTCCAAGCTCATCCACTCAAAAAATTATATCGAGCTCAAGCACCCCCATCAGCTCGTCTTCAAACAAAGGCTTATCGAGCATATCATCACCAGTGTCTACCAAATCATCCTCCATCATGATCTCGTCCACGTCCTCCTCCATCAAACTATCATCGTCCTCGCAAGTTTCTAACTCAGGCTCACAGGTACACTCAACATCATCCACTATGCAAAGCGCTGGCTCATCTTCTCTCAAGGTCTCTTCCACATCCAGCCTGTCATCAAGCAAAGCCTCTTCTTGCTTAGCAAGCACCGTTCAGATCACCTTGACGCAAAGCGCTACTTCTGTAACAGTATACAGCGTCTTCACGGTCGTTCAGATTCAAAGCGCTAGTACTCTGACCGTATCCATCCCATACACAGTCATCCAAACGCAAAGCGCTAGCACGGTATACGTAACGCTCACCAGCACAGCCGCAGCTCCCAGTGTGGCGCCCATCACCATCACAATTACAGCAGCTGCTCCAAGCGTAGCACCCATTATCATCACAAGCTTGACCACTGTCACGGTTGCTGCGAGCTCCGCGTTGCCTAGTATCTTTTGAATGAGGTTAATGAGAGATATGAGATTATGATATGTTTGTATCTCCTTCGATCAACGAGTTTCTTTTCAAAGAGAGAGGAAAGGGGCGATGTATATAGAATGAGAAACAACATGGGAAAGAGAAGATGTATTGAGCTCTCCGATTATGATCATGTTATGCGGTTAGATAGATATCAAAGAGTGAAGTTCAGATGCAAAATAACTCCACCACGTGATTATACACTGAGCTTCGATAACGATAGAAACACACACCGCTTATCTATTCTGAGTAAAAAGCTTTGTTGCACATTGCAACTTTGAAATGATGTGACAAATTTTCTTCTTTCTATTGATCTGTAGAATTCGAAAGGGGAAAAAGGAGATCAGTTCCATAGAGCTTATCCGCTGGGGGCAGCACCGCGAATTAAATGATGAAACCACTAGACAACAAGCTATTAGCTTGTTTTAATGATAGGTCAGTGTTTATTTTATACCAGAAATAGGCGCAACCGCATTATCGGAATATTTTTTGGAGCAAACATAAGAAGCCAAATCTTACCCCATTCGAGTAATCAAGGCAGAGCTAACAGACAACAACCATCAAAGCAACCCAGATTCCGATATGATAATCGGTGAAGCTCAAAGCTCCAGCTTCAAGTTAACGTTTCAAGGCCTCGAAGATGTAATCCCTGAGCACATGTAAGAGCTTAATTTCGATACTGGTAACTACCAAACTAGATGGCACAGACTCCCTGAGATGAGACGATTGAAGTTTATTGGGAGGCTTCATCATGATGTCAGCCTTAGCGGTGTGAAAGCAGCGCGACTGGACAGTAGCTCAGGGTTTGTTTGTCTTTGCGACTTAATGCTGAGAATTGAAGGCTCTCGACATTCATCATCTCCATGCATTTCATCAGAGAGCATGATGCTGTATGATCATCACCTGCTACAGATGATCCTCCCCCCAAACGATCCGAGAAGTGCAGTTCTGCAAGTATCTCCATAATGTAGTCATCTCCCCATGTCTTTAACCACGGCCTATTTGAAGCTGTGATGTCTGGTCTTATGGTAGAGGACTTCAATGCCATTAAGGCATACCGAAGCTGTGAATTGGTCTTTCCTAAAAGGACAAAGCTCCGATGCGAATTTTAGGGGGGAGACTTTGGCGAAGCGAGCTCGTCACGTGTAACTCCGCCAAATCCTCGGACCGAGAGCGACTCATCTCATCTTCCTCGACCGTGTTTTAACTTTTGTCGCAGAGATCTTGACTGTCACAAAGAGAGGGTCTGTTAACCCCACAACATGCGAAAATCTCAGAATGGGCCATCATCATCAACAACCTCATCTCGCAACTCTGCTCTTGGCAGGTCTTCCATCAAAGCGTGATCAGCGTGATCTTTGCGGGTCGCAGGCGGTATGCCAGCAAAGTCGATTGAGATGTGATCAGATCCTAAGTTCTATCTGCTAGTACTTCATGTACTTTGTATGCTTGGGATACATGTGTTAGGAGGCTCTGCGCCATATCGACTTTCGAAAGGGTCTCTACTTCACCCCGCGATTAAAGTATATCATCACGGGTGGGACTATGCAGTTGAGCATCGAAAAGAATACGAAAAAGAATACAGCCTTGCACTGCACGCTCTTACTACGATGAAGAATCTCAGCAATCCTCATCATGGGCACGTGCAGGTGTATGGCCTGTGCCATGCGATGCGATGCGAATCGAGTCCAATTGCATCATGTCCTCCCTGCCATTCCCAGGTACCGTTCATCTGAAGCACGATTTGCTTACTTCATGCTTTTGCGAAGGAGGCTAGCTCACTATTATGGAAGCCAAGATCTTCCGAATGCCTCACATGGCGTCATGAATCCCTTTCTCGCAAACCAGAAACCGTTCAAATGCCTCGGTCTGAATGCTCTTGTGGATTGAGGCCGTAATTCAGCCAATTGAGAGCTGTTGTGGATTCGTATTTTCCGTACTCGCACGCATTGCAGTACCCCAAGGTGGAGTTCGTCTGGTATCATCTCTCGGTTTCCTCCTCGGATCTGGTTAAGTGCCAGTTATGTTTGCTTGAGACATCGTATTCTGAGGGAGATTTGACAGTTCTAGAAGTCTGATGGTCTCGCATATCTCTTTTATACATGCTTTCTCCCTCCGAGAACTGTCAAATATTAGAATCTGTTTTTCGGTCGCTTCCTAGATTTTCCAAAGTCATCTCTTTCATCATGAGAGTCTCTAATCCTAATATTCTGCTTCTATTTACTCTGTTGTCGATCTGCGATGCGGCACCAGCACAACGACGCTCTCTTAACAACGAAGCGAGATCGGCAGTGCCATCCACATCGATTGTGAGCGCCAAAGCATCGTCGAGTCCAGCGAGACCTAATGCGGCGACATCTTCAACAATACCCAAAGGGTTGTCAACTTCTTCAGCGAAACCCAATGTGGCAACTTCTTCAACAGTACCGAAAGCGTTATCGAGCTCTCTAAGACCTAGTGCAGCAACTTCATCAGCAATACCCAAAGCATCATCGAGTTCTTCGGCAATGTCCAATCCAGCTGCTTCGTCACAGCCACAAGCACAGGCACCTGTTCTATTGTCGCCAGCTACAGCTGATCAAGCTGGCGGAGGGGTTCCATCCGGACCTCCGCCACAGACTTCCTTCACCCCGAATGCTCTTCAACAGTTCAGAGTAGCAAACTTTATCGAAGGCATCGAGTCTGGTTTCTTTGCTGGTGTACTCGATTCTCTCAACCAGGATCCCACCTTCAATAATGCTTCGGCGGATGGTAAATCGATAGCCAACGTCACTACTCAAATTGCCGCCCAAGAGCTAGTCCACAAGGCAACGTTGGAAGGCCTTCTAGGACTGGCTATGCAACCTGCAGTACCTGCTTGCGCAACAATATTCCCTGTGAAAGACACGAACGAGTACCTCGCTAAAGCAAACGTTGTTACCAGTGCCGCTATTGGTGTCATCATCTCCATCGTGCAGTCTCTAGCAGCAAGCGACGGTCCAAACCTCCTCGGGCCTCTGTCGAGTATCTTGAGTGTCGAGTCACAGCAAGACACTTTCTTCCGCATGACAGGTTCCAATACACCGAGCGCCTCACCTTTCAACACCGGTCTATCCAACACGTTCGCATACAACATCGCCCTCACTTTCGTCGACCCTCGCAGCTGTCCGCAATTACTCCCGCTTCCAATCCTCCCCTCGCTTAATGTCACGTCGCCGGTGATGAACGCGACAGCTCCAGCGACTCCCCCTACTTCCATCGCTTTCACCGTATCTGGAGTCCCACAAGGTGGCAATCTATTTATTGGATGGGTGAACCAGGCAAACCCTGTCGTCTACTCGAATGTTACTGTCAAAAATGGAGTCGGGATGGCGGACATCCCACCGGGAATGACCGGTATGGCATTTGCGGCGTTGACGGCGCAGAATACGGCGATGACGGTTGATGCTTTGACGAATGCTACACTGGCGGGACCAGCTCCTATTCTTATGTCGTAATGAAAAAGCTAGCGTTGCCGTATTTTTTGCTGTTCTGTTTTCATACCTAGAGCTTGAGCCTTGTTTATTATATGGAGGTACATAGTATGCAGGTCTCGGTATTCTCGTCTTAGCATCATTGTTTAGATATCCTCGAGCATTGCTTGAAATAGTTACGAATTTGTCTTACTCTAACTTCCCTAAGATCAACGATTTTACAATATGATTCGAGTGAGGTTTGCGGCTCTGTTGTAGATTAGAGGAGATTCTAAATGAAGATTTAAAACTTTTACCTGTTTTGAAGCCAGTCCTTCAAGATGGACAATAGGGGACGAGGAATAGCACAGCCACAATCACAGCCACATAATCACATGAGTGAAACCTTACAGAATAAAGAGATCTATCTACTCCTCAGCTTTGTGTGGCATACTTCTGTCGATTGTCATGTAACATTGGAAGAGATAATCAGGAGTTGTAAGTGAAAAAAATAGTATATCATTGGTTGAAAGCCGACCGAATTGCGCCGTACGAAGGAACTCGCTTATCGCGCATAAAACACCTACCTAGGAAGGTGGATAATGAACTACTGTCAGACCTGATCGATATAAACAGGACTTCTTATCCACATCTAGCACACATCTACTGCAATAACCCACAGCCGAGATCAGCAGCATGTCACTCCCAAAGATAACCCTCGTCCCAGCCACACCTCCGACTACCCTTACATCGCCGAGCTCACAGAAATCGCGTTCGGCTACGACGATTTCGGTCTCGTCGCATTTGGCCCCAAGCGTTCAACTCCAGCTGGACTTGAAAAACGAGTCAAGATGATGAATAGACCGCCTCCGCTTGGTGAGACGAAACACGAAATGAAGGCAGTGACTCTGTTACAGGACGGCACGGAGAAGATCGTGGGGTTTGCTTCGTGGATTATTTGTGTTGGGAGAGGTGGCAGTGAGGAAGAGAAGGAGAGGCTTGGGACGAAAGAGGGATGGCTTCAGGGGGAAAAAGAGAAGGAAGGGATGAAAGAGAAGAGCGAAACGGAGGAAGGATATGGAGACCCCAAGATCCGCAGAGATGTGTTGGGAGGAATTGAGGAGAAATTGGCTAGACTGACTGGAGGGAAAGATTACGTGAAGTTAGACCCATTGATCGTAGATCCAGGATACCAACGTCGAGGCATTGGGGCAATGTTGTTTGAGGATGGATTGAAGGTAGCTGATAATGCGGCGTTGCAAGTTGTCTTGGGAGGGTCTGTCCAAGGAGTCAACTTGTACAAAAAATACGGCTGTGTTGAGATGGACAGTCTGAAGACCAATCTCTGGGATTATGAGGGCGGAGAGGGTTTAGGGGTGATCACTCATGCCATTCTGCATCGTCCCGCTAGAAGGTCGGTCTAAAATAACTCAAATACCTAACCTAATTCATCCTTCGAAGTTGGATTCGTAGTTAAAAACTTAGTCCACCAACATTGTCCTACAATGTCTGGAACAATTTTCTCCTATATACCAATATTTGGCGGTATACGTCCATTGTGAATCGAAGTTTGGATCGATCAGCCCTCTAAATGGATCACAAGGACATGCAGTGCTCTCCTCGTGGAGTCGTGGACATTTCTTCTTGATCTCCTAATCGGCCGATCAAAACACACTTTTAGGGATTGCGGGGCACCACCAAGCGAAATTTTTAGGGGCAGGATTATAGCGCATTCAGTGCAATGAGCGCGATTAGCGCTATCAGCGGATTCAGCGCATTTAGTGCGTTGCGAGGCGCTGTACTCTTTCAGAACGCAGTGGGTGCTTCAAGCCTGAAAAAGTGTGTTTATGGCAGTTTAAGCTGGTATTATTACGGGCCTCACATTTCAATCATAAATTAAAGCTACACCTGAGGGTACCATAATTCATGGATCACTGACTTTCAGGAATGCGAAACTAATTCGAGCCCATTATTATCTACAAGATTGTCCAACACCCCTTAACTCGTCACACATCCACCATTCTTCCCCTTATCCAGCAAAACACCCATCCCCTCTCTCATCTCTCTCCACTCCCTCCGCCTAACCCCAGTCGTGGGACCAACATACACACCCCAAGGATGCTGCAAACTCAATGCCCACATGTCTTCCAAACCGACTCTCCCGCCCGCGACATGAAGACCGAGAAGGTCGCTCCACACTAATTGGTCGAGGATGGGGAAGGTGCCTGTGTAACCTTTAGGGAATTTGCGCTCGGTTTTTGGTTGAGTAGTTGATGTTGGGTTTGAGGCTGAGGCTTCTGACGACTCGGGAGAGTAAGAAGCGTCGATCGCGTGGAGGAAAGGGCGGAAATCACCTGCTGAGGCAAGTGTGTTCTTTTCGGTAGTTGTTGAGCTAGTGTCGAATAGTGGTGGTAGAGGATCCGACGGAGGTGCTGCAGAAGGATCGAAAGAGGAGAGCGCATTTGGTGTTACTGCTAAAAAGACTGTTTTTGAGAGATTTGAGGGGAAAGTCGGGAGACTGGTGATGGTTTGGAAGTCCCTGGATTTTGTCAGCTTGTTCTCCCATGGAGCCGAAACAGAGGGATTCGATGATAAGCAACTTACTTCCTCGCTCCATCCATATTTCCTTCGGCAATCATCTCTTCCCTCCCATCGATCCAATGCAGTCTCGCTTTTCCTTTGATTTTGTCGGCATCTTTGATACCCTCCCAACCACTGTTAATTCCATCCTCTATCATCTTCACAGCCTTACTCCACTCATCCTCACTCCCACTATAAGACAGCCTATAAACCACAAATCCAAACTCCTCAACCTTGTCCTCCATCCTCTCCCTCACCCACCCTTCAACTTTCCTCTCCAATGGCGCGTCAATCTCGTAACTCAAGCCCTTGTGAACAAATTCTCGATCAGTCACCAAACTAGGCGCTTCCAAGAAATCTGGCGTCGGCATAACTCGATGTCTTTCTGCTATTCTCGCATCCATCATCTGTTTCATCATGCCTCTCATCTTTCCTTCCATTTCTGCAAAGATACCAGCATAAGCTGCGTTCAACTGCGCTTTCGGAGCTTCTATCTGTGCGAGTCGAGGATCGATCCGCCGATCAGCGGTGATGAATCCTTCAGTTCGCTGACGGACATAGATATCTGCATCGAGATAGATGTCTTGGATCTTGTTTAGAACCATCATGGCATAGTGATCGATGCGAATGGTACCATGGGTTTCGGAAATTTGTCGTCCCGATTGCATGACGGCGATGAAGCGGTCCTTCCAGACTTTCTGAAGGGTCTTCAGATGGGTGTAAAGCCAAGATCTAGATTGGACTTGCATGTGATCGAAGCGGCATCTGTTTCATTAGCAAGGTTCACCTGAGTACATCAATAATCGGAGAGGACTCACTTGATGTATTCGTGCCACAGTTGAGTGAAATTATACTCTATTGTCTCTCCACGTGACCCAGCTTCAGCAACTAGAGCATCCTGAAAGACGTCAATCTCGGCCCACATCTTGTTGTGCACATGTCGAATATCTCCTTGGATTTTAGGGGTACAAAGATGTGTCCAGACGTCAATCACTAATTCAATGACTGCAAGTGCTTCTTCAATATTGTCTTGCTCGTCAAGACCTTTGGACTTCCACTGAGCCTCCGACATTGGAGCAATTCCAAACCAGATCTAGAAACGTCAGCATTTCTTCACATGAATTGTCATTGGAATACACCTTTGTTTTCATCAATTTGAAGCTCCTTCCCACCGTCTCAGGGGGCGTCAACGAGAATGCATCTTCCATAATAGAATCCAATCCGCTCATAATATGCATGATCCTGATCATTGGGGGAGGACTCGTCTCCATCTGGCCTCCAAACGGAGTCGAAGGCCCCGGCATCTTCGAAAAGGGTTCAGGAGCCCAATCTTTATACGGTTGGGCTAGGAACTTCATCCCTTCTTGTGGAAAAAGAGGGAGCGACGTTTTCTCGCCACCTGGCATAATGCCGCTCATTGCAGCTTCCAAAAAATGATTCATGGTCTGGATTTCAAAGGCCGATATAGCAGCTGCATCTATATCAGTATCTAGCCATCAAAGATGAATTAAGCACGTGGATAATACGTACGAATTTTCTCCTCGCCATCTTGCGGCCCAACCCCTTTGAAATTCGGCCCGGCATTCTGATTTCCTAGATTTCGCCGCTCTGCCATAAAGCCGATTAGAAAAAGGACTGAGAACAATCCAACAAATATGATAACTGTCCAATATAGTATGGTTTTAAACATCACTATTATTGTCGGATCGAGTGTAGATGTGGAGATGAGGTTGAAATAAGATGAAAAATTGTGTCAGGGTAGCTCCAGACTCCGCCTCGTCGGGCCAAAAAGGGGCGGATAAAAATAGCTCGCACTAGCGAAAACGCTCGAAATACGATCTTGCCTTCGTGATGCTGAAGGCAAAAGCACAAAGATAGATGAATAATTGTCAATTTGAAGGATAAAACTTACGGATGTGGAAGTCTCGTGGCCTTTGAGCTCGTTGTTGCCTTTGCGATGAGTCGATTCGAGATAGCGGCAACACGAGAATGAGGCACGGAACGCGTCTAAGGAACGCGAAGTCACGCTTCCTTGGTCTGCTGCCTGCGGTTGATACGACTTGACCGGGGAGCCTTGGGATGGTCCTAAATGAGTGCCGGGAGAACTGAGATTGAAGCATGCAATTGGCCGTGGACTGTCGAAAGCTTGAAAGCTGCATCGCGTTGCCTAGAATGCTCGGATTGTCGCTTTCGAAATGGACGGCTCTTCGAAGGTCGCGAGAAAGGATCTCCAGATAAAAGTTCACAAAACTCGACTTGTATCGAAAGTTTGGAGCTGAAGTCGAGATTGGTCTTCAGAGCTTCGCCGCACGCTTGGCAATACCTATAGAGAACGCTTTAGCCCCGGTACCCCTTTTCCGAAACAGCACAAGTGGCAGTCTAGAAATTCGGTCCCATGAGCTCTTAAACATTTGGGTTTTTGCTGCTCTTCTCCTTTGACCATCGCGTCTGATTTTGGGTCAAATTTATTTTCGAGCTCATATCTATCTTCAGGAGAGACATGCTGGGCTACGTTCATACACAGTACATCCGATTCTGCTTCAGACGTCCAAGCCTCAGGCCGTAACCAAGGATGTGAAAGCGCAACAGCATCTAATTGTCTCTCAACTACCCGTCACTGCCTTCTTGATTTCCAGCGCTTTGGGAGATACCTAAGAGTGGCCAGTGTCACGTGAGCATGAGCTTCGAGAACCTCCAGGGCTGTTTTGAAAACAACTTACCATCTACTAGCATCTGTATCAGTGGGAATCGAGATGCTTTCAAAAACTATTTTTAATCCTGTCCTATGTTAAGTTCAATGTTGAGACTGCACTTGACGCAAGCATGTGGAAGTCCATTTGCTTCGCCCTCCTTTGTAATTCGCTTCCTCGCAAAAGTCCCCCTGCGATTGGTTGACCAGCAATAACCCATTCAGATGTTTCCTGTTGCAGGAACTATTATAAGTCCGACCAAACATCCGATACCGACATTGAAGTGGTTCATATAAAGTAGACCGTTTCTTTCTTCTCGTTTCTCAACTTGTTTCTTCAGACAGCTTCTAACACAAACCTCACCTTACACCTGAGTCTTCTCAGTAAACACCTTTCATTGCACTACTCAATCTTTCCAGCGATCCATCTCTGTTACAGCTTCGGACTCTCGCCACCACAATCATGAAAGGCGCATCCTTTAGTCCAGTCAAGGACATCCCGTCGTTGGCAGGAAAAGTCTTCTTAATCACAGGAGGCAATGTCGGAATTGGCAAACAATGCGCTCTAGACCTCGCAAAGCACAATCCAGCTCAGATCTGGATCGCAGCTCGTAATTCTCAGACTGGTCAGGCAGCGGTCACAGAGATCAAGACCAGCTCACCAGGAGTTTCTGTTCAATTCCTGGAAATGGATCTCAGCTCATTCGGATCGGTCAAGAACGGAGCAAAGAAATTCATTTCGATTGCCTCTCGCCTCGATGTGCTCATTCTGAACGCCGGTATCATGGGCGGACCGGCAGCTACGACGAAAGAAGGATATGAGATACGGTTCGGGACAAATCACATGGGTCATGCCTTACTCTTCAAGCTTCTCACTCCGATCTTGGAGAAGACTGCTTCAACTCCAGGCTCAGATGTTCGAATCTTGAGTCTCACGTCGACGGGATACTCACACTCTCACTCAACCGGCATCGAGTTCGAAACCTTGAAGTCAGAGCAAGAACACATCAACATAATCACGAAATACTGTCAAAGCAAACTTGCAAATCTATTGTATGCGCAAGAGATGGCGAAGCGATATCCTCAGTTCACGGCAGTGTCTCTTCATCCAGGAGAAGTCAAGACGGAGCTGTTTACTCCTGATGCAGGACTGTTGATGCGGGTGATAAAGACAATATACATGCCGTTGGTTGGAGTCAGCGTGGAGGAGGGTGCGGAAAACTCGCTTTGGGCTGCAACAGCGAAGGGAGTCGTGACTGGAGAGTACTATTTTCCTATTGGGAAAGCAGGTACTGGGACTGGGTTTGCCAAGGATGACAAATTGGCAAAAAAGCTTTGGGAGTGGACTGAGAAGGAGTTGAAGGGACAGGACATTTGATTTTGGCTGTTGTTTTTGTATTCGAATTGTTCCTATGCTAGCCGGAATCTCCGCTTGTAGATGATGTTCAATCCTGCATGGGAAGGGGGCTAACGAGCCAATCAGATAACATGAAATCCGACCTGACCAATCTCCGTTCCTTGAACTGACTCCACTTTCTCATCCAATCAAACAACAATTACTCCGAACTAGCCAGTAAGCAAATCGGACATAAAACCACTTCCACTTCATTCCTATTCTTCATGCAACTGCAAGATGGGATTCGAGATTGTGGACGAGTTTCGTCAACCAAACAAATCGCAAAAGAAGATTTGCAAAAGCAGATCTAAGGTAAAAACAGCTTGTAAGACTTGCAAGTGAGTTTCACATGTCTGGAACGTACCCAACTAATCACGTGGACAGGATACGAAAGGTGAAGTGCGATGAAGGAAAGCCTGCTTGTCAGCGTTGCGTATCAACGGGCCGAGTTTGTGATGGATATGGAATATGGGGTGGGGGCGGCAATAGTTACAACGAACGTTCTATCGGTTGCAAAGAACGCATCAGTCCACCCAACACCATCCTGGCCACACCCATGATAACCCCACGAGCAAGCACACACGAGCAGGACTGCTTCGAATGGTTCACGTGTCAGACCGTGAAGAAGTTTCCTGGGCTCTTCGGCTCTCCATTTTGGGAGATACTGGTATGCCAAGCAAGTTCGTCCGAACCAGCGGTGTTGCATGCGGTGCTAGCCTTCAGCTCTGCTCACAAGAAGGAGGGACTTGATAGCATTCGTCCAGGGAAATCGCTTACGCTTCCGGATACACTGGAGCAATTCACTTTGCAACAATACAGTCATGCGATCACCCACCTCCAGCCTCACTTCGCGACCAAAACCAAGGATTCTGTTCGCGTGGCTCTTGTCACTTGCTTGATCTTTATCCACATGGAATTTCTTCGCGGGCATTATAGAACGGGTAATTTCCATCTACAAAACGGATTGAAACTTCTTGCAGAGCTCCAAGGACAGCCGAACAAGGGGAATGGTGTCGTCGACTTGAAACCTCCTCTGAACTTCGTGGATAGCTGCCTTACCGACACGTTTATTCGATTGCAGTCTCAAGCGATTCTTCTGGGACAAAATTCCGGAGACTTGTATCTGGTCCCACATATGGATGCCGAGTCTTCAGACACGATGTTCTATTCCATCACTGCTGCAAGACGATCGTTGGAGCGCGTGCTTAACGAAATATATTATCTTACTGAGCAATCTTCTCGAGAGCAGCATTCTCAAACAGGGCTTACCTCAGAGGAACTTGTCGAAAGCCAACGCCACATTCAACCTGAGTTACTGTGCTGGTTCAGCAAGTACCAAGTAACGCAGGCCAAGTTCTATGATCAAACGTCACTACGAGAAAAGTTTGCCTACAGAGTTCTTCATCTGTACCATACAATGGCAACCATCATGGCCAACACTTGCATCTCATCAACTTCGCAATCTACCTTCGACCCTCAACTGCACCACTTCATCTCAATAATTACCCAGTACATCGAAGTATGGAAAATCGTCATGTCGAATCCAATAACTATAATATTGCCTGCCCATGGATTATCGACAGAGATATCAGACTCCGTTGCCGAGATGGGAGGCGTCTTGCCTCTATATTACACCGCTCTCAAATGCCGCAATCATAGAGTGAGACTTCAAGCTATCAAGTTGATGAGGTCCATCCCGCACAAAGAAGGGATGTGGGATGTGAAGATAGCAGCAACGATCGCAACACAAGTGATGGAGATTGAAGAGGGAGATTTCTACAAGAATATCGAGATCGATGACAATTTTGCTCTTAGCAGTCTGCCCATGGAACAAGATCTCGTACTGCCAGTATTGCCGGAGTTGTATAGGTTGCATGAGGTGCAAGTTGTGCTACCAGACAGCGATTCGGAGAAGGTTGCGTTGATCTGCAGGCGAAAGTTGAAGAACGGTGAGTGGGAGATAATCACAAGGGAATGTGAGGTGCTTCCTTTGGCTCGAGTAAAGAAGCCAGGACGGCCGATCTAAAAGACTCTTTATAGTTAACTTACGTGACTGACCTACATCATTCAAGTTTTTCCAACCTGGAAGTCCTCACTTGACTAAGAGACTTTCCCTGCCAGATTCCTTCGGCTTGTTTTATGAGAGGCGTGTTCTTGTCCTTCGGCTGTTCTACACTGATGACGGTCTTGACGTTATTCTTCAACTTCTGTTCTAAGTTAGAACCGCGTGATATCTCAGCCACGACTTTCCTCATACCGCCATGTCGGAAATTTTCCCTAGTCGGACGCGAACTTAGCGCCATTTAACATCACCAAATTCTGTACCTTACTCAGGTAGTCAAACATAATTCTGGGCGTAAGAAGCTTGCATTTCAGATCACGGGCAAGACACTTCTTGACCTGACGAGCGAGCACCCATGTCGAGGTACAATTGTAGCAAGAATCGTTTCTATTCGATATACTTCTTGTCTGTGTATCCTAAAGACGTTTTCATCGCTAGCGTCGTATATCTAAACAAAAGTAGTACCTCCGTAAATGTCCAACACCAAGTGTCGCCATATTCCAAGACACCAAACCTCCAATGTGTGTACGCTGACTCTATATAAGCAAAGAAGAAAATCAAACTCAGAACAATACAAAGCCTCCCGTATACAACTTGTCTAGATATACATGAAGCAACCTATTATCAACAGTGCCATCTCATAATCTTTCCATAACAGGAGAATAAGACATAGTCACGTTCACGCCCTTTTCTTCATCATACGCAAGACTGAGATACGTATGAGTAAGTCCCTTCCCCATCTTCTCATACACCTCTCCTAATCCCCACCCTCTCGCCAAGAAGAAGTTCTTCAAGCCTTCGCGCACACCTTGGTCCGAGACACCACAAGCCCAAGCCGGGATATAGATCTTCACATCTGGAATCTCTCGTCCATGAGCAATCTCGAGGCCGAAATAGAGGAAAGAGGCAGTTTGCTCTGAGGAGCTTTTCCACTCTCCTTCGAGACCTGTAAGGCATTCCCAGAACTGCTTGAAGAGTTCGAGAGCTTTGCCTGTTTCAGGGGAACAGCGCTCGCCGCCGAAGGTGTAGATGTGTTTGATGTTTGAGAACGATGTATTGTGTGTTTTGAGGTAGAGCTTGATGCGAGGGTTTTCGGAAGTGTGGATGCAGTCGAAGGATACCATCTCGAGGCTCATTTCGTCGCGGTCACACTCTAGATTTGATGGCTTGTTGTTGGTTTCGATGAGGTCTTGTTTGCTGGATGATAGGAATGTTTCGATGTTCTTTACTGCAGGGAGCAAAGACATGGTGGGCGAGTGTAGCTTCATGACAGCCGATAAGAGGACTTCGGTGTTGGTCTTGCCATCCAACAGAGCTCTTCTTTGTGGGAACAGATATGGCTTCATGACTGGTGCAAAGTCCTCTGTGGGCAGATCGAAGGCTAGGAAGCATGTTGGCGGAGCATCGCGTGACGAGAGAAGCTCATAGGCTCGCTGATTTTCTCCAGAAGGTACGAAGAGCTCGATCATGAAGTGATACCACCATCCAAGATCAAGGTTCGGACAGATGTTAGAACTTGCCAAGGACGAGACGAAGAATGCGGGCACGAGTTGATTGAAGGGATCCTCGCCAGTGCCAGCAAGTGGGCCAATTGGCTCAAAAGTGAAGCCTATCTGATGATTTGGGGTGAAATACTCTTGGCCGTTGACATTCCAGGAGGGCTCGAATGGAGATGCATCATGAGTAAGGTGAGGTGTCCAGGGAGCTTCAACAGAGGGTATAGGTCCCAAGGCCGGAACAACAAAATGATTGAAGAAGTCCATGTACTGTGCTTTGATTGTAGGGGAGTAGGATGCGTCTTCGAGCAAGTCCGAAAATTGAGTAATGGTGCTGCGATACCAAAAAGACTGCGCAGGATTAGCGAAGCAGGGTCCTCCTGAGGTTGGTACAAATGGCACAGAGTTGAACATTGCATGAGTGGGGTTTAATTCTTGACTAAGAATTCCGTTGATTGTTACTCGATTATAGTCGTAAGTTTTCCTTTGATCCTCGACTTGAGATGCAATAATCGACCTTGTGATATTGGGTCGGAAGGGGAGATCATGCTGAAGCGCACGATCAGCCTTTGAGGTGAAATATTCTTTTCGGATAGAATCCTGAGCTGGTGTAGAGTTAAGTGATGGATCGGACATTGGGGAGGCGTCTGGAATAAGATCAGGTAAGACATCTAGGGAAGGCGCCGCATCGGCAGAAGAGGCTGATTGAGCTGTTGACATTTTGATAATATCTCAGAGGAGAGAAAATCATCCGGGCAAGTATCGAGACACAAAAGGACAAAGCTCGTGAGAATATGTTGGAAATCTTTCTCGTGACACAAACTTTATAAAATGAGAGCGGGGCGGATGACTTGTCATGGCAAAGCCATAAATACGGACTCCTCATGGCCTTTCTATTTGGGCATGATCGATTCCCATCAGCCATATCCAAGCAGAAGAGTCTAGAAAAACATCCCATTCAGGCCATTCAGGATAATACACTTGCATTCCGCTTCCAATCGTCGTTGTATCTCATGTTGCTGGCGGATTTTCTTCGACTGCAACCATCAGAGGAAATCCAGGCCCAGCATATTCCCTGTAATATGCTTGTTCTCGTACGAGTCTTGGCGCATCTTGGACGTCATCTGCAAGGAATACTAGCTCCTGCATGAATTGTGGTGTTGCCTGGCTCTAGATCTTCTGCATGTAACCTTGTACGTCGGGCCTGGTAGTACAACGGTACTGGGAGAGCAGTGGCGGGGTACTGCCTGTGAGAGGGGGGTTAAGTTGGAAGCACAGACCAGAGAGTGAGCAAAGTTGAGCAATCTCACCGTTGAGAAGCATCTCGACTTTCCTAAAGTCCCTCATGTCGCCTGATACGAAGGTGGAGGCGAAGCGAGAGGATAGAGAATGGAAAATGGAACAACGTTGATATAACTGGGTGTCCTTTTCAGCCCCGCAAACATGCAGGATCTTAATAATCGAGGACTCTGACATGACAGATCAGATGCAAAATGTGTAATCGATAAGATATGATTGGCGAGGTGGAAAGGGGGGACGTTGGTGGCTGAAGTGGCTACGTGTGGCTCGTTTCGGGGCGCCCGGAATCCGGCAAATTTTGACTTGAGGCTTTATTTCGGCCCGGACATGAATCGCGAACTTTCAGCTCTTGACTACCTTGTAAACTCGGCCAGTCCTACCAAAAAAGAGTTTTTTCTCAGCAGGAACATGCAGTTCAAAGTTGAACCTGATTGAGCTCAGGTTGCACGCAGTCTTTCGAGAGGCGGTACCAGTCAATTCCAAATTATGCGCGTGCCGCGGTACCGCGACATCTCCATTCGCAGCACAAACGTTTGTCTTCTGCCTTGAAGTGTACTTTTCAGTGTGTCTCTAATATTCTCGACACCCTCACATTTTCGTACTGCGTGACCAAGTAGAGGTAGCGAGGCCCGGAGGGGTTGTATTTATCCTCGTAATTCCATTTCAGAATGCATTGTTCTCGATGAAGTCAACTTCCTGTCTACAGAAGCTAAAAGACAATATAGGCCATCAACATGAAAACGTGATACCATTTCATCACAATGATGAAGAATAGGAGGCTCTTGTATTGACGTTGCAGCTGCAAGCGGGAAAGTTGAGTGGCCAAGTACAACGAGGGAGTTTTGTCTTTGGCCAACACAACAAAGATGCCTGAGTATCTTCCCATATATAGTATTTAATGAAGCTCTGCTTTCACAAATATCACTAACTTTTCTTGCTTTACGATAATTCTGATTAGCTTCTGTTGCCCACAACGGATCGAGGATTCCTTCTTGTAGTTTCTTCAGACCCACCCCTTATCTTTCCAACTCCATTGCCCGAGATGGCCAGAACTCGTAGCAGCGAATCTGGAGGGCCATCAGGCAAAGGTAGTGGCAAGAGAAGAAGAGCCGCTACGAAAAGTAGCAACGAATCTGAATCTCTATCGAGCGATAGGAGCATGAAGAAAAGAGGTGCCAGTGTCAAAAAGAACGATGCCTCTAAGAAACGCCAAACCAAGCAACGTAAAAGTGAGGAGGGCGGTAAGGGTGCCATCATAAAGCTTTTCAAGAGAAAGGGTGTTCCAACCTACGAATTGGGAGACCCAGAATACGAGTTTGTGACCCATACAGCAAATCCCCTACATCGCAATAGGCTGCCAGATTGCGTTGTGCAACCTCTAACTACTGTTGACGTCCAATACATTGTAAAGCAAGCAAAAAAGAAGGACATTGCAAGCACAATCAAAATTGGCGGCCATTCTTACCCGGGATCATCTGCTTCCGATCAGGGCTATATCAAATTGGACCTCACGAATATGAACCAAGTTACTCTCGATATGGATTAAAAAGTTATAACAATAGGAGCGGGCGCATTATGGGGAAATTTATACAAGCCCTTGGTTGACGGGAAACATGACGGATATGTTATCAACGGTGGGCGATGTCCTACTGTTGGAGTCAGCGGATATATTCTAGGAGGAGGCATCTGTCCATTCACCAGAAGCTTCGGAATGGGATGCGACACTTTGCTAGAAGCTACCATCGTTACTGCGGACGAAATTGTACATACAGTTACGCGCGACGATGACCCAGAATCAAGCGAAGGGAAGCTCTTTTGGGCTCTCTGTGGTGCTGGCCAAGGTAGTTTTGGTGTTGTACTGGAGCTGAAAATGGCTGTCAGCAAGTTGAAGAACAAGGAGGGCAAAGTTATAGCAGTTCGATCCACCTGGTTTCCGAAAGAAAGTGACGACGTACCGGCGATAAAGAGTGCTTTTTATTCTGCTAAGTGGTCGACACAAATGACGATCGACACCATTTGGCTATGCAACACCCGAGATGAAGCAAAGATCGGTGTTCGTTTCAGTGCCTATTATGATGGCAACGGAGAAGACTATCTAAAAGAAATCAATCAGAACATCTATAACACGAGTCTGAAAGAGTTGTTCGGCGAACGAATCGTGGATAGAACGTCCTCTGATTGGCTTGGCAACATTCTTCCAATAACATGGGATGAAGAAGCCAAAAGGTCTAAATACGTAAACCAAACCTTCTCTATCTTCGGCTCCTTCGCTTTTGAAAACAGACCAGTGCAAATGCAGCAAAATCGATGTCATCCAAGAAGTACTACAGTCTTACGGTGAGAAGTATAAGAACGGGGATGGATCTTCCGTCGAAGTCTCATTCATACACCCTGGAACAACAGCAGCCAAAAAGCCCAGTACGGCCACAGCTTTTCCTTGGCGTAAAGCTGCCTATCACGCGTACGTTTTGGTCAAATTATGATGATTTGTTTCAAGGAGACGTCATGCAAAACCTGTGCCGTTCGATCAGGGCTAAATTGAGACCGTTCTCCATATTCGCAGAGGCAGCCTTCGTTAATTTCCCCAATGAAGCGACACCCAAAACCGCACATGAAAGCGCATACTACGGTACGAATCGAGAGAAGCTGCGCGAAGTCAAGAAGATGTGGGACAAGAATAACTTTTTTGGCTGGGATCAAGGCGTTGGACTTCCACAGCCGGACCTGTCAATCGCAGGTTCTCCCACGCTTGTCAATGAGAAAACCGACAAAGATGCAAACAAGCAAAGGAACATGAAAGAAGCAGAGCGTTGGGCGAATTACCGCCCTACTTTGGGGAATAGTTTCATAGGCATAGATATAGGACCGAGTACTTACGACCAAAATGGTTGAAAACTTTGAGCTCTTATAGGTCATTCTATCTTCCTAGTCAGTGTTTAACAGTATTCTCGAATGAATTTTCTACTAAATCTAATCCTTCTAGCTTATATTTTTAAGTTGAAAAGAGAGATATTCGTGCTCTTCAATTAGAGTTCGACTCGTGTTGTATTCTGGCTACGATGTTCCAACGTACCGCTCATAATTTCACTTTGGTGTATCACGGAATATATGCGCAGATACTTCCTTGATTCTGATGATACTTTGCAGCTCATAATATAGTCTAATGTTGACTTCTTGTTCTCGGAGTAATCACCAGCTAGTAGTGGACGAAAGGTTTCTCCATCGTTTTTCATAAATTCCGAAAGGTGAAGTCCGGTCTGACTGCAAGAAACTCCCTCGATGCATCGGCATTCCTGTTTTCGGTCATCGCCTGCGGCGTGAAAATTGCAATCCTTGACGTACAACGGACGAGGGAAGCGCGATGTTGTCGTGGTCGTCACTTGCTTTCACGGTGCGACTCGGATCCGAAATATTATTCCGAAATTCGGATCCGAAGACGCTACCAACCCGGAATCCTCTGCCATGCCAATTTTCCATTGTAGCTTCAAGTTCATATGTCCTGAAATAAGCAAGATGGAGTATATAAGAGCATTTCAGCTCTTTGACAAAAGGTTCATCTTACCTCGGGCCAAATCAACACAAAACATACATCTGAAGCAGTTTCCACAGCAAGCAACTCCTCGACTTTCCAAAATGAGTTTCCAAAAAGACCAAAAAGTTGCAATTATAGGGGCAGGCTTGGCAGTAAGTGTTCAAAGTACTAGGTTTTTGTTGAAGTATTGACGCTAATATTCTCAGGGTATGAGTCTTGCACTAGCCTTGCACAAACAGTCGATCCCATGCACCATCTATGAGCTCCGGGACTCAGCCTCTCATCTCACTGCTACCGGAGCATTGATGTTATGTCCCAATGCACTCAAAGTACTGAGTGAAATTGGAGTCTATGAACGCATCAAGAATCAAGGTTATATGTTCGAAAAGCTCGAGTACAAGGATGAGAACTACAAGATCACCGATGAGTATTATCTCGGCGGAGAGAAGTTGTTCGGCTACAAAGCACTTCGAGTCTATCGTGATATTCTTCTTCGAGAAACTCTCGGAGCAATCACAGAGCGAGGAATCCAGGTCCAATACGGACGCAAATTCTCCAAGGTCGTCAAGGAAGACGAGACTGGCGTTGAGTTCGCATTCGAAGACGGATCTACCGAGTCCGCAACTTTGCTCATTGGCGCTGACGGTATCCACTCCAAAGTCCGACAATACATTCACCCAAATGTCGGTCCTATTTTCAGTGGCATGATGGCAATTACCTCTGTGGTTCACGTCTCCGACCTTCGCTTTCCCGAGCCAAATTACCACTTGACGACTTCGATACACAGCAAGTACGGAGCCTTTGTCTTTGCACCTCAAAACTCTTCCGGTACAGAGATCCTCGTCGGTACACAAATGAGAATGCCAGAGCAAGATCAAGAAGGATGGCGTCGCATCCGTCAGAACAAAGATGAGCTGAAGAGCATGTTCCAAGCTCACATGAACGAATGGCCGGATCTCGTCCAATCGGCTATGGAACACATGAACCCCGACAAGCTTTCTATTTGGCCATACTATGTCGTTCCAAAGCTCGATACCTGGTCTTCACCAGGCAAGCGTGTCATCATTTTGGGTGATGCTGCTCATGCTATCCCTCCAACGGCCGGTCAAGGCGCGAGTCAAGCTTTCGAAGACGTTTATTCGCTGTCCCTGCTGTTGTCAAAACTGTCTGACAAAGTGAAGCTTGACGACGCCTTGGATTTCTGGCAGTGCTATAGAATGGCGAGGGTCGATGATGTGTTGGCTCTCACTAGAAAGTTAGACGTGAAGAGGTTGCCAACCGAAGACAAGGCGAAGGTGCCAGAGGAAGTTGTGTTCAAGAACATTGGAGACGGGGAACAGCAGAGATGGCTGTTTGAGCCGAAGATTGAGGAGAAGATGTTGAAATGGGTTGCTGAGCAGGAGAATCAGTGAAGTGAGATGATTATTGAACGGATTTTCGCGAATCGGCCCCGACAGGTACTTCTTCCACTCGTTTTCATCCCATTATCATGGGCAGCCAGATTAAAAGACACATGTACCACTGAGTAGCCAGCTAGTCTATCATTTACTTCAATAAAACAATGTACGCAAGCATTTAGCTGTCGAGATTGGCTAGACGATAACTTTTGGGATTGACAATCAAAGAGCCTAGCAGGGGTTTTTAACCCACCCTCAGGAGGCAAGACTGAGTTGTAGCATCTCAATCGAAGTTCGAGAAGCGTTGAGACACTTTTCTCGCTACAGGATCTAAAACTCTGAACAGGGCGATTTTGCTCAAAAGTACTACCGCATGCAAGGAGGGTAGAAATCCGTTCTGTTAAGCATTCATCAAACGACGACTTTAGCTTCTTGATTCACAAGCCGTCTCCAGCTCGGGAAAACATAAGTAACAAGCGTTCCAGACACAGCACATTGTATTCCAGGACCATCATGACGAGCCAACAGAGCTTCTCGACTAACCATAATATGGTCTGACTCCCGCACCTGATCGCCAACCTTTGGTATCTCAATTCTCATCGAGTGCTCACTTCGCCTCAGCAGAATCGCGAAATGGTAAGCAATCTCACAGACATTTTTTAGTTCCCGGTAGCTTTCATCGCAGTCTTTCGCTTGTTTGATCTTGGTGTAGTCAATTGAGGTCAAATCCATGATTGCTTTCAGCTGGTTGGCTGACTCATCGACCCAGGCTAAAGGTGCTCCTGAAAGTGCATAGTTGTTGGCTTGTGAGTGTTCAATCTTGATTTGCTTTGCAAAATTCATTGTCAGAAGGCGCCAATGATTGGTACGAACTTGGTCCTCTTGGGGTAAGTATTAGCGAAGCTTCGACGTCCGCAAGTGGTAGACTCACTGTCATCTGAATTCATGAGATGATGTTCGAACAAACGCAATCCGTGCTCGAGACCTGTGTGCTGTGTGACTCGCTCAAGATCATGAAGATCATACGTGCGTTGGCTCAAGAGAACTTCAGAAATGTACTGGAAGATTATGCCCCTTGCACGATTTATGATACCAGTAGCATCTGGTCCCCGTAACCAGAGGTCATGATACATGCGCTGTGCTCTTCCGCCCGCTCCACTGAGATTGTACGGATCTGGTGTGCTCGGTACAAATTGCACACTCGGATCCGGGTAGTAGAACTTCCTTACAATGCGTTGAATTCGAGTTTGAATGTCGTCATAAATACGCACGATGTTGTCTGTGATCAGTTCTTCGTCGAAGAAGTTGTGCTTTGTGTTCATGCTTGACTTAGACAGAAGCACGTCGGTCTGCTCCGTCAACCTTTCATCTTCTGCGGCCAAGTTCTTGCTTTCAAGTTCGCTGATACAGCTCTTATGGTTTTTCTCCAGATTCCTATATTTTATTTGTAGAGCGCCCAGCGACTCCTTCAATGTGCGAACCTCCTCCTTATGCTCCTCAGCTCTCAAATCTGCGGTTTCCTGTTGTCCATCCGGCGTAGTGGTATCCTTCGTTTGGCTTGCAGATTCGGTGCTGCACTTCTGATGCTCTTTCTCCAGATTCCCAGATTTTGTCCGCAAGTCCTCCAGCGATTCCTTCAATTTCCGAATCTCATCCCTATGTCCCTCTTGCTTCGATCCCCATCCAGATCCCAAGTTTGAGCCTGTGTCTGCCCTCATGTTTTGATAATCCTTTTTCAGGTTATCAAATGCTTTTCGGACCGTCACACTATCATCTCGATAATAACGCAGGCTCCCTTCAAGGCTTTTGATGCGTTGGAGGGCATCTTCGAAATCGGCTGCTTTCGCTGCATGTGCTTCGCGTTCTGTTGGTGTTGTTCGGATTGGTTCTTTGGCTTCCTTGTTGAGTAGTATATCGATATCGGCGATGCTGGAGTTGAGGAGACCTGTGATATTGCCGATGCTTTCTGAGAAAGCATCGTTGGGCTGAGTCATGGTTTAAGGAGATCTGATCTGGCTAGCAGCTTATACGGAGACCATGAACGACTGATGTAGGAGACATTGTCGAGAATCTAGGAAAAGGTGCGGGGTCATTCTGAGCATTCCAGAGCTTGCTTGTTAGTGCATTCCTGGATTTGATCTCGGAAAAGCCTCAAATATCCTAGAAAATAATACATTCTTTCCTTCACTCAACTAAGCTAGGCATTCCACTCGTGATTAGGATGCAATCACCACCTTTATCGACATCATTCATACTTTGCATCCACAGTGCCCATCTCCTGTCCATTGATCTCAAGAGAGACCTTCATGACGGCGGACTCAATCTTGATGACTAGGTGGTAGTGGACTTGATGATATGTGATACCATCTGTGCCGACATTCCTAGTGAAAGTGTTGAGAGGCACGGCTCGAAGATCGGCAGTGAGGGTGCAGTTGGTTCGTGTTGCAGCAGCGGATGGGTGAACTGGTGCATCCTCGTCTTCGCTTTGAATTAGATCGTCATAGAAGATCAGTTGATAGTTGTGGTAGCCTTCTGCAAGCGAGCGATAGAACGGGAAACGGATAGTCTGGTCGCGCTTCAGGTCTTGGCCACTGTTGATGTACCAGGTCCTGGCAAAATTAGTGGTGTTCTGAACATGGAAGAAAGAAAACAAGAGAAATTGAGAACACGACAATTCCTGTCACATGCCGTGCTTCGAAAGATGCTTGAAGTTGCAGATGATAGGTTGAAAAGGTTTCATCTTACATCTATGTCAGGTCAGCAGAAGCATCGTTGAAGAAGGATAGCAAAATCGAGGAATCTCAAACATACTCGTTTGCACCGGTAAACTCCCAGTTCGGCGTTCCAGACTCTTGGTTGTCCCCGGTCCGCAACTTCATTGATATGCCAGTAAGCTGCAACACCACAGTGTCTCGTCGCTTGGTTGGATATAACCATTGTTTCCATTGGAAGTCGACTAAGAACTGCGCCTCTATTGCGGCTGACAATAAAGCTGTTCGGTTATTCATAGGGATTCTTACTTCACAATCGCTGCCCAAGCTCCATGCGGTTGGATCACCTGGATATCAGGGTGATCTGCCTCCAGACTGGCTTTCAGATATGCGCTGGATCCAAAGCCGCCGACAAGGAATATCGCCTATTCCGTTAATAGTGAACAGAAGACGTACCTGACGTTTCGAAGCTTCATACCTTAATTGGCTTTGTACCAACATTTGACACTTGCTTCATCCTCACAAGTCTCACCTGATCCTTCACGAGTCTCTGAATGTCTTCAATGAGTGGGTCAAAAATGCGCTTGACATCATCTCTGCAGGTAATCAGTATCAGAGCAACAAACAGTGTGCAGAGCTGACCCTCTCATATTCCAAGTGTTCGAGACAAGATTCTGATCGGGATCATCTGTTAAATTAGCCATTGGAAAGTTGACCCAGTAGTCTTCGTCTGGATCTCCTCTGAAGGCTGTTTTGACAGTCTTGTCGAATTGATCAACAGCTTGCTCAAAACCGACAGTTTTTCTCAATCTCAAGTACTCGACTTCGCCCACAAGATCTTTTACAGTCTGTTCGAAACGCCTGTTGAGTCCCAGTGAACCAGCCATGCCACCTGCATTCATTAGACAGTGAAAACAACCATGAACTGGGACATATTACACACCTGTACCAGGGACAAGCTCTTTGAGCTCTAATCGAGGGAGCAATCTAGCAATTTCGTAGGATATCAAGTCGGCTGTACCACCGCCGGCGTCGCAAATCACGAAGGCGTCACCAACCTAGAAAAACAAGTCAGTCTTGACAGATGGATAGAGGAAAACTCAGAACTTACTTCTAAGGCTTTATCTTCAAAATATTCAAGGTGTACAGAGCAGCGGCTTCAGGTTCCTTGATCAATGTGACGTGATGGATGCCAGCTTTCTCTGCGGCCTGGATAGATTTAGCTGCTTGCTACAAGATCAAAACCCCATCTCTAGACAATAGACTCACCCGTAAGGTAAGGTTTTTTGCCTTGTCTGACCAGACGGCGGGCACAGATAGTACAAACTGTTGGTCGCATAACGCCAAGTACTCAATCGGCATTTTGGAGCTAATGACGGTCATAGCATGTTTGTACATTGCGCCGAGATAATCTGCAGCGACATCTACTGCAGATTTTCCCAATTCTTGGAGGTCAGCCTTTGCAACAGACTCAGCCAAGTAAGTAGGTCGAGGTTGATCGAGGTCGAGAAGCAGCTTGACACCCCGTAGAATGTCGTTCTTGTGCTTCTGAGCTCCCCATGTGAATGAGCTCTTATTGATTGCATCGTAACTGAGTATGGTAGGGACTTTGGGCTGTTGGAAGCCTTCGAGTCCTGGGAACAGTCGTTAGTCTCTGACTGAGGTGGAGGGTCTACAAACGTGCCTGGCCAATCCATAATGGACATCACGTCTGGCTTCGCGTCCTTTCTGAAAGCATATGCAATGCCACTGAAAGTTGTACCAAAATCGATAGCGATCACGAGTTGGTCCTTTGGCCCACTCATCTTGTTCTCCTTTCAAATGCTATCAGTTGTGGTGTGATAAAACGGCTGTGGAAGAAGCTTCAGAGGCGAATATTCATAACAATATATAGATCATGAACCTTTCAAGACGATTTCTCCGATGCAACACAGAAAGAGGAAGAAGCAAAGCACACAGGTTTGAATAGATGTACATGGATGTGTGCTGATACCAATGATCTTAAAGAATGAGAGGTTCTGAAATCGACTTGCTTCCAAGCGAATGGTTTTGGGAGATAGTGGTTGTTGGCGATGTTTGAAGTGACGGTAGCTTCTAGTGCTTGTAGAACATCACTTTGAAAGGGGCTATTCTTAGGGGGCGACTTACAGCTGTACAGTACCTGAACTATCCCTCGGCTAGAACATTGACACACACAACCTCTGAATGAGGCTTTAGCCGTATGATGATCGGTCGGCTGAAATTGTTGTCTCCATTGTCTTACGCATCACGAAAGAGAAATTGTTGAGACGAGCCAGTTCTTTCATATCAGATTGACTTGCCCAAGCTGGAACGTCAGGCGAAAGAAGGTACAGAAATTCAAGAACATATCTACGAAATGCTAAGCATTCCCAAATATGCATATCAAAGTATCGTGGTACGCAGGGGCAAACAGGCGATCATGAAAGAAGGTGCAAGGAGCTTCTCCAGCTTTCCAGGACTGAAAACACATGAGTGTCTCCAGGAGCTTGCGGGTATAAAGACTGTGTAGTGGCTAAGGATCGATGCAGTGTAAGCAGCAGATTTGCGTCCAGCAAAAAGGCAATCATGGAGCACCGAGACCGAGAGATGGCAAATAATTCAAAGACAGACATGGATAATATCCATTCCTTCGTGAGACAGCAATTCGCAGAGCTGGAAGACAGCTTGAAGGAGGAAATACGCAGCGTACCAGAGGCCGTGTGGAAGACCGCAAAGATGACCGATGCTGGCGAGGCTGCTCGTAACACGTTCACTGTAAGTCATACACTGAATATCGTTAAGGACAAATAGCTAACGAGTAGAAGAATCTGTTCGGATTATTTCACCGACAGACTGACGAGGGCGATTCGAAAGCAAAAACACAGCTGGAGGTTTCCGCTCATGCAAACCATGAGTTAGAAGTAGAGAGAAAAGCAATCTTGAGGGATTCGGAGGACTGGAGATCTGGCTTCGAAAAAAGTGCAGAACATTACCAGAACAAGCTCAAGGAAGAGATTGCAGACATCAGATTCCAGAAAGACAAGGCTGTCCGTCGGCTGAAGGATGCAGAGAGGGAAAATGGAGAATTGCAAAAACAAGTAGCCACTTTTCGAAGCATCATCATCAAGCATGGAGGCAGTGAGAGTGGGCAATTGGATGATGCTACCATTGTCGCCAGATTCGTTAACTTGCGAACCAAAATTCGGGGAATCGTCATGAGAGATTGCCACTTCGACAAGCTGGATACCGCCACGGGACATGAATCATTGCAAAAGCTTCACAAAAGGGGCCTGACGATTTTCGACTTGAAGAACCAGCTGCAAGAAAGTCTGTTCAGGGAGGTTTGCCGGGTTTTCTTCTCGGTGTTGGCTTTTGGATTGGAGGGGTCCACTCTTGGAGATCAAGTCAATTACGGCCTGGGTAGATTTGAATGGGAGCTCTTGTCCCTGTCTCCGGGTCAAGGTAAGTTCCATCTCTTTAAGCGAGCGACAGAGACGGGGCTGATCAGGGTGGCAGGTTACCAAAAGGATTCCTTGGAGTGGAGATTGCTCACGATCAAATGTGCGAAATTGTTGGGCCAGCCAAATCCCGACGTCGCGGCACAAAGAATACTGGATTGGTTGCAACCATTCTTGGGCATGACCGAGAAGCCTGACCAAGATACGCCGAGCGATTCAAGCAGCAAGTTGAATCGTGAGTCGACCAGCAAGTCCACCAGCGAGAGTCGAGTCAAGCAGCTATGTCAAGATGCTTTGGATTTCGCACTTCTCATTCGAACTTGCCGCGACCGTTACCAAGCCGAGAGGACCATAGAACGAGAGGAGCGTTCAGAGCAAGCATGGGAGGGTGAAATGGGCTCAGATAACGATCCTCGAGAGATAGCATGTATGATATCGCCAGCGCTGGTCAAATACCCTGGCCATGACTGGAAAAAGCGTCTGGTTCTCGAGAAGTCACATGTTATTGTACGCAAGATCGTGCCGGGGGGCTGCAATGAGTTAGGGGTAGGGTCCCTACTACCACATGATTGTGACCGAGCCGAAAATTGAACCAGATGGGGAAGATTGAATAGTATCGTTGTCGTTGTTGGGAGGAGCACTGCTGCACCTTCGAGTATCTTTCAAAGCACACCTATGAGGCAGAAATGAAGGGGATTGATCCCAATTGGCAGATGTAAGAAACGCAAAGTGACCTGATGTAAATGTTAGTGCTTGTATGTCGTTAGAAGCATGCAGAGGGACAATCCGATGGGAATTGAATGCCTTAGCCAATTTAGCACTATTTCTAGTCTGCGATAATTGCAGATCTACTGTCTCCTTTTTCTATCGGCAGTGCTAAAGATGCAGCAATTGAATCCAGTGATGATGTTGAGATGTGAAAAGGTTGAAGGAGGAAGAGAAGCGTGGGTCTGATGCGTGGATGAGCCCAAGCACTTTACGCGTTTACGCGATTCTTTTTCCACGACGCGTCTCCCCAAATATTCCCCTGGCCCTTCCACAATCAATATACACAATATCAACATCATGTCGGACTACGAAGATGATATGGACGTGGACGCGCCTGTCGGGCGCGACACGATAACCTTCAGTTCTGATAATACCAATTCGAAGGGCAAGAGAAGCGCGGCAAACTTGCCCGTTGAAGCAGAGGATACACTGCCATGGTGAGCAGGACTTCTACAATCAATCCGCAGAAGCTGATCTTACTGCCAAGGGTCGAGAAATACCGTCCAGATACCCTCGAAGACGTCTCGGGTCATCAAGATATCCTCGCAACGATAAATAAGTTCGTTGATACAAATGTATGAAAATTGCCCCTCTTTTCGACCCTCCTAACACTTGTGCAGAGACTACCTCATCTCCTCCTTTACGGGCCTCCAGGTACAGGCAAAACTTCTACGATTCTTGCATTGGCACGACGAATATACGGCGCGAAGAATGTACGGCAGATGGTACTCGAACTCAATGCATCGGACGACAGAGGCATCGATGTGGTGCGAGAGCAGATCAAAACCTTCGCGAGCACGAAGCAAATCTTTACGATGAATCCTACCTCTAATTCCTCCACGTCAATCGCAGCATATAAACTCATCATTCTCGATGAAGCAGATGCGATGACATCCACGGCACAAATGGCACTGCGACGAATTATGGAGAAATATACTGCCAATACCAGATTTTGCATTATTGCGAATTATACACACAAGCTTAGTCCAGCTTTGCTCAGTCGTTGTACGAGGTTTAGATTCAGTCCATTGAAGGAGGTCGATATAAGGGTCCTGGTGGATAAGGTTATTGATGAGGAGAATGTGCAGATCACATCTGATGCCACCGATGCACTGGTAAAGTTGAGCAAGGGAGATATGCGAAGAGCGCTCAATGTTCTTCAAGCCTGTCATGCAAGCAGTAAGTCGCTCCTAATGGACCATTGAACTTTTCACTAATTCGTCAAGGCACACCTCTACATCTAAAGGGTACCCCAAAAATTGCGGAGAAAGATATAAAACGAGACCTAATCACTGAAACCACAATCTACGAATGTATCGCCTCACCACATCCCGAAGATATCACCAAGATTGCCGATACTCTTATGCACACGACAGATGTCACATCATGTCTTCAAACGATCAACTCCCTGAAATCTACACAAGGTCTGGCATTAGCAGATATCATCACAGCACTCAGCGAGCAATTGACCGCGATGCGAGTCCCTGCCCCAGTCATGATAACTTGGCTCGATGGATTGGCAGAAGTAGAATATAGATTGAGTGGCGGAGGTGGAGAGGCGATTCAAACGGGAGCTGTGGTTGGTGTTGTGAGAAATGGTGCAGAACTGTTTGAGACGTTGAAATGATTTAATGCAAGTACGAAGATCTTGCATTGCTGTAGGCGTCTGGAGGATAGGAAATGTATACCTTGCGGATTTGATTGCAGTCAAAGTACGATATTTTCCCAAACTTGATTTTGAGAAGGTGTCCTATCTGGTTAGGATGAATGTCGAACCTTCCAATAAGCATTGAAAGCCACACCAATCATTAGAATCAGGGCGTCTAAGAAAGACCGAGATACTTCTTTGTCACCTGGCCAAGCAATCTACTATCTCGGCTCGCTGTCCAAACCAGCGGAGGTGAGTCTTTCTCAGGATTAGAGCTTTCAAGCTAACATTTCAGCAGGACGGGAGTCAAAGACTGTCTCTTGGATAGTAATTATACCATGAACGAATCCCAAAGTCGATCACAGACAGTATCCATATCTTCAGAACTCTCATTGCTAGTCCCCGTTCTAAATCCTACTTTCCACTCCATCACAACCCTTCTGCTCTCTACTCCTTCTTCCCCCAAAGACCCCGACACTTAACATGCACAACATCCAACTTAACCAATCCTTCCAACCCCCTCAACAACCCCAGATTCTCCTTAAACGCCCCCGTCTCCCTAAACCACTGACACCTCTCAACACTCTCCCACCCAACAAGCAGCACCAACACCTTCCCCATACCCCCCACCTCCCCCCTCACGGGAAAATCATCCTCAACCCCCCACCCAAAACTGACACCCTGCACACCACCACCACCTCCCCTCAACCCCCGCACAACCCGCTCCACCAGCCCCTCAACCCTCTCCCTCGCCTCCCCCGCCATCTCAGCCGGCAAGAACGCCGTCACGATTTGCGTGACCGGTGCCCGCAGCGGAGAGAGCGTGGGTCGTATCTCGACGTGCTTCGAGAACTCGCCGTGCGTTAGGACTTTCGGGAAATCTTGCACTGCTTCGGCTCCGAATCTATTTTTTCCGTCTTTATATTAACCTCCCATTTTTATTTCTTCTTGATTAAAGGGTGATGGTCAGGAGGTATGTAGGTAGGGACTCACGACTTAGCAAAATCCTTATGAGCATCCAAACTCTCCCACTCGAAAAACGCCCAAACGTGCAACGGGTCCTCGAGCTCGAGACCCCAGTAGATCTCGCGGGGAGAGTTGGGCGCGGCGTAGATGGATGTGTAGACGTTGGTGAAGATCTTGCCGGAGGGGTGCGAGTCGTCCATTATTGGGTGGTTGGGTTTTACGCCCATTAGGCCGATTTCTGTGAGTGGCATTTTGGATTTGTGGGAGATGATTGGGAGGAGGTGGGGGTTGGTGAGAGAAAATGGAGGAGGAGGTGAAGTGGTGTTTATTTTTATATGTGCTGTGAAGTAAGTGGTGATGGCTCGCAGGCAGACAGAGAGACGGATGGAGTGCCGTTATCCCGGAGCTACTTTTGTTAACCGAGCTCCTTTAGGGGGGTAAGCGCGAGCTTTATTTTGGTGCCTAATGTTGTTACTCTTTACGATTTCTCGTCATTTTGAAAGGACTATCCTGGATATGAAGATTGCGCGTTCAGTTGTAAGTTGTCTCGATGCCTAGCTCTTGAGTAAGGGCGGGAAGTGAGGCTGCGATGATTTTCATGCTGGTGATGCTTGACGGTCTTGGCATTCTAGGCGTAGAGGAGCGGAGCGTACATTTCAATTGGATTAGAACACGATATGTTTTCAGGGATTATTTCAACTGCTCGGTGAAATCACGTCAATTCATCGTTATGGTGTTACAGAAGGAGTAGTCTAAGAATGTTGAAACTCACGTGGAACTAGAGAGGGAGTCCTCGACATGTCAAGTCAGCATTATTCTCTGTCTAGCTGTACAATTGAATGCAAGTAGTTAGAACGAGCAACCACCCACAGTATACTTACCATCCCATGGAAAGTCTCTGCCTCCGAGATCGTTATAACAATGAATCAATCCAATCCTGTTGGCCAGCAGCAATCATGCGAAGTACACACATATCAAAACCAAAAGGTTCACACCACGTCACGAAAAAAGGGTATTTATTTATACGATTTTCAAGAAACTATCTCTCCCTTCTTTCCCCATCCGCAAACTCTCAAACCAAGAAATCGAAACATGAGACCCGCTCACTACACTAATCATGAACTCCCAACAATCCTGTCTAATCCCAATCCCTTATCTCCCACGCATCTTTCTTCCTTGCATCTGGAGTAGTAGCGTTCTATGCCACAGGTGGGCTCGGAGGAGCAGATTTTCCGGCGTCAGGAGCAGTGCCGTTCAAAGCCGCTGGAGGAGGAGCCGTCCCTGCATTAGGTGGTGGCGGAGGAGGAGGCGCCGTCACATTCGCAGCACCTTGCGGAGGAAGTTTTGTGCCATTGTCTGCTGGCGGCGGCGGTGCAGCTGTCACATTCGCTGCAGCCGGAGGAGGAGGAGGATCTTTGTTGCCAGCTTTCCCAGTACCCATCGGAGGAGCAGGTTTCGTTTCATTTCCCGCCGCTTTTGGCGGATTATTGGCCGGTTTGCCTGTTCCCATTGGAGGTGCGGGTTTCGTGCCATTGCCGGCCGTTTTTGGTGGTGGTGGCATCTTTCCCGCTTTGCCGGTTCCTGCTGGGCGAGCGGATTCTGTGCTGTTTCCTGCTACCTTTGGATGCTTTGGTTTCTTGGCAGAGGCGGTGCCATTTGTTGCTGAAGCGGTCCCGTTGAGTGATGCTTGGCCGCTTATTGAAGACGTGCTGTTGCTACTAACCGTTGTGTTGCTGATAACCGTCGCAGTTCCGTTGCTGAGTCCTGCCAGGGCAGTTGCACTTGCTCCTTGCGTCAAGGTGACCGTGGAGGTGACGGTCAGTGGTGGAGTAGTGACGGTAGAAGTAACCATTTGCCCAGCTTGTTGTTCGATGATCGTGGTCGTGGTTCCTGGTTGAATGAGTTGGATGATGATGACCTGAACCGAGGATGACGAGGACGAAGATGATGAACTGCTTGATGAAGAACTTGACGAAGATGATGAGCCGGTGTTTCCGTTTCCAGAGCTATCTGAAGATCCACTTGATCCGGCTGATCCTGAGGATTCGCTTGAGCCGGAACTTCCACTTGTTGATCCAGAGCCCGTTGAAGGTGGACTTGCCTCTGGTGGGGGAGGTTGAGCTGGACTGACAACGGGAGGTGCTACTCCATTTGCTCCATTGGATCCGGAAGATGATCCAGATGACGATCCTGAAGAAGAGGAACTGGATGAAGACGATCCGGAATTTGATGAACCAGCTCCAGTATTGCCCGTTGATGGTGGAGGCGGAGCAGCACTAGCAGCTACTACAACTGATGTGCTTGTCTCAGTTTGAGCTACAGCGGGAGGCTGAACCGTAACAGTAGATATGGAGGTTACTGTCTCAGTAACAGTGACGGTCGAAGGTGGAAGGCACGATGTGATGGCAGGAGGAGGCGGTGCTTGGACCGTGCTTGTACTGGTGGCTTTTGCAGCAGATTCCAGTATTGTGCTCGTGAGAATCGTGGCCTTTGCAGGTGATGGTGTCGGGAGTGTGCTTGTCACAACACCCTTCGCTCCCACGTCTCCTCCAGAGTCATCAGTGCCCCCAAAAAGAGCACCTAGACCAAGAAAGTTTCGTTTAATATCATGTTGAGGCCTAGACCACAGATATCAGTATGATACACCAAGCACTTTGGACATCACTCACTCTGCCTGTGAATCTATTGGGCCAGCAACAGCGATGGAAGATAAAAGAACGACAAGCGCTGAGGAGAAGAGAATATCAGACCGCATGCTGAAAGAATAAACTACAAACAAGAAAAGAATGTTGATATCAAATCAAGGGAAGGACTGGAGAGAAGGTACAAGCGTACTGAGCAGAACTAGAGGGATGTTGCCAACCTTTATGAGGCTCGACCTCTCATCATGACTGGTGCCCTCATGAGGTGTCACGGCTTTCAAACAAGCTTAAAAACGAGGAAAGGTGAAGCGGGGAGCAAAGACGAGATCTAGGAGTATCCCGCGAGAAAAGCTGCCAGTCTCACTCGAAGGTGGGTTTGAGATCAGGAGACTATCCTACCCGAGCAAGAATTGCGGATGAAACAGTGCTTTGAGGTGATAAAGTCTAGCGGATAGACCATCTGGTAATCAGATGAAGAAGGCTGTGCAAGCTTCAAGTATGGATCTGTGGGTGTTTCCACCTATGATCGTCAGATCTGATGAGCCAGAGCACGGAAGCTGAACCTTAATTGTGCACAGAATATGCATAAATAGACCAAACTTTGTTGCGACTGGACGAGCGGAAAAAAGAAGTATCAGATCCGCGGTTTCCATCTGGTGTAGTCTTCAGCCTCCAAAAACAAGTTTGCTTAACCGCTGAGCAAAGGCACATTGCTTGCTGGACAATGACATTCGAGGCTATGCTCACTGAGGCTGATAATTTCCCACAAACAAATATGTTCATGTCCTACAAACTGATTCGGAGGGTAAATAAGCCGCTGGACTCGTTTCGAAACTTGATAGAATATTTTTGGTCTGTTTGACAGCTATGACCGGTTTCTTCTCGGTTCTGAGTTTCTTGCCCAATATCCTTCGCCCCAAACAAAACTTCAGAACAGACGAAATGAGGCAATAGACAATAGAGACGGCAATTGGGAGTTCGGTCAAGCATCAGAACTTCTGAGCGAGTCGACTATCGTCTCAAGAGATAGCGCCAAGAAAGTCTTGTAACCGAGCTAGAAGCTCGGAAGTAGAGAAGCGAGCGATCATGGCACAGAGATTCCGAAAAGCTCGAGCGTGAAATGTATCAGATGGTGATCATCCCGCTTGGTAGAGAAAGGGGATTTTCGTGATGTGCTGTTGGGATGGGTATCGTCTGTTCTCCGACCGGGGAGGGCTGTTTTGAATCATCCAGGGAACATTGCACTGCCTCTCGCAACTCCATGTAACTTGAGTCGTGAAGCGTTTCTGTCCATAGTCTGGGGCCATCAGAGCACAAGATGGTCGATCATGGCGGTGTGTGATATTCGGTGTGATGTAGATTGAAAGAGCTTAATTGAAGAAGAGATGAAGTTGATTTTGAGACGAATGGTTAGTGGATTCAAGGTTGGACCATGCAAATGGAACAGCCATGGAAGCCACACGTGATGGTCACCCTCTTGAAAGCATTTATAAGCTCTAGGAGACTTAAAGTCTGACATGGGTCCGAGGATAGCCAGCCTTCAAAGTTTATCAATGTCGGACAAGGGGACTATACTTCCCACGTGATTACATACAAATCGAAACGTTACCTAGGTAGGTTGGATCCATTTGCCAACTGAAAAGGGATAACACACAGTAGTGTTCACTCGAACGGTACTTACTCACACAGAAGCTGAACCCCCTCCACCAGCCAGCGACCCCGTCGGAAAGCTCAAAGCCAGGCAAGGCCACGGAATTCCAGGTCGAGGCTTGACATCACATGGCATCACAATCCTCACCTGCAGCCAGCATGCATCCAACATTCCCATTCCCACTCCCACTCCCACTCCCACTCCCAACTTCCCCCAGACGATCATTACCACATCTCTCCCCTCCCCATCTTCCCGCAGCGTCATCAGTCCAATAACCAGCATCAGCACACCGCAGCTGACCACACAATGCACAATCACATGACCTACCCGGTCCCAACCATCACGACCGTCTTCAGGGGTTGGTACAGCCGCACGGATTGGCGGGCGACCTATCGGAAGCTGTGTGACGGCGTTGCGGGCGCTTCTGGCGATTGCTGCTGCCTTTTGCTGGTGTTGGGATTCCGAATGGAGAGGCAGATTATGCGTGACATTTTTGGTGGTTATCGTGCAGGTGTTTGTGGCGCGAGGAGGAGGTGTTGTGATACGGTACTGTGCTGTGATGAGAAAGAAGCAGGAAGGAAGGGACGTTTATGCGGCCGAGAGACACAAGTTACATTTGGTGAGCGGAAGGGCCGTTGTTTTGTGTTGTGTTGGAGGAGGAGGAGTTGGTGATGGATGCTCCCGCTGCTTATTATGCGTGTTTCTGGTTCTAGTAAGGTTATGCCTCAGATGTTGGAATGCGAACGTGGTGGTGAATTGAATTGAATTGTGTGATCATGTCGCCGGGGAGGAAGAGTGGACCTGATCGTGGACCATGGATAGCTTCCGCTTGGGCAGACGGACGCCTTCATCAACCAGGTTGACGATTGACCAGACCAGGTATTCTGCAATTCCCTTGATCGCATTGACCTTACCTCCGACTTCTCGAAGTCAAGTCGAATAAATCTCAAGACGTTCAGTCAAGGATCAATTCCTTCGCAATGCCGCTCCCCAACTCCCGTCGTCCAATTTGACAGCAGATGTGCAGGCGAGGACCCTACATTTTCCCCGTGGGTTTGATCGCCCATCTTCAGGCGGGGCGTCCCGTATGTCAAAGCCAAGTTCCCGAGGAGGCAGACCGAAAAAAAAGGAAAAAAAAGAAAAGTGATAGGTCGCCTCCTTTTCACTGCATGAGCGAGCGAGCGTATCTTTGCCCGTTAGTTTTGTGATCATCAATCATACAAAGCAATCCAAAATCAGGGGAGATCTGGCTCGGCGCGATCTGGGTGAGGTGAGATGAGATGAGATGAACGTCTTATTCCGATTCCGATATGAAAATCTGTAGGAAGCAAGGTTATACTTTCAATAGCTCGTTCATTATATCTGTTCTTCGATATGCCATTGCATACTCTCATACCGCTTCATGAGATACATACACCCTAGTAAATATTCTTTCGTATGATGCAAAGGATCGTGATCAATCCGAGCCGCCTTGAGGGAATTTTGCATCCAGTCATAATAACTATTGATACCCGGCAAAGGAAGCAATAGTGCGAGACGGCCGACACGCATTCATTGATCGTGTGGTCTCTCCTTTATTATTTTCATCTTATCTGAGCCATCCGAGGATTTTTCCCTTTCTGCCTCCTCTCAACGTGACCCCTATTATTGGGGAAACACAGAAGAAGATATCTCCTTGGATGCTGCATACTAGATACTGTTTGGGGTCACGGTGGACGCGTATGGGTACAGGATATCAAAACAACATGGGAACAGCTCTTGGCATTTTGCTGCAGAATATATTAATACAGATCATGATATAGCGGGCGATGATTCGCATTAGGAGATCTACCCTTCTCTTCCGACCCACGTCGACAAAAAGCATAATAGCTGAAGTATAAGTTAATCGAGGAGTTGCATCGTCGTCGTCCTCCCCCATTTTTCAACAACCCCTTATAAATGACTCCACACCCGCAGCCCTCTGCAGCCAATTTTTCGATAAAGGCATTTCTGTTCCAGTGTAATCAACGAGCTTCGATGCACTCTTCGCCAACCATGCCATTGCCACCGCAAGACCCACGGACAATTGGTCAAACCTGTCTCAAGCTGGCCTGTCGTTTTCTGCAGAACACCCAAGGCTTCCAAGCAAGTTCTGGGAGCCAACCGGGCATGGAGATTGGTTTGACAGGTCACCAGAGGTTCTGTCGCACAAACCAATGATGCGGGCAAGCATGCAATAATGACTCTCTTTGGACGACGTTGCATGGAAAGCCATCCAGAAAAGCTGCCTGCAGTCTGCGCATCATGGCAAAGTGGAAGCTGTGAACGCGAAGGAAGACCGGAGCACTATTGCGTGCAAATCACTGGGCGCGCCGTCAACGATGCGACTATGAATAGTAATACGATCCTCGAAGGGGGCAGAGTAGAACAATTATAGGAGACCTGGGACATTGGCATTGGAGGCAATTCGAGTCCGAAGAGCTTTCGAGACTCGTATCTGAGGATATCTCGGTCTAGTTCCTCCACGAAGGAAGAAATTATATGCGCCTAATGATCTTGCTGACGCCTCAATGTTTTCTAGCCCCTGAAAAGCATATACAGTATAGATGGTGTGTCACAATAGAAAGATCCGATCAGATCAGAGACCCCAGCCGCCGCTTGCACTGCATCATCCCGACTCACTTCACTCTTATTATTACTAAACTCTCTCTACTGGCATGCACCTCCTTTTTAAACTTCAATAACAATAATGCTGCACCTCCACGCCCTATTTCCCCTTCTTTGATGCTATTGTATGGATGATCGACGTCCGCCGCCTCAAATCTAACAGCCTCGACGTAAACTGTGGTCCCTCTTTACCCTCTGCTCCCCTTGCCCGTCACCAAGGACCGTGGGTTCGGCTTTCACTGCCCTATGAGTGACGCGCCTCATGATTGCTTTTTTTCGTCTCCAAAGTGCAAGCCAGCGGGACTCAAATTTTCACATCGTCGATACCACAATTACTGACTGACCACGCTTGGTCGGAACAATTACGAGCTCACCTCGACCTCGACCACGACTCACATCACGACGGTCGCCGAGAGAGTGAACACTTGGTCATTATATAGTCATACATACATATACAGTACACACATACCTCATCGACCCGTGGACCAGGGACTCGCCTTGCCCGGTTGGGAACGTTTCACCCCGAGTTTGCATTATTTCATTACGCAGTTGTAGTCATTTTCTGTTCAGCAGTGACGAGATTATCATTTTGGCACGGCGGCACCCAAACGAAAAAAAACGCTCTTTACTGGCATTTCTTCCTCCCAACTCAAGCGAACAAGATCCGTCGTTCGTCCAGCAGCAGCCCAAGGGACACCAAGGGCCATCTCCGCTAGACCCCATCCAGTTTAGCGCCCTTTAGCCTGGAGAACTGCTTGTCTGGTTCACACTCCGTGCTTCAAAAGTCACATTTCCACCCTCACTGCGAATTTCCTCCCACAACCACATCTCTACCTCCACCCATCGCACAGCCAGGACGACGTGAACGGCCTGCGCTCTCCTGTTTCTTGACGACGGCCTGTTCTGCACGCCTTCGACATCGCGACAACCCTCACTGCAGCGGCAGAGAGAAAGGAGAAAAGGGTCCTCACCACAAGTACCGACGACCTTCCGTCCCACACCACTCGTCGCACTCTACGAACGTGACAGCTTCCCAGAGCTGTGTCCCGACGACAGACATTCATTGCGCAGGACGAGATCTCCCACCTGCAGGCCGCTCCAGCTGCACGAGCTTCGTGAAGTTCGGAGCACGCAGCCAGAGCTCCCCAGCGTGCCACTGTCGGCTCCTTGCATACCTCGTTGCCATAGCGAAGTCTGCTCCATCATTAAGCAGCAGCCTTTTGGTTCTCTCTGGGACGAATGATGGCACAACAATACGGCGACATGTATTCAGATTATAATCCTTCGAATCGATCGCCGGGCTCCCAACGGGGTTACGCTCAAAATGGTCTCACGCTCAATCGCCAACCATCGCGACAGTTCGACAACTACGGTGGAAGTCAGTTGTCCGGCCTCTACACGGCAGAAGACCACGCTGCATCACAATACGAATCCCCTCCACATCGATTTGACAGGATGCCGTCTGCCACTCTTCACTCGAATTATGGCCAGTACGATAATCAGACTTGGAACTATGGAGGGGCAAATGGCAACTCAAATTTGATGGGCGGAACGGGCCGAGTTAAACCCTCGAGTCGTCGAGCAGGACTTCCACCTGTGAGTAGCAAGATTACAGCTATATACCAGAATCTGCAGACACTAGCTGACAATTTGAATCAGAATTGGATGGATATGCCTCAGCAGCAGAATATGAATAACTATCAACTCAACAACAATCAATATAACTCGCCAGCTATCCAGCAATCCCACGAGCGAATTTCATCTCCTAACGGCGACAGCGATGAACTTATCCCTACTGCTATTGTTATCAAAAATATCCCATTTGCCGTCAAGAAGGAACAGCTCGTCGCGCTTATGACGGAGATGCGTCTGCCGCTCCCATACGCTTTCAACTACCATTTTGACAGCGGTATCTTCAGGGGTCTGGCTTTTGCCAATTTCACCACAGCGGAGGAAACCGCACAAGTCATCAGTGTGATGAATCATTTGGAGCTTCAAGGCAGGAAGTTGAGGGTCGAATACAAGAAGATGCTTCCCGCTCAAGAACGAGAGAGGATCGAGCGGGATAAGAGAGAGAAGCGTGGTCAATTGCAGGAGCAACATCAACCTCTGGCGCCTAACCAAGTCCCACACCCACTTCATCCCCAGGCCTCAGTTACTTCTTTAGCCTCAAATCATCATCCCACTTCTCCGTCACCAAATTCTGTACGAGGAAAGCTTGGTATGCATGGCACGTACTTCCAATCTGTTACTTTACTGACCTTGGCAGATATTGATCTTAATGACCCAGTCACACTAGGCTACTACAATGAGCTCTTGGTCTTCAAGAGTTCCGATCGAGAGACTTTAATCTTCCCAAGCACAGTCTCCCCTGCCGATCGCAGAATCATCCACACCTTGGCACATCATATGGCACTTGAGCATCGATCCGAAGGCCAAGGAGAGACACGATGTGTTCAGATTCTCAAGCACAGAGCTGCCATAAGCCCTCCAAGCCACCAGTACCATAGCTACAACGATACCCAACGTCGAGGCTTGGCCCGTGCTGCCACAATCGATTTCAGCGAAACTCGCGATAATCCTGGTTACCATAACCACACTCTTGGCCGCCAGGGCTCTGGTTTGTTGGATATTCCGGGATCTCCAGGCGTCACTGGACTCGGTGCCGCTCACAATCTTCGGGCTGCAAAGTCATTTGCTGATCTTCGTTCGTATACCCCATCACCCGCGCATTCCACCGCCAGTTTCCCTGTCGGTCTCACTAGCAACATCCAACGATATACTGATAACTACGGCCATGGTTCAGCTGCTTCCGGCACCCCTAATCTTACCCCGACGTCTGCCAACCGCGATGATGCCTTCGCCTCCCTCTCGAACGGTCTCTCGAATATGAACCTTTATAATTCCAGCCGCGCGAATGCCACTGGTCGCATCGGCCAAGAAAGAGAGAACAATACCTCGAATGCTGGTCCCATTGGTAGCCAACGACCCATCAATGGCAATACCTTCAACGAGGATACCCGCAACGGAACCACCTCCATCGAGAGACAACCCCGTGGTCCCGGTACCGATTGGGGAGTTAGTGGTGGTTTTTCTAGAACCCGACAGAATGGACATGTCGGCAGAGGCAGTGGTGAGCTTGATCTGAATAGCTTTGAAAATGGCTGGGATGATAACAGAGCTCAAGATTCATCCGATCGAAACGGAGCTTCTGCCTCCACGAACCAACGATACTAAAGACCTTACGACCGCCACGACGTACACTTTAGATTCAAGCGCTGATTGCACACATTTGCAGCAATATAAAAAGCGGGTTTGTCTTGGTGTATAGACGGTATGCGACGACGTAGTATGTCGTAACATCTGCCTATGGAGTTTAATTGGTTCTGCATGTCGTTGTCAAGCACATTGTTTTGTTGTGGTGTTTTACCACCTTGCTTTTGTAATTACGACGTACCCATATCTCTTCAAGTCCCTTACAACAAGGACTAAACGAGAGGTTCCTCCCACGCTCCTTACCATAGCCATCTACCTGGCTTCAGTACATATACTCGAATCGGCGTATAACGAGAACGACCGCGACGAATGATTGTGTTCCTCCTCCGATTTCAACCACGATCTCGATTCCCCCAAAAATTTAGCTTTTGGCTTCCATGAAAACGAAGCCTGATAGGATACCACAATACAGCGACTGGGCAACCATCACGATTTACGCCTCACGACCTTATACAGGCTGAGACTCGATCCGACTAATTCACGGGGTCTATCATGTCATCCAAACCCCACACCTCTCTCAAACTAAATATATACTCGAGTTCTCCTTCCTGTGAACGACGGAAAACGATTGCATATCGATTTCTCTTTCACTAACCTACCACAACCCCACCACTCGAAAACCTTTCGAATCGACTTTCCAACACATATACACAGACACCGCACTGGTTCCGAGCTCTGCACACTGGCTGGCAGATCTCTCTTGGCCTCTCATTCGTTTGAGGAAGGCAGGTTTGTAAGGTGGATAATTGAAGCATAGGGGTCAGGGTCATGGAATTCGGTTAGGCCGGGCCACTAAAGGCGGCAGGCGGCGATCTGTTCTCTGTACTCTTATCATCGCACAAATCATGTTTGCTTTGAGCTACCTGTGCTCTGCTCTGCTCTGTTCTGTTCTTGCTTTTGTGTTCTGCTGCTGCTCCTGCTGTTGTCACCTAATGCCGCGTTGTCTTTGTTTTTTCAGTCCCTTTCTACCTACTTCTTTCCAGACCATCAAAGAGATAACGAATGACAAGGAAACTCGCTTCTAACGATCGATGATGGATGGACGAGAAGAAAGAAAAAATCACCCTTTGTTTGTTATTACAGTAATGTGCTCTTTTTAATCAGATCAAATCATCGTTGGGTTTCCAGATGGGGGAATTATCCGGCGTCTAGGTTAGGTTGGGTTTTGTGAGTGAGGAACTCTGGATAGGTGGGCAGGGGTTGGGAATCGAATTCTTGCTATATCTACCTAGGCTAGCTACCTGCAATGCTCCTTGCTGATCGATCTATATTGAATGGTAAATTTGTGCTTCTAATTTGAGATTTGTGTGCAAGTGAGTGTGAATGTGAATGTGTGTCCTGGAATTGAAATTCGTGATGTGACATTGTGTAGTCAGTATTTTTCCTAGCTTTTACTAATAGATTGTAAGTCCTGGAGATGGGACATTCAATTCGACTTCCTTCCTGAATGTCCCTTTCCAAAATCCGACTTTTCACGGTCTTTCAAATACTCACCGTCTCTCCCATCTAACCTCCCTCCTAGCTGACATCAAAACCGAAACCACAAACTCAGTCCCAAGACTGATCCGGTCTATCCCCGAATTCGCCTCTAACCGAAAGACTATAGAATATAGACTAAAGAATCAAAATTTTCGTTGTATCCGTCATATACCCGTCCATCATCTTATCTGATTTCTTTCTTTTGTTTTGGTTCGGTTCGGTTCCAGAGTTTAAATTTTGGGGTTTGTGGTGTTGCTATATTTTCATTTGATGATCCCGGAATTTGCTGCGTTTGGATGTGTAGTTCTGGATGTCAAGCGAGGAACTGTCATGTCATATCCGGTGATAGTTGGGACCGTGGGATTAGTGTCAAGCTAGGCATGAACTTTTCGGAACCGGAATGGAGCTCGGAAGATGACAGATGACAGATGGTGTCCCGATGTAGTTTGGTTTAGTTACGGCCGAGAGAAACTTTCCCGGTGGATGAACAGGATGAGTGAGGTCAGGGTTCGAGATTTCGAGTGTTCTGGACTTTGAGATTTTTGAGGTGGAGTGGAGAAAAATTGGTTCGGAGTGGGTTAGAGTAGAATAATAACCAAGGTAATGAATGAGAAGGGGGTGTGATATAAGAGAGCGTCACTCGCAATAGTTCAGAAACTAAACACGAGATTTTGGAGCAGGCTGAAGTTTTGGGACATGATACAACACAAGAAAATTGGACGACAAGCACAATCTTCATCACTTAGCCTTAGTTAAACACATTTCAATCAGAATGAAGAGATGGTCCGAGGTCTAGAACGGTCGGAATCTCAAAAAATGACCTCATTTCTGTCTCGCTGCTCCACATCGGCTAATGTTCATTTGTGATGTGCAACAGAGGGTTTGGAAGTGGAGGGTAAGACGGTAGATGTGCAATAAAAGTGTTTAGGGTGTTGTGATAGCCAAGGTAAAGTGATGAGGATGAGGTTTGTGAGATAAGCTAACTTTCACTTGCGATGTGCAATTGAAGTGTTTAAAAGCGGAATGTGTCGGCCGAGTAGATGTGCAACGAAAAGATTTAGATATGCAACGAAAGGATTTAGATGTGCATCAAAGTGTTCAGAGGACTGTGATAGCCAAAGCAAAGACATGAAAGTTGTGAGATAAGCTAACTTCTACTTACCATATGCAACAAGACTGAGGAAGTGAGAAAGACTTGACCATTTACAACGTATTAGACGACGTATTAGACGGGAAGTAATCCATGAAGCTAATTTTTTACAGCGATGTGCAACAGAAAGTTGTTAATGTGGTGATGATCTTAGACATTATGGTTTTCTGATCAAACACAGTTTAGACTATTGTGATAACCAAGGTAGAGAGCATGAGATGTAAGTATGACATAAGATGGTGTCATTCTTTAGTCACTTGCGGTGTGCAACAAAATTGTTCAAGTGGAGGGAAGAAGGGAAGATGTGACGAAAGCCGGAATAAGTGGAGTGGGAGAGGCAAGAGATGTGCAAACCAAAAAAATCTTAAAGAGGATACCGAAGGTGGGAACTAGAGCTCTACCCTTTACTGCGATGTGCAATATTGTTTGTGGACGTGGATCTAGAAGGAATTACAATGATACTTGGCTGTTTGGGAACGCTAGAGAATGCAGCCTCCATAGCGATGTGCAACAATTCTTCGAAAGCGGAAGGATGACAGGATTTAGAATATAGTGATGGCGTTTGAAATCTCTTCCAATGCGTTGGTATCTACTGCGATGTGCAACAAGATTCTTTGTCTTCGGGGTATGATGTGGTGGTGAGAGATGAAGGGTGAGAAGATGCCATACGTGGCAATTTAGGGGCGGTGGAATTCGAGACCATCCGTCTACGTGATATGATCATGCCTTTCTATGATGAATTACCGGGCTCTTAAACGCCACTTTTCATAAGCTGGATATTTTGAAAATGGTTGGAGTAAAGTTAGCTGGACGAGACAGTGGCAAAGCGGATATCACTTGAGAGTTTCTCTGTGAACAAGCTGCTTGTGAAAGGTATATCGGTTTCTAAGCATTATCAGATCACTAAAGAAGAAACTTACAAACTATTTTAGTAGGATGGACTGCGTGTGGGTTCAAAGCTTTGAAGTCATTGGTGTGTATGCCAGGGCTCGGCTCGTCTCGCGAGCGATTTGAAAATGCCGATTTCGGGCACAGGGATTTTTGAGAGGACACTGAGTTACGCCCTCCAACATGAGAACGCTCAAACTATTTGCTTAGGGCCAAACCCTATGAAAGGTGGGGAACAAAGTCCTCGCTTGTTAACGACTTTCAAGTCCACGCTTGTCAGTGATCTAGACAATGTTCGCCAATCTTAGTGCGAGGCCTTGAAAATTCCCCGGAGTCTCGAAGTTTTGTTCTTGTCAAATTGTACTTCCGCATACTTCCAATGTTCGAGACCTATTGTGTGTGGGTCGAAGCGCTAATTCGCTCTGTCGACGCTGTGATTTGCTGTGTATGTGGCACGAACCAGCATCATCCAATAGCCATTCATTGTCAAGCATTCAAATATCATCCACCCACTGGATCTTACCATTCATCGATTGTCTTGGAACGATATGTCTTCAGACCCCAAAGAACTCGGCGCTCTTCCTCGGGTATGAATGTTGGTAAGCATGCCGTTCTCCTTCTTTTGTTACATATCATATGTCCGGAGAAAGTGATTTGGACAGGAAACAACTTGATTGGCTTCCCGAATCAATATCGAGTGTTTTCAGACTCGATCCCGGATCGGAACTTGACGGAGAGTCGGAGAGTCTCGAGCTCTTTAAGTCATGCATATCATGTGATGCGACTCCTGACGTTACATACCTGGGCAGTTGTTTCAAGATCATGACAATCACATTGTGCCTGATCTGTATGCTCACGAGCCAGGTACCAGATGTGGACACGGCAGTCACAAATGCACTTTGGTGATTGCACGCACAAATGCGATGCATTCATAGAGATTTCCTTTGATCTGCGGTGCGCTTCACTGATTGTCCCCTGTATCTGATAAGATAGGTTCGTAGAGCGTTGGCGTTGCTCTCATCTGTGTTCAGGCACGGAAGTCTGTGCGAGTAGAGATCAAAAAATTGAAAGGACTTATGGCGTTGTTGATGAAGGTTATCTATCAATGGCATACTCACTACTTACCTGTCAGACTGTTCGAATTAACAGTACTGGTTCATTTTAAGTCAGAGTTCAACGAACTAAAACTCCGGGTAGGGGCATGGTATGCGGCTCGGGTAAGAACTAGGAAACACAGATATAAATTCAAAATTCAGATATTACTATATGATTTTGAGGTATGTATACATAGGCTCTTGAATATACCTGAATCTTTTCAAATTAAGCAACCGAGTTCTCATGCTCTTCTCCAAAATCCTCGCTTATGGACGAAGCGATCCACCCCTCCCACATCTCAATCACACTCCCAGAACTCTACCTTGATGCCACGAACAAGACCAAACCATCATTACCTCCCTTGAGCGAGTCGAGACATCCTCTTTTCATTTGTTGCCTTGACTCTCATGGCAAGAGCGGGGAAGACACACCATCTCCGAGTAACTTCGTTGCCGAGAACGGTCCAAGACATGCATGTCAAAGACTAATGCCTCAGTTCTTGGGACAGAAGCTTGACTATACCGAAGTTGAGGTTGAGACTTGCCGGAGAGGTATTCCCACCCTCATGGCAAAGAAGGGGAAAGACGCGGAGACTCCCCTTTTCTTCATTGCCAAGAACGGTCGACGACATGCATGTCAAAGACTGGGAAACAGAAGCCCAGCCGCACTAAGGTTGAGGTTAAGCCCCGCAGAAGAACTATTACCTCAAGTTCAAAAGCTTCAAGATCTTTGTATTCCAATTTGGCTTTGTCTACCTTAAGTGGTAGCGACGTTGTGAAGCGAGGGCTGAAAGGGGGCGTTATCACCGACGGGTAGACTACATGATCCCTGTACATTAGCCGACCGCAACGTCAAATTCAATTTTAACGTCACCTCGACTCAATGCACGAAATCACCAGTTTGCCGGTCACTGCAGAATCGAGATACCAAGAAAAACATACATTATCAAGAGCTCTAGGTAGGAGGGAGGCTGCAACGAAGCCATGAAGGGATCGGAGCCAACCCTGCCAACACAAGACAATCGCGACGATATCCCAAGAACACAATCTCATCGACGACAACAAATGCTTGAAGGAATGGCAAGAGAACAGCATCCTCAAAGTGTCTCAACACAATGTTCAACCGGTGACGACGATCCTGGACGATCGTCGAACCGCTGACACCTTTCCGCCATCGTTCGTTCTCTGCAATCATACAAGCACCTCAGCACGAAATCCACATTGCATGAACACCAAACCAAAGACTCCAACAGTATTTACATGGATATGACGACCAATCGCCGAGATACGAATTCTACACAGCCACTAGCCCATACAAAAGCAACTATCCAACCCCAACAGACATCGAGAGTCCTGAGCAGAGCAGCTTGGACGGTACCTAAGTCTTCTAGGTTGAAGACGTTGTTTGCAAGAGCGATAGGGCGAGGATTCTTCGAGCATTCCTTGGCAAGCATGGCTTCTGGAGAAGCAACTGCGGTGGTGTTCTCTTTTCAAGAAAGATTTTGGTCTCCTGATTCAAACAGCGCTGCAATGCCAGCGTGGTCTCTTTTCGACATCGGTCGGAGTCCGAGCTTCCGGCCTTTTCTCTCCAACTCCGAAGTGGCTTCCTTGTCTTCGTCGGTGTCCATATCCTCTTCAGAGTCTTGCGAAGCCACAGCTTGAACGACAGCAGGCCCATGAATCATGTTGCAGTCTTCATGAAGCGAAGCAGATGATACTGTAGATTGTTTCGTGGCCTCTCCATCCACCTGAAATATGCCTCGTCGTGGTAGATTCGGTTGAACTTTACCACCCTCTGTCTCGTGGAGCTTCAGACATCCTGCTTGAATGAATATGGATCGATGGTGGGCAGCGTCGTGTGCCTTCTGCAAATTGAGCCAGCCGTTCGCCAGGCGGGTGTACTCGACTCTCAAGTTCGGAATCTTGAATCGAACGCAATTCATAGGAAACTGGACGATCTGCAATCTCTCGACCGTCTTCCAGTCGTCCTTGTAGTGTGTTTGGACATAGCTTAGTATTCCAGAAGCGTCCAATTCGTTGCGTAGCTCTTTCGAGAGTTTGAGTTGTTCGTAAAGATCAGATGATCCCTCGACCTTGAGACGCGCCCAACGTTGATTCTCTATATCTTCGATATTATTTGCAGGAGGCATTGGAGCCCTGACGGCGGGGGCTATAGGAAAGCGATCATTCAAGCTGTCGATTTCTTCTTGGCTGTAGTGTCTGGGGAGCTCTACTGGTGGCCAGCTCTCGTTGTCTTTTGTCGGATTGGCATGTTCGTGGAGCTCTCCTGAAATCAGTCGGTCGATCAATCTCGGAGTGAGGTATTCGTCGTGGAGCTTTGCTGCCGTTCGTTTGTCGATCAATCTCGGATCGATGTATTCGCAGGGCTCTGGTGACATCCGATTGTCGATCTTTGGTTCAGTAGACTCGGGCGACTCTGCTGCCATGTTCTCGACGGCGTGATGATCTCTCACAGCGAGACCGAATGCGCAAGTCGTCTTCAACTCCTGGTCTTGGATCGTCTTGAGTCCTTTGCAAAAAGCTTCCTCATGTCCTGCAGGGCATTGCGGCAAGCTCACGCGAGGAGGATCACGATTCTTTGCGTTCGCCATAGAACGACTCGACGAGGCCGAGCTCGACCCGCCTCGCATGATATACAGAGGTTTCTTGCAAATAAGGATGCAACAATTATCGATAGAATGTAGCGAGTGTGGGTTGTTGAATGTGATAAGCCTGGTAAGTTGATGTTTGCGACAGGCACTGGTCACTAACGTACATGGGCCGTCAATATACTTGCATGCAGCAAGAGCGACTGAGGGGAACGGGGAAGAAATATGTTTTCTGAGTTCGCACTAACTGGGTTTGGGGATATCGTCATGACACCAAAGACCACAGATGCTCACGCTTTTTGAGGGCAGGCGCTATGGAGGGCCGATGGCAATTAGGTCTTGTTTTTCTACGACCCATCGTTTTCCTCGTTACCCCTCCCACTCTCTAGGTGTGGCTGATATACTGACCTATACGCTTTCCCGCCGCATTGGCAGTGCCCTCTGATTTCTGAATACAGATATCTACCTGATTTTCATGATTGGCAGCTCAAACTGAGCGCAATGCAGAGGACCATCCTGACCGATTTACCGCTGGAAGAGTCGACCCATTGATTTAAGCACTCTCCTTCGGGAAAGGGTGAATCGAACGCCTTTCTTCGCTACCGTCCAAATTCAAAGTCCCACTTCGACAGCTATCCCAAATAGGAGAAGGTCTCATCAGACCAGATCTGAAGGGGCGACGAGAGGGTCAATAAGTCTGCCTGATTCTCCAAGCCATCATGGTCTGTATGTGCAGAATTCCGCAGCTACACAGCCAGCCAATGCCGAGCTGTATGTCCTCCAAGCTTACGAGATCATGATCACACAATCACAGATGATCCCACGAAATCAGATGGGACGAAATTCCTGCCTTCAGCCCTCGCCTAAAAGCCGAATACACTCTTTCAGCCTCCCCACGAGCCTCTTCAAAGGCAAATCACTTCAGTGATGATATGCAGAAAGCACGCTCTCTCCGCGTCCGATCGAAGCTTCCCCTTGGGAGACTTTCACCGTCACTCGTCTCCCTTTCAAGCCCCACTACCTGAGTGGGCAGCAAATCATCGTGAGGGCCTCAGTAGTTCCTTCCTGTGCTATTTTTAGAGGTGATCCAGCGACAGCGGACTCAGGATGAGATTTCACGCTAGGAGTGAGAGTTCGAAGGTCACAACAAGCCAATAGGAGCTGCATAAGCTTCCCTAGAAGCTTCCAAAAAGTGAGTCAAGCTCTTGAGGACCATGAATCATCGAAATCAAGTTTATGTCTCTGAGTAGAGGCTTGTACGTCGGGAAATTGCGTCTTGGGAACTGCAAAAAGCTCGTCTTGAGCTTAGGTAAGCATATATACGAGGTTTCGGCAGTTTCTGGACATCCAGCCACCTTGGGAGCCGAGACTGAGAGCAAAATTCATTGAGCAGCGAAAAGCTTGAATTTCCAGCTTTTCCAGATATCACAATGTATCTCCAAGCTCAAAGATCGCTAGGAGGAACCATGAATACATATTCTGGATGAGCAAGCTGGAGACGAGACAGGTGAGCGGATTTTGAGTATCAGGTAAGCACAATCCAAGCTTTCCGCAACAGCCTCCGACTGCAAACCCCAAAACGATTTCCTGAAGCCAGGCAGACATTAAGAGGAGTTCATTGTTCGACTTCTCAGCAAATGGCAAGATAATTCCTCAGGTTCCCAGTTTCTTCAGCTCCAAGAGCTACCTCCAAACCAGCCCTTTCCCACAAAATTCTCCCCAAAGGCCTCTTGAAATGGTTTACCAGCACTTCCTCTTTCTCAAGATTCAAAATCTCAATTTTCCTCGCTCAGAGCATCTCTTCTCCAACGACAAAGATTCCACGTTTCTCACTTCCCGTTTTCCCCAAATCCAGCCCCATATGTTCCACGCAGGAAAAACGGGCTTTCTGACAAGGAATACGATTTCCCTTGAAAATGCTTCTCTTCTACCTCAAAATTTCACCTTTCCGATTCAAAACCCCTGAATCCAAGAACGGATGTCGTCTCCTCGTCTAAATAGATCCTTGGCGAACGCTGAGTCAGACACCTCACCCCTTTCTTTGCCGATCAGATGATCGGCTGCGAGTGCATGAAGGGAGCAGGCAAATAGATTTATGGAGTAGATGCAGGTGAGCTGGGGAGAAGGAGGAATTCTAAGTCGAGAGGTAGCTACAGAGATTGGTTTTTGAGGACGCACATTTTCTGCTTGCGATACATTTCTCAATCTCCGTCATCTCCTCGCCGCTCCAGCATTTGAGTAAACATTTTTCTTGCGCATCACTTCAGCAAGGCATATAGTTCGAACACAGATAGAAATGTCAGACATGCAAAAGAAAATGGGACTCGATTTTCTCTATCAAATGCTCTACATCAGTCCTTTGAGAAGACTATGTTGAAAGCCACCACCTATCTAAACCACCTCCAAAAACGCCAGTCTAGGTATCAAAATACGTCGTAGACCATCATGCAAAAACCCCATACGAACTCTCGCCTTCTCATCAAACATCTCTTCGTAATGCCAATCCATCCAATGAGTCCATAAACTCCATTTTTGTTGTGCAACAGCCATAACGCCGTAATTTTGATCCTCTATCCTCAATTCTTTCTTCGCCTCTTGGTGGGACTACGCAACCCGTTCGTGGCTTCGGGACTGGCCATAACATCTTCTGGAGTCGCAGCTTCGCTATTATTTGTTGTCTCAACTCGTCCTCCGTCATTTGTACCGTCCATGCCAAGGTCGAAATGACTATCTCCAACAGGAGGCTCGCCAAAAGTATCGAATGAATAGTCGCCATGAGGTGCAGGACTGCTTCCAGTATAGAAAGCGCTGTTGTCAAGATATTGATCGAGATCGAGGTTCGCAGCATTGGGGTCAGATGACTCGGTTCCGTTGAAATAGTCTTCGTTGTCGAGCCCAGGAATGCGACCAGAAGGACTGAGCGGCACAACTACATTTTTGATGTCTTGTATGCGTGCTTCTTGCTCAGCCTGGAGCCGATTCAACTCTTCGATTTCCTGCGCTGTGTAACCAAGGTCTTCCAAGCTAGGAGGCTGCGGAGGGATGGGGCTGACAAGAGCATTGTTGTTGCCTGCCGCAGAGGAGGTACTGGCCATCATGTTGAGCATTGTATTGCGCTGTTCGGAAGTGAGAGGAGAGTTGCCATTGGAGTTTTCGAAGTGGGACAGCATTTCCGGGAATTCCATGGCCCCATTGTTGGTTCGACTTTGGGAGTTTGTATTGTTGATAATGTTCATCATCATATTGTGCTGAGGTTGACGAGGAGGATCGGGAGTCATCTGAGTCGTATCCGCGGGAGAGGTGTCGAAGAGCTCCTCTATCACTGGCTGAGGCGTATTTGAGTAGCCTTGTGTTTGTGGAGTCGAAGCAGCTGGGGAGGCAGTTGTAGCTCGTCCTCCAGCACTTGGAGGTGCCATGAGTAAGCGCTGAGTTCTTCGATGCGGACTTGGACTCATGCTCCCTGGATTCTGTTGTGGTTGGTTTGTGACATCTCCAATATCTACCACGCTTCCCTGATGTTGTTGCTCGGCGTGAGGTATACCAGCATTGAACATCTGCGCAATGTTCTGGGGCCCCTGACCGTCCAAGCTCCTGTTGTATACTGTTGCGAGGAAGGTGAGGATGGCATTGATGGAGTTTTCGTGTCGATCGTGGAGGTTCTGGAAAGCTATAGACTGTTGGTATAATTGATTGTGATCTTTCCGTAATCGTTGTATGGCATTGGTGATAGCGCCTTGTTGCTTCTGGATCTCTGCGAGTTGGTTTTGAAGTATTGCAACATCTCTTCGCTGCAGAGGGCCAGACTCTGGTGCTGCAGAAAGCGCTCGGGATGCCTGGACATTGTTTCCGTAGACCTCCTCGACATCCTTTCCATCATCATCACTGTCTCCATCATCCTCATTTTTCACTCTGGACTTCTTGCCCTTGTTACCACCACCCTTTGGCTTGTTGATCAGCCACAATAGGTTGGGATGTCCGCGCTTGAAGTAGGGATTGTAGTATTCGCTGGGACTCTTATTCTTCCGCTCACTGGCTTTCATCGAATTGTCTGACAGCCCCACCCGCTTATGGAATCCATACATGTTCAGTTGTCGGACGAAAGATGCATAATTGTTGTGCTTGAATAACTCAGGTATCAAGGTCTTCGCAAACTCGTCCTCGTCCAGTACAACAAACGAGTCGCCTCGATCGGACCATCGTATGAGATCTGTGTTTTCGGACTTGTCGAGAAAGCTGGTGGGACACGAGTCAGCAAGCAAACATACAGGCCCTTCAAGGAGACGCTTACCTGCTTAGTTTCTGCACAAACGGAGGGATTTGTTTTCGCTTCGATTGCGCATCTCTCTTCGCCAACTGGGCGCGCTCTTCGAGCAGCTCAATGTTATCATTCTCTTCCAGCGCACCATTGACATGTGTTGTATCCAACATAGGATCTTCTCCGAACTGGGCCCAAGAAGTATCGGAGGTTTCAAATGTCCCTCGTTGACCTGTTGGAACAAGCTGACGGTTGATTGGCCGGCGTGCGAGTTGAGTTGACGATGCTGGGATAGACTGATCAAAGGGAGCTTGCGACAACCCATTCGTGCTGTAATTATTCATATTGAAGGCCGGGTCTGGGTAGGCTGCGTTGTCGGGTTGCTGATTCCACCTCAAAAGCTCGGGATTCGACACCTGGCTGGCTGCAGTATATGACTGGGGCATTTGTGAGGTCTGGAAGGCGGGAGATGATCCTGGCGCAGGTCTTTTCCTGGGGTTGATAGGAGGCATATGACGGTACATGCAACTCTGATGTTGCGGTCAAGATTATAGCTTGTGTGTAGGACTGTCCTCGCTGGCGTGGCAGATGTTGGATGAGGCTATCCAGGCGTCGAGGCTGGCTGCAGCCTTCCTAGCCACTTTAGGCTTCCTGCTTGACCAAAACTTCGAGACTCTGGCACAACTTGTGTGTATCCCCGGGCGCGTAGATTGCTTTTCGATCGGGCTGATTCTGGGTTCCGCAAGAGTTGCGCAGATGGTGCTCTGAGGAAGATATGATAGAAGGCCGGCTTAAATGTGTGACAGCGCCCAGGGTATCAAAGAGAATGCGATGGCCAAAGCTGAATGTCTTGAGAATCTTCTAACCAGCGGTCTATTGTCCTGGACAAAGATTTGAGACTTGCTTCGCGAAAGAATGGCGGTCGATCGATCAATGCGGAGGGTTCGGGATCCTGCAGGTCGGCTCGTCGATTGTACGGCAGTTTCGATGTTTTCAAATCCTTTGCAGGCTGTGAAGATCGTTTCAGGAGTCCAAGAAGGCCTTCAGGTGATTGACGAAGTGTTCATCATGCAGCAATATGCAGTAAGTGAAGGTATTGTTGCGTTGATGTTGATGCGAGGCGTGGAATGATTTTTGGATGTTTATTTTCTGACGTCGAAATCCCATATCAGGAAATCGGTCAACTTGTCAATCTAGAAGCCAGATCAGCCAATCATCGCCGCACATCCCCTCTTAAAATGCTGAGCTAATCACAGCCTCGCCAGCCTCGTATATCCCGCCAGCCTCGGTCAATGATACATAATACATCAGATATTATTGTTGCAGACTATACCCTTGTGAAGCAAAGTCGTTTATCTATTCATGATAACGTCTCATCCTCTCAAACATGTCTAGGAGTTCTTTTGGCTCACTTTGAATCATATAGAGAAAGAAAGTAATTCATTCATTCACAGGCTTGGAATATGGAGGGGTATATCTGTTTGGACACATCCTTGTAAGATCTGACCAGGCGTACCATGGGCGGATACCTACTTCAATCCCCAAGAAATATCCAAGGGTGACGAATAGCACTGCAGCCAAGCCACCCTTCTTGCCCAACTAGTGTGGTATGATCGTCATTAGACCTCCTTCCTACAATGTCAGATGTCAAATGCTGTGTTATCCTCGAGCACTGTCCTTTGCATCTCCATTATCCCAAGTCGTATTAGACGAGCGATGTTTTCAACTCCTCTTTTCATTTCACTTGGCCCCCCTCCCAGCCAAAGCAGATGATCTTGCCAACTTATCATTCCTTGCTTGATCCCAAGCACGGCCAGAACCACCTGCTTTAGCTTCTCTCTGTGCCCTCTTTTCCTCTTTCAAAGTCTTAGCTTTCTCTCTTGGGTCAATAACCACAAGCTCCTCTTCTGCCTTCTTTCTGTAGGAGAGGTCTTTGCCTAGCTTATCCTCCTTGAAGGACAGAGCATGGGACATCCAGCCGATATCATCCTCGTCTTCTTCCTTATCTCCATCACCTTGTGTGTCCCATTTCTTACACGATTGACATTCTACAATGAAATGGAGATCACATAGCGTAGCTTCTTCTTCATCACCAGCTGTATCATCTTTGTGATCCTCATTCTCCAGAACTGGCTCAGTCTTTAAAACCTCTTTTTCTGGTGGAGCTTGATCTAGCCGGGATTGAAATGCTTTCAGAAGATCCAGAGTTCGTTGATCCGTAGGAGCACTTTCTCCAGGATGTCGTTTTCTACCCCGAACAGATGTTCTAGGAATCATTGTTTCCAGCACCGATTTCTTCTTTTCTGGTACCGGGGCTGTCTGAACATTCCTTTTCATGGATGCTTTGAGCTCTGCAATCTGGGCATTTGTCCGATCTAAGAGCGAGGATACTTTTTGGACTGGTTCTGGTTCTGGGGAAGATGAGGCTGGCCGAGCTGCAGCTTTAGCAGGCCGGTTTGGAATCGATATCGGAGGTTCGGGTGCTGATCTAGGTTCTGGTGACGATTCCGGCGAGGGAGCCTTGATTTTCTTCTTCTCGAGAGTCTTAGCTGATGCTTTGGCTTTTGGTGGCGGTGGAGGTTCCTCGTTCTCGTTGTCTACCACAATTCTGGTGTCAAACTTCGCTTTCTTGACTACAGGAGCCGCCTCCTCGCCATCTCCTTCATCACCGCCAAAGCTTAGTAACTGCTTCCCAGCCTTCCTCTTTTTCTTCTTGTCGCCCGTCGCCTTAGGTTGTTGAACCAGAGGTGCAGTTCTTGCCCTCCTGGCCATATCCTTGAAAGGATTGACCAAAACTTCCACATTCGTGATCTTCGGCGGATACAAAGGCCTATCATCGTCCCCCACCTCCATCTCCCCCATCCTCGCAACATTGTAGATTGTGTCTCCTTCCACTCTCCCAAACAACGTGTTCTTGCCCTGAAGCTCTGGTGTATCACCCAGCGTAATAAAGAATTGACTCCCATTCGAATCCGGTCCCTCATTCGCCATCCCTAGCAGTCCTCTCCGATTGAACTTAATCCTGCTGTGAAATTCATCCTTGAACCCCACTCCATGTGCGCCGGCGTTCTTTCCTCTCCTCTCCTCCATAGGCCATATACCATGCTCCTCTCGCGCCTCTGCATATTGTCCTCCATCGTAAATGCTCTCGCCGCCCGCGCCCGTACCTGTTGGATCGCCACCTTGTATGATGAAGCCTGGTACAAGTCGGTGAAAGATCGTGTTATCGTAGTAGCCATCGAGACACAGCTGCAAAAAGTTGCGACACGTCAAGGGAATCTGTTGTGCCCAGAGCTCGAGGGAAACGTCGCCGGCGGTGGTGTGGAGAATGCAGGAAGCGGTGGGTTGAGGTTCGAGATTGTAAAGGGACGACATTTTGATTCTAGACCTGCAAGTTAATGAGGTCCGAGAAGCTTTTGTGAGGTGGCGCGGCGTGGTGTAGAAATGATCAGTGCGAGGCTGAAAAACTCCAAAATTATTTACATTCACGTGGTCACGTGTTATGCTTCCCAGCATGGAATTTTAATTTCTATTGCGAAGAAGCAGGCTGTAAATATGTAAAGAAGTGTGAATTTTCTAGATGTCCGTTAAATTTCAAGAGGCTGTAGTTGACAGCTCCTCTACGATACAATTTATATGAGAGTTACTAGATGGCTGTCTAGGAACCATCTGGCGACCAGGAAGGAAAGAATTTGTTCCTGGCAGTGAATGTCAATCTCCTATGATTAAGAATCAGAAGGAAAGACGTGTAAATACAATGAAGGAAGAGTATTTTCGATTGAAGCTCCATGAATCCCCAAGTAAATCCTTCTCCAGATCGCCTTCTTTGCCTCATATCTACATCCACCTTCCACTTCCTGCTTGAGCCCGTGAGCCAACCAATACCTTCACCAAATTGAAGACACAGTATTCCAATCGCACAGTCTTGCACTTATCTTCTCTCCTGGAGCACCAATACACCACTGTTATTGGTGTTCCGACCATTGAAGGTGAAGTCTACCTAAGGAGGTTAGTAAAAGATACTTAGACCCAACCAAACTATCACTTTAGCTAGGTAGTTTTGTTTTCTCTTTAAAAGCCCAAGTCCGCACACAAATCTTTACCTGCGCAAGTATTACAATCCACCGATCGCATACTTTCGAAGAGATTTGAACAACATAATTCGACCAGGATTTACTCTGTACATATAAGCTTCGTGTAATCTCCCTGAAGGCTTCCAGTCTTGGAAGGAGAATATAGCAGCGCAAAGAATTCGAATTTCTTCGACATATCACTACATCGCTCTACTCTAGAGGATCGACCAAAGCACACAGCAGTATAAAAGCATCTGTTCGCAGCCTCCAACAAAGCGAACCTTGCGATCGACCTGGGCATAACCAAAAAGGCAGTCGCCATTGACCTTCACCATGGCGTCTAGAGTGCCTCTATCCTCCGCCACTGGAATCGCTGTCAAAGATATCGAAGCAAGAAAGATTTTCATTGTAGCTGGAATAGACGCAGAAATCCAATACCAACAGGAGATAACCGGGATGGAAGTTCCTCGTCCACCTTACGTACCATCGGGTCGTCGCACGACGGAAGAAGGAAGGAGCGATAGTGTCAGTGACTGCCGCAATCACAGCAGTCCTGATCTATGGTCTTCTGCCGACCCCGACTACAACTCTGACGACGACACCATATCTGACGTCGACTCTCGGAACGATCTCCCCAAATGCTCTAACCGGAACTGCCGTTATCAGAGCGAAGAAATCATTCCAGGCAATCTTTTGAGTTGCCCAGTCTGCTTGTTGGTTGCCCTCCGTGCTGGAATCGACATGGGTGGAAAAGGAAGCAAGAGATCAGCAGAAGCAAAAGCAAAGGAACGCGAGCTACAAAGGGATCAAGCTTCGAAGCAATCAGCCACAGAAGAAGTTATGCATAGTGACTCTCAAGATCAAACTTTGGGAGGAGCTCACGGACACCCTTCTGCAGAACTTGGTCACGCTCGCTGGTCTCAATCTGAGATTGAAGTGACGATGACTCTGACTGAACTCGCAGGGAGCTCCCCAGAGAAGTCGCCTTCGGAGACACCGACGCCGGAAGCGAGTCCAAAGTATGATCAATATGGCTGTATGACAGCGGTGACGGTCGAATATGCTCCTTCGGTACGTTATGACCAATGTCATGAAGCCAGCGGTCTCTGACCTGGAGCGGGGGCAGATACGTGCTCAAGCAGCTGCTACGAGCAAGGAGCCTTCAAGCACTGGCCGAGCTCTACTTGCAGAGAGTAACCACAACATCCTACACCGATCACCTCAGCAATCTTCTCTTAGAACAACTCCATTCCGAAATTCGGCCACAGGACCACAACTTAGACTCAGCAGAAACTACAGACGCCGGGTGATCCTTCATAAGGGATCTGGATACAACGACAAGGAAGTCAAGGCTCGAGCTCGGGAATTTTATTCCGTGGGCGAGAATCTCCCAGAGTTGGAACATTCGGACAACGACGTACCAGACGAGAATAGACCAGGCTTTACAAGACGACGTATCGAAAGGTCTCCGGTCGATGACTATCCAATACCTGTCCACGACAATATGGCGATTGCTCCCAAAGAGAACGAATATTTCCGCGCGATCTCATTTAGACCTACGAAGCAAACGCCCCACGAATATCTGGAAAGTCGGGGACAAGTGATGTGGGACCTGGAAGTACAGAGACTGATGCATCGTCATACCGAGATCCTGCAAAGAGAAGGTCAAGGTGCTGAGGCAGTAATAGATCAACCAAGCTTGGAGCAGCGGAGTCCAGCCAAGCATCGCGATACTGGATCGGGTGCACACCCTCGTCGTGAACAAAAAAGGCAGAGGGTTTCGGAGGAGGCCAAGATGTACTGAGTAGCGAGGTGTAGGTTTATGGTGAACACTCTCGAAAGCAGGGTTTGGGAATTGCTGCGTATATTCTTAAGTAGCGGGTAATTCGGGGGCGCAGTATTGGGCAGTCAGTCAAATAAGCATGTTTTTCTATTTCTTTGAAAAGCTATGCATCTTGAAATGGGCTCTTACAAGCTCACGGGAAGTGATCTAAACGGTCATCTGCCCTTAAGGTCATGATTTTTGACATTTGTGAAGTGCGATAGGCAGGTGGGGTTCTCAAGGTTTACTTGCGTCCTTTGCGAATGTTGCAGCAACAATCAACGGGAAGCAAGCCGTTGCCTCGACGTAAACCTGAATTTTAGGTTAGTGATGTCTAAGCAATTTGATAACAACATACCTTCACACTATCAGCTCCAACCTTGATCTTCCCCCAGCTGACAGCTTCATCAGGTCTAGCACCAGCATCGCTCCCGTCAAATTCTTGCGCTGTATTGATGTATACTGCACTCTCTGCACCGTTTCTCATCAAGCAAGCGTTGGCAACATGGTGTTTCACAACTCCGCCTCCTAGGATGATCATCCCTGCTCTCTTAGCACGCACAGCAATAGTGTTGATTTTTCGAATGTCCTCGACAATGTCAATCTTCAGCTGTAAAGGCGAGGCTTTGAAAGTATGAAAGTACAGCATGTCTCCCAGACTTCCATCTGTGAGTGCAGGGCAGAACACAGGGATGTCGTTCTTGTATGCCCAGTAATAGACAGAGCGTTCGTCGTTGATCTCCTTCCCAAGTCGCTGGATGACTTTCGAAGGTGTCCAGTTGATGGGCTCATCTGTGCTTTTGCTTGCTTCCTGCTCTTCCAACATTTTGTCTAGAATAGGGACAACCCAATCTTCGAACAGGCAGTAATTGTTATTGGGGACAATGAGATTCCCAATTCGGTTGAGACCTTTGCTCCGGAGTTCAGCTCCGGGTGTGGAGAACGAGCCCATGTATGTATCTCCAAGACATTTGATAAGGTCTTCCTCGATGCCGCCAGCCGTGGTCACAATAGCTGAAATATGTTTGTGCTGAGCTAGATAACGGAGGGTGCCTCGAAGGCCGGAAGAAATAAGGTTCGACGTATAACCAAGAAAGATGGTGGTCTTATCACCAGTTTCTGGATCTTGCCATGCTCTCTAGGATTGGTTAGTGCTGATGTCTGTCTCAGGCGAAACAAGGGCTATACCATGCCATTGATAATTCGCACTGCTTCTCCTATTGAGCTTGCTTGGAACCCCATGTAATTCATTCCACTCATCAGGTCATCAACAGTGATTGGTCGTCCAGCAAACTTGTTGAAATCCAGCTCTTCGACTTTCTGGGCATCTCTCGGCATTTCATTTGAAGGGACCAGGACGGCATCCGTCACTGTGGAAGGAGGTGCCCCCTGTTTGTCTGAGGTATTCATACTGAAACTTGGACTTTTGGGAAGAGGGGAATATGAAATGCAGTTGCACCTGCATTGGTTTGCAGGACAGAGCCGAAGCTTGAAAAAACTTGCTTGCTATTGAAAGACTATGTAAGCAGTTGAAAGCCGATCCTACCGCTGTCCGAGGTTGTACCTCTTGGATATACAGAGAGACCACGATTTTGAAGTTTTGATATATCCTTGACGCAATGGAGCTGATGATGTCTTTGTCTTCGAAGTTGATCCTGAAAAGTTTGTCATAGGGCGAAGCGACCTGCAAGCTCCCGCACGGTCGCTGCACAGCGGCTCTTAACCGCCCCGCTAGTCTCAGATATGGTTAGCCTGCGTCAACAGCCGGCCTGGTCTGGTTTGGCTCTTCAACTCGGTCGAGATCCAAATCCTCCTCCTCTCCACAAGGTTACGTGAACCACAACACTCACATCCTCTCCGTCACGAAGCGCACTCAGTCATTGATCTGGGCCATTGCCCTGATGATCAATGTATGTATAACCTTCATGTTTCACGTTCAGAGCTGACATCTTTAAGGGCTTCAAGGCCTTCAGCTCCGTACCGTCCCCCAAGCCATAATGTGGGCGATTCGCGCCGGTCGCCACGCGAACCACGAGACCAATCGCCGGGCCGGTATAATGACAGAAATGATAGGAATGATAGAGATGAATATAGAGGAGGTTCACACACATCGGAGAGGAGACGGTCGATACCCGATATTCGGACGAACAACAACGCCTTCAATTCGAATAGAGACAACTTCAGAGAGCCGATGGGCAGAGAGCCAACTAGAGATTTCCCTCCGCGCGATACACCCAGAGGCCCAAGAAACTTGATCGACGCACCCACAGGTCCTCGCGCATCGAGCTACGGATCATCTGAGTATCGTGGAGACAGTCGAGACGTTCCCTACGGACATCGTGACTACAGAGGTGATCGAGGTTTGAGCCGTGGTAGAGGTCGAGGCTGGAGAGATGATAGTCGAGATCGCCGGGATGGCCCTAATTTTCGCCGAGATGATCGTCATGAACGAGGTCAATCGTATCGAGATGATGGTCGAGATCGTTGGGGTAGAGAGCCATACAACAGCAGCCGAAGACCGACGTCACCACGAGGTCGAGGTCGTTCGCCAACATATGTACCTCGAGAGGCGCGAGATGCGCCTCCAGGAATCGAGGTAGACCGTGCTAGACGAGGTTCTCGCGATGGTCCACTTTCAGGAGGCTCACCTTCATCAGACAGTGCTCCCTTTTCTCGTGGATACAGCAGGCCACCTCGAGGCAACAGAGGCCGTGGTAGACCTTATTACGATGATAGACGCAGCAGATCTCCAGACCCTTCTCGGACCCGCCGAACTCAACCATCAGCTACACCTCCTCCCCAGGTTCCAGCTTTTGGCTCCAATGTATCCGTTCCAGGACCAGTGCCAGGAGTTGCTGTGCCGACTGCACCCCGTTATGAACGTGTCATTCGGCGTGGCCACGGGTATGCTCCATCATCCGTCAATCTGGCAATCGATAATTCCAAGAAGGAGGAACCAGTCACGACTCCTCAATCGGTTCAGAAGTCACCATCTGTAGTGCCTCCAAATGATCGTGAGATTACTTCGGAGAAGGATGAGAACGAAACGAGCGAGAAGAGTGAACAACAAATTCAGGCAAGTTCTCCAGACAAAGATCCCAAAGCTATTGCCCAATCGGATCGCAAACGCAAAGCTATCATTGGTAAACGTCAGCCAAAACCTATTATTCGAGACGTGTCTGATGTCGAAGACTCCGGCGATGATCTTGATGATGGCTACTTTGAAGAAGAGATGGCCAAGGTCCAGAAACAAATCGAGCAGATTCGCGATGACAATCCTCTAATGCCGCGCGAAGACCCAGAAGCACCATTCCTGACTCCGTTCATCGAGGCCAATGTTGATGAGGTACCTAGTTCCATCAAGGTTTTAGCCCCTCAACCTTGTATCGCCCCAGAAGTCAAGCAAGAACAGCCGCAAATTTCGGAGCCTCTGGTCTCAGCAAGCATACTTGCCACTGAGCCTTCACCGACCATATTAGGCCCGCGGCCAACGTCAAAAGGCAAGAGTCGTTCCGCTACTCCTCTACCGTCCGAGCCGATTGCGAAGCCTGTAAGCCGAAATGAAGCAATTATCTCCGCCATGGAACCTCGCCCTGCGACTGCGAAGCGAGATAATAGAGAAGGGGCAGTCATTCCAGCATGGGATCCTACGATGTTTCTCCAGGGTCCAAGCAAGGCTTTGGGCAAAGAGCCTTCTAGTGCAACTCCTACAGCAACCTTAAAGGATACTACAAATCACTCTTACAATCAAACAGATACGCCTATGCTGGATGACAAATCTCTACCCCCAACATTACCAATGGACCTCGATGGATCTATGGGAGGTCCAGGGAATCTTTCACGCTCAAGAGCAGATGTCCTAGTACTCAATGGAAGAGCCATTGAACTGGATAACGTGGCGATCCGAGAGCGCACTACCATGGAGGACTCTTTTGCTCCTACAAACGAGCCTCTACCTCGTGCAAATGCGAATTCTTCACGTCGATCATCAGCCACACCATCTCATAGTAAGAGAGAAGGATCAAGCGATGCGATCGGATACAGACCCATCATCGCCCCCAGACCTCGGAAACCAGTAGTTGATAACTTTTCGGATGACGAAGACGATCAAGATGTAACTGTTCGCGAGGAAGAGTTAGAAAAGGTCAGGCCTTTTATGAAGACACCACCAATTGACAGTCTACCAAACTTCAATTGTGTCCCGTTCCACGAAGACAAAGCTTTCTTGGCGAAAATGGATGCGTTGTGGACAGATGACAAGATCAACGCGATCATCATCAAGAACAGGAAGCTGGAAGAGGACAGAGCAGCACTTGAGCAAGCAGATGCGCGAGTGCTTTACCAACGAAAGCAAGAAGAGTATCTTCAATACGCAAGGTTTTCTAATGACGATCTAGCTGTAAAGAGCAGAGAAAAATTTGCAAAATCCAAAGCAAAGACTGCTCTGGAAGCTGCTGCACCACAATCGACTTCCATACCTTCCAGCGGAGCTAAGCCTGAAGGTCAGCGCCGATCGACGAGTAGATGGGCCACTGAGCATGACTTCGAAAGAGTTCTTCGAGAATCTGAGCAAGAGGCGAAGGAAAAGAAAGAGAGGGAAGACCGTGCTGCAAGAGCAAAGACTGCCAGTGCCAAGGAAGCCACTATTCCAGCACAGATTTGGAGTCAAGCAGAGTGGGACAAAACTGCATATACCGACAACACTGGGACGGTACCTTTCGACAGATCGTTTGCTCGTTTAGAATTCGGCGAGCCAATTGACCCCCTTACCGAGGAAGAATGTAAGATCTTCGAGGAGATTTATATGGAGTATCCTAAGCAATTCTCCAAGATTGCTGAACATCTTCCTGGGCGGGATTACAAAGTTTGCATTCAACACTACTATGCGGTCAAGCATACGTTGAATTTGAAAGAGAGACTGAAGAAGCAGCCTAAGAAGAAAAAGGGCAGAAAAGCTTCAGGCAAAAATCCCAAGTCCAACGCACTGATGGCAGATCTCGGTATATCCATTCGAGACGAGGTAGAAGAGGGTCAAGATGCCGACAATGGTGAGAGACGACGCCCGAGACGAGCTGCCGCTCCGACCTGGCCAATCGAAACGCCTGCAAGTGAAAACGAGGTAGCCAGTCCTGCACCAACCCCGGGCCGCAAATCAGCTGCCAAAGGTGATACGAACGGCGATGCGCCGCCACCTAAGCGGAAGACCAAAGCTACCCGGGAGAAAGGATCGAAGCAGACAAAAAACAACCAACTTCTCGCTGCGGCTCCTAGTACATCAGCAACTGGCCAACCTGAATCGCCTGTACCTCCGACCGTGCCATCTGCCGAATGGAGAAATCGTCGTGAGCCATCCGTAAATCCACGCGCGCAGACTCATTTTGATGGATCTGCGCAAAGCCAAACTGTATTCCCCTCGGTCCTCGCGCCAGCTGAAAAGCCTGGTCATGTTCTTCCCTCCAACCCAGAGATCATTTCTCAGCCTGCATTTCCCCAACAAGAACGTCTTGACTCTGCTCCACCTCAAGGATTTGAGCAACAATCGGATCGTAGGAGCATTCAACAAACGTCGAGCTACTGGAGTGTCCCCGAGCAGAACGAGTTCCCGCTGTTGTTGAAACATTTTGGCACTGATTGGCATGGAATTGCGAAGCACATGACTTCGAAGACCCATATTATGGTATACACCGAACTCTTTGATTGGCTTACCGTGCCGTCTGATAGCAACAAAAGTCGACGTGTCGCTAACATCCAGGCACAGGTAAAAAACTACTACCAGCGGCAGGTGGATTCGGGCAAGATGAAAGAATGGGAAGATTTCACCAAAGAGGCGGACGCCAAAAGAGAGAGGGGAGAAATCCTTCCTGAGCTTCCACCACCGCCACCTATGCCACCCAAAAAACGCTATGATATTACTCCAAACAATCTTCCGAGATCTGGCTCAGCTATGGATGTGAGCGACGATCTTACACCTTCAAGCCAAAGCAAGATGTTAGCTCAAGCCTCACCTCCACAACCGAGTCTAGGTTCTCGATTTCCTACTTTGGCTCAAGCTGGACCTGTTACTCAGATCCAACCGGCTACTCCAACCTCGGTCTTGAACAAGCACTTGCCGCCCCAGCCTATTCAGCAAGCCGCTCAGCAAGTTCAACCGGCACCACGACCACCTCGTGGACCTGCCTTGGGTTACTTCACTCAGAATGAGCCTCGCGACGTACGAGATCAGTCACGAGATCCTCGTCCTATTATGCAAGCCAACACTCAATTATCAGAGCGGTCGCTCATGGTCGCTCAAGAGGCGCATGCAGAACGACAAAGAGCTGAGTCGGCTCTCCGTCTACAAAATGACCAGCAACGAGAACAGCAAGCTGCCATGCAACGCGAACAGCAATTGCAACAACAAGTTCTATTACAACAGCAGCAAGCCCAGGCCCAGGCCCAGGCCCAAGCCCAAGCCCAAGCTCAGCAACGCGAACGTCAATTCCAGATGAAGCAAGAGAGCGAAATTCCTGACCTTCGTCAGTTCGAGGCATATAATGCGCCACAAATGCACAACGCGAACGTGGTTCAGAGCAGACCCGAGCCTTCTAAGGCCACCTCTGTCACGGCGCCGGAACAGAGACGCACTACTGCTCCTCCTCAACAGTTCCAGCCTCGTAGTCATCATGCTGCTCGCGGTTTCTTGGGCGAGAATATGGCTGGAATGCGGGAGATAAAGTCTACGCCTTCCCCAGCAGCTCCACGACCTCCCATGAGTGCTCCACCTGCTACTCAAGAGCAATATTCGGCACCTCCACAACCAAGTCTACAACGTGCTCCGCCTCAGCATCATCAACAAATGCCACAGGCTAACACCCTCGTTCCGCCTACAGTTCAATCTGCTCCTCAAGCTGTAGCACCTGTTCGTGCACAGGAGACTGTTCGGAAGACATCGTCTATTATGTCACTGCTCAACAGTGATGAGCCAAGCGACCCTCGTCCTACTCCTTCTAAGCGCGTGAGCGATGTCTCGGCATCGTCATTGCAACCTTCACGCACTCCACCGCCGCCCCAGCACTCTTTGCAAGGATCTCGATATGCTGCACATCCTTCCCAAGCAAATCCACAAACTCAGATGCCACAGCAAATAGGCATTCAACCGTCGGTTCAACAACAAAACCAGCCTGTACCACAACACCACTCATATAGCCAACCAAACCACACCCTTCACCAGCACTCCTCGTCAATTGGACATCCACGCAGCTACACCCCAACCTTTGAACGCGGTGGATACGGCCAAGCAGCACCTGCACAGCAACAGCAAAACTTGCAACAGATGTACTCGCAGCCCCCTCCACGCTCGACCATGGCCCCGCAACCACCGCCTATTCGACGTGAGCAATCTATGGGTGACATTCATGGAGTTCCAACTGGTTATGCTCGGACCTCTGCTCCTTCGCAGCCTCGATTAAAAGAATCACCTTATTCTCATCAACCCACACCACCTCCGCAACCTTCATCCCAACGACAGCCTGCAGTGTCTCCATTGGACTTGGCGCCATCTTCGGACCGTGACTACTATTCACGCCAGCCGCAGTCGTCATATCTCTCTATGCAACAACAGCAAAGTGCCACTTCGTCTCCACAACCTGGCCCGTATCATCCCCAACCTCTCCAGCAACCGCAGCCTACCCATCGACAGCTTGCCTTTGGACAAGGTCCCGCTCACGTCGCATCACCGCCGCCCCAATACACAAATCAACATCATTTGCACAGGTCGCGGGCTAATAGCTTTGACAATCGCTATCAAACGCCAGCTTCGGCTTCAGGACCCATTCCACAAGGTTATGCTCAGGCCCCTCAACACCAGCAAACTCCACCTGCTGGTCCGCCACTCTCCATGCAGTATCAACAGCAACATCCTGGTAATGATCGATATGAAAGTGGCTACGACCGTGATCAGCGTGAGCTTCGTGAGAGACGCCTGCAGGAAGAGCTATACCTCAGACGAGGGGAAGAGCAGAGGCGAAAGGATGAGAGACGAATTGATGAGAGACGAATTGATGAGAGACGAATTGATGAGAGACGATTTGAGGAATCTCGGCGCTAGTAATGATAATCATTTTGCTCCTGTCTTCCTGGACATAAAGTGCGCCATGATAGTTGGTTGGCAGGCACGTCGGACGGATAGACGCACCGATGTAACGATTTTGTACATGTAAATAAGGGCATCGGTATAATGATTTCAGGTGGCGTTGACGGTCTCATGAAGCATCGCACGGGAACATATTAACGGCCGGCTCGAAATATCTGCTCAGTGTAAACGATACCCGTTGATAGCTGTATGAATACAAGACTTCTACCAACTCCCGGCAATAAAGCGCGTGTGCAATGTGGTGCGTTTCGTCTCATTTTGTCAAAAGGAATGGCGATAGGCTACTCCAAAAGACATCAGTTTTGTGGCATGTTTACTGCATTTCTCCCTGCCTCCCTTCTTTCAGCTGAAGCGAGTAGCCAAAACTTGGCCTCGCGAGTCCGATCCCCTTTAATTTTGAAATCAAAGATCCATAGCTTCATCTGCACAATGCAGTGTCTGTCTCATCCAATGTCAAAAGGAAAAGAAGACAGAAAAAGACTCGTTGCTCTGTGCAAAGTATAGCCAAGTTAAAAAAAAATTGAAAGAAAAAAACCAAGAGTAGCAAAACTCTCTCCCAGCCCACTTTGAAATGTGAGGTGGTCGATACAAACCTAATCTAATAGGTTTCCGTATACGATTGTCGAATGCTGCACCGCCGGTAAGGAGAAAGGATTGCCAAAGAGGACTTGCTACCATGGTGAAGATGGCACTTATGAAAACACCCTAGTCGACTCTCCCTATTATTATTATTATTATGTTGTTGTTGTTGAAATTTTTTTTTAAACTATAGATGTTAGTTATGATAGATACACTTAGCGCGGGTTAACTTACAGTCGTGTACCAGTCGAGTAGGTGGCAGCATTCCGCTTATTTAACTCTATATACCGTTAAGCCAGATTCGGCCGGAAAAGGCTTAGCTTGAGCAGCAACACCGAGATTGCAATTGATATTGACGTAGCCACAAGGCAATTGTTGCATTCTGAATTCACTACGAGCCTGACATTAATATGACCTGCCTCGCGAGTCTTTTTCGCTTTTGTTTAGACTTGATGTTCGAGTTCTAGAAGAGGCGTTGGTGCGCATGTCCAAAGGGGGAGCGTCACGTGGAGTTTGTTTACTTTCGAGAAGACATCATCTGTCTGAGGCAGCCAAGTTTACTCCACTGAGTATCACCAATAAGTGAGTCAATTCTCGTGATAGCATCTCCAATGGCCTTTCAGGAGTCTTCGAGCTTCTTAGCTCGAGTGAGTGCATTGCGCGCAGTTTTGCAGAATCATCACCTCCAGGAAGAATCACTTGGAACATTACTATCAACCGCGGGAATCCTGAGATACGCGTAAGTCGAAGAATGCGTTCTCTTATCTATGGCTGGCCTCTTCAGGTGTTTAGGAAAGACCTGCCTTTTGAGATAGCAGACAACTTGACAGTCGAAACCACATCATGACGTCTCGTAGATCATTTGGCGAGTAGTTTAGTACATAGTCAAAAACAGCCAATGTCTTCTCCGACGAAATATCATTCCAATCTCCATAGATAACGAGACCCATCAAATACCATTTCAAAATATTGAGTCATGACCATGATTTGATTGCTGGTGATGCGCAAGATCAACGTTGAATTCTCCGAATATCAGTTATATGCCCTTGGACAAGATGCGCCCCAACCCCTCAATATCCACCTCAATCGCCTCATCCTCGATCTCAGCTTCTCTTTCTGCCAGGATTGCCACCTCCTTAATCAGTCATTCCAAGACGAGTATGATTGTCTCGCATTCTTCATCGCCGGCATTGGAATTCAAGCGGAAGATATCACAGCAGCGAGGGTGGACAGCAATGAGGGTGGGCAGCAATGACGGTGGGCAGCAATGACGGTGGGCAGCAATGAGATGGGTGATGGTCAGTTGAGGCAGTGAAAAAGGTAAGTTGATAAGATGATTGATAGACAAATCCTTCTCTTTACCCTTTTGTACTAAAGGTCAGCCATACGTTATTCTTTGTTACCTGTTGCTAGACAGATAAATCGGCCTTCCGATTAACGGTCAGCCGTACGATCTTCAATTGTCGAGATTCGTGTCTTGAAGATTATGAAATACCTGTTTGCGCTAGGGTCTACTGGTTTGTACTGATCGTGACTCTCTCTGATATTGATCCTGGTTCTCTGGCTTCAACCGCCCTTGACTTCAAATTACTGTCATCAATTAGAGATGGTGAAAAACAGTTGTATATCAGCGTTATCGGATATTTATCGGATAGGAAAAAAATGGAATTTAGATTTTGAGAGGACCGACGTCAGCGAAAAAGAGGGTGGGGAGGTGCAAGAAGGAGGGGAGGGCGAGGCTGAAAAGGACTAAATAAAGACAACCTAACGGTTTGTCTATCCAATTCACTTTGACAATAGGGTGAAGTTGGGTAGGAGGCAGTTTCGGGTATAAAGGAAGCCTTCGCGTCGCGTCGTCAAGCAGCTTTCCCCAAACACAACAATATCACTTCGAGACTTCACCAATAATTTTGTCCCCGAATCGTCCCCCAATAAGCCACATCTTATCAAAGCTGTACAAGAACGCAAGCTTGACCCCCCGCCACCCTTGATTCAGGTCCTGTTTTCAGACCTCTTTGTTGTGTTCACCCTTCTCATCACTCCGCCGCACCCATCCTTCCTCAAACCTCAATTCCGATACTTGAGTCGACGATGATGCTGCTGTTTGCAGTCATTGGTCTCCTCTCCTCGGCCTCGGGCTCTGTTTTCAGCTCCCAAAGCAACTCCGAGAATGGAGTTCTTGCCTGTGAATGTATATTTTATGGATTCATTGTTGACATGGCTTACAAGCTCCATCGCTGACCTGTTTTGATTTCCAGTCGACACAGATTGTACCTTTGCCTATCTTGGAGACAAGAGTTTGGGAGGTGAGGGAACACTGAAACAGCGAGCTGAGGACATTATCATGCTTACCAGGACCACAATGTAAGTTTCACGTTGTATCTTGCGCGTCATTGTTGACAAGTATAGTGTCTACGTCACAGAAAGCAAGAGCACTTCCCACTCGCCAACAGGAAGCTTCAAGGTGGTTACCACACCAGCATCGAACACCCCCTTGGTATGCAATCAGGACAATTGCCTTCGTCAACTTATTCAAGAGTCTCCTACTGCTGCCTCCTTCTGTGTCACATACACCAAGTTAGTCTCTACAGTGACCACAGGTCTGCCAGACATTGTCTCTCAATGCAAGTACGACCCCACTCGAGTCTCGTCTGCTTGTTCGTGCCTGGCCACCATGACTTTCTCTTCGACAATACCATCGGTCACTCACACAAGCCAAATGTCGACGAGCCAGAGTTCAAGTCATGTCTCTGAGGATACATGCACGACAAGCAAAAAGACTTCAGCGCCATCTCGCCTAAGTACATCTTACGTTTCTAACAAGACAAGTTGGAAAAGCACAAAGGCGGCTACATCATCGACTGCTGACAAGACCACCACCGGTACATTCACATCCTCTTCATTGGTCTCCACCTACTCAATCTTCTCAACCTCAATCTCGATTCCAGAGCGTACTTCAAGTACAGCAAGCTCAACCGTCTCAAAAGAGACAATCTCGTTGTCCTCGTTACCATCCAGCTTGGCTGCGTCTAGCACAGCATCCATCAAGACGGTATCGACTTCCTCCGATTCCGTTTCCACCACTTCCACATTAGCAGCTCCAGTAGTTTCAACATGGGTGACACTCCCACCATCTGATGCCATGATAGCTTGTGCAGGTAAGAAACATCATCCAAAATAGGTGATCAAGCTGACAGATTGATAGCATCGACAGAGTGTACCAGTGCCGGGAGTCTCTGGGATGGTTGTCTCACCCTCGAGAATGGATTAGATGTCTGGGATTGTTTGTGTACTGCCAACCACGACGAGTAAGTATAGCTGGACAGACTTTGAGAGAGAAACAATCGCTAAGACACAACAGGTGGTTTGAGACGGTGGCAGCTTGCACCGCCTGTGTCATGGCTGCTCTACCACCTACGATAAACGGTTCCTCGACACAATGGATGACCAACCCTGCCACAGGTGTACCATATGTCCAGACCCTTTACTGCAATATTACCGATCCAACGGTGAAGACAAGATACAAGTCATTTCAACTGGGACAACTCATCGCACAGACTTTCGAATCTCCTATTGAGTTCTTCAATATGACACTTGTGGATCAGCCTATCGTTCTGGGCCAAATGGATCCACCAGCCATTTCGGTCAGCCTCAGTGCAGCCAACAGTGCGACCATCAGCTTGCCCACATCTTCCTCTTCTTCTCAAGCCAGTTTTTCGAATACATCTCCAACTACGACGATCCAGTCAGTGGCCTTATCGAGTTCAACATCCTCTGGTATCAAATTGCAGACCACGGTGCAAGTCTCGTCCTCACAAGTTACCGCTTCGTCAACTGCACCAAGCCAAACTGCACAGCCAGAGTCGGCATTCCCCATCTCGCCCCAAATGGAGGCTTGCGAATGTGAGTAAGCTAAATAATGTTGGGAAAAAGTACTGACTTCTTTCAAGTCTCAAAGACCAGCTGTGAACAAGCATCCATGCTCTTCCAAGAGTGTGTCCACAACGAGGATTTGCCAGCCAACGTCACAGCCTGGAATTGTCTCTGCAACACCAATTTCGAACAGTAAGCTCTATTCCTGCTCTCTCACCGGTCATCCTAGCTAACATAAACAAGATGGAACTCAACTCTCATGGAGTGCTCAGAATGTATCTCCAAGGCTCTTCCTCCAAACATTACCAACGCACATTGGAACGCTTCTCAGGTCCCGATGTACATCGGCTTGACGATCCAATCATACTGCACGTTGCCAGTGGATCAGCGAGCTGGCAGTGTATCAGTCATGATGCGTGCTGGGAGAGTGCTTACGAGTGCATTCCAATCGCCAATTCTTTGGTTCAATATGACTGCCATTCCAGCGCCACTCGAATTTCCTTCCGGGAATGCCCCGAGTTGATGGGATGTTCTGAAGTAGAAACGGTTTGGTGGGGTTGGGAAGGGAATGGAAGCGATTCATATTTGCTTTACTAAGTCGTTGTTTTTCATGGAGTGCGTTGGGTTTCGATGATAGGAGATGACTGTGCGAAAATAAATGCGTTATTAAAAGTGCACATGTGTTTTTCAAGTGACTTTAATATTTAGGCCATCTCCTTGGGCTGGGATTGTGGCAGAGATAGACTGCTGGATAACTTTGTCAGTGTATGTTGTCGACAGATGAACTGCTCTGGCTCACCTCGGCAGAAGATCCAGACGACAAGTTGGATAATTCGGTTTGCTGGTCTCCAGGCATAAGCCCAGACGGCGAGCAAGTATTGTCAGACATGGCGAATGTGTCGGAGTTTACAGAGACAGCTGTGCGCGTCGAAGACTGTGCTTCGGCGCGGAGAGAAATGGAAGTTGTATCTGCACAAAGATGGATGGAGCTTCGTTAAAACCACAATTCTCCATATTGCCGTTCGCGTGTGCGCGGCCGCTAGTGATTGCTCCCCTTGAACAGGAGGAAACAAAGCTGCTCGACTTTGGCTCCTCCTCCCGTTCATCTTATACTCGAAGCTAGACTTCCTTCTTCCCACCACACGTAACTTCCCAGAAACTTCTGCTTCGACGCGTCAATACATCCAAGCAGCTCTGGACTTTTGTCAAGAGTCCTTGCAAAGAGATTGCGCGATCGTTCTGCTTCATGGATCGCGAAGAGAGCCCCGCGCATCTTCAAAACCCGTCTCTAGTCAATCCAAATTCGGACAACTTTCACGAAACCGAGACAACTCAATCTTCCATGGCGCCTGTTATTCTAGAAGAAGACAGTAACATCGTCAGCGCTGCAATTATCACCCTTGGCGACGATTCTTCCGACGAAGAGGATCTCGAGCAATTGAGCATCGAAGACGAGATTGCTAGAGTAGTTGATGCTCTCTTAACGGATGAAGATGAGAGCTCCGAGCCCGGCTCTGACGAAGATACAAGTTCAGGCAGTGGAAGTGGCACCATTTATATCGGCGAGCAGTCGCAAACAGTAATACCCGTTGCCGAGATACACATTTACACCGACATGGAAACCGACTCTGACAACGAAACGGCCGCGATCGACGAAACTCGTGTGCAAGTCCAGATGCAGGTCAACGCAGCGATAATCGAATCAATGGTCGATGAAGAACTTTTCATCGACTTCGAGGACGTTCAACACAACGAAAGGCGCACCGAGAATGTTCAAGACGGCCACGCAGATGAGACGCGAAGCGAAAGTAGCCTTCTTGACCTAGAAATCCTGGACGAGTGGGCGGAAGAAGACATGGAAAGCCCTTTCACACCCTTGTCTCCCAGAGATTCAAGTTACCAGCCTGCAAACCAAGTCTATAACCGTTCGAACGCGCTTGATTCAAAGAGCGAAGACAACGACCAAGACTCTGATGAAGAGAGCTTCCAGAGTTGCGAAAGTGAAGATGGCAAGGATTCCAAAATGGACATCGGCAACAGAAACATTTGGAAAGAGCTGAAGCGCGGACAATGGGTTGCTAAGGATTTGTCGACGATCTTAGACACCAAAGCCGACAGAATGATTCCTATGCCGACCACATACCAAGCAAGAAAGGAAGCTCTTATGAGCCTTTTCTTGCTTCTGTCCAAAGTTGTCTTCTTTATTGACCTTGGTATCCGACGAGAGAGAATCTTCGCTTTAATCCCAGAAAAGTTCTGGTTGACCCACTTCACATGGACCGACACTCGGGAGCTTCTGCAGGCAAGAGACAAAGAGATTTGTATCAACCTGCTGACTCGAACGAAGACGGTATTAGAAGAGTGGCGTTTGGGGTACGGATTTCCTCGGGTACCAGAAATAGAACAAGATGTTCATCAGGCCAGAGGCCAGGATCAGCAGATTGACAGAGAGGACCGAGTTCAGAGGCTGCTCCGACCAAAGTTGCACAGATCCGATCGCTGGTTGAGGCATATTTTCCTGGACTTCGTCGAGTACCTGCCTTGGGAAGATGTTTGTGATGAGTTTCGCGAATTGGCTGTACGGAAAGTTGTCACAATGACTGAACTTTGCTTCGAGCAAGTGATTTCCGTAAGTAAAATGCTGTTGACAAAGAATCAGAGCTAATCCGGTATAGATCAGGGACGAGTTGCTGGACGTGAAAATGCGACGAGAGATCAGAGAGAAACTTGTTCGGGAGCAGTTGAAGCAGGTATTGACTAAGATCGGCACACTCGGTCTCGATGGTTGACGACATGTTTGGTGATGATATACTGGTGATTGCGCATCGTAAAACAAGGACAATGCTGTTGGAGTTTCAGAATGGAGGCATCTAGCGCTGGTCTCTACCACAGTGGGTTTGAGTATAAAAGGCTCAGACTGTAGTTCGGGAAATGTATCTTGCCAACCGGACTTTTAAGAATCCCTTCGTGGTGATGTGACTCAGGTATGGAGGGCGAGGGGCCAAGTGGTACCAATACCTCTCTCAACCAAGCATGAGTTTAGCGATTTCATTGCGGTCTGTCATGGCCATAGCTTGCAAAGGGACCAGCATGAATGGTTGCCATTTAGGACCAACAATATTCTTGATGCCTTCGATATCCCGATCAGCGACCCCTTTCATCCACCACAATTCCTTACCCAATTTCACAAACATCAGGTAGTAGGACAGAATTACAAGAGCTCTTGGCCTGTATTCCGAAGCACACTGTGAAAATCCATGAGAAGAAAATGATGGCCAGGCTACCACTCGGATGAAAAGTCCGTCGCCAAGTCCGTCTTGCTGAAGACTTGCATAGAGCATTCCAATGGCATCGAGGATCTTGCAGTAGTCCTCAAGCATATCAAAATCAGGGTCGTCGGTTGGGATGGACCGTACCATGTCCATTAGGACTGTTGGAACAACTGGTACAACCTTCAATTCCGAGATCTCTCGACGAAAGATCGGTCCGACACTGAGAGAACGCACACTGGGAAACGTGACCATTGTTATGACAGTTGATAGTCCTCTGTATAGGATAAACCAGTTGACAACAATAAGTTGCCCTTCTCCAGGATCATAGTCTATACTGCAGAGGACTACTATGAGGATCGACGTGACCAGAGCGGCTTCATATTCTCGACTGAAAGGGACAATCCTGGTTAATGCTTGACGGAAGCCACTTATTGCTTTGGCTCTGTAGATGTCTGTTTGTCGTCGGACTTGATCAGGATTTGGAACGAGGGACTGCATGTGTAGGGACGCAATGCCAAGAATTCCGTTCATCAAATATTCGTTCTCGAAAGCAAGCTCCGGAATGGTCAGTTGCAAGGTTTTGTGTGCTGCGTTTCCAACAGCGACCGATACAGAAGTCATCGACGACCACTGGTGCATCATGCGTATATCTACGGCGGAAAGGGCACCAGCTGAAGTCATCACGAGGGGTGACGGAGAAGTAGCCAGCTCCCATGAGGTCTCTGTAGAACCCGGGTCACTCGAAAGAGACGTGCCTCGATTTCTTCTCTCAGAACTTTGAGGATTTGAAGGACTGGATGGCTCAGATCTTGTGACTCTGGGTGGGTAGGTGCAAGTGAGATTCCTCTTTTGACAGAATGTGCATTTCGGTTGCACTTCATCACACTGAGACTTTTAGTACAAGCTGTGAAAATCAATACATAAGACTACCTTGACTTTCTTGGTTTTACATGTGTGGCAACCTCCTCTTGACTTCTTATGTGGCCGTTTGGTGATGAACTCTCCTGTCATGGTTTGCAATGATGCCTTGGAATAGTGCAACTAAATTGGAGACATGAAATATCCAGAATGAGCAGCTCGGTGTCGAGTATTATGGAATGAGGATCTTAATCCAGCAATCTGAAAGACCCAGGAACGTTGTTCTTCTGTAGCTTTCAACACACGATGAGTAACACGTTGCCTTGATAGAAAGTGGGTGCCCAGAGAGGCGATGACAAATCTGATGCTGACAACGTGCTTATAGGTTGTGTGGATCGAGGCTGCTAGGTATATCCTTGAATAGAAACGGTTCGAAAGAAAGACAGAGTGAAAGTAATGACAGATGGTGAGGTACTACAGATTAGTACGGGCGTAATGTCTGTACTCTCTTAGTGCATTCTGCACGTCGGCTAACAAGCGCGTGGCTGCCTAAATTTCAAGGGGACAAGAAATCGCGTCTCCCTGAGCGCTAAACGCGTCCTCCTGGACAACATATGTACAAAATCCGAAGCAGTATTCAACAATGGCTGTCCTCTTCTCGTTACCGAATGAGGTCATGTTAAATGCACTCTGCGCTCAATTCCCATGCCGGGATCAGCAGATTCGTTCCTTAGCAACATTGCTTTCAGTGAGCTCTATCCAAGGAAACATCCCTCGATTGACCTCAAGCTAATTAACGCTCTCAGGTACGAGCAGCACCATGTCGAAACCTCGTCCTGCATGGCTTGGCGGCAACAGGCAAGAGCTCTATCGCCAAAACTGTCCTTGAATACCTCTCGAAGAGACAAACGAACGGTTATGCCAATGGCAGTACACAACACGACGATGACGAGCTCCGTTATGCTGTCATCAAGTCTGCAGAATGTATAGGGGGTCGGCATCTCTTCGAACAGACAATTAGCACAGTATCAAAAGTTATAGGACGATCTGAGAACGTGGGCCGTTGCGAGAACCTAGCACAATTGGCGGTTGAGCTCAGCAAATTGGTTGAGAATTGGACAGCATCAGAGCAAGATAGCCGACAGAGATTGGTCCTTGTATTTGATGGCATAGACCGGCAACGAGATGCACCCCCTACATTGCTTCCAGCTCTTGCCAGACTGGTAGAGATTGTACCAAACCTCACCACAATATTCATTGTCACCTCTCCTCGACCAAACTTTCTCCACCTCCCCGGCGTGCCACATCTCGAATTTCCGGCCTATACCAAACCAGAGCTCCTGCAGATCCTCGCTTTAACAGAGCCATCACCAGTGCTCCCACAAGGTACAAAGGAAACGAAAGATGTCTGGACCCGATACAGCTCTGCAATCTGGGATTCTCTTTCCAAACATTCCGGCCGAGACATACTCTCCTTCCGCTCAGTCTGTCTCCGTCTCTGGCCACGCTTCATACGACCAATCCTAGACGGCACCCTGAACCCATCTCCCTTCAGCCGATTGATGGTAGCAAACCGATCCCTCTTCCAAAACGACTCCATCCTCGTCCCAGCCCTTGTCTCGAACCCTCAATCTACGGCCCTGGTACCACAATCACAATCTCAAAGCAACCTCCAAGGAATAGCAATACAACTCCCACACATCTCTCGCCTCCTTCTCGTCGCCTCCTACCTAGCGTCATACAACCCACCCCGCACAGACAGCACATTCTTCATGAAAGCCGCTCTCGCCAAACGCCGCAAGAAGGGCGGCGGCACAGCCCTATCCCGCAAACCAGGGACGGCCAAAAGCCGTAAAATAGCCCGAAAACTGCTCGGTCCGCAAGCCTTCGTCTTGGAACGAATGCTTGCCATATTCCTAGCCATCGAAGAAGATGCTGGGAAGAGAAAGGGGAAGGCAGCGTTGAATGGAAGTGCGGATGTGTTGATGGCTGTTACTACTCTGGCTAGTTTGAGGTTATTAGTCAGGATGGGAGGACCGAACCAGGATGTTTTGGATGTGGGGACGAAGTATAAGATTGCGATTGGGTGGGAGGTTATCAGAGGGGTGGCGAGGAGTGTGGGGGTTGAGGTTGAAGATTATTTAGCTGATTAGAAAGAATGAACATCTCACCAGAGCAATTGCGTAATAGAAAGAGTGCTTTGTACCTCACCTCATCAACTGCTTCGTGATATAGTGAATCACGGGAGCGGTGGAGCTGATCCAACACCACTTCCAAGTTCTCATAATCACCACAGCACGAATACGACCGGAGACTTTATGATTATGGATTCATAGCAACTGTTCTGCCTCTATGTAGCTACCGCAAGGTATCAGAACCAACGTAAGGGTATCGAGTTTGCTCAAGCAGCTATAAGGCCACGAGCAGCAGACCAAATATGCAGCAATTCCTTCCATGCAACGCCATTTCGTGGTTTCGTAACTTCATACATGTATCATTATCATCATCGTCCATCCCTCCAACGCCTGCTCCCCACCCTCCATTGCCGTCCATTCCACCACCCATTGCACATCCTCGCCCATTACTTGTTGCTAGGAGGAGCTGCAGAAACAACTCCAGACTTCTTAATGGCCTCCTCGTGAGCTGCAACGAAGATATGCTCCCAACCGCCACCATTCTTCTCCTTGTATCTCTCGTACCAGCCAGTAGTCTCCTCGAAAGTGTACTTGCGAATCTCCTTCTTGACCGCAACCTTCTTCTTGCCTACGTCTCCACCCCAACCTTGTCCCATACGAGTCTCCTCTCCAGAAGCAGAACCAGCATCAACACCGCTATCGAGATCCATGCGTTCAGGCTCTTGTACGGCTGGGTCTTGTACTGCTCGAGCGGGAGAGTTGTTCGCCGGTGCAGGAGAGCTTCTCAGGCTTGCAGTGCGGCTGGCGGCGCGGTTTGCAGCAACAGCTGGACTGACATAGCGAGGAATATCTTCGGCGGGGACATAGCCTGGTCGGACAGCAATCTCCTTTCTGACGCTCTTATCGGCACGAGTGCTTTTTGGGACGAATCTTCGGCCGTTCTCGCCGGTTGCGATGCCGGAATTGGTCGTGCTGGTGCTACCAGAGGAAGACGGACGGTCATCTGCACCGTTGGATTCAGGGGATCGAGCGTCACCGGAGCCGTCGTATTGAGGAATTCCAGCTGATTCGGGAGCAGAGAATGCCATGACGTTCGGGTTGAAAGAGGTTGTAGATCGGTAGAGTTCTCTTGCGCGAGCTAGATCCTCTTCAGCAGTTGCAATCCTCAATGGACCCGGCTTGTTTGTTTCGGTTGCGATCAATTGTGAGATCTGGGAATCGAGATCCAACGAGCCACCCTTCTCTTGTTGGTACAGATAGATTGCTTTGTTGACGTTGTGTTGTGCGCGGTCAAGGTATATCGCGGCCTCACTAGCACTTCCACCAGTCGCGGCGCAGAACTCAAGTTGTGAGGTAGGAAGAGACGTATCGATTCCGTGTCTTGTTGATTCACCAACTTGGTCTTGATGTATTGGAGGGTTCGTGAGATTCGTCGAATTTGTTTGTGCAGGCGATGATGTCGTTAAGGGTGTTTTGTAAGGACTCAATGCAGTCAGTTTAGCGGCCACGTTTAGAGCCGTTTTTTTCGCCTCCGACGACTTTTTGCTTTGACCTGGGACCAAATTCTCTTTTTTCGAAAGAGAGAATGGACGGAAGTTCGACTCTGGAAGATTATTCAAAGGCTCGGATAGAGCTGCGGTGTCGTTGAACTCAACTCGAGATTCTAGCTCTAGCTCTAGCTGAGACACCTCTGCGTTCACAGGAACTACGAACTCTTTCATTCTCTGAGCCCGACGAGCACTAGAGGGACCCGTGCCAATAACCACAAACTTTCTGAACATATCTAAATTTCGCATCGACCATCCCGCAAACCATTCGATCATAGCGGGCTCATCGTCTGGGTCGATATAGCGATCAACAAGGACGAATGGGCTTACACTATCCTCATGGAAGTTATATTCAGAATCGGAGTAGTCGGAGTCACTAGGACTTTCCAACCACCCCTTAGCATCTTGGCGTGCAAACAATGTATGCAGCTTGTTTCGAGGATCACAGTGTGCGAAACTGAGTCCTGCATCATTCAGCATTGCATCTTTTGCCGGATTATCTCTATGCTCAATCTCGAACGCATCTTTCTCCGATGCCTTGCTAATAGCTAGATCCAGGATGTATTGGGAGATGTTAAAGGCGCATACCAGCTTGTAGCTTCCTGGAGTGGAGTTCTCTGATTTATTTAGGAAGAGTTTCAGGAAATCATACGCTCGTTTCGGTTCTGCAACCAGGAAACTTGGCGTCAGCAGCATCGCGCAGCCATGTGGAAAGAGACGAGTCGCTGTTATACGGCCAAGAGATGAGTCGTCGGGCTCATATTGCCATGAGGGAAAGAGCGGAAGTGGGGTATCTCTGTCCGAAATACACCAAAAGACAAAGGGCTTCCTAGAAACAACCTCGAAGAGATGTGGAAGACAATGAATGTTTGCCACGACAGACTCGTGGACTAAAACCACGCCGACATCATGAGTATTCCTGAAGTAGTCCCATGAGCCTTCTGTCTGACCATCATAGATCTTCGACTGCGCGCTGCAGTCTTTGATCCATCTAGCGAGAAAGGTTGAAGTATGCTTCAAAGTAGAAGGGAACAAGAGGTAGAATTTCCAAGGATTTTGTCCAGCTTCGACTCGAGGAAGTAATTCCTTTATATCTAGACCATGAATCATCTTGATCATTAGTCTTCGGTAAGGCTCGCCAAGCTTCATGCCTTTGGATTCGCTGCTTTCAGGTCGATCGATAGGCAAGTTGGATTCGAAAACAAAGTATTTTAACCGACCTTCTTTCGGATAATTGGACGATGCCTCGAGGAATCTCCATTCTTCCCTTGATGCAGGGAAGAGGAGAATAGAAAATCCAGAAAAAGAAGCTATCAATCCAGCAGATCTAACTACCAACTCTTCTCCGATTTTCTCAATAGTCTTCTGGATTTGTTGATCTTCAGCATCAGTCGCAACAAGACTTCCTGCGAGTATACCACGTCTCTTCAGGTATTCTTGCATTGTCTTGAAATCTTTTGCAATACACATCTGGCTGAAGGTGACTCTGTCGAGGTCTGTGAAGAGTCTCTTCCAGGGCGAATCTTCTATGTGCTGCATGTCGCCAAAGTCAAGGTTGACAGGTTGAGACTCATCATAGCCAAAGAAGACTAATTTGGCTCTAGAACCGATTTTCTTCAGTTTTTGGTTTCGTCCATACTCAGCAACAGATACCTTTTTACGTGGGACCTTCGGGGCCAGTACTGGAGTTGGGTTTTCTTCGATAGAAGTGCCTTGATTAGACACGACTGATGCTACTGGAATGGTGGTTGAATTGACGACGGGAGCTAACGGAGTGGAGAATGGGTCTTCAGCATCCATACCGGACATATCTTGGTCTATGGGGGTTGGTGGAGTTTTGGAGCTGTGTATGTAGCCCTTCAACGATTCTGTTCGTCGAGATCGATCTTGAAATCCATCATCTCGATCACGCATCTCAACATCTGAATATTGTCTGCTTCTGTTTTCATGTAGGTTGAAGCAATTAAATCCATACCGGCAGTTTCCGCTTAGCCAGTATGTGCAAACTGTTTCATTTGATGCCCGGGATCTGTGAGAAGAGTTGACCTCGCGTGCGCCTTTGGCAGGAGAGATCGGTTCTGGTTCACTAAAGACTTTGTCCTCTTCCTCGAGCACGAACTTCACAGACTTCTTGCGAGAATCGCTTGGAGGAGGCAAGGCTGAAGATTTCTTCTCGGGGAGTACTACGGCTTCTCGAGCATCGGGTTTTCGAACATCGGGTTTCGGAGGCATGGTCGAGGTATGCTCGTGAAGATACCAGCATTCCGTGCTTGTGAAGTGACAATTGTTGTTCAACCAATTCTTACAAGTGATGCGGGCCTGAATTCTGCGTTGCTCGTCGAGAGATGGTATGACTGGAAGGCGTGTATCATTACTGTGGTAATACTTGCACTTGTCCCCTTTCATGCATTTGCCATTTTGATAATAGAAATGGCATATCGCATTTTCTGGGTTTAAAGGGTCCCACAGGGGCCGTTCTTCAAGCCTAGCCACAGGTTTGGCCACCGATGGGAGGAGTGGTGTGCTCATTAAGGTCGAAATGGCTTCAGAGGCGGTCGTAGAGGCGGCTTGCCTTGGGGGCAATATTGGAAGAGCTGAAGAATACGTAACAGTACTGTTGAAGGAGTTTTGAGATTGTTGCTCGCGTTGACGCGCAAATTGAGCTGACCTATTGGAGCTTTGAGCTGCCAATGCGTTCTTGTTCCATGGTGGATGAGGAGGGGATGCTACGAAGTCATCATCCATCGTCTCGGATTGCTTTTGAGCAGCAGCATTTGAGGTATTGTCTGACTTGAAGACGTAGTTCGGTGGTGGTTGTGCTACAGGTGCTCCAATCTTGTACTCGTGGAGGTAAGTACAAGAGGAGCCTTTGTCACAAGTTGGCCACCGACTGTCCGTCTGCGCCCTGTCCCAGAAAAAACAAACTGATTGATAGTGCACGGGATCCTCTGATGGCTTGTTTGAAAATTCGATGAAGCCTAGAGGAGGTGGTGCCACTATTGCTCCAGGCCTGTATTCGTGGTGGTACTCACACAGATAGCCGTTGCTACATCCTTTGCTTTTGCTGTCTTTCTGAGCTTTGTCCCAAAAGTAACATACCGGACGCGTCGATTGTCTTGACAGAGTGGATGGAGGACGGATTGTAGAAAGAGGAGTGACACTCTTTTCTTCGAACAGATCATCAAGGTCTGCATCAACTCCTCGGTCTGTCTGGTCTTTTGTAGTGGGAAGAGAGGAAGATGATTTACGCAGTGTTGCCGGCCTGACAGGTTGAACCGACGACATATCAGAAGGGTTGAAGAGACCTCCTATTGCTGACAGGTCAGGAGCAGATTCAGCAATCTCTCTTGCTTGAAGCTCCAACTTCCTTCGCAAATGCATGTTTTGGGCCATCTTGGGATCTCTAGAATCCGTGGCGACTCTGAGCAGATTTGTGCCCGGTTTTCGACCACGAGTAGCCTTTGTTCCAGTTCCTGACTCGAAAACATTCCTGCGTACGATTGTAGCTCCTCCACGAGTGGCGATGTTACCTCTTTTACGTGGTCGACCACGAGGTCTCTTCTCTGTTTGGGTTGGAGAGTCGTCCATGAACAATTGGCTTAACTCAGAATCTGGTGTTACTCCGGACATCAATGAGTTGGAAGAAGACGAATTAGGGCGTTCCTGGTTGAACTGATTCTTGCTTGACTGTTCTGAACTGGATCTTACCAACTGAGGTCGTCCCGGAGTAGGTTGTCTTGAATTAGAGCTTCCCATACTAGACTCTCTAACATCGGTTGGTCCGGAATGAGGTTGGGCCAAAGCAGGTAGCTCTGAAATAGGTTGTCCTGGCGTAGACAGCTGAGGGCTCGGCATCTTTTGTCGCTTCTTGAGCATTAATGGCTCGTCCGATGACGAGCTCGATAATGTTTCAGATTTTGCGGACGCCTATGGATTCATTAGTTTACGATAGATACAAGCCAATTAAGAACAAACCTTTACTTGCTTTGGTGCCTTTGATCTCTCAACTTCAGATCTTGATGAAGCTACTGTAGTATTATCTCGGACTTTCAACTGAACGTTTGTTCGAGGTGACTCAGCATCAGAATCACCAGGGGAATTATCGTCAAGCTGCTGAATTTCAGATCCTCGGACCAAAAATCTCATAGGCTTCTTGGTGGGCTTTCGTGGCGATTCAGCTTTTCGATTAGTGGAACTGGTAGCTGTAGCTGTAGCTGGAACATCCTCAACTTCATTGTCTTCCATTGCCTCAGCATCAGAGGAATCATCTTTGTCTGCCATATTGGCATCAGAATCAGACAGAGGGACTGCCATTCCGAGACTTCTCCTCCTCACTGTTCGAAGCTTCTTACGGTGCTCTCTCTCCTTTGCTATAAGGTTCTGCGTTGCTTGCCACTCTACGAGATCAAAAGGAGGACTGATTCCTCGTTTCTCTCGTTTCTTCCTAAGGCCCCATGCATCTAGAATCCCTGGGCTGATATGATCCTTGGGCTCCCAAGTGGCCCTCTCCAACGGATAGCCTGTCCATTCAATGAGAAAGAGTCGCTTGGAGCCTTGTAATTTCTCCGCAAGTATTCGAGTGACAATAAATTCTTTCATTGGATCATACTCTGACTCCTGAGTGGAAGTGAGAGAGACGGCATCATCCTCCATTTGGGCTTGTTTAGCGGCCGTTCGTTCCGTCATGGCTGAATATGTTGGTGAAGAATGTGACCTCCAATCACAGTAGAAACGATATGTGTCTATATCCAGGGTCCCAAGGGAATGGAGACAACAACATGCAGCAGGTGCTCAAACGCGTTCGGTTGCAAGCGTGATAGCTCTAGAAAGGACGCATTGACCTGCAGCTCTCCAGGAAAGACAAGAACGCGTTTCCCAGTAGATGATGGTGTGTTTCAGACTCCATCCAACTACTGAACTGTTGAACGTGAGATTTCGTTTGCTGTATTCGTAGGAGGGAGCGAATGTCGACAGGGACAATAGCACGTGATTCTGCCCAGACCTCTCGACTTGGTGTTTCGAAACAGACTAACCACGCTCTACCCCGTGAAGACAATGGATTGAACAGAGTCGCACTGTTGTCGCCGTGTTTCCTGGCCGTTGCAAGAACGTGCACATATCAAGATCGACTGTGTGAATTGTTCAAAGAAAGGAAAAGGTCAGAGTCAACCTAGTCACTTTTAACACTGCTGCCCCAGGCCACCAGCCAGCATCGGCCTCTCGCCAAATTGAATGCCGCCGCAGTTGCGACTTCAATCAATCTGACAACTTTCCCGGCTGCCTCAAATAATTACAATAACCCCGCGATACCATCATGGCCAACGACGAGTACGACGTACGTATTGCCAGCCCATACATCTCGAGTATATGCTAACTTGCCCTTCTGCGCAGTTCCTGTTCAAGGGTAAGCTCGAATCCCGCAGCATGGTCGCCTGCTCCTCCTATACCGCCATCCTTACTGACATCTCTCCTCCGCAGTCGTCCTGATCGGAGATTCTGGAGTTGGTAAATCCAATCTCTTGAGTCGATTCACCCGAAATGAATTCAATCTCGATTCCAAGTCCACCATCGGTGTAGAGTTTGCGACTCGGTCGATCCAAGTAGACGCAAAGACCATCAAGGCACAGATCTGGGATACTGCTGGACAAGAGAGATACCGTGCTATTACATCTGCCTACTACCGCGGAGCTGTGGGAGCTTTACTGGTCTACGATATCAGCAAACACCAAACCTACGAGAATGTAACAAGATGGCTGAAGGAGTTGAGAGATCACGCCGATTCCAACATCGTCATTATGCTGGTCGGAAACAAGAGCGATTTGAGACACCTCCGGGCTGTACCAACAGAGGAGGCTAAGCAGTTTGCAAGTATGTGGCATAATTCAGTTGGATGAATGTTGCTAATGGCCACAGGCGAAAACAACCTCTCCTTCATTGAAACCTCTGCCCTCGATGCAAGCAACGTCGAACTTGCCTTCCAAAACATCCTCACAGGTAGGCGGATTTGGCTGCGATTTTCTATCGCTCTACTAATACAATGCAGAAATCTACCGAATCGTCTCCCAAAAAGCACTCGATAACGGCGACTCGGCACAAGCCAGCCTTGGAGCCGGAACGAACATCTCCCTAAGCAAGCCAGCAGACGAAGGTGCATCAAAGGGCGGCAAATGTTGCTAGATATCTCTTCCTTTTTCACCTTTCACTTTGCGCAGTCGTGGCAATGGAGCGACTTGCGTCGAACATAATCGGTTGGTTGATACAAGGCGAGGCGTCTATAACATGTCACGGTGGAGCATGGGTAGTCACACACAAGAGAGTCTAGATTCTGGTTCAATAGGGTTCCTGGGTCAGATTCTGGTGATGGGTGACTTGCGATTTTTCTGCATGGATTGTCGTTTCTTCCAATACTTTGTACTGCAGGGTGGTTCTGATGGTTGGAATTTTAATGCCGCCAACGATCGCTACGGAATGCTTAGTCAATGGATTATCATAATGAGTTTGTTTCTTTCTGCCTTGTGTAGGTATTCCGAGGATCGTGGATCTGAAATCGTTGCCTGATTTAGTGCTCAGCCACAGTGACGAGTGTACTGAGGCTCCAGTCGAGTCTTGAAAGGTCTTGATGACAAATTGAGAACATGAATCTCGAGGATTGTTCTCTTCGCTGTGGGAATCGCTTGACTCAAGACCAAAACATTGAAATTCATCCATGACCCACAAAAACATTCGTATTCGCATTATATTCACGTTAAGGAACTGTAACCACATCATAAACCAGCATACCTCTAAAATCAACACGCCCCACCACTAACAACAGGCACAACCCACTGCTTATCAAAGATCTTAAAACTAGCCCTAGCCTCCATCGCAGCACACGGCCTCTCAATCCTAGCCACAACCTCCATCTGCACCTCCTCTCCATCCCCTCTCACCCAAACCACCCCATCACACTCCCTCGCCTTCCAGAACCTCTTCGTCCAGCACTTCCCCACCTTCCCCTTCACCGTCTCTCCAAAAACCCTATACGTCACCCCCTCCCTCCCAACCTTGACGAAAATCTGCGACCCGCCAACTGCCGCCTTCCACTCCAACATATCGATAAACCACACTTCTCCTCCAGGGGCAGTCCACCTCGTGAACACCAAGCCATGGCTCTGCTCCATAGTCCACTGCGTGGTAACCGCTCCCACGCCTTTCAGTCTATTCTCCCACTTCTTCATACTCATCGGATTAGCACCCCCACCTAGCGCGCTCATGGCACTAAACAGCAATTTCGTCCCTGGATTCTCTTTCGTGGGCGGTTGGTAATATTTTAACTTGCGTTCTTTTTGGGACTGGGCTTTTTCCAAAGCTTCAGTTTGAGAGGCGTGGTAGAGGGGGAAGAGCGGGATGTGTGAGAGGTGCTGGTATGAGGGGGAGAAACCGCCGGTTTGGGTGCCTTGAGCGGGGATCGAGGAGGTGCGGGCTCGGTCTATGGCTGCGTCGATTTTTTTGCCGCCGAGGCGGTCGCCGATTGAGAGGAAGTCGCTGGCGTCGAGGGAAGGTGGGGCGGGGAGGGAAGACATGGTGATGGGAGGAGGTGCTGGTGGCTGTGAAGGTTGATGAGTGGTTTTGTGAGAGAGCTTGCTTTTTTTGTAAATGAAGGGAAGGAAGCAGTAGACTTATATTAATATAAGGACGAATAACCAGAGTCCTGCTCACAAGGAGAGTCCAGTCTCAACACAGATATAGGACTCAGAAGTATGCGCGTGATATATAAGGTTCGAGACTGGGGCTGAGGTGCCAAGAGGTGGGAAAAGAAAGCCAACAAGCCACATATTGGAGAAGAATCAATCAGATATGGCTGATATGCGATGTGTCGGACATAAGATATCGTCTGCGCATCTGAGTTGCTGAGAGTTGGGAAGGAAGGAGACAGGAGTTGAGCACTAGGCAACTCTTTAAGGCAACGCTCAGAGCGGTGGAGGCTTAGAATTGTGATGTCTTGAGATGCTATGCAGAAAGAACTGTTCTGATATGGGATGCGCGAGACGCCAAGGAAATAAAGCAAAATTGTTTTGAAGTTCTCTGGGAGTCTGAATGACTGTGGCTGTTTGCCAAGCATCTTAGGGAGATCTTGGCCTTTTCAGAGAAGGAACTTCCCGCTCTCAGTCGCTCTCAGCCCATTTCAATCCAAGCATTGAGCTTAAATCAAGGATCGAAAATGTGGAGTTTGCAAAGCATTGATTGAGAGCTGCTTTGTCAATGAGTGGGGAAAAAGTATCAAGAAACGTTCTCAGCAACTCATCTCCATCTCCTCGTGTCGACATTTTGGATTCCGGCTATGTCGATACCTGAATACTTCTCCTCTCTAATGGATGTCCGAGCGAGGTACCGTGCTGAAGGAAGTTCATGGTATGGACAGAACAGTCCAGACTTCTGGCACATTCCGAAGTACAACATACTCGTGCAGTACATGAAGGTAATTGAAATATTCAATCTTCTCCAATGTTTGGCAATCCAGTAAGTGTTCATTTGATCCGATGAAATACTGGGCAACCTCATCATTGCCGTCTCATATTTTCAAAAGACGTTGTTGTCTTGATAACAATTGCCGCCTTGACAACGCTTCTCATCTTGATAATGCATCAGCCCTCCACAAATACTGACCATATGAACAAACCGTCTTACATTCCTAGATGAATCGTAGTTTGGAGCTTGTGATGGTGAACGTAAAGCGGCTTTGCTCTCACTGGAGCGGCTCATGCCAGGTCAGACAATTTTCTGTTTGAGGGTTTCGAGGGTTTGGCTAGTTACGAAGAACTTTATAGGGAGTCAGGGAGCAGTCGTGATTTGCGTTCTTATATTCACCCTGTTGAGCGGGTCATCCTAGCAATAGAAGAAGTATTATATTCTTCACCAATCTGATATGCGGCCGCACCTACTAGTCTGAAAGTGGATAGGCTCCACAGTTCCACGCTAAGATAGCTCTGATATCAAAAAAAGTTGAAGAAAGTTGCAAACCCACAATTGCGCCAACGACAATATCACAAACTATTCACGATGGCTTCGGTGTACAAGTCATTGTCGAAGACCAATGGTCACAAGGAAGATGGGCCTGCAAATGGCGTCAAGAAGAATAAGCAAAGAGTATTGATTCTCTCCTCGAGAGGAATCACTTACAGGTATTCCTCCCCGCTCATGAGTGATGAATAGCAGATCACTGACAAGAAACTTGCTGGCAGACATCGGCATCTCCTTAATGACCTCGCATCCCTTCTCCCTCACGGCCGCAAAGATGCGAAACTCGATACGAAATCAAAACTCTACCAACTGAACGAGCTTGCAGAGTTATACAGCTGCAATAATGTATTTTTCTTCGAAGCACGAAAAGGCAAGGATCTTTACCTTTGGATGAGTAAAGCACCCAATGGCCCGACAGTGAAAATGCACATGCAGAACTGTACGTCCCTCTGCCTCTGCCCCTCACCCCGCTCTCTAACCAAGGCGTACAGTGCACACGATGGAAGAACTCCACTTCACAGGCAACTGCCTCAAAGGCTCTCGCCCTATTCTCTCATTCGACGCGAAATTCGATTCCGAGCCACACCTTCGAGTCCTCAAAGAATTGTTCCTACACATCTTCGGCGTCCCAAAAGGTGCTCGGAAATCAAAACCGTTCATAGATCACGTTATGGGCTTCACTCTCGCAGATGGCAAGATCTGGATCCGGAATTATCAAATCAACGAGACTGAGCCTTCGAAGGTTGTACCTGCAGACTCTGAGGATGCGCCAAAATCGAAAGAGAAGTCGAGTGGGAAGAGCAAGGAGACGGAAATCAGTCTTGTGGAAATTGGGCCAAGATTCGTGTTGACGCCTATTGTGATTCAAGAAGGTAGCTTCGGCGGACCGATTATCTACGAAAATAAGGAGTTCGTGAGCCCGAACCAAGTTAGAAGTGAGATTAGGTTGAAGAAAGCTGGACGATATAATGCCAGAGCTGAGCAGGGTATTGAGAGACTGGCTAAGAAGGGCGAGTTGGGGTTGAGGACGAGTGGAGGAAGAGCTGCGAAAAAGGACGAGCTGGACACTGCGGAGCTGTTTGCTTGATTTGTCTCACTGGCATGGTTTGGTGTTTGGTGTTGGTTGGGACATTGTGAGGTTATGGTAGAGAAAATGTACAGCTTTCTATTCAACCTCTGAAGAGGCGTGAGGTTCTCGCAGTATCTCCTTCCAACCCTTCCGATAATTTCTGCATTTACATTCTTAGTCTCGTTGGGTGGCAAGCCATGGCTAAAGTCCCAAGCACCTCCCTGTAATTCGGGACTGAAGTCAGCGGTATCCATTTCTCGATGCTGACGCACTTGTATTGGGATTATGTACTTCAACAAGAGCTTTTCGCTACAATCGTGTTTGCCAATTAATACAGCAGTTTTATGACTGCTCGCAATTCCCGCTTCACCATTCAAACATGTCTGACATCAGCAAGCGGTAGTGACGAGATATTGCACCAGAACCGCGTCACCCCAGAGATACAAGTGTACAGTCTCCATTTGATTATGATTTTGACCTCCTCGTGTGTTCTTTACTTGACTATTTTGCTCTTTCTAGCAACAAGTGTTGATCAAAATCTCCCACCCCGGCTCATAACTTCTGAAATTTAGAAGTGAAGCCACGAACTTAGACTTTCAGAAAATAGGTGCTCGAAGTCTCAAGGTGAATTTCCACTACTACTGGAAGCCCTACTAGAGCTGCTCGCTCTTTGGATGCTTTTCCGCAATGGATTTGATTGGACATTCACCCAAAGCAGAGATCATATGCACAACTTATTTTCATATTCACTCTAAGTATTTGGAAAAGTAGAAGAATCTTTGACTAAAGGCACACCAATATAAAAAGCTGGAAGCAGCCCACTCTCAAATTTCCAAACGCAGCTACATCAGGTTTAATCCTGATCGCCATTGGTCCCGCTCTGAGTCGCGCACACCCGGGGCAGTAAATCCCTAGAATTCGGTGTTCAGAAGTTATGGCTGACGCTTGGTACAGGAGAGAATACCTATGATCGAAGAAAACGAATATTGTCTGCATCCACTCTGCTGTTGTCAACATTCTTCCTACTCTTAACCTTCTTCCTGCTCTTACCATTCTTACTGCTGCCTATCTTCTTACTTCTACTCCATCCACCTCGTACTCCAGTTGTCCCTATGTCCTGCGCTTTGAACTGTCAGCGACAGGAAGTAATATTGAGGGAGCAATTCCCTCAACCGCAGGGGACAGTTCTCGGAGTCGAATAGTGGCCGGTCTTTCCACCAATATATCAGAAGAGCATGAGATATTGGGCCAGAAGGCCCCTATATAGAGAAGCAGATTAGACACTCCTTTCCCTGGACGCGAAATTTCTGGACATATTCACCTGCGACAAGTCAATGGCATTGCACTTGGTACTTTTGGAAGCCTTATTCCTTGCAAAGTGAATATAGGCTTTATAACCAGCATTTGTTTCCAAGTTAACAAGCGGTGAAGCTTTGGATTCAATTCCTGGCGGGAGAGTGTTGAATCATAGGCATCAAACTAGATCTGCTAGATGACTTGGAGATATAAAGCATGCACCTTTCACCCAGAAACATAATTTTGTCTTGAAGACTTCGCAAATCACGGAGAAATCCCTCCTACCAGAGACGGGTGAGCACACTGTGACACTCCAACTTGGAATTGCAAGCTCATGTGTTGAAGCTGCCATACCTGTCTTCGATTAGCTACTGTCTCCTCTTGGAAGTCTTGTTCTATCGCAACTCAAATATTGTCCCTCCTTTTCATGTATCGAAAGACTTGAAAATGACAAGTCAATTTTCAATGACAAATTTAAATCGATAAAAGTTGGGTCAATCACAAGAATTCTAGCTGCCAACTTCCCATCTTCTTCCATATCTTCAAATGGAGAGTTGATAGTGACACAATATGTGGCAGCAAGACAAAAGTTGAGAATAAAAAAATTGGATACAGTTCCAACTCAGTCAACGCAGCATCCTTCTCCATCACATTACAACCCGGCCTTGTCCCGCATCATTCTCACCAACGCTCCTATCTTCCCAGCCTGCTCCAGCATGATTTTCGCAGACGATCTTTGTTAGAGGTACACCTATAAATACTCTGGGAGAGGAGATAATTCTCCCTCAGGCACGCGCACGCTATTCGGGGCGTATTCACCTCCAACGTCAAATTGATGGGTTTTCATTCGTGTTCTTGTGGTTTCCGGCAAAGTGATCTCCTTGCAGGTGAATTCTTGCCCTGTTCTCGAGATTCACCTGAATCAATAGATTGTAAAGCTTTGAACAGATCCTGTCTCAAATATAAAAAGGCCCTCTCAAGCTCCCTTGATTAAGTTATTTCCAAAATACTGTTTTCTCAGTGACAGAGTTGTCGCTTTGATTTCAGAGAACTTGGATCAGATCATATAATCTAACGAAGATACGAATGCTGGTTTCTTTACCGCTGCCCAACCTATTTGAATTTACTTCTTTTTGTATCTTACAGAGCAAATGGTTGACAATAAAAAACAGTTAACAACGTTTACAATAAGAAATGTTGAAGTTCGCAATCTCAACTCTTCTAGCTTACGCCTCGATAATGCAGTTGCCGGGTAAAGAATGACCGGGCCACCCCTTGCTTTGGCTTTGACATGCTTACGCTCAGTTGGCCTTGTTACAGATCCACAGCTCTATATTTATATTTGCTGTTTTTAGGATAAGGCCAAGACTTGCAATTTCAAGTCTATGTTTGATGGCACTTACCAAAGCCTGGCACCAAAGTGCAGTCTCCTACATTCAAAGTCTCACACCTGCCACCACACATTATTGAGCATCTGCGTATGAATCATTAATCAATTCATTCAATTTATCTCAAACATCTTATGTTCTGTCTAAAAAGTCTGCCCAATACTAGTACAGGTCCCATGAGTAGCACTTGCGCTCGCCGTCACCGTAACATACAGGGTAACCGTTGGCGTCCCGGACGTGGTGGTCTTGAGACAGGATGTTGATGAGGTGCTGCTAAGCTTTGAGCTCGTGCTTGACTTTGATGTCGATAGTGAAGACGAGGCTGTCGATACTGAGGAGAGCTTCGAGCTGGAGGAGCTGGAGGATGATTTCGTGGATGATGAGGAGAGGCCTGAGCTCGTCGATTTTAGAGAAGATAGGGAGCTTGAACTCGTCGTCTTTAAAGAACCTGATGATGAGGAAGAGAGGGTTGAGCTGGTCGTCTTCAGAGAGGTTGACGAAGAGAAAGAGAGCGTTGAGCTTGTCAATTTCACAGACGTCGACGAGGTTGAACTAGCGCTAGATTTGCTCGAGCTTGTCGATTTCAAAGAAGTCGACGAAGACGACAAGGACAGGGTACTAGAGCTAGTGGCTTTCACAGCCGATGAAGAGCTGGAACTCGTACTCTTCACACTGGTCGTGCTGCTTTTCAACGTACTCGAAGCACTCACACCCGTCAAGGCCAACGAGCTCGTGCTTTTGGCACTGGAGCTAGTCTTTACACTTGAGGTACTCGTCTTGACCACTGAAGTGCTCGTGGATACAATGGAAGTTGACGAAGCTGTGCAGCCTCCGGTAATACTTGGCACTGCATTTGCGCCACTTCCAATCGCAACAATATTCGACCCGCAATTCGCAGCTTGCGCGATATGGATGTTGAAGTTATCTTGATCGTAGACCACTGTGTCCTATTAGCATTTTACTTTTGTTCCTCTCTGAAAAGGGAAGACTCACAATAAGCACTCCTGATAAAACTATCACCCAGACTAAAAGTATCGGGATTTGGCTGGGCACCGAAATAGCAAAGTCCGTTAGCGGCCCACAGCCAATCATAGAAATTCACATGAATCATCTTAGTACCGAAGCCGAAATCGATGGTCCCTGCTTGGTTGCGGAGCGCGCAATCCACTGTGTAAGATCCGTCTGATTGTTGGACTGCAGAAGGGAAGTGCCCGATTACAGCATTGAAGAGATTGGGTGGGAACTGGGAAAGTGTTGCTCCGGAGTCGGGGAACATACCCTGTTCATAAGTAGAAGTCGTGCAAGGGATTGAAGTCGTGGTATTGGGTAAGGTGACGCCAACGTATGACATGTAGATCCAATATCTACATTCGATCAGCATATCGTCTTGCAAGGCGATGTCTGGAAGTCTCACCTCCAACTACCATCCGGCGAATCAGGCCCATCAATCATTGGCGCTGTATACAACGATCCAATATACTTCATCGTATCAATACCACCAAAGATAATGGACCCTATTTTTCTCGTCAGTCTCTCTTCTTCTACTAAACATAGGACGAAGGTAGAATACCATCAGCAACATCAATACTGGCCAGATCCAAACTAAACGCCCTACTCGCCGTCACACCATAGACATATAGCTGGTCAATCACCCCATAATAATCCAGATTCCAAGGATAGCCGAGGCCAATACCCATAAGGCCAGCATTAACGAACGTAGACCATGTGGCCCAACCGAATTGAGTTTGGGGTATAGATCCGCCTTTGATCGTTAGCGAGAACGTCGAGGAAAGAGGGGGAGGATGGACCGACTTCCAATGACAATATCGTCGATGAGATATTCTCCAGTTGCTTCACCAGTTCCGTACAGGAGATCAAAACTCTCTCCCTCATCGGAGGCAGTGGATGAATTGCCGGGGTAGTAGACGTTGAAAGTTTCACAATAAGTGGGATCATTTCCATTGGCGCAATCGGGATCGACCTAGAATGTGTTAGATTGCCCAGATACCTATATTTGGCTCACTTACCCAGAGTTCGTAACTTCCCGTGTCAATTTGAACTTGTAAAGACTGAAGCGGTGTACCAATCTCAACTGCAAAATGTCAGACAGAGCCCATCTTCAAAAATACCCAGTACTTACGCCCAATCAAGTATCCATTATAAATATTCTGCAAAGGATCGAAATCTTGTCTCTTCGTTATCCCCGTCGAGGTCTGCTTGGTAACTGGAACCTTCAGCACTCCGGACCCTTGAACAGGTCGTTTTTGTACAAGTGATCCCTTGGACCCAGTATCATTTCGGGGAAGTACAACAGCGGATGAGACAGCAGCCAAAGAAAGAGCCGCAAGAGAGAGGTTTAAGATTGTCATGATTAGAGAAGATAAGATAGCTCTCTACCTTTCCGATTCTGGAGTGGACGATCAGAACAAGGACCTTGACCCCATCAACCTTAATATATGATCTCTTTTGAGTCTTGACTGAGACATATTGACAGCTGAGCAGAGCCTAATTTCAATAGTGTTGCTCGGATCATGCGTCAAGGCGAAGTCATGAACAAACTTATACGGATCCTAGTTCAGCCACGAGTGAGGCTGCGAAGTCTTCATTCGCTTTGTCTTCGCTTATTTAGGAAGAGGCGTTCAGCCTCAGGAGAAAAGGTCCATATTGGGATGAGGAATATTTGTTTTTACCCGCCGCCCAAGAATGGCACCTCCAAAATCAGCAACAGACAAAGATATGCCGACGAAAATATGTCGTGGACCCTGAAATCAGATTGTCTGAAGAGCTATGCAGACAGAGCCACTTCCTCTCAACGTTCCACTACATTTGTGTTCCTGATTATAAGGCTGACAACGAGAACTTGAGGCTTTTCCTGCTCGGCATCCAATCCTTTTCAACCAACGGTGAGGCCCCTGGACTCACCGAGACCGCCAAATGACGGGACGAGTCGGAAGTCTGCCTTGAGGCTGAGAACCGGAGTTGGGATAAACGAAATTGCAAACACAGCAAATCTAATGCAGGTATTTGGAAATCAATACTTCAATACTCGGTGAGAACAACGAGACCAGCAATGTAACCAAAACGATGCAAGCAAACGTAGAATAATCCTGACGTTCCGAAATTCTCTTCGTCTAAGTCCCGAGACCAAAAAAAGTCGTTTCTTCGCTTTCCGGACTTTCCGATCTCATTTCATGATCTCAAATCCGGCAATCTTCGAATCTTCGATTGAGACAGCGTCCAGAAGTCTAGCGAATACGAGCGCGGAGGTATCTCCGACAAGCTTACTGGAGGACCGAAATAGACTTACGAGATCGTTTCTAGTTTTGTCGTAGATTCACATACGAAATCCAACAAAACCGACAAAGTGTCCTCTCGTTCCAGGGGCAAGTGGTTCAACGAGGATGAATCAGTGCATATCCAAATCCTGCAAAACAATTTCCTCAATCTGGATACCTTCAACATGCGCATCGCCAACCGTAATGTACCCACCGTCCTCCTAGTGAACACAAAAATCCCTCTTCCTACCCAGCAAAGTATTTGATGGAAATAAATATAGGATCCTTGATCAATCTATTTGTGGCTTGGACCACGCCGGAAAACGTTCATCGCGGATTTGAGAAGTCCTTTACCACCCGCAGAGTTTTTCGGAAGCTTACTGACAGCATCTATATACTTCTTTTCATCCGTTCTGACTCCCTTACTGTGGGCTTTCATCTTCATCAAGATCTCGTCGTTGAATCTTACTGTAGCTCCATTCGCGAGAAGAAACTTCACGAATTCAAGTCTTCGGGTTGTGTCAATGTGTAGGACTTCCAAAGAGGACTCTTCGGAAATCTTTCTTACTATCTTCTGGTTTGTCGATTGACCAGGACCCAACACAGCATTTTCTAGAATAGAGATTGATTTCTCACTTGATGAGTCGAATTGATTTAGTCTTCTGCCTGCCAATATCTTCGCGTTGATGTAAGGAGTAATGCAGAATTGAGATACAAATCCAACGAAGGAGTTTTCTCGGCTGGCTGGTCCTTGGGTAACCGACCAATGAGGAGTTGATTTTAAGTGCAACACTGGTAACCACCTGAAGATTGAATCATAATTTATTGAAACCTCGGCACCTTCCACATCGATCTTGTCGAGGATCTGGACAAGTTTCGGTCCATTGGCGGGAGATGAGTCCACTCGAGACGCGTAGGCAAGGCATTTAAGCACCTTAATCCAGAACTCATAGTACTCCCAGGATGGTTTGAAGTAGGTGGCCTTGTCGGAAAGTCGAATGGCCTCTGCTTGCAATAGTGCAGTATAAGGGTCGAAATCTGGTGCTGCCGACGTAATTTCATTCCATACGCCAGGCTGGCGAGCCTAGTCCCGGGCTGTTCTATGGAGGAAATCTACAACACCATGTTCATCGGGTGAGATTTCTAATATCCCTCGAGTTCGACTGTCTAGCCGCCGCTTCATTAGCCCCTTCAATTCCGTCTTGAGATCGACGGACATCGAGTTCATATCCGTATCCAACCCTTTCATCTCGTCTGCAAGCCATAGAGTCAGATAATCGATAGGCCCCATAGCCGACTTGAAGAGTCGAAAAATCTGGGACGAGTTTGCCATGTTACGAGATCGAACCTTGCTCCAAATATGACTGTACAGACTCGATATGTCGCTGGGAAGCCCTCGGACAGTTTCTTGCAGATCGGCCAACTTGTCACCCTCTGTCAAACCTTCTAGGAGTGCATGAACGACAAGGGACACCCATAAGAAAATGCCTTGAGCCTTTCCGACAATGTCTTGCAAGAGCTGGTCGGATTCTTCTGGAAATGCTTCCTTCAAAGATTTGAAGCCGCGGTTCAGTTCAAGCTCGTTTCGTGTAAAGAACTCAATGTCTTCCTTGGTCAGGCGCTCCATTCGCAACATTGGACAATGACTAAAGGCCTCTTCGAACTCGATCCATGGGCGACTAGCCAAGCAAAGTTTGACGCCCTGATGAGCGTTGGTTTTCTTGATGAGTTCTAGAATCTGATTGGGTGGTGACTCAAACTCATCAAGTCCATCAATAATGAGAGCGAGCTTGATGCTTTTTCCACATTCTGAAAGCAGGCTGGTGAAGGACTCTGTTATTTCCGTCAAAGTCCATCGTGGACTCGTCATGGTACTTCGTAGCGTTTTGAACAATGTCCAACGTCTTGGAGCCACAATCGGAGTCAGGTTGGGGCACCGTAGGAGGGTCTGATATATGAGAGTCCTCACCAGACCTTCACAGGACTTCTGCAAATCCAATCCAGCATTCCAGGAGTAGAAGGTGATTATGACAAGTTCAAGTCCATCAGCCCATGTCTTCAGTTTGCCGATTGTAAATTTGTCTTTGATGATGAATTTGGTCAAGGTTGACTTTCCCGAGCCAGGCCTGCCAGTAATCCAGTATATCTGCTTAGATTCCGACACAAGCCATGCCGGGAAGCTGGACCACTGGGCTCCTCCGTCAAGCAAGTTGGCTGGTCTTGGAAAATCCACTGATTGGTCGTTTCATAGACTTCGGGGATGGCTTCCTCCCGCGAATTGATCGTGTCAAATCCGACACTATTTCTTACCTCTCGTCTGCATTTCTCCTCGTTTCCTGGTGTCGGTAAGGTCAAGGTAGCTGATAGATCCCAGTTTGGGTCCCATAGAATCTGCAGCAGCTCCGTGAGAATGGGATTTGTTTTAGCGTTGGCTACCGAAATGATCTCAGCACTCAAAATTTTGTCTTCTGTAGGATCGTTTCGATCCAATGTAGTGATGATCTCATCTAATCGCTTGCTGAAACCCACGAAAAGCTCCTGGCTCCGTTTAGAGTCATCCCTCGTCACGGTCAGTGGGTTGATTCTTCTAGGAGGACCACACATACATACCAGACGCAGACCAATATTGCCATCATCATTTGTTGCTTTATTCGAATCAGCTCCTTGCCCATCTTGTCAATCTTTTTCTCTGACCACATTCCCCGCAACGCCACCTTGAAACTCCTGCTAATTTCGCTCCTGTTGAATGAAAATGAGCTTGTTCCACGCAATCTGAGAATACCCAAAGCAGCTAGGAGATCATTGCTGATATTCTTGCACTCTCCACAGAGCTTGAGAAGTTGGGCTTCCGAGTCCGACTGTTGTCCATGCTGTGACAAAGATCTTGACTTCTGGTCTACCTGGCGAGCAAGTTGACCCATGTCTTTTGTTAAGGTGGCATTCGTGACGTGCTCGGCTTTTTGTCCGGATGGGGATGTGTATATCTCGTATGCATCAGACAAGAGATGCCCGCCAAATTCGACGAATTGGATGACTGCGGCTGCAACACCGATTGCGCTCACAGGGTCGAGCATTGTCAAATCCCTGTAAGTTTTCTGACGGCCCAGAGGCTCTTAAAGGATACTTTTGACAAGAAGCGTCGCGAGGCTGATCTTTGATAGTGAGTAGACTAGATATGAAAGGTAACGGAAGATGTGCGAGGCTGCGCGAGAGAAGTTATATTGCGTTGTGAACCTCAGGCCTGCATGCAGGACCATGTGATCAGCCGCAAATGCAGCCCCCAAAAGACATCTCACGTAGCCCAATCGCATAAAACGCGTTAAAACAGCTACTCAGGTCAACAGGTCGAGATGAACCGTCCACAGTATTGCCCCATGCTCCAACGATGAGATTAGGAATGCGGGCAAGATTAGGAAAGGGATGGGTCAAGCGAGATTCGATCAGTAGCGAAGTTGCTATCTGTAAAGCTAGAGTCTGGGCTAGGGGTGCTCAGGCGGATACTAGTATTGTTGAAAGCAAGAGTTGTTACTATCATAGCATATATTAAGGCTACCCCTTAAGAGAAGGTTGCTCCTCAGAAGCTTCATAGATAAGATAAGACCCGCTCAAAGCTCAATAAAGTATGCACTCGCAAGGCGCTTCCACTAAGCAATAAACTGCCATGTCGTCAAATACTGGAAGGAGACTTCTTTTCATCGGCCTCGAGATCAATTTCAACATCTGCGCACTTTGCGCCCCGGCATGCTTCAAGCCTCAAGTACCTAGGTAGGGAACTCAAACCTAGAGAGATAGCGGCAAGCGCGTTGCAGATCGACCCGAAGCAATCATCAATGACCCTTTGACAAGAACACTTCACAGCTTTCAAAGATCTTCTATCATCAATCCTTACTATCAGACTCTATCAACACAACCGATTAGGCTTTGTCTTATCAACTCTCCGGGGTACACTCCTTCGAAATATAATCTCCGCCACGTCCATCTGATTGCACTCATCGATGACTAAATGGAAACATTGGCAAGCACAAGAACAACCCCTTTCGATCGTTCAGCAAAAGGCAAGTCAATACTCCAACGTTGAATCTAGCAATACTGAGAGATAGCATTCGCAACAGTGAAATGATAATTCCTGTAAAATGCGCAAAACAATACCTGCAGTTTTGGCCTGCGCAACCTTCAACTTCGAATCAATTTCAATCTCAAGCCTCCTCAACCTCAATTTGCGCCTGGCAAGTACGCTTCCAACAACAAGTCAGGCAAATCTCACCAAGCCAACTAAATATTTGGGCAGCGGTGATTCAAAACTACCTAGGCAATGACAGACTGGACGTATATTGGATCTAGTACAAGATGCGTTGTGATCTTCTGAAGTTGAAACCCGATACCCCCTTAGAAACCTTGAATTGGAATCTGGATGGAATCGCAGCTTGGAGAAGATAGACAAGAGGTATTATACCAAGTCACCAGGACCGAGAGCAACTAGTGAAACTGATTACGACGCAGGCATACTGCACAAGTGAGCGGACGAGCAACTTTTGCCTCCTCTCTTGGCAGCTATTTAGAGGAAATAAAATAGCAAAAGAAGGACAGGGACCTCGGTTTAGACTCTTGTCAGGCGACGCTGAGAACCCAACAGTGGTCATAATCTTGCACAATGCCGATATCAAAGACCAGGGACTTGAAAAAGGAACAATTATCTACCCAGTTGTTGAATTAGTCCTCGGCAACTAAGACAGCACCCAGTGCCTTACGCTCGGTGACCAGAAGCTGGATGTGCAGTGACTGATCCACATTGGACAAAGTTGGTACGTACATAGAATTGCTCCTCCCCCTTTGTAAGTTATTGGCATAGTACTGATACTAGTCAATGATAGGATCGAAAATAGAATCGCAACGCGGTGGTGGAAAGTGGAGAAGCAGATACCTCCAGACTAGAGATGACCCATTTGCGTTGCTGAATCGGCGAGCTTGTGCAACGGAATCCAGGATGATTGTTACTGTGATGCGAGTACAGTATAGAAGTATGTACTTGCACTTTCTATGTGAACTCCTACAAAATCCATGTACAATTTGTTAGAAGACTAAAAAGTTTTTGTAGATTGAAATATAAATCTAAATAAAATAAAAAAGCTTTTTTTGTTCGAGGCAAAATGTTCAACGCGAAAGAATTAATGTATTGTATATTCAAGTTATATTAACTTAGATGACCTCCTTTATCTTAATGCTCTAAACATGCGTATCACTAACCGTAACGGACCTGCTATCCTCCCTCGCTCTCAAAATAACAGGAACACGATATCCTTCCAAAGGATATTACAGTCAACGCTTACTTTCCCAATCTCGTGCCAGAGCAGCGCTTTTCGAGAATACCTCTATCGATCCATCTTCGTCTTTCATTATTTTCATATACAACTTCTTAGCAGCGTTCTGCATTTGATTTGCTGTGCTCAACTCGCCAGCCCGCCACTCCCTCATTTGAGCTTCATCGGGCAATCGAGCATGAAAAAAGAATGCAAGCGGACTAGACTGCCACAATCCAACCCGATTTTTCCGTGTTTCTACAAACGCAATTAGTAGGAAAATACAAGCGAGTACCAGTAACAGAGCTGGCAAAGTCAACCAAGCCCAGCGTACTGTGACGAATTGTTGTTGAGTCCAGACGTGGCCATTAACCGCTTGGTTTGCTGCGATTAACGACACATTTTGCTGCGCTTCTTGTAAAAGGAGCGAGTCGTTTGCACGCATTTGCGTGGTGATGTACCCCGCTAGCGAATGCATCGCACGCGTAACATTGGTCGCTTGATATAGCAAGGTCGGGAGATCGTTGCCCGTCAAAGGACTGTCAGAATCAATACCTCCGAGCACAACTTGTCCGTTCAGCAGGGTCTCCTCAGTAAGCTGGCTGCTTAGATCAGTCCATGCGTTACTGGAGACGACAAAAGTATCGTTGAGGTTGGGAGACTGCATGGTGGCGAATGGCGGCTTGTATGTCAAAGAATCACCACTGAAGGCAAATGGATCTAGGACGTAAATGATTGTGCCATTCGATATGTCCGTGGGGCCCGTAATTTTGCTATTGGCGGGATAGGCTGACCCATTTTCCCCGTCCAAACCGTTCCACCACTGATTGGTGCCGTTGAAGACAACGGTGGGAGAATTTCCTGCATAAGAATCCTCTTGTAACACATCTTCCGAGTAGACTCCGTTGGTCACAGTGACGCTGACCTCTCTCACGGAAAGGTAGAGGGCACATCTCACGGCTTCGAAGGTCGTGTTTGATGTGATGTAGCCTAGAGGTTGTATTGCGCCAGTAGCTTTCACCCATTGTACCGTGGCGAGAAGTCCAGTAGAGTTAGCATAGGATTCCAGCTCCGGAAGGCGAAGAGAAGTGAACGTCGCGAAATCAGATTGGATACTGAAAGCAGTGGCTTCGCTGACGTTTACCAGTGCCGTCTGTAGTATACTGTCCTCTGGTGCCACAAAGTGGCAGAAGGGAGCTTGTATGTTACTAGGATGGATAGCACTACAGTTCAGTTGTACATGTGATGTTATATCCGTGCACTGCGAACTGACAGCTAAAGTGCTAAACGGATCTCAAGTACAGTTGCCCGTGGGGTAATTGAAAGGTGGGTCGGGAATCGAGATGAGATTTCCAGCGAGCAATCCTTGGTAGACAGCCGCCCTCATGTTGTAGGGAAGTGAAGTATCTAAACATATCTATTAGTACTTTCTTCTGGAGCAGGAGGGTCTTGCATCACTCACAGCCATCACTTACTTCAGCTGCACCTTTAAACCCGGTACCATAGTTGTACGCTGCCACCGATTGGGCCTGCTGAGTGGCATCTACGGCGGAACGAGTATTGTACTTCACACTCTGCTGAAAAAACGGGTCAAGAGCCAGGGCAGTGAATATGATGATTGCACCGATGCTTGCAAGACTCCTGTGTCAGATTAGAAGGGCACACCTGGGACGACTAATCAGAGCCCCTTACCTGATATGAAGTTTGGAGAGGAAGCGCAAACTTCCAAACGGTCCCCTGCTTGCAAAATCGTAGTAGACAGCATCTTCGAGAGATCTCGGCCGCGTATACCACAACCAAGAGAATTGGCTGATTGACTGCGCAACAGGAGCAAGAAGAGCGGCGCGGAAAGCGGTCGAGATAATGGAAATGATTGTGTTAAGTGTGACATTGCCTAAACGGCCCATCGACCATTCGGGATATGGTCTGCCATCATACACCCAAAGGATCGCGGCAATGCCAAAGAGTGATGCAGCTACGAGCCCAAGACAAGCAAGCTCGTTGACTAGGCTACCAATAGATAGAATTTTCTGTTCCGCGTGTGAAGCCGTTGACCCCGTCTTTCTGCCCTCCTTATCCGCGCCCCGGTTCTCAGCCTCTAGGAAGAGGTGGGTATCCCCGCTGCCATGAGGCCCGCCATCAGGTGGAGTGCGTAACGCCCCGTCGACTATATCGTCGTTATTCGAACGAACAAAAGCCATGTTAACATTAAGCGACGTGCTGTGCAGATCAGAAAAGGATTTTGGTGAGATACCGAAGGTTGAAAAAACAGGCTGTACAGACAGTGGTAAACAGTCGAGACTCTCAAGGCTCAAGTTCGAGGGACCGGACAAGCAGGCAAAGCTTTATACCTTTATTGGGCATCTCTGTTGGGATGCATCCATTGTGGAATCAAGCTTTGCTCATTGCAGAAGCAGCAATGATCTACCGGAGGCACGGCAGACACGTTTGTAAATGGAATGCAGACCTGCGAGACGCAATTGAGCTTATACCGGGGATATGAAAGGTCGGCGGATCATACGTCGTCGCACTCAAGCACCAATAGAATGGACCTGTCTTTCTCGGAAGATGCGCTTATGACTGCAAGCGAAGACATTGGGGGCCAATTGATAATTGAGGCTGATGCCCAGCTGACTCTTCTGCATGATTGCCTGGTACAGTGGAGCAGTTGGATGTATAATTGAGTGCGAGATCTTGTAGTACAGAAGTTAATTCCTCAGCGAATTGAACTCATACCCTGCTCAGGTCGAAGTCACTTTTGAGACGCCACGAATATGGCTGGCAAGATTTCATCTCCGCTAGCCATAGAATTGCCAACACGACGACCCCACTCTTTGCCATGGGAGCGTGAGCACACTCCAATCCCATCACACCTTCCGCGGACGGTGAAATCGAACCTCTGTGATATCTGCCTCGCATTCGAAGAAAACTGCACACGTCCATGGCCACTCAGTCAAGAGAAACAAATCACAGTTTACTTGTTCCCTCACCATGCATCGTGGGAAGAATTGGAGCAGTCCTGTCAAAATGGTTGCGAGCTTTGCACACTGTTTAGAAACGGCTACCTTGAGCAGTACCACTCGCAGATGCTTAGGGATATCGAACATAGGGCAGATGAGACGGATTCCGAGGAATCCGAAGATAACGCAAGTGAAGCAGATCCTAACAGCACAAACGGACCAGCCGATACACGAATACTGGGCCGTAGCAAAAGCTCTGGACCCAGACTTGATAGCGACAATGGGAGAGATTCCGAGGATAGCATAGATGAAACTACTGATACCATCTCAATGGACGATCACAAAAGCTCTCCACGATCACTTGATGCCCCAAATGAAGCAGATTCCGAGCATAGCACAGTGGAAAAACACGACACTATGATCAGAGACTGGCACAAAAGCTTTCCACGATCAGTTGAAGCCGCAATTGAAACAGGTTCCGAGGATAACCTGAATGAAAAGACCGACATCAAGTTGATAGACCATCACAAAAGCTCTCCGCATTCACCTGATGGTGCAAAGGAAGCAGACCCCGAGGACAAAACAAGCAAAGTAGCAGATAATACCTTACCAGACTACTACAATACTCTTCGAATCCGCTGTCAGGTCCCCAAATCATCTTCAGATCCTATAAGATGCTGTGTCATTTCAGGTAGGAAGCCCTACTCGGTATGGTTCAACATCGGTGCGAAAACTGGTACGTTGGTCCTGCACCTATGCCACTGATCTCTACAGCGTGGCTGATAGCATGTAGGCAGCAAGCCTGCAGAAGAAGGTGGATTCCGAGGCAGGATGTGTAGCGCAACTCCGGACTTTGATCTTGCCAAAGAATGGATTGGGAATTGCCACAACCATAGCGTCTGCACAAGTCGCAATGCAATCCCAAGAGAAAATCCAATGCGGCTGCTCCAAATACTCAATGGATCATCCCAGATCAGATTGATCGAGACAGTGGACTCAACTAAGTATGAATATGTCACACTCTCCTATCGCTGGGGCCGTGATGATCGAAGACCGCCTTTGACACTCCAGGAGAATCTATCACAGCACATGAATGGCATACCAACGGAAATTTTACCACCTACACTCAAGGACGCCGTACTCGCAACTGTAAGTCTGGGGTACGATTACCTATGGATCGACTCATTATGCATCATCCAAGACGAGCCCCAAGATTTCGAGCAAGAGTGCCCCAAAATGGCAGCCATCTACAGCGGATCCGCCGTTACCATCGCAGCGCCAGGAGCCCAGGACTCCTTTTCCGGATTTCTGCACCGACGAAAGTTTCTCGCAGACCCTCTCTACACACCCGTCGAGTTGCAGTATCGGGACCGCAAGGCCGAGCCACAAGGTACGTTGAAGATTTGGTATCCCGGAAGCACTTCCACCCCGGATCATTACGGCTATCTCAAACCCAATTTCAATGGTTCTCTCAATTCCCCCAATGGAGACGAACCTCGACCGCCGTCATTCCTGGACGATCGAGGCTGGATATTCCAAGAGTGGTTGCTATCTCCCCGCGTGCTGTACTTTGGGTCCTTCCAGATGTATTTCGAGTGCTGCCAATCGCAACGATTCGAGACGCTGCTCGATCAACATGTACACATTGATCATTATAGTTTGTCGAAAACCATCCCGGCTCTCAGAAGCCATGCAGAGTATCACTCGTGGTGGCGCAAGCTAGTCGAGCGGTATTCGGGCTGTGCGCTCTCTGTTGCGAGAGACAGACTACCAGCTATCTCGGGAATTGCTCATTCGTACCAACCTCCCGTGAGCGATAAATACCTGGCTGGAATATGGCAAGGTGATCTGCCGGGTGCTCTGCTATGGTATCGGCTTTCAGACTACACAGAGAAGGGCAACATCGCAGACGGCAATGAGATAGAATACATTGCACCCTCCTGGTCATGGGCTTCCCTGATGGCTCCTGTCCGATTCATAGTCTCCAGAGAGGAATATGGAGCTAACGACCCCGACGATGGCAGCGATTGTGATCCGTGGAAAGTACACATAATATCCGCCTCGACGACCCTCACCAGCCGCTTCAGCAATCCTGATCCATTCGGCCCCGTAAAAGAAGGCCATCTGCGCATTCTGGGGAAACTACACACTGCTTCAGTATATAAATGCCGGGATGGGTGTTTGCTCGTATGCTTTTGCAAGCATATTTCAGACAGAGAAACATGGCTCACTCTAAGGTTCCTCCCAGACAGGCCATCACGGTACGAGTCGTTACCTCGAATTGGCTATCGCTGGGACCGTATCGATCGAAACAGAAAAACTCCTGAGGTTTTCGTGCTCCCTGTTCTGATGACCCGAAACCAGACTTTTCACAGCTATGTTGGACTTGCCTTGGAGCCAGTGGCTGGGACAGATGGTGAATTCCAGAGGGTGGGATTGGTGAAGGGCACTAGCCCGGCGAAGAAAGGAGATATCCGCGATAAGATATTTAGTTCTGGGGACGAAAAGGAGTTGGTGATCCGATAGAGGGTTAAAATCCATAAAGCGCCTATTTCTAATAGGAATGGGATACAGAACGCAGAATTTGTATGAACTTTCTCCTACTGCACTAGCGTAGCCTCATCCAAAACCAAGTCAAGAAGTCGCCATCCTCTCTAACTCACCTTCCCACTTTCGAACTTCTGAAAGTCCCAACCGAATTCCCAACTTCCGGATCCCCAAAAGTCATTACTGATTCCTGTTCAATCACTACTACAAGAAATATCAATCCAGCTTCAAGGAACAATCTAACTGACGAAAACGGTCAACCTCGCCCGATAGAAAATAATGGCCGCAGAACCTCCACGTCAGCCGTTCCTGGAAAAGTGGGCTGGAAATATTGACGACGAGCTCGAAAATGGCGGATGGGATATGAATCCAAGGCGTACCATGCCTATGCAGTGGAAATTGGTAGGAACATCATATCATGCAGGCATTTGGACCGTAGAATGATGTCTCAACCAATCAAGCAATCATTCATCCAACAACTTGACTTGAGATATGCTAGAAGCCAGACGCTGATACTCCATATTTATGATATTATGATTGGTAGGAGCATCATCTCTTGCAGGACTTCACACTGTAGAATGATGTATCGATCAATAAAACAATCATTCATTCAACACCTTGACTCGATATGTGCCGGAGCTCAGCCGCTGAGACTCCATATTGTGAAACCATGCTCGGTAGGAGCATCACATCATAGTGGCATTCCCACTATAAAATATTGTCTCAATCAATCAAGCCATCATCTATCTCACACTTTGACTTGGAATGTGCTGAAAATAGGGAGCTGATGCTCTTGAGATCGGTAGGAACATGGTCTCTTGCGGGACTTCCCGCTGTAAAACAATGTCTCGATCAATCAAGCATTTATTCATTCATTCAACAGCCGCCGAAGTATCGAAAGTGGCGACAGGTCATGGATTGAGTAATAGCAGAAAAAAAGAAAACTACTCCTCGGTGGCTAACGAAGAGTGATGGATTGAGCAATGGTGAAGGAAAGACGACTGTTCTTTGGTGGCCAATGAAAAGTAAAAATGAGACCTCTTGAGGATCGGGGGTGTTGATCCTCCGTCGCTATGAAGTGAGAATCAGTAGGAGCATCGTATTTTGCAGGCATTCACACTGTAGAATGATGATTCGACCAATCAAGTATTCATTCATGATTTAACAGCTACTAAAGTATCAAAAACGGCGACGACCGATCGACTAAGTAACGGCGGACGAAAGAGGACTGCTCTTTGGCGGTCAACGAAGGGCGAAGGATTTGACATCCAGTCAGAAGATGGGGTGATACAGAAACGGAGATTCAGTGATACAACATCGGACGAACAATTGAAGCACACACATAGTCATTAGACAGCTCATGCATTTTTAACAAAGGAGAAATTCTTCTGTTACAAGGCTAAGAGAGATGCGTTGGCAAAGCAGAAGGACCGGTTCCTGTCCTATGTTCTGTAAACAGCCCAAGGTCAGATGCTGCCTACCCCACTCCGCATCCTTCCCATTCCAAACTCTCATCAAATATACACGTCTCCGCCCCTCTCACATCTATGGTCTGACGTCTATTCCTTCTCACTGTGCGCGTGTTAGTAAGCAGCCTGAGGCCAGTTCGGGTAAACGCCTAAACTTACAGATCCGCCAAAATCTTCTCACCCTTCGCGCGAGCAGCATCAATATCGCCCTAAATGTGATCAGTATACTTATTGCATGTTTAAAAGGACCAGGAATCAAGTACCACCATATAAAATGCCTGGAAGCGTTAATTAGCAATGGTTTATGTGGAGTTGAAGATGATTGGGGGACTTACTCCTTCAGGCAGGTCATCACCCTCACCGTTCATGATAGCCTTGAACGATCGAATGGTATCCTTAAGATCGACCAAGACACCCTCAATACCAGTGAAAACTTGAGCGACAGCGAATGGTTGTGACAAGAAACGTTGAAGCTTTCGGGCACGCTCGACAGTCAACTTATCAGCTTCTGACAATTCATCCATACCTAGCAAATGTTAGCAACCTCGTAATTCGCCGAACGCCATACTTACCAAGAATGGCAATGATATCTTGCAGAGACTTGTACTCTTGAAGCATTTGTTGGACCTTGGTGGCAGTATCGTAGTGATCTTGTCCGATAACACGGGGATCCAACATACGAGACTTGGAATCAAGAGGATCGACAGCAGGGTAGATACCCAACTCAGAGATACCACGGGAAAGCACAGTGGTGGCGTCCAAATGGGCGAAGGTGGTGGCAGGGGCAGGATCAGTCAAATCATCAGCGGGGACATAGACGGCCTGGACGGAGGTAATGGATCCCTTAGTAGTAGTGGTAATACGTTCTTGCATAAGACCCATATCGACGGCGAGAGTTGGTTGATAACCGACGGCAGATGGGATACGACCAAGAAGAGCAGACACTTCGGAACCGGCTTGAGTGAAACGGAAAATGTTGTCAATGAAGAGCAACACTATGATGGTCAGCAAATTTCTAGCATGCTCGTGAGAGCAAACTTACCATCTTGACCTTCCTCATCGCGGAAATACTGCCTTCGGTGTTAATATTGGCTCAAGATTTCAAATACAGATGATAGAAAATGAAACTGAATTACCTCAGCTACTGTTAGCCCTGTAAGAGCAACACGGGCACGGGCTCCGGGTGGCTCGTTCATTTGACCGAAGACCAGAGCGACCTTGGACTCTCCATCAAGTTGAATAACTTGAGTCTCCTGCATTTCATGGTACAGATCGTTACCCTCACGAGTACGCTCTCCGACACCAGTGAACACGGAGTAACCACCGTGAGCCTTGGCAATGTTGTTGATCAACTCTTGAATGAACACAGTCTTTCCGACACCAGCTCCTCCAAAAAGACCAATCTTTCCTCCACGAGCGTATGGGGCAAGCAAGTCGACGACCTTGATACCGGTGACCAACACCTCAGCAGCTGTGGATTGTTCGGTGAAAGGAGGAGCATCGGCGTGGATAGGGAGCTTCTTGGTGAACTTGATGGGTCCACGCTCATCGATTGGGTCACCAGTAACGTTCATGATACGACCGAGAGTTCCTGGGCCGACTGGAACCATGATTGGGTTTCCAGTATCGGTTGCACGGTGGCCACGGACGAGACCTTCAGTACCTGTTTGGAAATGCGTCAATTTCTGCCATTGACCTTGATGGATAGCATATTCTTACCATCCATAGCAATTGTTCGGACGACATTCTCTCCCAAATGTTGCTATTATAATTGTCAGTATGTGTGTGATGGTTGTTGTGTTCGATGTTGTTGACGTACCGCGACCTCGAGGATGAGCTTTTGGCCACCATTGTCGGTCTCGAGAGCATTAAGAATCGGAGGAAGCTTGTCGGTATCAAATTTTACTGTGAACACATATCAGCATTGGAGTTCTAATGTGCTCCGAAGCTTGTTGACCAATTTGGGGGTCATCCGGAGCTTGATGTTGTCGCGAAAAGAATTTTCTGGGGCACTCACCATCCACGACGGCACCGATGACTTGATGAATCTTGCCATGTAAAGCACTGTCACTTGCAAAACGGGCCGCACCAGCTCTTAATCCAGTCGAGACTGCTGGTCTGAAGGCGGCTCTCGTTGAGGCCCGAAGGGCAGAGTTCTGAAGGGCGCTGCACCGAGGACATCGTGTCAGCTCAATTGATCAATTGCGAACTGCTGAAAGGCGATTGCCAGCTCCTAGGGGTGAATACATACCTCCTGAACATCTTGAGAGATGAGGAAGAGCGATGGAAATGATGTGAGTGGAGAAATGGAGGTCGATGGGATTGAGAATTGAGGTCTTCCTGCAAGCTCGGAGGAGAAGGAAAGGAACTAAAAGGACGCTTACCTAATCGCCTATTGAACCGGGATCACCCGTTCGACTTTTTTTGTGTAGGCGAACAACAACATCTGCAAAAGACCATTTGCAGCATATTTGTCGTAATTATATTTCAATTATATCATCAGAGTAGAAACTACAAAGGGGAAATTCTGACTCTGGGTCATTTCAGTGTCCGGCAGATTCAGGGGCATACTCTTCCTTAATTCTCTTTGAATCTGATCACCAGTATCTAATGGGATATCCCTTGAGGTATCACATTGAAAAAGTCAATCTAGGCACGTCAATTCCCATTCAATTTCCATATCAAATTCTCGCAATGCTGCTCATGAAGCTGAATAGTCTAATCGTATCTAAAGCAATAATCCCATGCCACCCATGCACAACTTTTCCTCCCTTTCAGGCTTTCCTCACAGCGTCGACTCAAGAGCCAGAACCTAATCTTGTTAGTACCACGACAAAAGTTGAATCAAACCGAACTTACTATAGCGGTCCTTGTAGGAATATAAACTTGTGTAAAGTTCTTTCGCTCGTTCCATGCGAACGGAGTTGTGAAGAATCTCGTGCCAGAATCAATCCTTTCGAAACCACCATAGTCCTTGGCATCGGAGTTCAGAACGACTCGGTATGTGCCTTCTTGCTCGATACCAATACGGTAGTCTGCATAACTCTTTGTGGGATGGAAGTTGAAAATCCAAACCAGACCAGCTCGCTCGAAGACGATGACCTTATCAGACTCATTCTTCAAGCTAATGTAAGCTTGAGGTGAATGCAACCAACCGTACTTGGCCTCGGTATGTTGCATCTTAGCATCAAACTCATTCAAAAATCTATATCGCAGTAGATTGTCGTCTGTCAGATTGAATTGACGTCGTGCATACCAGAAGCTATTGTTGTTTCCGGCACGAGGAAAATCAAGCCATTCAGGATGGCCAAATTCGTTTCCTTCAAAGTTCAAGTAACCTTCTCCGCCCAGACCGTGGGTAATGAGACGAATCATCTTATGAAGGGCCATTCCTCGTTCAATGACAGGTGTGAAGTCTGTCATAGTTGACATATTGGTGTACATCTCCGCATCGCACAGATGCATCATAATGGACTTATCACCGACCAACCTGAACCTGTTAGTATAACTCCAGTAATTGCTGGAACAGTACTTACGCTTGATCGTGACTCTCGCAATATGCAATTGTCTTCTCTCCATGTCTTCGGTTCGTCAATGTGAAGCAAATATTACCAAGATCCCAGTCATCGTCCTTCACCTCCTTCAGAATCTTGATCCACATATCTGGAATAGCCATTGCCAGTCTGTAGTCGAAGCCAATACCGCCCAATGATAAGGACAAACACAAAGCTGGCATACCAGAAACATCTTCTGCAATAGTGATCATCTCAGGGTACAGGTCGTGTAACATTTCGTTCGCAATCATAAGGTAGGCAACGGCCTCTTCGTCAACTCCTGGACCAAAGTATTCGTGATAACCTCCAGAGAAGCCCCTGCAGATATTAGCACTCATATTTTACCAACAACAGAGGTAACTTACGTTCCAATTCCATGATGGGTATAAAGCATGCTCGTGACGCCGTCAAATCGAAATCCGTCAAAGTGGTACTCATCCATCCAGAAACGCAAATTACTCAGTAAGAATCTGAGAACTTCATGACTTCCATAATTGAAAAGCCTACTATCCCATAGCTCATGCTTGCCCTTAGGACCACCATGGAAATAACAGCTATCCGTACCATCAAATTCATTGAGACCATCCAGAACATTTTTGGAGGCATGACTGTGTACAACATCCAACAGGACAGTGATACCCATTCCGTGTGCCGTATCAATGAGCTCTTTCAACTCTTCTGGAGAACCATATCTACTGCTAGCAGCAAAGAAACTATTGATTTGGTAACCAAAGCTTGCGTAGTATGCGTGTTCCATGATGGCCATGAGCTGGATAACATTGTAGCCCAAATGATGTATTCTCGGTAGCATATTCTGTGTGAACTCCTTGTACGTAGACACTCTCAACTCCGGTGAGGATATTCCAACATGTGCTTCGTAGACTCGCACGCTCTCTGGTTTCTTCGGTCTCGGATGCTTGAATTGATATCGTTGGGAGGCAGGAGGATTCCAGAATCGAGCATCATATACTGGAGAGATGTGTAGGTCTTGTGTGACATATGTGATCCAAGCTGGTATGCGTTCGATTCGTTCGCCGGACGGTGTGATCATTGAAATCTGCCAACCAAGTCAGTAAGTGTGTAAGGTTTTGGTGCAGTGTAAAATACCTTAATCTTAGAGTTGTGTGCAATAGCAGGCTCTCCATTCTTCGCAGGTATAATCACTTCGAAAACACCGTATGGATCCTTCTTCATGGGATGCGACTCGCGGTTCCAATCATCTACCACAGATTAGCTCATGCCAGTGAAGGATCTCTGCTATAAAGGAGAGAAATACTGAATTCACCAATAAGGAATGCTTGCGTAGCATTAGGCGCCCATTCCCTATAGGAGATATTGTTCTGTTTGTCGATATTGAACCCAAACTTTTCAAATCCCTAGCACAGTTAGTATTTTACTAGAATCGTATGAGGTTGACTGACTCTACTGAACTTCTCTAGCCCTCCCTCGGTCTCGTCAATTGTCTTGATCCATTGTTGTGCCTTGCTGTATCGTTTCTTGAGAGACTCCTTGAAAGGGCCAAGCCATGGGTCGAGCTGTACCACGCCTGGAAAGAATCAGCTGTCTACTATTGTAAATAGCTTGCAGGAACTCACCTGTGCCGTCATTTGGCAGACCGTTCGCAGCACCATTGCCCATCATAGTGTTTTCGGATTTTTCGTTCGTATTATCCATCTTGTCGGCAGATGTGGTGATAGCTTGGAAGGTTTGTTGTTCCTCGTAGAAAAGGGAGCTGGGACGGCAGACTAAATAGCTAGTGAAGCTTGCAGAAGTGAATGCCGGTAATTGTTCTGAGCATACGAAAAGGGTTTTTTTATCTCGAGACACAAAATTCGGATGGTTTTCGTCCTCGAATTCTGCCCTGGATATCAGCGAGGTATTTTGCGGATTAACTTTCGCCATCAAGCTGGCCCAGCTCTTTTCTCGCTCCTCAGCTGTTGGTCGCTGTTTCCCGCCAAATGACGTTGTTGACCCCGGTCGGTGCAGCAAAACGGTCAGGATTCGCGCCGAGCGAGTCCCAGAACAGCTGGAAGAGCTCAACGTTATCAGCGAGATCATTTGGCATTTTGCCTCAATCTTGACCACACGTGATATCAGATTGAAGGACGGGATACTCGATATTGAATGTCAATTGTCGACTTGGACTTTGCTTGGAGGTCGTACATCGATCGAAACGTTCACGGTCAATTGCTGCAAAACAAAGCTCGTCTTTCCCCAGAGTCAGTCCCACCGCCTAACCTTACCTAGTTTCGCTTAGTCGACACTTCAAGACCTCAACTCTCGCTCACCCCGCAATAGGTACCTGAGTCATTCACGTGCCCGTCTCCAGAGATGCAGAAGAGAGTCTCAGATACATCAATGAAGCAGTTATGAACTTGCCCTTTCGTTTGCAATATGCCGGCCATGAACCGGACATTCGCTCGTACCTCTGTCCCTAAACCATCGCTCTTCCAGTCAAGTCGCCACTCTCTGTCCACCTCCACCTTCCGAGCACGAGAATCGCATTTCCGCCGTTCAGACTTCCAATCTCAAGGATTTACAGGCACTTATGAGCCTGGACAACCTACTGTTGGACCATTGGGTCAAGCTTCGAAACATGGAGCTCCGAGGTTAACACCTTCATTGCTGAAAGAGCACTTGGATAAATACGTGGTTGGACAAGACAAGGCAAAGAAAGTCACAGCAGTAGCTATATATAATCATTATCAGCGGATCCGAGAATTACAGCGTCAAGAGGATGAGGAGCAGGCACGAAGAGAGCAAGAAGCAAGATGGGAGTTGAGAGAAAGAGAACGAACCTCTCATCCCGTTGAAAGTACTTCTCACTCCTATCCTATCACATGGTACCTATCTAACAATATCATAGATGAATACCCAGGTCATGTCGAGACAGTAGATCTCAATGCACCTCTACGCTCTCCTGACCCAGAACCAGAACTAGGAACTCGTCCCTTACAAGATGACAGCAAAACCATCATCGAAAAGTCCAACATCCTTCTCCTCGGTCCCTCAGGTGTTGGCAAAACCTACATTCTTTCAACACTAGCCCGAGTCCTCGAAGTCCCCTTCGCAACCGTAGACTGCTCATCACTCACCCAAGCCGGCTACATAGGAACCGACATCGAATCCTCCATCGAGCGTCTCCTCCTCGCGGCCTCCCACTCCATCACCAAATGCGAAACCGGCATAATATTCTTCGACGAAGTCGACAAGCTAGCGAAACCCGCCATCATGACCCACGGCCGCGACGTCTCAGGCGAAGGCGTACAACAAGGCCTCCTCAAGATGATCGAAGGAACCACCGTAACAGTAAACGCCAAATCAGACCGCTCCTCGAAATCAGAATCCAACTCTCGGGGAGCAGATAGAATAGAGCGAGGAAGCAGAGACGGCCAACAATCCACGGGAAAAAGCGAACAATACACCATCGACACAACAAACATCCTCTTCGTCTTCGCCGGCGCCTTCGTCGGCCTCGAAAAGATAATCTCCTCGCGCCTCTCATCCGGATCATCCATCGGATTCGGCGCCCAGCTCAAATCCCCCTCCCCATCAAACCAAAAGAAGAAGAAACAAGAACCCAAAATCCTCGAAGCAGTAACACCCACAGACCTCCAAACCTACGGCCTAATCCCCGAACTCCTAGGCCGAATCCCAATAACAGTCGCCCTCTCCCCGCTCTCACTCCCACAACTAGTATCCATCCTAACCGAACCTAAAAACTCCCTAACAAAGCAATTCATAGCCCTATTCCACACCTACGGCATCCAGCTTAAATTCACGACGGGTGCTTTACACGCTATTGCTGAACGCGCTTTACCTCCTACTAAGGGAGACGCGGGGAAAGGAGGAGGAGGAGGAGGGGGCATAGGGGCTAGAGGTCTAAGGTCGATTCTTGAGGCTGTGTTGGGGGAGACTATGTTTTGGGGTCCGGGGTCGGCGATTAGGTTTTGTCTTGTTGATGAGAAGTTTGTTCGGCGTGTAGGGAGAGGGGTTGTGGGGGAAGATGGTGGGCAGGGAGAAGAGCAAGGAGAAGATGAACATAAGATGCCACGCTGCTGGTCTCGAGGGCAAGGGCGGGCATTTGAAGAGGCGTACGAGGTTGAAGAGGAGGAATGGAGGGTTCGGCATGAAGGTGCTGGTGCTGGTGAAGGAAAGGGTGAAGATGCCTCTTTTGAGCGCTTAAGGAGGGTGGGTAGTAGTGGGATGTAAGTAAATAGGCAGGCAACGGCGAATGGCGTTATGAATGAATGAGCAGGAATAGTAGATACACAACAGGACAAATCATCACAGTATCCAATGCCTGCCCAGATTCAGTTCAATTTTCTCGAAAATCTTTTCCTTTCTCTAAACAAGCGCGCAGTTGACTGACTATCTTTGTACAAGTTATTCATCCATCCCCTCCTCCAATCTTCCCCCCTAAGGTAAGGTTGAGACTTTTCCGCTTATGCACAAACGACCCCTCCCCTCCCCTCTCTGGGACAAATGAAAATGTGGTTGGTGTTCTGCGTACGGAGGAGAGGAACCTATTCCTTCTTCTTAGGAGCGCTTTGCACCATTCCCTTGCCGCTGTACCCCTCGGACGAGATTCCGGAGATGGGTTCGGAGTTTTGTGCCTGTAGTTTCGGTTGTTAGCTTCCTTTCATCTGCTATTCTCTCTCTCTGCTGCCCTCTTCATATCCCCAGAGCTCCAGCACAGTAGGAAACAGAGAAGGAAGGAAAAGAGAACATACCTTCAAATACTCATTCGTAGCCTCCTGGTACTCCTTGTTCATGGTGCTCGGGCTGCCCTTGGCGAAGAATCGGATAGCAGTGAAGAGAGCTAGACTGGCGCCAATACCGAGGAACGTATAGCCAGCGACTTTCCAGCCCTCGCCCGGTGGGGGAGCGGCGCGGGGACCGTGGGCGCCGAAGGCGATGTAGTATGCTGTTTGAATGGGAGTATTAGCTTCTGTTCTTTCTTGCTGATTATCCTATCCCTTCTTTGCTTTCTCTCCTCGAGATAGAGAAGCCTCAATTCCTGGAGGAGTTGCTAAGGTGTGTAGAGGAAAGGAGAAGGAGCAAACAAACCAGCCTTCTTCTCCTGCACCGTCAACTCAGCCCAATTAACCTTCATGCGATCCCGCAGCGCCATCCACAGCTCCGCCTGCTCCGTCGGCGGCATGGCCTCCCATCTCTTCTCGATGTTCGCCAGCGTCGGGTTCGAGATCGCGTGGGCGGAGCGGCGCTGAGCGGCCACTGATCGTACGATGCTGGGTTTGCGGAGGGAAGCTGCTGTGGTTCGGAGCATCTTGGCTGCGGGCTCTCAATGGCAAAGAGAAAGATTTGGGGAGGGAGAGAGGGGTCAATTGATGGGAGGGCAATTGACGCAGTTGAGGTACTGGTGAGGGTTTGTATGGGTGGTGGTGGTGGATGGGATGATTGGGATGATTATGGGACGGAGTCGTACGGGAATTCTTTTGCTCGGTTGGCGTGGAGCTTGAAGGTTTCCGTATGCGAGGTGTGTGATTGGTTGATGGGGAGAGCTGTCTGCACGTGATGGGGAACTTTTTACTTGGTCAATTGAGAGAGGTTTGCGTTTATAAGGGACTGGAGATCTTATTGATGAAAAGATGAATTGTTGGGATTTTTGTCATGTCGTTGTTTGGTTTGATGTGCTTGATGGCTGCGAATTTCTCTCCTGAGTTCTTCCCCTTTTGCCCGTGTCAATGGGGAGAAAATCAATTCTTCGTGCAAGTTCTTCTATTCTTACTTGAATTTGTTCAGAATCTGGCTTTTCCACTTGCAGTGTTTTTAATGGCTACAAGAAGAAACACAGTTTCCAGAATGGAAGAGCCTTTGCGCCTGCTTCCAACATATTTTGATTATTCACCTAGGTAGAGCTTCATTCACGTTAATATCTCTAAATCTAAGAAATTCAAACTCTGAGTTAGCTACTTGAAGTATAGACTGGCTAGTAGAAGACTTTCAGAATGCAATGTCTCTTCGCCAAGAGGAAGCATTGAAGTTTCATGTCATCCAAGTCCGAAAGGGATTTCTAATTTAATCTACGACTTGCCTAGGTGAAAAGCGTTGAAGTCGATTTCAACTGGAAGTTATTATTGAGCACTTTACAATTATACGGTTATTTTTCTCATTTCCAGGTATATGATACGTACAGTGCAGGATTCATCAAGAACTCTCTCGGGTCTCGAGATTTTCTCGAGATTCTGGGACAGCTGTCAAGACTCAAGCAGGACAAGAAAGTCAATGATACATTGTAGTTTAAGTATGCTTCAACAGAGTACTAACAGATAGGCAGGAACAGACCGTGCTATCATGCTGAGCCTACCCAGCTTCTGGCCAGCTCGACCTGGGCAAGATCTTGGGTTTAGACACGTGACGGAGCCAAGGTTCAATCTCCCTCGACTGTAAACACAATCTGTTTTAGCCAAGAAGTCAAGAAGAACTCAAAACAACATTAAGAATCGTCCAAGACGAAGAAAAAGTCATCCTGTCAGTGCTGCTTTTGACTTCACTCCACGTGATGCCATTGCACACTGCTCTTCATGCATCGCCAGCGGAAATCTCGCACAAACAGACTCAAACCCTGACCCGCGCCTGCATAACGAAGTCTTCACCACCAAAGACATCTCAGTATGATATCAGAGGAATTCTAGTTCCCTCGTCTTGCTGCGTGGGGCGTTATCATCGCATCGCAGAAAAAGAAAAGACCGAACAATTGGCCGCTCGCAGACCACCCCAAGATATTTGTCAAGCCGCAATCAAATCAATCTGGACAGCTAAGGAAAATAGGTTAACCAAGATCTGCTTTCCGGCAACAGAGGCATGAGGTGATTAAAAAGTTGAGTCAACCTGGAAACCCATCATGCAATGCGAAAAAATTGAGAAACACGTGTGAAGGGCGTATGGAGTGGCACCAGTATTGGCTGACAACACGCACTGGACCTGCGTAGTGGTTCAGTCAGCAAGGACCGATTGCGGGCTCCGAAAGTAGGTGGTCGACAGAGGGAGTGGGAATGGGAACAGGAACAGGATCAGACAAATGGATACTTTTTTTTTATGAGAAAGGCCGGAAGGATATGAAGATGGAGGATGGTATCACGATAATTCGGATATACTCATAATCCTGTTCATACCGAGGATTATCGTAGCTGCGTCCGATATACCGAGTACTTCCGGCCTGGCCCTTGAGGTATCGAGGTCGAGGCTATGAGGTGCCTTTGGAGCGGCGAGGGGTTTTTTTCAAGGTGTGGCTGGTGCTGGTGCAACAATAATCGAGGAGACGGTGAAGATCTGACAGCCTTGTCGTGAGAAAGAAAAAGTTCTTGGTTGCGATATTAATAATTTTCTAGATCATCTGAAGTGAAAGAAAACAAAACCTGTCTAAAAAGAAGGAACGTAAAATCCTTCGTAATCATAATCATAAACATAAACTTAATCGTCATAATAATGCACAATATCTGGTAATCACGGTGAGATAAGCAAACGTCTCCCAGTCTCAAACATTTTACTTGCTGCTTCTTGCCGCAGTTCCTCCTTTGGGCAGTGGTTGTGGCTCTTCGTCTCTTAGCCCTCCGTTAGCGTGAGGCGTCATGCTGGTCCGGTCCTGTTGAGGTCGAATCTCAGAAAACACCCCACCAAACTGATCTCTTCCTCTTCCGATTCTTCCTACCCAGGAATATAACACAACCACACCCCGACTACAAAAACACCACACCTCCTCACAGAACAACCTCATCTACCTTTCTTGTAAGTATCCTCACCAATTCCTCTTCCCACTGCACTTCTTCTTCCCCTCTGCACAGCTTTGTCGTCCTGATTGAAGCTGTTGTTGTTGTCGAAGCTCCCCGCTAAACCCGCCGAGAGCAAAAAATCATCACCTCATCTAACATTCTCCCAGCAACATCATGGCTCCCATCAAGGTTGGCATCAACGGTTTCGGCCGCATTGGCCGTATCGTCTTCCGAAATGCTGTCGAGCACGATGACATTGACATCGTCGCCGTCAACGATCCTTTCATTGAGACACACTACGCTGTGAGTACCCCGCTATCGCAGCCAAGGAGGCAGATTTTTCAGACCTGAAACTAATGCATATCACCACGATAGGCATACATGCTCAAGTACGACTCGACTCACGGTCAATTCAAGGGCGAGGTCGAGGCCGTCGAGGGCGGATTGAAGGTTAATGGCAAGACCATCAAGTTCTACCAAAAGCGAGACCCTACCGAGATCCCATGGGCCGAGACTGGTGCATACTATATCGTCGAGTCCACTGGTGTCTTCACCACCACTGAGAAGGCCAGTGCCCACTTGAAGGGTGGTGCCAAGAAGGTTGTCATCTCTGCTCCTTCTGCCGATGCTCCCATGTATGTTATGGGTGTCAACGAGAAGACCTATGATGGCAAGGCCGATGTTATCTCCAACGCCTCTTGCACTACCAACTGCCTTGCTCCCCTTGCCAAGGTCATCCACGATGAGTTCGGTATCGTTGAGGGCTTGATGACCACCATCCACTCCTACACCGCCACCCAAAAGACCGTCGATGGCCCATCTGCTAAGGATTGGCGTGGAGGTCGTACTGCTGCCCAGAACATCATCCCATCCAGCACTGGTGCCGCCAAGGCCGTCGGAAAGGTCATCCCATCGCTCAATGGCAAGCTTACCGGCATGTCCATGCGTGTTCCTACCTCCAACGTCTCCGTCGTTGATTTGACTTGCCGTCTTGAGAAGGGTGCTTCTTATGATGAGATCAAGGCTGTTATCAAGAAGCATGCCGAGGGTGATCTCAAGGGTATGTTCAAATTCCGGAATCGTGCAAGAGACATGGCTGACAATTTCCAGGCATATTGGGTTACACTGAGGATGATGTTGTCTCCACCGATTTGAACGGCGACAATCGCTCTTCCATCTTCGATGCCAAGGCTGGTATCTCCCTGAACAACAACTTTGTGAAGCGTATGTCAAATTCTGCCCCTCCACGGTCTTCTAGATCTCTGTCAAAAGTGTATACTAACAGATTCGTCCTGCAGTCGTTTCATGGTACGACAATGAGTGGGGAGTAAGTATCCCTTTTCTGAATTCCACAAAAATGCTGATCAATTCAATAGTATTCTCGCCGTGTCCTCGATCTCCTCGCCTACATCGCCAAGGTTGATGCCGGAAAGTAGGAGACCAATCATTCCTCTTTTCATTTGAATTAATGATAGCAATGACGGTTTCTGATTGCTTTTTTCTTTGGCAGAGATGTGCTGAGAGGCAGGCTTTGATGGGAAGACGGGGTCGGAAAAAATATGTGTCAATGAATGATTAGGACTTTTTCTAGCAATGGTTTCTTTATGATAGCCTTAGCCACGAATAGATGTTCTTCAAGCAACTTTCTTCTCGTCTTGTGATTTGGTCATCTGCAATCAATATGAAAGATGACAAACAAGTTTCCAATATTAAGAGTACGTCCTTTGGTGGATGAACCCATGGTGGAGAGTAGTGTACAATATACACCTATCTACAACTTCTGTTCCGAGGCGCCGTTGTTCTTGCCAGATACGCACATCTCGCACCTCCCAATTTGGAACTCGCATAGGCTGGTACTTGCCCCGTTGATACTTGCACAATCAACTCTTGCACGGCTAATCACCTGGACTTTCCTCACTCGATGCTCTTCTCCACCAACATAAATTCTACTCAACACTATATCAATAATATAGTTACGCTCTCCTAACCTTCTCTTTGAAACATCAAGACTTTGTCCAGCATACTTATGGTCATCTCCTGGCATAGATATAAGTCTCCCACAGCTCTGTCCAAATTCTTTCTATCACATCTGAACTACAGATTTTCAGTCAAACTCACTACAAATCCTGCTAGAATGAACGCTCTCTTAGGCAATCTTCGTCCTCGAGAAACTGCAACAGTTCTCCGGTAGTACTCTTCCAGTACTTACAAGAAACTAAAAACCATAGAAAGAGGCTCATCAAAGCAGCTCTATCTAGAATCCTCGAGCAGTAACACCAGTGTCAGTTCATCACAACTCATACTCCGGTTTTCGCACACTGCGGCCGCTAAACAGTATTCACCTCCCAAGCAACCCAATGCTAATCCCTTTATCGATACGACGATACGCAATACCGTAGTCCCTTTGGGGCTTAGACCAAAATTGTGCACTTGCTAGTTGCTCTAGATCAACTTCTCCTCCTCCTCGTCCAGAACAGAACAGAACAGAACTTTCAAGTCCACCTCAACGTCGCAAAACCACAACAACCATCGGAGAAGCAAATTACTTCTACACTGCGACAACCTCTAGAGCCTTCGTTCGGTGAAACAGTCGTCGTGTATTCGAGCAGAGAAAGAAATATACTCCAAAACCGAAATCCTGCTCGGTCGCAAAGCACCACAATACAATCCTCACCACCAGACCTTCTCTAACATCCCACACACAACTACTACATCTTCTTTGAATCAGAGACTCCAACATATCCTCACCCAAGGATCGGAAACAAGTTTCACCCAGTCAAGTCAAGGCTGTAGATCACCACCATTTCCGCCTCAGGCGCCCAGGCATCCACTCGCCTAATCGCATCCTGAACCTCGAACTCGGCTGGACCATCATCCATCTCTCCTTCACACCCACCTCCACATACCATACCTCAACTCCTTTCCTTTGCCGCGCATTGCACAATATTTCGTTTCCGACTGGCGGCGAGGTTATATTGAAGGTTGCGACTCTCTTCTGGCGTTGGGATTTGCGAACTGGGAAACTTTCGTAGGGTAGGGTTGCGTGCTGGGCTGGACTCGAGATTGACGAGGTGAGTTGATGGTTTTCTTACGCTTTCTGAGAGGATTTGTTTCGATTTTGTTTGCGCTTGATTATTTGCGTCTCTGCTGTGTTTGAAGAGCCTTGGGATTGTAAGGCATGAGGAGGGCCTGATACAAGGAATACAAGAGAAAGGGTTCGTCATGTGACGTTTCTTCCTTCACTTGCTTCATGCATGTGTGGTCCTCAGTCGGAGAGCAGGGTAGACGACCTGTGTACTGTTCTTCATGTTTTTCTTCTGGGTCTTTTGGTGTTTTGTATCAGAACGGGCGAGGAGATGAGCATGTCGCCGCCGCTTGGTCAACATTGGAGTCAAAGACTTTTGACTGACCACGTGTTGACGACGTGTGTCTGAAAATGTCTATGCATGATGCATAAGACTGGCAGTAGTGTGTGTGCGTGTATCTGAGTTTGTTTGTTGATGCGGATGTGTCTTTCTCCTGTCGTCGTGGTGCTTCGGTGTTGTCTTGTAGCATGGATTCCTCTAGAATCCAGGGTATCGAAGACTGTTCCGTCATGGTCTGTCGATCGGAGAAAGGTTCCAAGCTGAACAAGTGAAGGCTGTCAAGTTGACTCATTTTGTATGTTGGATATACGCGGATTGGGGTTAGCCCTCAACGATTGGGTTTGCATGGGTTGTTGAGAAGATGCCGAGTCTCCAGTATTTGCTGTTGAAAGGAGAGGACTTATCACAAGGCCAACTCTGGTGTGCTTTGTTTTGACATTCTGAAGATGTTTTTGATGCATTTCTGGGCTACAACAGACTGCCTGGGATCTCAGGCTGTCCTGGCTTGGTTCTGCTGGTCTCTGGTAATTACTGTTAGTTGAAGAGTACTTGTCATAGTGATATGTCTGGTCTACCACAATTCTATACTCTGGGGACAAACCTAGACTATTCCTGCTGGACAGGATGCCTCGAATTTAAGGCTAAACTGGCTGATTTCTGAGAGTCGCTGATAGTTACTGTTCATGGGAGAGTACTTCTCATAGTAATAAGTCTGTTTTGTCGTGTTTTGATGTTTGGGAGATGGCAATGTTGCAAAGTTGTCTCGGCGGATATGTTCCAGGATGGAACTTAAGTGCACTAGTTTCAAGCGCCCTCTCAGTGAGAGAGCTTTTGAGCTTGAAACTTCGGTACAGGCTTTCAGTTATCGGGGCTTGCATTTTTGAAAAGCTAGTCGGGTGCCTCGAGGCTGCGAGGCCGCAAGGCCACGACATGCGAAAATTATCAGACCGTTTTCTGAAAGAGGACGAACTTTCCACTCTGCTTCTGAATTTACAAAATACAATCACAAAACAGAATCGCAGACACAATGGCTTCAACCAATCCAGAGACAGACATTTCACCAATCCTTTTGTTCTTGCTTGTCCTTCTTCTTTTCTGGAACGTGATAGTTCGAGGCTTTAGAGTCCTGTAATCTTGAGATGTCACAGGATTGTATGTCCAATTAGCTGACATTATCCAGAATTGTTCGATTCGTCTAAGTCTGTGCAATGGAGTCCTCTGTGACTACCGTCCTAGATATGGACACTGTCATACAGAGTAACGAACTCCCGGTCAGCAATGGCCATTCAAATGGCTTCCTTGACCCTCGAGTTCTCAATAAATTAGACGACCTCGATATCCCTGATTCCACGGACTCTCGAGAAGATTCCTTCGAATCCGAGTCGAAGCTCGACATTGCAATACCACGCAGAGCCTACCTTCCAACTGGCTGCTGCTACGATATCCGAATGAAGCTACATGCAAATGCCGACTTCTCTGCAAGCCCACACCACCCCGAAGACCCTCGACGAATAGAGTCGATCATGGAGGAATTTCGAGTCGCTGGTTTGATATACACCGATGGAAGCACAGAACAGCTCATGGAGATACTTAAAGAATCGCCGGAGAAATATATGTACCGAATTCCTGCACGGAGAGCTACCGAAACAGAGATTTGCACTGTTCACGATGCAGCACATTACGACTGGGTTCAATCGTTGAGCAGCATGACTTCAACTCAATTGCGCCAATTGACAGCTGACTTTGATATGGGTCGGAAATCTCTCTACGTTGGCAATCTTACATACGAAGCAGCCTTGGTATCAGCTGGAGGAGCTATCGAAACCTGCAAAGCCGTCGTCACTGGAGTTGTCAAGAACGCTGTCGCAGTCATTCGACCTCCAGGGCATCACGCAGAGCACGATGAGTCTCTCGGCTTCTGCATCTTCAATAACGTTCCGATTGCGGCGAAAGTATGCATGAAGGAGTTTCCTGATCTCTGCCGGAAGGTCTTGATCCTCGATTGGGATGTTCATCATGGAAATGGCATCCAGAATATGTTCTACGATGATCCAAACGTCCTCTACATTTCTCTCCACGTATACAGCAATGGTACATTCTATCCTGGTCAGCCTGAAAATGAGGATTTACCCGATGGAGGCCTTGATAAATGTGGCATAGGAAGAGGCATTGGTCGCAATGTCAATATCGGCTGGGCAGATCAGGGCGTTGGTGATGGTGAATATATGACTGCTTTCCAAAAGATCGTGATGCCAATCGCACACGAGTTTGACCCAGATCTGGTCATAATCTCCGCCGGTTTCGATGCTGCCGCTGGAGATGAGCTTGGAGGATGCTTCGTTTCGCCTGCCTGCTACTCACACATGACACATATGCTCATGGGCTTAGCAAATGGAAAGGTTGCTGTCTGTCTCGAGGGCGGTTATAACCTGAGAGCTATTTCGAGGTCAGCATTAGCAGTCGCCAAGACATTGATGGGAGAACCACCTGAGCGAATCGTCCCTCCACCACTCAATCGGGTCTCAGCAGATACTATCAACATGGTAAAGCGGATACAGGCCAACTACTGGGAATGCATGCGACCAGGTGTCATACCTTCAGCAGAAATCCAAGTTCGATCTACAGAGAGAATGAGCGACGTTATTCGGCGAGCCCAGAAGAGTCAATTATACGATGAGCATAATATGATACCCCTGAAGATCATGCGTAAGGGCTTGACGGAGCAATACGAAAATCAAGTCCTAGTTACACCGGATCTGTACAAGGCAAAGAAGGTTATCATGTTCATCCATGATTCGTAAGTCGCAGTTGTCCTACTCATTTATTTTCGCTGACTCCTCTCCCCTAGACCCGATGTTCTGGCACAACCAGATCTCCACGACAACAAGATCTATCCTCACAATGCCTATGTGGTAAGTTTCCTTTCTGCCTCAGAATAATAATTGTTCTAATAGATATTAGACCGACGAGCTCAAATTATATATCGATTGGGCCATACAAAACGGCTTCGGTGTCGTCGACGTCAATTTTCCCAAACCTATCTACAAAACCAACAACTTTGGCAAGGAACTCGACTCCTACATACCAAAACCTTCCGAAAACCTTTTGGCGAACCAGACCAAGGAACTACTTACCTACATCTGGGAAAATTGGTTGGAGCTCTTGGGCAGCGTCAGCATTACTCTTGTCGGTGTGGGTGACGCAAATATCGGCATCAAACAATTGCTCACTGCAAATGGTGAGATCAACTACATCCCTCACCCTTCATCCAATCTAACCCTCTCCAGATGACGTCTACAAGAAAATTCCCTCAGTCCTGTCCTTCATCGACAGCAACCTCCGCAGCGTAAGATCCGAAACAGACCCCGGCCTCTCAGCTTGGTACCGCCAACACTCCCTCCTTTACATAATGCCCGACCACGCCTGCTTCAGCGACCCGATACAATCCCGTAAAGTAGCCAAGAAGAGTTATGGTACCGTGAGAGCTGCCAACGTCGAGGTTGGCGAAAGCGGTAACCCGATCGGCAGAATGCTCAGAGCACATGCAGAGGCGAGCAAGGAGTGGATCTTATCAAGGGTGATGGATTGGGAAGCAGAGAATCTGCAGGTCGATCCCGATGAGACGGAGGATGAGGACGAAAGCGATATCACGAATCCGGGGCTGGGCATTCATGGAGGGGCCGTGGATGGGGATATTGATATGGCGGGGATGGGGGGAATAGTTAGTTCGAGGATGCCGGTCTTGAGCTGAGCAACGCGACCGAGGGTAAAGAAGGAGAGCAGATCTTGAGGTGAAGAGTGGAGGAGATTGTATATTGTAAGAGTTATAGGTACAAAGCATAGCACATTTGCGGCGAAGCGGGCGTCCGTCTTGCTTGCTGCAGCGGTACAGCATTAGTCACCACTCGTTGCGCCAGCAAAGACGCACACGAGCCCTTCATGATGCTGATTGGCGAAGCGTGCGTTGCTCGCCCTGATGGTGTCAATTTTTACCATATTTGCAAGCGCAAGCGCAGGCGCAGGAGTCGAAGATTCGGCAGTACTGGATGATCGTTCTTGGACGAACAATGGTATCGTAGGGAGGACGACGATGACGACATACCCCTAGGCGCTCCGTACGATATCTCTTCTGAAGAACCTAGGGTAGCATTGATCAATGTCGCCCGAATGTGGTACAGGTCCGAATGTGGTACAGGTTCGAACCTTCACGTTCACTGCTAGAGAGACCGCTGTGGTACAGGTCCGAATGTAGTACAGGTCCGAATGTGGTACGCAAATAAATAGTTGTACGCATTTCGAAAGAATTCGAAATGCCGATTGTTTATATATACTATGTGGGTCGCGTGGCACGCGATTAGTGCACGTGATCGTATGATTAATATAATTTTAAGGCCACCAGGCTGCGAGTAGTTCTCTTTTTAAGTTTTAAAGTTAGGTTTGGGTACTTGGGCTGTTCTGCACCGAATGGAGGTTATACCACCAAGACTCCTTTTATCTGGGATTAATGTCCATGATATGCTGGGAGATTTTCGATGAGGTTTTCTTTATCCGTTGTGTAGTTCTCTTTTTGAGTTTTAAAGTTAGGTTTAAGTGCTGGTGATTGACTTCACAATACTCCACAATTGAAAATCTTGTCAGATTCACTTGACTCCCTCACAAACACTGCAGCACCATGCTGAAGTCTAGATTTCATGAGTGTGCATAGCTCGTTTTGGCGTGCTTCTTCGTCCTATTTCTTTATTGGAAACAATTATTATCGATACAGGAATACGTCGGTCTGGCTTGTGCTATCGATAGGAGGGTCCTTTGAGTAGGTGTGATTTTTGTTATCAACTATTTTCTCTCTCTACTTGTTTTCTATGTCTCTTTTTCTTTTCTTTTCTAGATATTTTATTCATCCTGTCACAGCACAGTCCCTCGCACCCAACCTACACAACCACGCTCCAACCATGAGCTCTCGATTCTTTAGCAACTTTCCAATCGGTGAGATTTTTTTAGGCTCTGGTTGGGGGTTTATATAGTACTTGTTTCAGCGCTTTTGGATCGGTGGGTGTATTCTTTTTGTATTGGGTTAGATAAGAGAGACTTAATATTAATTTATTAACTATTGTTAACAACATTCAACCACTCTCCCGCGCTTCTCTATTAAACCTTTAAGCATACAAACTAGGTCTCACACATCCACTTTAGCACAGAACAATCCCGCGCACCTGGCCGACATAGCTGTCACAAACACAACCACGCCCCAGCCATGGTCATCTTCTTCGGGTAGCCTCCAATCGGCGAAAGGTTTTGAAGCTCCGGTCGGTGGTTTATATAGCCCTCTGTCTATCCGTAGCCTTGTTTAACTGCCTGGAAATTTGGGGGTTTGGTCATTCACTCTCGTCTATAACTTTGTCTGCTTAGTGAATCACTTTTGCTCTTTATTTACTTTCCCTTAAGTTCCAGGGCCTATATGTATCCCAAACTCCTCCTTTTGGAGTTCTTTGGAATAAGCTATTGGTCCTCCGGCCTCCTCGCTTGCGAGGATTAGATGGAGGAAGATGGGGATTTGGTGGCATGTCCGGATTCTAGTTGGAAACTTTGGAGGTGGCGGATGTGCGGGGTTGATTTGGGACATTATGTCGTGGTTTATGGAAAATTTGTTTCGGGGATGATTAGACAATTACTATCAAATCCATGTTTATTGTCAATTTTTTTACACTTGTTGCCGACAGTTTCGCTCTACTGTCTTTGCTCGCGCTTCTCTTTGTTTTTTTCAACATTTAATTAAACTTCTCTTTGTTCTACTCAAAAAAACTCCAAACGATTAGTTGCGGCGCGAAATTTCTTTATGCCGATAAGCAGTATATATACCATTTTGTCTATACTTCTTTGTAAATACTAAAACAATGGCTATCAAAGTCGTGTCTATTGTCAACCTTACATTTGCTGCCAACAATCTCGCTTCACTTTCTTTGCTCGCGCGTCTCCCTACCTTTTCTTTCTTTACACTCAATCAAATCTGCTCCAGGAAATCAAACTTCTCCAGGAGAAATTCTCCTTATCCCATTGAAGGAGGCTCTGAACGGTTGGCGGCATACCTCGACGTTCGGTAGGTGGCTCGTCTCTACCTCACCAACGCGAGTTCTCGGCGGCGAGAAATTTCTCTGTTCCGGTGGTAAGTATATATAATATACCTTTCTTTCCATGGGCTTTTCGGGAGCTTGACGGAGTGTGTTTGTGAATCATAAAGCGTGAGTCAAGAAAGTTGAGTGAATCAAGAGCGGATGGTGAAGGGTGGCAAGATTCACTGAAATTCCGCGTTAAAGAATGTATTGTTCGAGAGGTATATAAACTCTCTTCTTCTCTACTTTCTTGGATTAAGGAAATACTCATACCAACACCATACCAAAATCTGGGCGAGCCCTGCAAAGTTAGGGAGTGTAACATGTGCGGGATTCCTAGTGGACCCTTACCGTTTGAAGGAGATGAGGTGGAGAATAGAGGTCTGCTGTCAAGTTTATAATTGCTGTCATCGCTTAACCTTAATTCGTGTTTTTTCTCTATTATCTCTGCCCAAAAGACAACTCCCATCTCCTTCACCATCACACTTATTCTCCGTTTCAAACACGCTCCAAGTAATGTCATATGTCCCAGTGAAGGAGGCTCTGAACGGTCGGTCGCGGCGAGAAAGGTTTTCCGTTCCGGCGGTGGGTATATATACCCTTCTATCCGTAGCCTTGTCTGCTTGTTCTCTGCTTTACTTGTGAATCATGAACAGTGAATCTGGTTAAGTGAATTACGGTGAAATCCGCGGACATTATTGTTTGAGGAGTATTTATAAACTTTACTTTCCTACTCTTCTCCTCTTTTTTCCATTGGACTTCAAATCGAAATTGTCAAATGGTTTCACTGCTTTTTGGAGAGTGGGTAGTTGGAGATGATGAATTGAGATACAGAATGGTTTGCTGTCTAGTGTGCAGTTGTTGTCAATGGACTTGAGTATCTCCTCTTTTCTGATGCTTTCTCTGGACCCAAGCAAACTTACTTCCAAACTCTTCGTCGCGACTTACACGTTCAATCTTAGCCTCCCAGTCTTTTCCAGGGCCAAATCTCTAATATTTTCGAACCACCTTCGTCGGATAATTATTTTTCCGTTCGGAGTCTGAAGTCATGGTTTTTATACCCGTCTGTGTTCCGATTTCTGCTCCAAGGCTATGAATCACGAACGGTGAATCTGTTCATGCGAATCACAGTTAGTTTTACAGAGATTATTCGAAGTGGTGAATCAAAGTAGATTTTACTGTTAGTCCGCTCCTCCAGGTCTATATAAAACACCAATATCTCTAGGCAAGGAGTATACACTTCCAAGTGTGGGGAGACTACGATCGCAAGGGTCTCGGTGCCCTGGCTTGATGCCCTGGCTTGATGCCCTGGTCAGAATAATGACTCTCTAAGAGGATATGTGGTTTGGAACTCAAAGAGTTTTAACCTACAAGGATAGTAAATGATTGTTATTGATGTCAACAATAGTTATCTTGATTCTTCTTTTTGCAATGCTTATTGTTGTTGTCAACAAAATCCCTCTCGTTCTCCTTTCAGCTGTCACAAATTGGAAAGCTTAAAGTCTTTTCTATTCAAGTGCAATCTTTTACGACAGAGCCGGGACATAGGCAAGAACATTGGCAAAGAACCACATCCAAGGCCTCGATAACGGTAATCAATCTGTTGTTCCGTATGAAGAGCGAAGTAGAGGTACATATACGCAAACCATCCCTCAAACTCCTGATTCACTGCCTTCTCTCGTGTTGTCGAACAGTATATGGCCTTATTCACTCTGTTGTCTCGAGCAGAACTTTGTGGTCCTTAGCCTCACGGCCTATGAGTCAGTATATAAATGCTCTGAGAGAACTCGTGCTCATTCACTCTATTGTCTCGAGCAGAAGTTTGTGATCCTCAGCCTCGCTGCCTATGAGGCCGTGTATATAAACACGTCATTCTCGTCTTTCTTTACAATTCATTGACATCGTCCTCCCTACTCTTATACAATAGTGTGATCTTGGGAGAAAGGCTCCTAATGAGTAGAGCTGTACCGGGTTCACGTTTTTGATAGTTCAAGGGAGACAAAGGGGTGTGTGCTCGTATTTTGCATAGTAAAGATATGCTGTTGTCAAGAGATTAATCGTTGCCAACTTATGCTTTTACTTGTGCCTCACACGAACAAGCCACTTAGACAACAAGGACACCAGTCCCTGGCCATTTCAAGCGGACCAGCTTTCTTTGTCCCAATATTTTAAAAGTGGCAAAGTGGTTCTTTATATATCTAAGCAAACCTCCAAGGCTGGGTCGTTATGCGTGAATATAAGTCGTGTTCCGCTTTGGCGATTTGTGAAGATTGAATGTCGTGATCTAGTGTTGGACTTTATAGTCTCTTGGCTGCTGAAATATTCTCGTGGAGTAAAATTCGGGAACGAGACACTGAGGTGAATCAAGAACAAGAAACAAGAATTTTGTACCTCCAAAATAGGGTGTGCCCTGGGTATAAATAGCTCATTTTCTGCAGATCGAGGCTTGCGATTTTCATTACCTCGCACCACAACTTGGAATCCTGGACCGGCGTTTGATGCTCGAACCTGCTAGACTGTTGAAATGAAGCTGTTCGTTTTTGTTCTTTGAGAATTAGAGAGATCAACGAGGTTCTGGTATCAGTGGTTTCAAGCCTGATAACTTATACTGTTGTCAACATGTTTGTTGTTGTCAAGTATTTAA